TATATATACTCACTACTCCCTCTCACCCCCTCTCTCCATGGCGAGGCTATTTAGTTTAGTGGGTGCAATGAAGAAAGGAGAAATGTTTGACAAGAAAAGGGTGGGCGGCTGTAGGAGGAGATTAAACGTCATCCAAGGCCAGAGAGGTCATAGCCATATTCCGGCATTGCCTTTGCCGTTTCGGGCTAAACCGAGGGGATTTTCAGAATCACAAAGCCCCCAACTACATCACCCAAATCCCTGCGGCGCGTAATTAATTTGATACTTTAACTTATTTATAATTTAATACAAATCCGGTCTTCTGTTTTGCCTTGACAACTCGAATTTATAACCCAATCTCGCTTAAATTTAATACCTTTGTTTTATGAAGTCTTAAGACACAAAATGGAATTTCAACTAAAAAATTGTTAAGACAGACAACACCAAATAAAAGTATAAAAGGAACCATTTGAGGGAGAAAAATATTGATCTTTTCATAAAAATTAAAGAAAACTATTTATTTTTTATGGATCTACGCAATTTAACAAGTTTGTGTAAAGTAATGCTATTTGCAATGATATCTTTGGGCTTTTTATATTTAAAATTGAGCTGAACAGGGGGCAGCAATTGTTGTGTTTGTACTAGGAAGTGGGAAGCATTCAATTTGTATCATACTGTATATAATTAATTATTGTTAATTTTTAATCGTGTAATTCCAAGTTAGTCGCTTATCAAATGTAAGCCTTAAATAGTTAACTTTGTCCGATTGAGGAACAGGTTCGTTGTATGAATATATATGCTAGGACAAGTCTGACGACTTAGTGTAAAGTTGATATGTTTGTGACTTTCAGGTAGAAAACTTTATTCTCCAAAGATTGCTCCATTTTTCATTTGTTAACGTGATGTTTTGTTGTAACATAGAGTGTAGAAGAGGGGTGGCTTGTTAATATGGCGCTGACATCCGCATTCTCATATGTTGGCAAGTCAGAAGTAAAACGTATGTACAACAGCAGAGCGAGTATTGACCCCTGGGGCACACCTGCAAGCACTTCTTTCATATCAGAAGTCTCCGATCCTTTGTTTACTGCGAAAAAACACAGACTTATGAAACGATATAAAAATAAAATCACAAACTTACATACATTTCAAACTAAATAATACAAAATTAATTTTAAAAAATAATACATTCAAAGCGTACTTGCTCACAACAACAAGGATGTACTGGTACCAAGTTAACGGTTCGGCCAAATATTCCAATATTCAAATATTACAAAGTTTTTAATCAAGGATTTTAAGATTAATTGTTTCTTCCCCTTCTTACGTAAACAATAACGCACTTCATAGAGATCTTCATACGCCAACTGTTTCCATTTTCTTCAATTATCCCGTTTACGACTGAAAATAATACGGATAAGAGACCTCTTAAATAGTATATTGTATATCAAGAGCAGCTGCCTTTAGCTAGGTAGCTAGGTAGCACTCTAGGTAGCTTTCTCTACATGCCAATTATTGACACATGTCAAAATTAAATCAAATCTGCGGATTGTTTACAATACATATACAGTTGTAGAGATAAATACATGAAGTTTTTTTTTTTTAATTGGGTCCAAGTATTACGTTGTTTTATTGAAATCGACTGAAAGTTGATGGGATAGAATACTTTCTTCTTACAATTGAATATATAGTTAGCATACCAAAATAGGCCAATACCCTATGAGCTATTTATATAATATAATCTAAAAAAAATTAATCGGAAATTTTAACAAAATATGGTCTAAGTACTGATTTCTAGTCATAGGAGGTATTCCCAAGTTTGTATTGTTTTATTGGAATCTGGGTGGCAATAATGAAATACTAGTTTGGTCGTTGAACTCAATGAAACTATAGGTTCATCACCCGCAGACCCCAGGAAGAAATCTCGCGATACTATTGCTTTAGCAGTCATCAATAAAACTGACAAGACGTTGAATCAACCATGTTCTACAAATTACCTGATAAAGGATTTAAAAAATATTACTAAAGAATTTTAAAAATTTTACTAACATATTATTCACACATTAAATAACTTCCTTCTACCGCCTAATTGTGAAAAATTAAAAAAAGAAAAAACATTAGTAATAAATTTAAACGGCTACGAATTTCCTATTTAATTCAATACAACGGCTTCCGAATGTAATTCGAACACTGGCCTTTTTGAAGTGTGCGGCAAGTGTAAAAATGTAATTAAAATCTAAAGACGAGCCGTCATTTGTGTAAATGAACAATTTATATGTAGATTTGGGCATGAACGGGAATAGTCCTGGAAGGGTCGGGTCGGCGTTAAACGGGTGGTACAAGGGTCAAAGCGATCGTTGCATTAGCAATAATGCATGGGTTTTTTTCAGACTCACGTTACATTAATTAACGCATTATTGAAAGTTCTGAATGTTTTTGTAAATCATCAATCAGCCTTCGGGCCCTAAACACCAACCTAAATCTAAAGCGTAGCCCTTCATCTCGAAAGAAGAGTTCATTAGTCCAGGATTGTAAAACTCATTGATAGGGTAAGATTGGCATATCAGATGTACATTGTTTTATCCTGATGTTTTATTTTCATTTTAAACTTTAGTTGAAAATGCGCATGATGTGGAAGCAAAAATAAGAAGAAATCTGATGATTTGATGTAGAAAAACTCGTTAAATCCAAAATACTTTTACATATACTATTACTACAAAATATTAGTACTCATTTTTTTAATATGGTTTAAACTGCACAGCTGCGTTGTGGGTAATACGACTCAAGTATTATGTTTTTGCCAGTTCTGAATTAAACTTCTTTTTGAATCTATGTTGAATTCAACAAAAAAGTTTCAGCCAGACTAGAGGATCGTTTCTATTTACAATATGCTTCTTTTTCCTTTTTATTCCTGTTTTCCCTCCTCCAAACGTCGTTCGATTTTGAATGTAAGCCTAATTCAATTTCCTCCCTCATTTCAAGACTATTTCGATAAGAGCCTTAAATGTATATATCGTGTTAAGCTAAAATGAGTTTTGTCGAAGCATCGGGATAGGTTGTTCGCAGTCCGTCAACAGGTTTTCCTCCTCCATTTATTACTGCTAAGCCTTCTATTGACTTTCCCTTTATTTGAGTTTCTTCTTTACTGGGAAAAGAGCCCTTCGTTGAAAGGAGAAAAAGAGCCAAGGAATGACGGGCCCGGGAGAGAAAAAGAGATAGTCGTGAGAGAAGCTTCGTCAGGGCCAACTTTTGTTATTGTTAATTATTTTCTTTGGCCCTTCTATTATTGTGCAAGTAAGGCCATGATTAAGGACTGAACTGTCAAATGAGTTATACATGAGGTTTCTTTCAGACGTCGAAATAGCAAAGAAACAGTGCTTGAAAAATATTATTACACACCTTGTTATACTGCTATAAGGAAAAGGAAGAAAGAACCTGTTCTCAAGAACTTATACTTACTTTATTTTCACCCTGTTTTAATTTTGTGTATTATGACTATGATGATACCCAAGGTTTTTTTTATAATTCCTGTTATTAACAAAATATGTAACAGCCGCATAGCTACTGGGGTGCATGTTAAGAGTAATGCATACGGGCCCCAGGGTTTCAATGTCCCCCAGCCAAAGATTTATTTGAAATAGAAAAGACTCGAAAACCGAAATTTTCCTCAAAAAAGACACCATTTACGTTTCTTGTTTAAAATTAAATCTTTGTTAAATATTTGAATTTTTAAAAGTGGAAGAGAAAAAGTGATATACTCTCTCCAAAAAGCAAATTTTCAAAGGAGTCTTCCGAACATCTTAATATGATTCAACAAATTTGAGAAACTTTAGAACTCAAGCGTTTTTATTTTTCATAGTCCACTTTTCCCCGTAATTTTTTTCATGGATTCATAAAAAAAGTTTTTAAAAAATAATTTGGCCATTTGAATAATTTATTACTGTCTAAAGTAATGAATTTTTGATTTGTTGATTTATTTTCCAGGCCAAGACTACTTCTACAGCAATGGAAATCATTATGTCGGTTTTACACAAGGGCAGAATGTAAGGCCGACGCATATCAACTACTTCCCAACGAGCGCTGCGTTTCGTGGGACACCTCCGCCTAGTTATCAGCAACAGGATGAATACGTGCCATCGCAGCCCTCTCCGTACCAGATTCCACCTCAATACGATCCGTATTCCAGGACGCAGACGGCTTTCCAAACGAACCAACACCTCCCGCAGCCGTTCCATCCTCAAACCAGGCGATTTCCTTTCGAAAGCCCCCAGCTCGACTTGCAGAGCTTCCAAGACTTTGAACCTGACAAGATTAAAACCACAGCCAACTATTTTAACGTGAGGCATCCCCAAGGCATCGTCGACCAGCTGGATTCAAACAGGTGGAGAAACTCGCCGAAGAGAAAACCATACGAAGAAACTACTTTAAACCCTATCTCCAGTACAGTCGGGTATTTCCAAGCTGTGCAGGATCGTAATCCTTTAAGGGACCAACATGTAGAACCGGTAAGGACACCTTCTAGAGAATCGAATAGGAACGTGGAATATTCGAAAATTACTAGGGGTAGCACACGTTATAAAAACGTTAGAGGAGAAGATACGACTACAAGACCGAGAACGCGAAAACCAGAGATCAAGAGGATCGTAACGACGACTACGACTACGACAACAACACCAGAACCCATCGATCCCACTAACGAAGATTACGAACTCGAATACATTCTTTCGGAAGAGCCTGGGGACACCGAAGATACATTCGAAGATTCTGCTTCACCCATTATAAAACCTAATTTCAAATTGAATGCGACTAAATTTGACCCGAGTAGAATTAAATACGAGGATGTGAGCGCTTTCTTGCCTCCTGGATACAAAGAAAAATTCAATTTAAAAACTTTTGAAGTTTCACCAATTGTTACAACAAGAGCTCCTACGACTAGTCGTCCTGTGAGCATCCAAACGACAAGCAGACCACCACCTACAACAACTACCACCTCGACTCCTCCGCCGACTACAACAACCACCACGACTCCTCCGCCGACTACAACGCCTACAACAACAACAACCACTACAACTACGACCACAACACCGACTCCACCGCCTACAACTACTCCAAAAGCGACAACTCTGGTACCTTCGTCTACAACCCAATCTTCGTCTGACGAACAAGAGACACCTACTGAATCGTGGGTCATTGTAGCATCTGTGCAGACTTCAAGGAGCGTGTCTGGAGCTCGCTTTTTGCCGGGCCATATAAACCAAGAAGAAGTTCCGAAAATCTTAACATCCAATGGAACTGTAGAAAAGGAACTTCCAAATGTTGTCAATGAGGAAAAAACAGAAGAAACTGTTAAAGAACCATCTGTGAAGCCATCCACAGAAAGCATAATCGATAAATTGGATAGAGTCCAGAGCGAATTGTCTGCTGGAATACTGAGCGGACTCAGACCTGGAGATTCTAATTTAGAATTGCCTGATATGCCAGAAAATAAAACGGTAATGACTATTATTTCAACATTGCCGCCGCTTACAGAAACCACCTCAAAAGCACCTACTAGCACTACGACTTCGAAGCCTTCGACAACGACAACCACGAAAGCGCCACGACGATATATCCCTGCTGCAAAGAGGACAACGATAAAACCTAAAAAGTCATTGCTTGAAAATATTCACTTTGACAATCTGAGCGGGCTCCTCCCTCCTGGATTCAAGGTCCGAGATTCTCCAAAAGAGTCAAATCGGGAAAGTTCTGCCAGAAGTGCTGGACCGACATATAAAAATCGTGTAAATAATAAAGACGAATCGAAAGAGTCAAAGAGCCCCTTGGAAAGCGCGTTGGGAAAAATTACTTTTGATGATGTATCATCCCTTCTTCCTCCCGGTTACTCAACTGAAAACAAAAATACCACTTCAAATGCAAAGACAAAGTCAATACCGCCTAGCCTTCTTCCAGCAGGGTATAAGCCACCAAAAGACACCACACCAGTGCCTGTTATTGTGGATGTTCCTGCTAATCTACTCCCACCGGGATTTAAATTAGGTAATGTATAAGCAGCTTCATTCTACCTCTTATGCATTGAATTTTATTTTAATATTTCACTATTTGAATGTTTATACAGACAATGTAGAAAAAGAGGAATCTAAAAAAGATGACCTGTTGGCCTCCATACTGAAGAAGGCAGAAGTTAAAGATGCGTCACTTCTGCCTCCTGGATATAAAGTGAACTCAACCGTACAGAACAAAGAAATTTCGTCAACAACTGAAAGTGTGAAAGTTGTCTTTCCCACAAGACCAGGAGGAAGGAAACCACCTCCATCAAGAACCAAATCTGCTGGTGGTTTATCACCCACTCTACCTAAAATTCAAAAAGGATGGCCAGTGAGGTATGATAATAATTTCACAACGTAAAAAAAAAAATTATCGATGAGGACATGGTGTATAAGAGAATATTATTAATAAAACTTTAAAATTATATATTTATAGGGCTTCAACTGAATTCACGGGTTGGCCAACACCTTCAACTACACCAATCTCAATTGAAAAGATCCTGGAAGAAGCAAGAAAGAACAGTGCCAAGATACAAGCGGCTGAAGTACTGAGAACATCAACTGAAGCTGAAGAGATTACAACAACAACTACTTCTACAACAACAACAACTACAACACCTAAACCGACAACACCTGGAATATGTGAAAAAGATTGTGACATGGCTGCCACTGTAAGGTTAGTTGGAGGTGCTAAATGGATGCCAGAACTTCTAGATCACAACACTAAAGAATGGCAAGACCTTGCAAATGAAGTTGAGACCCAGGTAATTTCAATTGTGTCTCAGGATTGAACTTAGCATGAGGCTGGGTGTGAAATTTGGTATTTATTTTTGATGTCTCATTTGTTAAAACTTATTTATTTTTAGCTTGAAGCTGTGTACAGCAGTTCTGACTCCCTAAGCAAATGGTACAAAAAAATAACAATCGATGCTTTTAGGTATGACTACAGGATTCCAAAGTCTTATTGGCATCTGAAATAATGCTGTCTTGTCATTTTAGTGAGGGTAGTGTCCTTGTTGACTATTTTGTTGAATTGACTGACCTGGGGAGAACAGTTAACACAGCTGACATGAAACGCCTTTTCCATGAAAGTCTTGCAAAATACACTTCCAATCAAGCTGCCCTTGGTGAAAAAGAAAGTAAAACATCAAACACAACTGAATATAAACTTGGAAAATTTACTATCGATCCTAATTACACTGATTTTATTGGTAAAATAAAATAACAATTAAATTAACTATAATTTGTCAAATATATATATTTTTTTTTTTTTTTTTTTTTTTTTAGTTTTACAAAGGCAAGTAACACCAACAGTTGGATATGCTGAAGAAGAAGAGCTGTTACCACAATGGGCGATTGCTGTTATAGTCATCGGGCTTGCATCTTTATTGTTTGTCATTATTTTTGGAGTAACTGTGGTATGTAATTTACTACTTGCAATGAATTTATTAATTTGTAGTTGTCCACAATATAATATTCCTTTATAGCTTGTTAATCGACACAAATCGGCAAAGAAGAAACAGCCAACTGCTCTTACCGAAGATATGCTTCATGAATTGAACAAAAACCACATGGGTGGTCTTGATAATTTTGGTGCAGATGACCTTTACAACATGGAAGATGTTTGGAATGACAAACCAATAAAAAAGGTATTTCCTAAAAGGTACAATCGCCCTTATGGTGTGTTTTCTAATTTTTAAATGTAATACAGAGATCGGCTGGATCTATCCAGGAAAACAGCATGGCTAATCTGTATGACTCTTGGAGATCAGAGTGGAATGGATATTACTACAACGCTTACTACGGTGGAAATGGAGGCTCCAGCGCTTCTGGCTACGGAGGAAGGAGGAGATCTGATTATGATACAAACTTTTAAAGGATTTTAGTTAAAATGTTGTAAATATCTTACATAAGTGTTTTAAAAATGTCTTTAGAATCAATTATTGGAAAATGTTGGTTGTTCACTATTGAAACTATGCTTGAAGCCAAAGTAAAAAAATGTCAAGGAGAATTAGCAGATTAGTTTATATTTGGTAACATAACTATTATAGTTTTTCTTCATTTTTATTTACTTTTCAAAAACAAATGCATTTTATCTTTTTTATAATCAGTCTTGATTAGGAGAAAAAATGTGGACAAAGTATCAATCCATGAACTCTGCATCCCCCATGTCTTTGATATTATTTAATTTTTTGTTACTATTATTATTATTACTATTTTAGTCCCTATTACAAACTAAAATCGCATTTCACTGATGGAATTGTCACTATTGTGATAGACATTCAACATGTAACATTAATTTTATATTTATCCTTTACCTTGAACCACAAGATACCTAATAATAATAATAGTAATAATAATAATAATAATACAAAAACAACAATCCATTCTTAATGGAGATATATCATGGTTTAAATCTATTCAATAATACTAAATGTCACTAATACCAAAATAATTTTAAAAATTTATTAATACTTCTCCATGACTTACAGTTGTGTGTAAACTGTTTGTACAAAAAAATTAGGTTTTTGTTTATACATTCCCAAATTGTCAGGAATAAAAATAAAACAATTAAATTTCCAGGTGCCAATCTGTGTTACCATTGGACTTTATTTATAACTTTTATAAAGTCATTGTTTTTTTCATATTATTGTGTATATATTGTTAATACCAATTATTTTTATTAAGTATATAAAGAATGAAAAATTTATCGAACAAAAATCACCAAACCTTATCATTGTTGTACTTAGTTTATTTGATAAAAAAAAGTTGGTTTAAGGGACTAAAAATAGGAGCATTGCTCAAAGCTCAATATTCAAATTTATATTTATAGAAATTAGGTTTGTGTTTCTGTGCTTATAATTTACTCTCTCTCTCTCTCCCTCCCTCTGTCTTTCTCTCTCTCCCTCTGTATTCTAACAAAAAGCTCTTACAACCATTCGTAGTCGTAGTGTATAGAATAGATTTTCGCTCAAAAATGATAATAATGCAATCTGCCTAAAGAATGGTTCCATCATTTCACTGTATAAGCATATTATTTTTCATATAATCCATACATTCTCATATTATAATATAAAAACAAAACAGTTTAATTATATATAAGTTTTGATATGTTTTATAAGTTAAACGCACCTAATGTAAGGTGGTCTAGTCAGATATTTAAGAGCACTTAAGAGACATATAAGTATTAATCTGTTTATATTGACTTAAAATTTATAGAGGGAGAGAGAATGTGATAAAACAAATGGTGATTTCCAAATTTACAAAAAAAAAAGTAGAACTTTCATTGTTTTCAAATATTGGACCTTAAGCTTTATTATGTAAAGTGTAATTATACTATTAAACAAAATAAAAGAAAAGAAAAATCCCAGCAGCAAGCACAGTAGTAAAAGCAAAACATCTGGGATTATACATATTACATGCATAATTATAAATGTATATAAGTACCGATATAATAAATTTATGTACAGAATAGTTTCTAGTAAATAAATGTATTATCAATTATTTGTTGTTTTTATGTATGTGTAAATATTACACAAAAAATGCTTTCAACCCATTTTTTTATTTTTATTTTTATGTTTTCCTTCCTTTTTTTTGTGTGTATGGAACTATCAACCAACAAATTTAATTTTCTTTGGCATATTGGGAATGTTGGTAAATGTATACTATAATTGCCAAGCTTTCAATATTTTATGGCCTTCATAAGAGGGCTATCATATATTGTCTAAATCTGAATACTGATTATGAAAACTATCTATTTAAAATGAATATTCTTTAGATCTAGTTAGATAATAGACAAAATCATGAGTTTGATGAATCATCAATCATTATTTAACTAAGTTGTATAAAGAATATATATTTCAAAATAAATAGTTTAAACAGAGTACTTACCTCATGATCAGTATTAGGTTTAGACAACAGTCCTGAAGAAGGCCAAAGAAAGAGGTAGAAAGGTTGGCAATTACATTACAGTACATCATTGGCCACATTCCCAATACTCCAAAGAACATCCTTTCATAAAAAAAGTTAACCTCTAAATAGCCATTTCATGTAAAAATAAAAAAATAAAAGCTATATAACAAATATTTATTACAATTATTGTTTACAAATTTTACAATAGTTAATTATTACAAGTATCTTATTATTTTAAACAGATGTCTCTTGCATTTCTTCTTGCTTCTCAGTATCAATATCGTCAGATATAAGTTTGTTTTTTCTTTTAGCGTCCAGCACATCAATCATATAATTCCAATACTTGACTCTAATTGTATCCTGCTTCTCGCCTAATTCTTTGCAAAGCTAAAAATACAATTACTTTGTTTTATTTATTTAAAATTTAAAAAAAAGGAATACAATACCTCTACTCCTTTTTCAATACTACATCTAGGATCAGAGCTGAATTTAACATCTACAGCTTCAGCGCATGCATCGACCAAATAACCAAGAAGATGAGGCGATCTATTTCCTCTATCATACAGGCTCCAACAAAACTTTAATACCTCTGGCTCCAGGAGACCCTTTTCCATATGTATTAAAACACTGGAAATTACGAAGTTTATTTAAAGGCAAAAGCTTTATTTGAATTTATTATGACTTACCCTCTTAGAAAATTCCAGGAACTTTCATTGAGAGTAGCTTGCAAAATAGCATCCATGGTAAACTTAATTTCTTTTAAAAGCGCATCCCGGTCATTTAATTTTGAAGTATAATTTAAGACAAAATATCTCTGATTCCATGCTGAATTGTTTCTAATGTCCTTTTCAATAAGTTGCTCTGTATATTCCAATTCATTATCAAATAAGCTTAAACAAAAGACCAAATTTTGGAGATTATATATATATATACAGGGTGAATTGCTACTCGTGCTACAAACTTCTCCAGTAGATTCTTCACCCTAAAATGAACAAAAAAGTTCATATTGTCCATGGTCCGATTCTCAACCATTTCAGAGTAATTTCGCTTTTTATCGATTTTGAAAGATATCACGTCCTGGCGTCGGAAAATCGTGATATCTTTTAATCTAAACATTTCTCTGAAAATCTAATAGCACCGTTGAAATTCCCGTTAATTTTTCAATAAGAAGATGACGGTGGCAAAATGTTTGGGCTAATTTTTTGTGTTTTATTTCAGCCAGAACTACAAAAAGAGTGGAAAATTGTGTAAATCGGAAAGTGTATAAAGTAATCCAGAGTTTCTAATTTTAGTCTCAGAAGGCAGCAAATTTGAGGAAAACTACCTGATTTAATAACGCTTCCAACGCACTCGTCATTTTCTTATTTAGTGGTTGTGAGACCAAGATGTTGATGACAAAAAGAGAAAAAATGGTGGTTCAAGGATTGCTAATGTTTGAGAGTGACTTGCTACTCGTGCTACAAACTTCACCAGTAGATTCTTGACCCTAAAATGAACAAAAAAGTTCATATTGACCATGGTCCGATTCTCAACCATTTCAGAGTAATTTCGCTTTTTATCGATTTTGAAAGATATCACGTCCTGGCGTCGGAAAATCGTGATATCTTTTAATCTAAACATTTCTCTTAAAATCTATAAGCACCGTTGAAATCCCCGTTAATTTTTCAATAAGAAGATGAAGGTGGCAAAACGTTTGGGTCTTTCTTCCTTGACCTTCTAGCTGTTTGTAAACTTCTTAAGCATTACATACTAAATGGGCATTAAATTAAATTAAAAAATTTCAATGGAATTATGATTTTGATTCTCTCTAAAAATTAACGGGGATTTCAACGGTGCTTATAGATTTTAAGAGAAATGTTTAGATTAAAAGATATCACGATTTTCCGACGCCAGGACGTGATATCTTTCAAAATCGATAAAAAGCGAAATTACTCTGAAATGGTTGAGAATCGGACCATGGACAATATGAACTTTTTTGTTCATTTTAGGGTGAAGAATCTACTGGAGAAGTTTGTAGCACGAGTAGCAATTCACCCTGTATATATATGAATATTTTAATAAGTTTGCTCTATTAAAAAATGCTTCAAATGAATTAATTATGTTTAATTTAAATAACTCCACTCACTTAAATGTTTTAAGGAGCCACTGTCTATGCTTCCAAGCATGATAATTCTTTGCATCCTGAGACATGGCACGTTTTAAAAACTCAAATTCTTGTGAAGGGTCTGATAACCATTCAACAATAATCATCCTATGATGCCTGACAAAAAGTTATAATCAATTTTTATTCTTTATTAAAACGTGTCGAAGGGCTTACCAAACTTGGTAATTTTTTGGATTGCGCATTATCACATCTTCTAAATACTCTAACTCTTTGTACAGATCTTTTTCTAACTCTTTTAAGAGGATTCTCCTGTAGTAAATAACAGTTAATAAGTATACTGGGACAATAGTGTTTAACTCAGCTGTCTCACCTGTACTGCCACACGGAATAGTTGGCTGGATTCATTTTTAGAGCATCTGTTGTTAGGTTGAAAGCTCTTTCGGAATATTCATTTTTTTTCATTATAGCCCTGACATAATCGTAAATATCCTTAACTGCAAAATAAAAAAACAAAAAATATTTACTGTACATTTTATATAATTGAAAATTTCTTGTGATCAAAACAAATAAACTTGACTATATATTTTTTCTTTACGTTTATACATTTATTTCAACAAATGTGTAATGCATTTTTAAAGCTTTACTCCAATTCATTTCAGGACTCAAAACGACTGAAGAGTACACCCTTAAGTACATATATACATACATTAAACATCCATTTATATATATATATATGATATTGGTCGTTTTTTCTTCATTAAAAGCTCAACATGGTTGTACAACCTAAAGAAAAAAAAAATAATCACTTTTCTGGTTAAAGAAAAGTGTTGAAATTTGTGGTGACGCCCTATGGTATCAAAGTGAATAAAAAGTTTCAAAAGAAAAAATTAGATTTGCTTTATATGGTCAATCATGTACTGTTTCCATCATGTGAGGTGCTTAGTTGCTACCTGAGGGCAGCTCAATTCCTTGGATTCTATTTGAAAAACAAAATCTTCTATTATAATTTTAAATCTTCCAATGTGTAAAACATTAATTTTCTGTTTAGAAAGTGGGTCATTACTTGTAAAAGGTGATATTCTGAAGGAGCAAGGTTCCACAGGTGAATGTGTTAGAAAATTGATTCCAATCAGTTTGGAAAACGGGAAGTTTTGTATGTTGGAAAGTGTTCAGCTGGGAGTAGTCTTTTGGAAACAAAACCTTATTGCTATTCGATGATAAATTCGGACAAATAAATAATGTTTGTTCAACCAATTTTTATTGAAGCCATAATTGATGCCTTTTCGCAAAACTGGTTGAATGAAGTTCACTACTTATGTGTCTGAATCTATCATCGAAGAAAAGACAACCAACAAAAGGGAAGAGGAGTAGTAATTCATTCCTATTTAGATTTGGCTCGGTATCACCAGGGTTCTGTATTTGTTTTTGTTATCCCAAGTGTAGATTTAGGGCTACATTTGGTCATGCACCTCCTCTGGCCAGTGTGTCTGCCTTTTCATTACCCAAAGTTCCCTTGTATCCTAGCACTGTCACCCTCACTGGGGATGACACTTTCAGAGATATTCTGAAAAGTGAATGGGGAACATATTGGAATGCTGAGTGGGGAAGGTCAGAGGAGAGGAGATTTTCAATTTGAACTAGAAAACACAGATCAGGTGTGTTCCATATTCGAAACCTATTACTTGAGCAAGTGCCAATCATTAGAATTAAATTGTATGATAATTTAGTTCTCACGAGGGTGAGTTGAACGATTATGTTGTGTGGTTGTATGGCTACAGGTGGAAGTTAAAGAGTGGAATAAAAGATTTTATTCATCCTATGTTACAATAATTCACTACTTTCATGGTCCGCTTGACCAATTAATACATGACAATTAATTAAGGTTTTTAGTTGAGATGAAAAAAGTTAATGGCACGAGAGGGGTTCGAACCCACGACCTTCGGCTAGATACGCCGCTGCTCTACCACCTGAGCTATCGTGACCTCGATCCACTCGGACATCAACTCCCCATCCCAACCCAATTTTGGGTTTGCCTTGTATATATGTTTTGTAAATATATTTTATGTGTTCAGCTAATTTGGTTTCAACAGTGTGCTGTTAATTGTTTTATTTTACCCTTCCCTGTATCCTTTCCTTTTAACTTATTGGTCCACTTCCGATTCCTTTCCTATCCCTGAGTTTTGGAAGTGTATTACTCTTATTTGTTGTGCAGTTGAAAGTACAACGTCACAGCACCAAGATATCAACAGGTGTTTCCCCAGGTTTTGGATATTTCGAATGCTTCATACTAGTTTTGATGTGTTTTTTATGCACTAATGCTTTAATAGCTGTTTGGTTATCCGAACTTATGAAGATTTTAAGATTTTTTAGGAACTAGCATTAATGACATGTATTTCTGCTTGAAAGACCGAAGTGTACTTCCCTAATGAATTTGACTTGACTGTTCATTTTTTGGGCTTGTACAAAAAACACCTGATCCAGTTCCTTCATATATTTTAGAGCCATCTTATCTAATGTTCTACTGAGTTATTCCTCTTCTTTATAGTCTGTTGAAATATGTAAAGAATGTTTACGGGATTCATGTAGTCAGCCCCCATTTCTGTTTGATGTTGTTGGTGTCTGATTTCAAATATAGAAGATTCACTATATTAGTGAGTTAGGGTGCACCTTTGGAAGAACAGCTTCAGCCTTGCCCACCTGTCTCCCCTTCCCTACCCGGCGGGATGCTTAAATTTGCAAACAAGCGCCCTAATAAGGTTTTCCACAAAATCGTTGTACCAATGATCTACTATTTGTGAGAAAAACTATTTTAAAAAATTGTACTCTAGATGACCACCCATCAGGAGGCCAAATGGGACCATCTTCAAGAAATAACAACTTGCCTCGAAAGACCAGAGGCCAAAGATTTAGACTTTCATAAAAGATTAGCTTACATCTTCGAACCCAAAGAAAGTGGAAATGGATACATAGAAGGATGATCTACTGATTGACACCTGATCTGGGGCAAAAGTGATGTAGTCTGCATAATTTTGTAAACATTTTGAAATACTTCTTTTAAATTCCACTGAAAGCATATTTTAAATGTTTTGTATTGTAATAAAAATGATTTTTACATAATTTTTCCTTGAACCCAAAATCGATGTTGGTACGCAATGAAGTCCCATTCCAAATGTCCATTTAATTTGAATACATTTCTGTCAATGGGAAAGAAATTTTATAATCTGAAAAATAAAGTTTTTTCTATATATCAGTTAAATTTCAATGGCATTAAGGATCAGTTATTGTGAGTTTTCCTGCTCCTAACTGTATCGCTGATTTTTTGCCACACATTCAATCTAAAATTGTGCTTGTGCGGTCTATGTGTGGTGATGGATCTTTAGTTTGGTCCTTTCCAAACATTTTAGACTATCTATCATCAATTTTTGGTCTGACAGGCAGTTTTTCTTTTTCTTCATCTTCAGTGGTGGGTTTCAACCAAAATTATTCTTAAAAACTGAAGATGGGGAGAAGCCAAAATGGATCTAACAAGCCAAAACTACAAAGATAGGCAGATCAAATTGATCTGAAACAGTTTAACTACACTATTACCTGTTTTTGTAGCACCTTGTCCGAAGTGTCTTCCAGACCTGTTTTACTACTACAATAATATATTCTTTAAAATATTAATTATTTATAATCGAATGTTGAAACCACATTATGAAAGAAAAGAAGAAAGAGAAAAAGGAAATATGAAAACAAAAGGAAGAGGGAAGAAAAGATGATTCATGTCGTTTTTAAAAATTCAGATGAGGGGCGTCGGTGGCCGCAAGGTTTAGTCTTTGACACGGCGCTCATCACTGTAAGGTAAAGGTCCCGGATTCGAATCCAGTGGCCCTGCATTCGAACCCGACATACTTACAAATGGGTTTTTTTTTTTCAAAAACACCGGCACCCTGAGGGTTTATATGACCTGTGCTGTTGCGAACCCTCGTTTAAAAAAAAAAAAANGAATGATAAGCAATTTGAAGGCGATAAGCAGGTTGGGAGACTTAGGCTTAGTATGCACTGGGATTCTTTGAGTCGGCTCTTTGAATATCCAGAGAGTCTCGGCTGCATCTAGCCTGAGTCCGGGCTGCCCCGACTCATTGTTGCAATGAATCTGGTGTGTTGCAGGCTAGCATTGTCGGACTCTTTTGAATCCCATCCGATGTGGGATTCTTTGACTCAATGTTGTGCAACATTTGCCAGTGCGGACATGAATCGGAACAAGCGCACTTGCTTCATTTGTTTAGTTGATATTGTAGTGAGTGTTTCTGAAATAAAAAAAAAATTTCTGTATCCTGCGCCATCATTTAATCTCAACATGTCCAAAAGATTTTTCCCGTGCTGATTCTATTATCGAACCCACCATCTTTTTGTGGTTTTTTAATGCACCTCCAATTGGATTCACTACATACAATGCAAAAAAGAGCAAGGGAAATTCCTGAGAGAGCTAATTCTTCCGTCATTTTCGCAGGCACTGATGAATGTGAACTGAATCTTGGTCTGAACATGGTTCTTTGTCGCAGAGCAGAGTCGGGGCTGCATTGCAACAATGAATTTACGCAGCCCTGACTCTGCCCCGCAACATGAATCGATTCAAAGAATCTCAGTGCGTACTAGGCTTAAGGAAAGTGAAAAAATAGCACTACAGTAATTGGGGGCATATGATGCGAGGACAACTTCCCACGTGATAAAGTCCTTGCCAAAACATCTTGTATTTCATTTAGGATCTGGCGGGCACTATGGAAAGGGTTCCAACTTGCGGCAATGAAAAATTTATGTCCTTCCTGTTGGTTCTAATACTCTGAGATCCACTACCAGGCCTCCTATTGGCACTTCCAGTCTCTCGGAATCAGGCTAAAGCCCAGGAGTTTTCACTCTGAGAAACGCTAACTGCCTGTGTGGTATCCGCATGCCAGTGACCTCAATGGCTCATTCTTACAATAATATTGCCAACTTCTGGTTTAAGATGATGTCTTTCCATGGTTAAATAGAATGCAACTGGATTAAAATGGAGAAAAGGTGCTAGTTGGCAAAATGGTTAATCTTCATATTTACTAGTTTTAAGTAAATCCGTTATTAAAAATAAGGATTAACATTTGTTTGTTTTTGTTATATCCAATTAACAAGAATATATTGGTTCATTTAATTAAACTCAATAGAATAAGAATAAATTACAAATATCCCTCTTCATTTTGGAGCAGTTTAATTCAAATTGATTTTAAAAGGAATTTAAAAATTGGAAAAATGTTGAAGGAAAGTAAGTTTATACATCAAAATCATGATCAACATAGCAACAGAAGAGAACATAAATGTCAGTTTCCTCTCAGTTTGTAATTGTTTAATTATATTTACTAAAATACTCTTAAAACTAAATTGCTGGCATAAATAAAGGTAACTTGCATTTATCGGAATATCGTATGCTGACAACCGGCGAGGGTCCTTCCTCCTGCTGAATAGGTACAACATCCGCCCATTCTGGTCTGTCTTTGTAAAACACCCATTCGTTTGACGTATCCAAGTCATCACCGCTTGAATCTGTCATGTCAATGTTTTAACAATTTGATTAACTTGTGTTAAAAAAATTGTTTTATTCAAAACGTCGAACGATTGATCACGGACACTGGAAAATTGCAATGTTTATTTTATTGGTTAATGTTACAACTTACAAATGTTACCTCTTTCCACGTGTTGACTCAGTAACCACTTACGCCCTCAAGGTAGAAGCTTTTGTTATGAGCTAAAATTGGTGAAAAGATATTTTTTTCCAAATTGTATTCTTTACATAATAGACATTGAATGCTAATACCAAAGGATTTCTGCATGCTCATTCAATTTTACCAAAAATTCGACTTATTCATAATTCATACAGAACTATTAGACATACATGACTCAACTTTAGATTTTTTTAAACTGCTTTAACTTGTACACCTTTGCGTTTAATAAATACAAATTGTTATTATTATTATTAAATTTTAAGGGCATTTTAATGGCTAAGGTCATTTCAAGCTCTAACATTTCTATCTTAGGTTCGCTATATCCCTTCTGAGTGCCATAAAGCTCTGACTCCAAACATTCACTCATAAACTAATCTATCCTATTGCCATCCAAAGCTTTAATTTATCCTTTTAAAATACCTAATTTGGAAAGCCAAATGTATGCAAAAGAACCCATTTTAAATTATAAAATGTATTCGTGTTCTTTCATTACAATTTGGAATTTTTGTTCCATAATTTAAACATTTCCCACAGGCTTGTATGGCCAATAATAATAATAACAATAATGGAGTCAGACTAGCAACAATCTCAGCATGAGGTTTTCTTTTTTTTATTGTAGGGAGCTACTTCCCTTATTTAAAATAGTGTAGTTTATTATCCCACAATTTGTATTTTCTTTTATTTCGTTTTATTTCATATTTTCGCTTTGGCAGCCTCAAAAATTCCTGAAAAAATAAAGAAATCTTGCACACAGAACTCTCATTGGAACACTAGCAGGCAAAGATATAAGAATTTGAGAAAAGGCCTAAATCTCATTCAAATTACAATAAATATAAAAAAGCTGAAAAGTGCTCTTCAAAACAAACACTGAGGACCTAGTAACTCATTTAAAACTCTTGAAAGGTTGAGCCTTTGCCTGAAGTGTTCCAAAGTGTGACAGTCGGTGAAAATATGTTTTACAAAAGTACAATGTTAACAACATTGTTATACATCACATCCATGTATCAAATAAATAATTTTTAATACTGATTTAACAACTACAGAAACAGATCCACTCGAAAATGAAAGTCTGAACTATATAGTAGTTAAAAAAAACTCATATTTGTTGTTTTAATAAAAATTATTTATTATGATGGTTTGCTAGAAAATTTAACAAAACCACCAGAAAATCATTTAGTGATAGATTAAAATTTGTACTATCACTAAATGATTTTCCAATGTCTTAGTGAATTGTTTGCAAACCAACAAATTAAATAATTAATCCGTATATTTATTTGGTAGTCTTAATTGACTGCATTAATTATTTTAATTAATTATACTTTTAAACAAAGGTTTTGGTTGAGATGAAAAAGCTAGTGTCATGAGCAGGACCTTGGACTCAAGTTGATGAAGTCATGGTAGATCAAGTCAATAGAGCAGTGGCATATTGAGCCAAAGGTCATGGGTTCAAATCCTACTAGTGACACTTCCTTTTTCAACCCAACCAAGGCCTTAGATTAAAAGTATAATTAATTAAAATAATTAAATCATTTTTATTAAAACTCATTATTTTTTTATTTCATTTAGTTAGATTTACATTAACATAAGTATGTTGTAGTTAATATACCGATAAAAATTTGATTTTTTTAGTATAGGATGAATAATGACAACTCCTATTGCTGACCACTCATTAAATTTGCATTCTCTCATTCTTAACAATTGTTTGTATTTCATTTGTTCCCTTTGTCTTGCTTTTTTTTTCTTTTACATGTTTATTTCAGACTTTAGAGCCACTCATTTCCCACATGGTGTACTGGCTAATAAATCAAAAGTTCAACATAATGGACATTGGTCTGAGTTAAATAACATGAATGAGTTTATATTAATTTAAGACATATATTTCATAAAAATCTTTCAGATATTGATCCCAGAATCATAGATTAAAAATAAAAGACACCAACATCGAGATGCTGTAAAAAATGCTAAAGGTGAAAACAATGATAAGACAATAAGACTCTTCAACCCCTCAGAAGATCATATGGTCTATTATAAAGAAATGAGTAACACTTAATAATGAAGTGTCATCAAACCAACTCTCTGCTGAGGAGCTCAATTATCATTGCAAGCAGTAAATGAAGTTATCAGTAATGTACCAAAACCCTTTGGATTTTGAGAAAACATTAGTTAGAAAACACATTCTTCTTTCAGGAGAACTGTGTATAAAGCAATTTTGTCTTAGAAAAAAAAGTTTCATGCATTATTTTGGCTTGAAAACCTATATTTAGCAAAATATGTCACAATTAATAGCTTACCCTCTAAGCAATCCCATTAATGTAAAAAGTATATTAAGAAAAAACTTTACAGAGGTTGTAAAAAATTTACAAAAGTCCATGCTGGGTTTGAATATATTTTGGTGACTTTTTTCAATATAAGAAAAGCATTTGATTGCATTATTTACGAGATACTATTTTTGGAAATTATCAAAATAAAGATTTTCTGATAAAACCTGACATCTTCCTATCTAGACAATAGAAAGCAAGAAGAAAATTAGACAACAAATTCTCCCAGCTTGATGAAATTACTATTAATTTATATTCACTAATTTCGTGGCCCGCTTGACTAATTAAATCATTACAATTAATTAAGGTTTTTAGCGGAGATGAAAAAAAGTTAATGGCACGAGAGGGATTCGAACCCACACCCTTCGGCTAGATACGCTGCTGCTCTACCACCTGAGCTATCGTGACCTTGATCTGCTCGGACATCAACTCCCCATCTCAACCCCACCTTATGAGTTTTGATGTCCGAGCGGATCGAGGTCACGATAGCTCAGATGGTAGAGCAGCGGTGTATCTAGCCGAAGGTCGTGGGTTCGAATCCCTCTTGTGCCATTAACTTTTTTTCATCTCAGCTAAAAACCTTAATTAATTGTAATGATTTAATTGGTCGTGGGCCATGAAATTAGTGAATATAATGAATTAAAATGAAGTACACTTCACTAAAGCTCTCCGTCGCCATTTCAATGTCGTCGAGAATCCAAACCGATTACACGACATTTGAAAAATGGCAAAAGGAGGGAAAACTCATAAGGTGGGGTTGAGATGGGGAGTTGATGTCCGAGCGGATCGAGGTGACGATAGCTCAAGTGGTAGAGCAGCGGCGTATCTAGCCGAATGTCGTGGGTTCGAATCCCTCTCGTGCCATTAACTTTTTTTCATCTCAGCTAAAAACCTTAATTAATTGTAATTACGATTGATGTTCCTTAGGTCCTTAAGTTGAGATCCCAACTGTTCATCATTTTCATAAAAGATTTACCTTTAATTGAGTTCTGGCCACTCTTTACTAATGTCACAGAAGCAGTTAACAAAGGAGAACATCTAATTAAGACTATTAAAAACAGTCAAAAGATTAAGTCAGAGGTGTCTCAATGGTTAAATTCAAATAAATTATCATTAAATAAACAAAAAACGAAACTATTAATACTCAGAGAAATGGATGGCTTTGACAGTGAATATTGTGAATATGTTATTTTCTTAAGTCTCTATATAAACCAAAATTATATAGGAATGTGCGTTGTGTAAAAATAGGGAAAAAAACTTAGCACCATTGTATACTTTCTGAAGTTTAATTAGTTGCTATTACTGGTATTCTATAATGTCACATGGAATCTTGATTTAGGGTCATTCACCATCTTTGAAATATACCTTTGCTGTTCAGAGGAAGGTCATACAGATAATTTTTAATTAGGGCTCAGAATGGAAATAGAAAGTAGGAGGAAACTTAGAAAAATAAGAGGTTTCTTGAGACAGTTTTTCAGGCATAATGGTAAATTGAAAAAAGTTGATATTTTAAACACAGTAAATGTAGATTTTGTAAAGAAACGATGTTACATCTGACTGCAGAGTATCAAAAATGTTTGAAGAACTAAATACAGTTTTGTAAAGGACAGGGTATGACTACATCTAAAAATATATTTATCTGTCTGTTTGTACTACTAGGTCTGCACGTTGATGCACTGCAGGTTAAAATACTATGTCAAACTATTTCCATAGAAAATATAAATTGTTTGATCAACTGATATAATTACATACCTATATATATTATATATCAACTGGTATGGTATTTGCAGAGGGTTTGGTAATATAAAGTAATAAATAAAATTACCAGGAAAATAAAATACTGAAAAAACAAGTGCTCTTTATTATGACGAAATTCACAAGGTCTACTTCCAAAATTTGTGATAGTTATTGTAGACTATCAAGTTAGCATTTCCATTCTAAGTTTTCACCTCAATTTTTGGAGTTATCGATATTGTGTTCTTCTGAAATAAAAAGGAATCATAGTAATAGGAAAAGTAACAAATGGGAACATGTTATAACTAAACATTAGCACCTTGCATGAAATTTTGGTCTGTAATAAGGCTGAGAAGTGTAGTCAGCCAGCCCTGTAATGCTGAGTTTGTCAATTCCACCACCAGCACCAGTTTTTGTTTGTTTTCCCACCATTACAGCACCTTGCTGCACATCAACAGCAGGCTTTTTGAACTTGTACCACCAATATTCAAATCCCAGAGTTATGCAAGCTAATGCGATCCCAACAAAAATTACAATAAATACTCCACCTGAAAAAAATTATATAGAGTATGATATAAAATGTCTTAAGGCTGTTAGATGATTAACCTATATTGTGAATACTGATGCCATCACTTTGTTCTTCTTGTTTTTCACATTCTACACGTTCTGGATTGTCAGTCCACCATTTTTCTTTCAGTTTTTCTAATTTTCTCTTGTTTAAAAGTTGAAGTATACTAAATAAAAATAATAATTTGCCAACATACAATTTTTGAAAATGTACATGAATTTCAGTTATTATTGCATTATTAATCATTATTATTGTTATTCTTACGCATTATTAAATTGATCTTTTAGCGGTGACCCTTGTTGAACTGCAATGGCATATGGCTTCCTTGAAAACTCATCCCCAACAACTTGAAAATCACAGCTTGTCATTACTTTGTACTTAATGTCTGTAGCATCACCTGAATCCATTATAAATTAAAATAACTAATTAATATTTCTTTATAATGAAGTTAACTGTATACATTTACATAATAAATTTGTAAATTGACTTTTTTAATAAGAACATTTTAAAACATTTTTTTTATTTAATAACAAAGAATATTTATTTATTTTATTTATTCAAATTCTGACCAAGAAAGGCAAATCCCTCGCCGGAAGAGCTTGAATCCATAACTCTCTGTACAGCATCATCCAGTGATGTTGGAAGAACAGCTTCTTTCATAGCTTGCCACATCTTAGTGTATTTATCACTTACAGGATAGTCCCAGACAGCAAGCTTTGCCCTTTCTACTTCGTTTAATGAATCATTTAAAGACATATCTTTCCAAATCCTGTTAACAGTCGCATAAATATATGATTATATCCTACCAGTTATTTATCCTACTTTCTTAATAAACTGACTCATAAAATTTTTCTTCAATGCTTGCCATCCTCTCAAAGTAAGTCATTGCAGCTGAACCATTTACAGGCGCATATCTGATTTTGTATTGTTTTGCCAGATCATCAAGTGATTCAATTGGAGTATCCAATCTTGATACAGTTAAAAAAGCGGCTAGGTTTGCAGTGTATGAAGCGATTATGATGAAACCAAATAACCACCATGTGGCGGCGACTAATCGTCCAGAAAGGTTTTTTGGTGCTTCACCACCACCCTATTAATAAATTTGATGGTCACTCGATCTGAAACTTTTCTTTGACATTGTTCTATTAGTTTACCTGTGGGGTGAGAGAAGTCATACAAAACCATAAACATTCTTTAAGATTGAATTCTCTTTTTTCCTCATCATCTTTATATTTCTCTCTATTGTTCTGGTAACTGTAAGGTGACCATCGGTCAAACACCCACATCAAGAAACTACAAGGAAGGTATATAATAAATAATTTTTATAATTAACTTGGAAATCAAAAAATATGTAACTCACCTGGTAAAGAAATATGCTGCTAATATGCAAAGCCATACTTCATTTTCCAGAACAGTTAAAAATTTAAACAGTGAAGTGGTTGTGGTTGGTTTTTTCATGAGAATCGTTATTCCCACTAAATCATAGTATGGAACGGTGAAATCAACAACGTTTTCTCTCTCTGCCATAACTGACAATGAACCAAGGGCTATTTCAGCTCTCTGAAATAATAAAACAAAATAATTTACATATTATAACATTGAAAATAACAATTACTTTTTCAATGAGTTCTTTTATCATTCCATTCCAGTTTCCATTTTCATCCATGTTGCCAAAAGAATTATCAGGAGCGACGTATATGTCATACTCAAATGGGATCATAGATCTTATCTCTTCAATTAAGTCAATACAGTATCCCTTGTACTTAGTCTTTCCATCTTCAAAGTATTCGATAATGAAAGGTTTTTGCTGAAAAATACCTTTTTTTAATGAAAATAAATACTGGAATACATGCAATCCTCTAACCTTCACTGTTACAATTCTGTAGACTGTAATAGCCGAAATGTTGATCATGCCATTACTGTCTTTTAGTTGTATCTGTGAATTAAATCCAGCTTTCCAGGTTCCAATTGACTCCGCACTCTCAGAAAGTGAATGCACAATACTTACCTATAAAATTGAAGTAACATTCTATTTTCATTACTATACCGCTAAGCTATATTTATTACAATGAAATTGTTGCTGAATGTATTGAAATGGTATTAAAATGGTGACATTTTGAAAAACTACCTTCCAAGACAAACCTTTTTTTTAAATTAAAAACTATATATGTTTGGGCGTTGGTGGCCACAACAGTACAGTGCTCATTTTTTCCAAATCACAAACACCCAAAGGTTGGTATGACCTCCGCTGTTGTGAACCCTCTTATAAAAACTACATATACCTACTAAACAGGTATTGTTTTATTTGTTAGATTTTTTTAGAATATAATTAAGAAATTCAGCTCTGCTGTGTAAGGTCATAAATACAATTAGTCAACATAAGAGGAGAAAATACCATTTGGTAGGACTCTAATGATGCTAAAACGTTGCCTGTTTAATCAATGTTAGCTGAGCTCAATCAGCTTGTATCAATACCACCTTCTCTGCCACCGTGTAGGAGATCTTGCAGGCAATGAATTTTCAGTTGGTGAAGGTGGTTTGAGGGAATTCATTTGGATTTGATGTGCTGATTTAAGGTGGTTGGGAGGGTTTTGAGAGGTGAAATTTGTGGAAACGAAACAGATTTTATCTAAACAAAAGGAATATTTAAATTTGTATTTGTGTATATAATATGGAACATCAAGGATTTTTTTGTAAATTTAAGGATGGAGCAATTGGAATACAGCAGATGGAATGTTTGACTGAACCCAGTCCATAAGTCCCTATCAGCTTAAGTTTAACACTACAAATGAAATTTTTGGATTGCATGTTCATTCAGGAATAGCTAAGTTGTACATCCACAGTAACAATCAAATCTATTGATTTTGTTTGGCAACATTTACTTTATCAATCTGTCATGAATGATCAAAAAAACTGTTTTGACTTAATTTTGTTTGATTTTTTTATTGTGTCTTCAAAAGAAGATAAGTGCGACAACATATTAAAGCTAAAATAAACAAGTCATACTGAGATACATAAAAATCTATATTTCTGCTCTCCGAAAATCTGCTTAATCAGTTATTAGGTTTATTAAATTAGGTTTTATTAGGTCATTAGTTATTAAGGACAAAAAAACTTCCACACACTAGCCTGCAGGCAAGCTGTTCTTTTGATTTTAGAATAATATATATATATATATATTTGTAGCTGAATATTAAATTATTAGCCTTTATAAAAAAAAATAAAAATAAAAAAAAATAAAATTAAAAAAAAAAAATTTAAAAAAAAATAAAAAAAACCGGTGAAAGCATTGATGCATCAAAAGTTATGATACCTTTTCCAGTCTCATGTTAAATTCTGGATAGCTCAATCCATTGGATTCTACTACAAATGGAGCATATGTATATGGTTCTTGGACCTAAAAAATCCAAATAATGAATATCTAGTAATGTTGAAATAAAAATTATATTTCAACCGATTTCAAAGCTGTTCTCAAATCAATAGTTTTCCAACCACTCAAGGCCTCTTCTCTGTAATTTTCACAACTTGTTTTATTATAGTCTTTAGGCCAGTTTCTGTCGACCTCTGTACTGAAAATTATTATAACTAAATTAAGTAATTTATTTTAATTAATTATACTTTTTATCTAAGGTGTTGGTTGAGATGAAAAAGCTAGTGTCACGAATGGGATTTGAACCCACGACCATCGGCTTTTTCATTTTAACCAAGACCTTAAATAAAAAGTATAAATATTTAAAATAATTAATATGGTCAATTATAACTACTAAATATATAAGTAGATTAATATTTATACTTGTAAATTAAATTCTGAATTCAAACTTGAAATATTTACAAATGGGCTTTTTTTCAAAAACATCAGCATCCCAGGGTTTTTAAACATTATATTTATTATGAAAATATTTTAAAAAATTTTAATGATAACTATAATTAGGAAATAATCTGACAAGTATGTACTTAAGTGAGCCACTTTTAAATTTGTTTTTCTGTCTATTAGTGATTGTAGACTTACCTGATTGCAAGAAAAGCATGTAAAAATAAATCAAAGTAAAAAACAGAAGTAATTTCAGGTTCAGCGACCAAATTAAAGGAAGTTCTCAAGTTATCAAGCCTTTCTTTACTCTCTGGGTCAGGCTCAGGCTTAACATGGAGGATTGTTGCGTTATTGCAGGCACAAATTAAATTCCCTTTATCCTAAAATTTCAATTTACGTTTACATTCAAATTAATGAACAAAACATATTCAAAGGACTTTAAACTCACTTGTGTAATGGCATGCCATGCATATTTCTTTCCAAAAACTTTTAGAATGTTAGCAATTTCCAAAACAGATTTTACCATTGCCAGTCTGCCAAGAATGAAGAAATTCATAATATCTAATTCACGAAATCTATTCAATTGTTGTCTGACAGATCGCGCATCACTAATATCAGCTATTATGTGCCTTGTTGGCATATTTAATAAAAGCGACTTGTACTTATGTTCCATTGCTGAAAAAAGTTGTACCTTAATTTTACATTAAAGTTTAAAATCTAGGCAATCCATGTCTAACTTTTGTATAAAAAAAAATACTCAGCACTATTATGTTTTAAGATTTGTTAATATATACATATATGTTAATAAAAGGAATTAAATTTTGACCATACTAAAGCTGTCATCATACAAAATCCCTGCATTAGTGATATTCTGGATCTGAATGATATTTCTGATTATCTCTGGTATAATGTCTGCTGGGGGATTAATTTGTATTAGGTTCTTTAACTGCTCGCTTTCCAAATGTCTCCATTGCCTGGAAAAAATCAAAATGATATACAATCATAACATTACATTTTAAATTTATTATTAATAGACAAAAACCTTAAATCTCCTGCTTGCCCAAAAGAACCACTAATTGTTGGTAAATTCAAAGCTGCTGTGAATGTTTTCACAGATTCCGAAGTAACACCAGTCATTGTCGTGTCGAGTATAAGATGGGGGAATTTACCCTCTGCGGACGATTCATTTAATTTGTGACATACTAAAATAAGTTATGAATTTTTATTAGTGCGTAAGTATGTAATGAAATAAAATAACATACAATCTTCAAGAATCGCCTTTGCATCTGAGCCTTCTGTAACAACTTTTGTAATGCCTTCAACGTGCACACCTAGTTTTCGGTTTCTTTTTACATATTCTAAGGCCACTTGGAATGATAGATCAGCTAGTTCATTTCTAACATCATTTACAAACACTACAACAAACAAAGTTTTGCTATTTAAAAAAATATATTTTAAAAAATTATTAAATTTAATAAAAAGGTAGATTTTAGAAGGCTATTTCTTTATCTGTTATTTATCTGAAGCTACATTATTCTCAATAATCCCGTCCACTGATTTTCAAGCATAAGTAAGTAGCAGAGCAAGAGAGCAAACAAGAAAACTTGTACAAAAATTATATGTGTTTTTAAAGTAACTTACTGACATTAATTGACCTGGTCTGAGGAACAACACTAGGGACATAGAGTAGAAGAACTTGAACTGCTAATTTCAACATATTTTTAGCATACTACCTGAAATGACAAAAGAACCATTAAAATACTTTAACTCTATAAATTTTTCAATGTAATCAACTATACACCATCACATTAAAAAGTTAAAACATTTGGTAAAATGTTACTTTTCTAATAACTTTGTACAATTTATATTGGAAAATGTACTTGCAGATTTTTGTTCAGTTTGATAATGTGCATTTGAGGGCTCAAAATCTGGAAACTGTAAATTCGGTTTGTGAGTAGAATCATTATTTTCAACCAATGATGGTAAAAATTGTTACTAATATATTTTGCCTTATACTTTGGATTAATGTCTTTTTTTTCTTTTTAATTCAAGCCACATTAGAAGGCATTTTATGCCAAGGTATTTAAGTCTCCTACATGCAAGACTTAAATTACATTATTCTTTTTTAAATTGTTATGCCCCATCGTGTGTGATGTGAAGTCTGAGATTGTTTCTTTTCATCCTTGGCTATCTATTCTCATTGGTTCAGTCAGTGTCAGACCCACAAATATCGAAATGCGTTGACAAAACCAATGAGAAATGTTCCAAGTTGATCAACCTACAGGGCTGCTCTTAAACTTTAATCTAATCTATATTGATAGCTTGTCTTTAAAATGTTAATGAATATTTTTAAATTGTGAGATTTCTTGAGGCCTGTAGGGAGATGAACCAGTAACTTGGTAGTTTCATCCTGTTTTAGCCTGTCAAACATGTTTTGACTTTTTGGGTGGGTGTATTGAGGGCATGTGGTGCTTTTGTATGGTGAGGTGTGTAGATTTTCCATTGATACCCAAAAATGACATAACTTAATATGCTCTGAACATTTTACTTTTCTATGCATTAATTTTCTGTTAGCAACAATTATCTATAAATTAATTTAATCAATAATTAATTGTTGATTGTTTAAACAAAGCAACAAAGGGAAGTAACATGAATTCAGATTATGAAGAATTTAAAAAAGCTCATTTTACAAGATATAATTCAGTTCCAAACTTCACACCATATTTACCAATCAATAAATTTATTATTATTAATATCGCACAACAAATAAATGCCTAAATTGTGTTTTAGATAATTGAAAACCTCATTAAAAAGTGAGTTTGGACATTTAAGGACTCACAAAAGGTCCGTTTGAAATTTGTCTAACGAACCATTATGGATAAAGCAGAGATTTGTATGACCGTTTTGATTTTTCGAACTTGCCAAAATAAAATTTGAATTTTTTTAGATAGATACGTTCTAAAAACATTTTACGTGACAATGCTAAAAGGTGCAATATTTTGTTGGCAAAACCTACTGGGGGAATACTTATTTAAGATAATAATACATTTTTATACACAGAATTAAAACCTTGTAATACGTTTTAGAAAATAATTAACGTTTTTTCTTCCTATATTTCCATAAAATACGGATTTTTAAATGACAAAACTGCATGCCGGCAATGTATAATCATTTGTAACGACAGCAGCAAAGAGAAATAAACGAAAACAAATTTAAATTTCTTAATTTGTTTACAAACATTACAATAAACTATTCATATGGACATGAAAGGAGATAGAATTGGCCTTTGATTGAGTGTTTTTATAAAAGAAGTCGAGCTTTTTCGCGGTAGAGAAGAATTGTGTTTGCTCATTTTGGATCGAAAGTATCGAGTATCGACCGACATGTCAATCAAATGGCATGCTTCCCCTTAACAACTTCATTATTTTTAAGTACAAAACCAAAAGATAACAATTGGAACACGAACAGACCCCATTTTTTAAGTGCAGACGTTTTAGCAAACACTGAGAATGGTGCAACAACAAAAACAAAAACGTAAAATGCCATCCTACGTTAATCTGTATATTATAACTTATGTACTTGATAAATTATGTTTAATGTATGGGAGTGATAATTCTCACAAGATGATACTGAAATATCCTAAGTATAATAACAAAGGTTAAACCAAAAATTTAATTCTTGTTGTACTCTGTCCATCTTGTCGATCGATTATTATCTGTATTTAATAAATTTATAAAGTGTTACGAATCGCGAAATTGCACTTAAGTGGGAATGATGATGATGACGGATACTAGCAAGGAAGGATGGGAAGATTGGGAGCTTGTCGTTTCCAATTATCGTGGTCCTTCTAATGTCGCTGGTGTTGTCTGTCAGACGCAAATACTCGTTATGGAACTTCAATGGTCGGTCTACGCTATCCAATCTATTAAAATAGTTCTAAACAATTTTGAATTTGCCAAGTTTTCGTTACATACTCAAGTCACTTAAGAAATATTCTTAAACCAGGTGTTAAACCAAAATATCCTTTTATGGAACACGAACAGTTTAAGGGCAGACGTTTTAGTAAACTGAGAATGGTGCAACTACGTATATTGACTATATCTTAAATAAGAATACTTTCATGCCGAGATGATAAATCTGTGGTTTTGTTTTTTTAGTGTAAAATAAGTAGCAACTACGTTTCTTCGATCGATTATTAACACAATATGTACATTTCGATGCATTTATAAGTTGTACAAGTAGTACACATATTAAAGGTTAATTAATAACTAAAAGTTTTGAACTAGGTTGACGTCATGGTATGGTCGTTACCGACCATTTTGAACTGCATAAAACTGCAGCTAATGCTCACTGGTTTATCTTGTCAGACGTTTCAGTATTTCAGCCATCATCAAGTGTACCCATAAAAAGGTGATATCGGAAAATTTACAGATCCACCACAATAGATACAATCACACGTGCAGTCATGTTTAACCTACATTTATTTTACCTTATTTTATTTTTTGAAGTAGTTGCCAGTATAACAAATAATAGTACATTTTTTTATTTTAAATTAAAAATTGAACAAATTGAAGTAATACTATAGTCATCTTTGAAGTATTTGATGATGTGGAATGTAGTCAATTTATTTTCTTTATACGATTTATTAAAAAGAAAATTTTAAATGATTTTTTTGCCAACTAGTTTCGTCTTATTAATCATCACGGCTACTAAAAAAACTGAATGCAATGTAATTTAAAAACTCGCAGGTTTTTGTTTAAAACGGTTCGGAAATCTATTGATACTCTTGTGAATTGAAGTAAAATATTATATAAATTACCTTGTATGTACCTACGTAATATTCAGTTATTTGTGTAGCCCTGATGATGATTTAATAAATTGAAACTAGTTGAAAAAAAAGAAGTTTCATTTAAAATTTTCTTTATAAGATCGTGAAAAGATAAACATAAAAAGAAATAGTACGGTTGTATAAAAATGAATACATAATTTTTATCATTTTTTTTACTTTTCCAAAAATCTTCTTTCAAACAATGAAACCAGTTTCTTAAGTTTCATTATAAAGTGTTAACTGGGTGAAATCAGCTTCAGTTTCGAAAATAAATTATCAGATACAATTCAAAATATTATTTATTCAACTTATGAAAACGTCAATCTTAAATTTTTATCGAAATTAAATATCAAACGAGTAGTTTTACTCTTTTTTTTTCTTTTTTAATAAACAAAGCATCCGTAAGCGTTCTATCGTGCAAATATATTTTGGCAATAATGTTACTTTTTATTTTTTATTTTATTTTATTTTTTTTTATTGAAAAAATATTGCTCTCGTAACTTACGCCTAAGGGCAATGCGGCAAGAAGGCGTTTACAGCAACAACGAAAAAAAAGTGTTAAGCTTTTATGCTTCGAAGATAAGCATGCTGTGCTAATCGCGTACCAAGCTCTTTCCTGAACTCCTTCCACCGACCGTTTGGCTTACGAATCGATCACACCGGACAAACTTCGTCGGATGAGCATGAGTGCTTGCTTCATTATTAATTCAAGCTATGAATACCGCCTATTTACCAGATAAGAAGGTTTAAAAAATAATTTGAGCAAGATTAAATAAATATTACAAATTAACATCATAATATCATTGCGATTTTCTCGTGATGCGTGCGTTATTATGTTCTTTCAAAACGTATTGACACACTCAATGTATTTCTTAAATATCAAAAATATAAAGGTTAATTAACTAAATGTATATATATATAAAATAGCATCCAACTATTAATTTTTGATGGCAATAAATTGAGCGAATTAAAAAACAAGAAACAAATAATAAATAAGAGTATGAATTTCAAGGGTCAAACAATTATTGGAACAGTTCTTTTTGGTTTAATTTTGAATTATCCTATGTAAAACGTTATCGTTAATTTTAATTAATTAAACAAATAGTATCAAACCATTAACCTTTATATTTTTGAGATTGAAGAAAAATTTGTGGTGTGCCAATACATTTTTGACCCCCGTATATAAAGATTTTTCATCAAAAGATTAACTTTTCGGATTTATTTTGTAATAGAGCATATAAGTTCATGAATAGTTTTCCAATTGTCCAGGCTTTATTATGGTCGGTTTTGTAATTTTTCTTTTCTCTTTTACTCATCATTATTTTTTGAACCGTTAGACAAAAACAAATCCTTTATAAACATATCACAAAAATTATTTGGTAGGCGTTACATTGATTTAGACAGAACATAAACTATATCGTCGGTTTTGTTAGACATACTAAGGTGTTCGCAGACAATTAATCTATCGGCTATCAAGAGTTTACCTTTCGTTGTTTGAAAAATCATGTTTGTCAACAATTTGTGGTTGAAAATATATCGTGATTGTTTGAAGTTGGGACAATGGCATAATTTAACCATTACTCCTTGCAATATTAAGTAATAATTATCTCATGCAGTTTTTCAGATGTAAATGATAGTAATTACATGTTTTTCCAGATCACGTTAGCGTGTAAGAATTCCTTTTTTTAAAGTATATTTCATTATTACCTGTTGTTGTTGAGCAGTTGGAAATTAGAATGTTGTCCATTGTAGAGGGATTACCCCGTTCTCAAGTTATTACTTGCTGTCGATTCTTTGTAAAGTTTTTAACGAAAAATTAATTTTTCTCTTAAGGCTGGGAACTCTTTCTTTGTTTTGTTTATAAAGAAATATATGTGACTTTTACATGACTTTTACCCTATTGAACCTGTTACTTTTCATAACTTTGTTCGCGTTGTTCAGCGGGTTAGCCTCGGACAAATGATCGCCAAAAGTCTTTAATTAATTTCGTCTTCTATCGTTCTGGAAAAAGGTTAGAATTTAAGAAAAATGAAATTGGGTACTTCTTCATCATCCTGCATATCGGTTTGACGACTATCTAATTAAATGTTTTTCTTTTTTTTTTAAATTTCTTATTTGTTTGATATTCGTTCATTTACGCTAGCAACTCTTAAGAGTAAGTGGAAATAATTGCAGATTAAATTGATTTTTGTATTTTATATATATATACAATGACGCGGAGATTTGCGATACTTCGGAAATGTTTAGAGGCAAATTACCCTGGTTCTTTGAGGCTTTCTTGAGGAATCAAAGATTTCATGCCAGATTAGGGTCTGTGCTCTCCAAGGGATTTGTTTAAGAGAACGGAGTCCCTCAGGGTTCAGTGATAAGCTAAGGTCAAGATTAAGGAATTTGCTTGTTTTTAAAAACGACATGAATCATCCCCTTTTCTTCCCTCTTCCTTTTCTTTCTCCATGTCCTTTTATCTTCTTTCTCTTTCTTTCTTAATGTGGTTTCATCATTCGATTATAAATAATATTATTTGACTCTGTTTATAAAACTTTTTTTCAAAAATATGTAAGAGGCTTAAAACCAAATTTAAATCAAAGAATGTTTACAAAATAATTTAAATATTTTTTAAAACTTTTTTTAAAATTATTTATTTTAAGAAGTATAGGTATTTTTTGAACATTCAAACAGCCAGGTCTTAGAAAAATTAAAGGAAGTTAGTTATCCATTTAGCTAAAACTATTTTTTTTCTAAGATATGTAAGGGACTTAAAACCAAATTTAAATTAAAGAGTGTTTACAAAATAATTTAGATAATTTTATTATTTACGATTTTTTTAATTTTGTATTTATTCCGAGAAGTATAGGTATTTTTTGAACATTCAAACATCCAGGTCTTGGAAAAATTAAAGGAAGTTAGTTATAATTGTGATATTTGTATCGATGGTGATGGGGTTATCGGTCGATGGTCGAAGTTAGTTATCCATTTAGCTCCGTCACTCACTTGAGCCTTGAGCCCACTCCTTGGTCATGTTGGAGGTTATAAACCGTCAAGTACCAAGCTCCCACCAATCAACAAACATAACAAAAATTTAAGGAGAGTTTACAAGTTTTATCGTTGGAAAAAACTCATTTTTAACCGAATGACACTGGAAGAAGAAGCTGTCGAATGGACAGCATACTCGGATTTACATCTCATCAACTCCCTGGCGGGTCTAAGGGCCGTAGGTAAGATGCCGTGTATTTATTTCGTATAATTCAAATTTTAGAAATAGTCATTATGAATAAAGTTGTATAAAAATATACAGTCGGTCCTTTTGTTGCAGGGATCAACCATAACTTTTGCATGGCACTTGTCACACACAGATTTTCCATGGCGATGCATGTGAAATTAGTCACCAGCAAGCTCAGAGAAAGGCTGAGCAATTTTTATGATTTTGAAGCTGCAGTAAGAATTAAATAATTTACTAATGTTGTACAGTGTTTATAATGAAGGTCTCCACAGGAAAAACTGTCAGGAGAGGTACTTTTTCCAAATGAAGTGCGCCCGTTTACACTACCTTCTGAGTACAAAGAAAAGATCGAGGCGAAGAAAGCAGCATTTGAAATGTCAAACAACAAACCGAAGCGAAATAGCAATGCGCCCAAAGTTGTACCTGTAGTTAAAAATACAAAAACACCAAAAAGATCAGGTGCTGTACACAGTACAATATAATATATATAAAAATCTTCTACATAAAACTTTTTCATTGCCATTTGGAGTATGCAAGTATTATTTGGGTAACCGGTTCAAACAGTGGATCGCTCATGATTGAGAGGGTATCTAAATATTTTCTATTCAAAATGAATTTAAATGACAGTACTGCACTTCCTTATACTGAACGACTGAATTTGGTCAGACGACTCTTTGGAAGGCAGAAGAATGGCTTTGGCCTTGTTATTATGAAAGATACTTAACTGGATTCCCTAGAAATCTAGTTCTACATTCATATAGGGTCCCCCAGTCTGCTCCCGTGAGCTATTCTAAACTGCTCAAAAATGAATGGGAGATATTGCCAATATTGTAGTATTAACTTTCCCTCGCATTTTTGTATTATTTTTATTATAAATTGAATTTAAATTTATTAAAAATTGTTGTTTTTCCTTGAAGTTTGAATTTAATCAAGGGAGTCTGAAAAGTAACAAAATAAAAGGTTTTAATTCCATAATTTTGTTTATGGACACAATAAATTTTTTAAACAGCTAATATCGTGCATAATGTTTTCTAAACATTGATGAACAACTCTGATTCTATGAGGTCTGGCATTGTGTTGTATCTGGCGGGTACTATGGAAAGGGTTCCAACTTGCAGCAATGACAATAATTCTGTCCTCTCTTAGCGTCATAATGCATTGAGATATACTGATAGGCCTCCTATTGGCACTTCAGTGTCTCTCGGAAACGGGCTAAAGCTCAAGAAATTGCGCTCTGGGAAAGGCAACTGCTTCTGCGATATCCACTTCCCAGTGACTTCGATGACGCATTCTCACAATGATATTGCAAACTTACGGTTCATGATGGATGTCTTTCCATTGTTAAAGAGAATACATCTGGATTAAAATGGAGAAAAGACAAGAGAAGGTGTTTTTTGCAAAATGAATAATCTTCATGTTTACTCTTCTTAAATGAATCCATTATTAAAAATGAGGATTAACGTTTGTTTGTTTTTGCTTTGTGTTTTCTATTTTGTTTTATCCAACTTCCAAGAATAAATCTGTTAATATAATTAAAATTAATAGAATAAGAATAAATTACAAATATTTCTATTCATTTGTGAGCAGTTTATGTTCTCCAACATGGTACAAATTATGGGTTGGAACCTTGTCTTTCTCAAATAATTTAGCACATTAATCAGTATGTAGATGTCACAGACACTTGCTGGTTTTCAAAAAGATTTTTTTTCATTGCAGTTTTATTATTTATTTAATCAATTAATTATTTTTATCTAATGTTGTTTTTATATTTTTAATTGTTTATTATGTATGTTTTCATGACAGTTAAGTTTTGAGTCATTTGACCTGAACTGTAGTAAAAAAAATATATAAAAATAACACGAAACTCTTACTCATACTCTCAAAATGTCTTACTTTTCTTACTCAATTGTATTATTTTCTTTGTAGATGTAAAGGATGAAAAGAAGACACCGCTAAGCCAAAGCAAAAGGAAGACTAGAATTGAGAAAAATGAAACATTAAGTGGGAAGAGAAGAAGATAGGACTATCAAATAATATTTGTTTAAATAATATATTTAACATTGTATGAGTTTAATAGTTATATTGGACTCATATACATGTGACAATACATGTTAAAAATAAACATAAACAAACAGCTATTTAGGATGAAAATATATTTTCTTATTGCTCAAAGGTTAAACTTACATTTATTTGTACTATATGTAATGTGTAAAAATGGATGAATTGAAATTTTGATTTTATAAATCATGTTTTTGTATTTTTACTCCAATGTTAATATTTAATAAAACATTTATCTTTTTTTTTACTCTTAATTATGACTTTGTTTTCACCTAAAGTTCTACTGCTCACAGATAATCCAACGAAGCTAGTACACTGCAACTGAGTAAAGGTAAAACAAACAAACATGTTGACCATGTTGACGGATGTTGTTCAATTGACTACAAAATGTGAAAAGTGGAGATGGCACACACCACTCCTTGCAAATGTTGATACTTTTTTGTTTTAAATTGTATAAACAGTAAATAAATATATTCTGAAATCTCTGGTTGTAAATAATACATTTAAATTTTTTTAATATGAATAGGTTGGGTATATTTAAAAAATGATTGAACATTTTATTAAAGTTATTATTGAATTAATTTATACATTGATTATTTCTATAAATACAAACGAGTGGTGAGATTTCTCCATGTCATCTGTTGGGTGATAAACCTGTAATTTGGTCATTACTAATCATTTTGGTCTGTCATATGCCAAAATATAACTGATAGACCAAAATTATTGTTCATGTTAAACTGGCACAGGGTCACTTACTGGGTCTGTCTCCACTAATGTGTTTTTGAGTTATTATTCAAACGCATTTCGGCATCTCCACCACCCTGAGTGAATGGTACATAAATAGGGAATAACAGATTTAAAGAGTGAAAAAGTGTGAATGTTTTGATTGAGGAGCTGAAATTGCCAAGGTGTTAATAGCCCCTGAGGCCCAACAATAGAGGCATGACGGATAAGGCCAAGGTCTGACCCCAGGTGGTGAGTGATTCTCTAGGCCTGCCAGTAATTTATTGTAATTTACAAAAGCTGGAATTGCCGGTGGAGTGCGAGAAGACAGCAGTGTTAAACAATAGAAATATATAAACAAATGTAAAGGAAGTGACAAGGTATGATAAACATTTAATATAAACAACAGAAATATATAAATAAACATAAATTAAACATAATTGCCATGATTCATATATTTTTTAAATTAATCCATATATGCTTAGCAAATTGATCGTATTAATTATTTCCATTGATTATTCTTTTTATCTAAGTTCTTAGTTGAGATGAAAAAGTTAGTGTCACGAGAGAGATTCGAACCCACGACCTTCAACTTAGCTGCTGCCCTAACCACTTCATGATAGCTCAAGTGGAAAAAAAGAAAATCATCCCTGACTTACAATTGTCAATTCTGAACAAGACATTTAATAATAGACCAAATTCACCGAGTAGCAGACCTAATAGGAAAATCTTTTGAAGAAAAACAAATTTGTTCTGCTCTCTTCCTTGATGTCACAAGCTTTGACAAGGTGACATGAAGGACTCATCAATAAATTAAAAGGGATGCTACCAAAGCATTATGTTGATATTATCAATTCCTACCTGACAGACTGTTTAGAGTCAAGAATTTAGAGTCACAAGAAGATCAATATGCAAAATTAAAAACAAAAATACAGGAGTGCCACAAGGTAGCATATTAGGTCCATTTCTTTATTTGTTATACACCAGTGATTTTCCGAAATTAGATGGAATAAAAATTGCCATATTTGCAGATGTCACAGCAATGATATCAGTAGGACCGACTGTCAATCATTCAGCACAAATCCTTCAAAATGCTTGTAATATGATAAACACATGGACAAACAAAAGGAAAATCAAGGTCAATGAGTTTAAATCAGCACATATAAACTTAACAAACAAAATAGTAGACCATGTTCCGTCACTCACAATCAATGGAACTGTTATACCATACAATGGTGATATATCTAATTATATGGGAATGACCTTAGATGCCAAGCTGAGATGGATACTGCACATGAAAAAAAAAGGACAAAAATAGGTTTAAGATACAGGCAACTATACTGGTTAATAGCACTTGGCTCCAACCTTACTATACAAAATAAAATAATACAAACAAGTCCTAAAACCTACGTGGATATATGGTATTCAACTATGGGTTATACCAAACAGAGCAATATCAAAATCATTCAAATACTTTAATTGAATTTTTTGTGTTTGTTTAAATAGGCTTAAATAAAGGTAAAACGTATCCTAATGTAAAGCAAGTTTATTACTCATTTCTATGAGTTGAGAAATCGGCCTAAAATTTTAAGTGATTTGAATTATAATTAGATTTTGAAAATAATATGTTTTGTCTGCTATTGCACTGTGAAATATGAAAATTTTGTAGATTGATTATTTATGGACAGTCGATCATAGTTAAGAGTTTGTAAGAAAATATCATGTCATTATTTTGAGGCTTTATGTTTAGTGGATATAGTTTTGCGGACCATAATGAGCTCATACGGTGTATCCAAGTATGTTTTAGTAATTTTAAACCAGAAAATGCGAATAAATTGTAATTTTCTATTGAAGTGCATAGTATTTTCTGATTTAGTGACTAAACATCTGAACAGTATTATAAAATGGGACGGATCGTAGCCTTAAACAGTACTAATTAATACAACATACATTGGTCATATTTATTCAGATATCGTGAGATGCGGTCGGGATACCTGAATAACTATCGATTAACGGTCACTAATCTCTACACATTTGGTCATATTAATTATTTCAATCAATTATTCTTTTATCTAAGGTCTAAGTTAAGATGAAAAAGTTAGTGTCACAAGTGGGATTCGAACCCACAAACTTCGACTCAATACATTGCTGCTCAACCACTTGGGCTATCGTGACTTTGAGCTCAAGTGGTTAGAGCAGAAGCAGTATTGGGCAGAAGGTCGTGGGTTGGAATCTCATTTGTGACACTAACTTTTTCATCTCAACTTAGAACTTAGCTAAAATGAATAATTAATTGAAATTATTAATACGGTCAATTATGATCGCTAAATATATATGGAATAATTAAAAATATATATTGATCATGGCAATTACATCTAATTTGTTTATATATTTCTGTTGTTTATATTAAATGTTTATCATTCCCTTGTCACTTCCTTTACATTTGTTTATATTTCTGCTGTTTAATTAAATTTTTATCGTTTGTTCTCATTTTCTTTATATTTTTTAAATATATTTTTGTTGTTTTCATTAAATGCTTATTATTATTTGTCACTTCCTTTATATTTGTTTCCTTAAATTTTTTTGTAGTTCTATGTAAGAAAAAAATTGATTTGCCTTATTAATTATTGAGGTGCAATAATTACGTATTAACCAGGATAAGGAAAACATAGTACATTTTATTGCAAAATGCACTATTCTATTGGAGATTCGGCTTCTGCATCTAAATTTTGTTAAATTGAATAAGACACAACTTATTGATTTGTTGCTTAACGATTATAAAAATTTAATCAAATATGCGCGGCACTATCGCCAAGAGTTTATATTAGAATTTATTTTTTGAATATTTTAAAGATTTTTCATTCTAAAGTGCTGGCCCAAAGAATTTATAAATCTATACTTATTGTAAATTAAACGAAGAACAAAAATTATGGTTTATAATGTTTGTTAGTATTAATGTAATTATTAAAAATTAAATTATCAATTGTAATATTTATTTAATGATCTTTTTTTATTTTGTTCTTTTTTGTCTGTGTCGATCAAAATTTTAAGTCAAATTCGATGTAAATCGCCCTCCAGCAGACGAACCCTCCATGCCGTAAATTTACTTTAAATTATATATTATGTAATGTTTATAACTTTTCTTTTTTTTGCAATAAAAGTATATTATTATTATTATTATTTTTAAGGGCGTTTTAATGGCTAAGGTCATTCATTTCACGCCCTAACATCCAAACCTTCTATCTTAGGTTAGCTATATCCCTTCTGATTGCTAAACAGCTCTGACTCCAAACATTCACTCATAAACTAATTTATCCTATTGCCATCCAAAGCTTTAATTTATCCTTTTAAAATTCTTAATTTGGAAGGCCAAATGTATGCAAAAGAACCCATTTTAAATTACATATAAAATTTATTCCTGTTTTTTAATTAGAATTTCAAATTGTTGTTCCATAATTTAAACATTTCCCATATTTCTAAGATAAAGTAATTTATCAAAAAATATAATGTTATGTTGAGCAATTGTTTATCAGACGTGGAAAAATGCTTGTTCTCACAATTCCATTATTTTTGATTGTATGACAAGGTTTTGTAAATTATTAAAGCAAACATAAAAAGAACACAAGTCCAAAAGTGAAACTGTGTACATGAATGACGCAATTTGTGGGAACGATGACGAGTCAGCGAGCTATCCGGTTTTTGAAATCCCTCCTCAGCCCCCAATAACGAAGTGAGCGAGCGGGCGAGTGCGCTATCGTTTGACAGTTCTAACTTCTAATCTTGGTGAAGAACCCTGACGGCTGACAAGTGACAACCCTGTTAATCCGTTTTTACTGCCGGCGGTGTCTGCGTCTATTGGAGAAGAAAGGCCGTCTTATCTGCCGCAGTGTCGAATGTAATTAACGCCTTCCATTCGAGTACCACTTGCCCTAGCCTTTATTGAATATAAAATAAAAACGGCGCGCTATCGGACCGAGGGGAAAAAACCGGTTTTTGAAACTTTGTTTTATTTCTGTCCTAAACGCGCCGGGTTCAAAAATTTTCGATATGACCAAAAACGGCACCCCCGCCGACTCTGCAGATGGTCCGAAAATGTCCAAATGCTTTAAACAAAGCCTTATGGACTACTCCAAGTTCAAGAGCCAAAACCAAATAGAAAGGATTAACACCATAGTCTCAAAAAAAAGGTTGGTTTCTGATATCTAATAAAAACTTTACTTATTGTTTAATGACTACAAAATTGCATTTTTTTAAATGTGACTAAAAAATTGCATGACTAGTTTGATATCCCTCATAGGCTGGAACACTAAAAATACTAAAAATTAAAAAAACTGTACTTTACTATTGCATGATAGTTCAAACTTTTTCAAATATTTTTTCCTTTTAATATTACTTATACTTACAATACATTTTCTCCACTTCCCCTGTATACATTAAAACAATGAATGCATGAGTAAAGGGTCTTATTTTTCAGAAGCATAACAGAAAAAATACTAATACATACACCAAAATATATTATAAATTTATATTTATCTGTTACCATTAAAACAAACTATTAAAATGCAAAGGCAACCTTTTGCCAAGTTTTATAATTTATGTTTATTAATGTTATTTAAGTACAAATATTTTCTTTGGTTGAGAATTATTTATTATTTTTTCATTATTTTATATAATGTTATATTTATTTAGTATTAATTTACATTATTTATTGGTTTGCTTAGGGTACTTGATTAACAAAAATTTTAATTTGAACTTTCATATTTGATCTTTTTTATCCATATTTGTATGTACATACATTATTAAAATATAATTTTATATATTATGCTTTATATATAAATAAATTTATAAAATACATTTTAGATTTGTAAATATGAAGTAATTTTTTTCTACTACATAGTTTATTTCAACTTCCTCAACTTTGAATGTATTGTCCTTGTTGTTAATGAGTGTCCGTGTACCAAAATAGGCGATTGACATGCTACGAAAAAGTGATAAAACTAACGACAGGGAAAAATCTATAATGACAGATATTTTTGAATTTTATTTTAAAATTAATTTCCCATTTTATTCCATCTTGACTTGACAAATATTGATGTGAATACATTCAATTCTTGCTGTCATTAAATCTGGGTAGATTAAAAAAAAAAAAAAATGACGGATACATAGTTTATTGTGGAATTTCCCATTTTTGCCGGTACTATTCTCTCAATCTGTCAAAACAATTTTCTAATTTCTGGAAAAAATATACAATTCTGTGGCTCTGTTTTCTAGTTCTCTAGAATAGAATTTGCTTCTTTAAAAAAAAATCTGTAAAACTTAAATTTATTATTAATACCTGAAGTACTTAAAAATAATTGCAATTTGATCATTTGATTGCAGAATTTATTTATTTCTTTTATTATTATTATTAGTTTTTTACATTTCTTTTCTTACCTTTCTCATGTTTTAATCCTAATAATTTATTTTTCTGTTTCTCCAGTTGAGTTACGATATTTTATTATACAATGTAACCAACTCTAATTTCTTTGTTCTATTACTAGCCTCTTGGTACCTTGGGCGTCATCAATTGTGGTTAAAATCAGACAAATAATAAACACAGAAACTAGATAAAAATACGATGGTCTGGTTTGTACCCCACAGTACTGGATATTTCTCGTGGTAATTGGGGATATGCTTCTTTTACATTCATTGACTCTAGCCCAGAATATTTGATATTCCTCAATGAAATTGGGGATAAGCTACCATTTACGCTAATAAATTACATTCACACATTTGTTCACATACCTAGATTACTTGATATTCCTCGGGGTAATTGGAAATAAACCCTTTCATTCATGCTAATAAATTACATATACACAGCACAAATCATTCACTCTACAAAGGACTCAATATATTCCTGGCGTTATTGTGGATAAGCCCCACCATTCACATTAATAAATGCATTATTTATATTTACATAATCTCCTCAATAGATAATTGCAAAAATGCACTAAAAATATTTTCAAACATATTAAATGTTTGTGTTTGTAATTATGTAAATTTATTATACTTTGCATTATTTGTAATAAAAACAAATAGTATTAGGAAGTGTGGACTAAATACAAATAAACATTTACTTTGTTGCATTCTTATATAAGATCCCATAATTTAATTTCATTAATAATCAGGATTTTTTTATGGGTTTCTTTTTCTTTTTCTTTTCCTTCATATTTCCCATTAAATCTAGTCCTCAAAAATAGCTATAAAAATGTAAATAGTTGGAAATGATGATAATGAGGTAAGTATGTAGATTCACTTCCTTAATTTAAAATTATTCTCTTTTTAGGATTTTTTCAGTATTTTTTAGGATAGTAATTAATTGTGTTGTAATTCACTTTTTTCACACATTCGAAATTGTGTGGCATTAAAAATCAGGTTCTCATCAGAACATTTCAACTTCATAGAAATCAATCTTCATAGAAAAAAGGATCATTTCAATTTCTTCAACCTGATGATGAGCGTTTAATGCTTGAAATCCAGATCATTTATAAACAACAAATTTCCGAGTAGAACGATCATTTACAAAAACTGCATTGCCAAAAATTAAATGATAATTAAATAATTATACATTTTTGCTTTTAATTAGTATTGAAAGCACCAAACACTTATTTTTTAATTGTCGAATTTCACCTTACAAGAGTCATTAATATGGTATTGATAATAAAGAAATGAATGAATTTAATAAATTTATTTAAATTATTTAAGAAATAGTACGTATTTCCATCTTTAAAAAAATAATAATAATAATAAATTGCCTTGAGGATATTTTCATCATAACTCGAAGATAGCTGACACTTAATACCAATCAATAAAATGATATTGATTTTCTCCAACTTATTTATGCTATACCTTTTTATTAATTTATACATTTCTAGCTTATGAACCTCTTAGAACGTAAAGTAGCAGAATGTAATAGTTTCAAAATAAAGTAATATGCACCTCTTACCTGAACATCCTCTAGAATTGGATGGTTGTTTATATTCAAAATAGTAATACAATTTTTGCACATTTTTATACCAAACCAGCTAAGATGTTTTGATTTTTCAATTGCTCTTATTTTAATTGGTTATTGAAATGTTTTCTTTGTATTCAAAATTGTAATTGACTCAATTTGTTATAATATTTACTCTGCTCGTTCCTTTCTTCAGCTACTAAAGGGAGCAGGTTGTATCTCCCCTTCCTGAATTTTGTTTTACTATGCCTCATTGTAATTATTATACCTGTCTCATTACAATGTCCTAGGCCATGTTGCCCAATTCGATTTTATTCTTCGTCCTTCCTCATTTTTATATTAATCACCTATAGCAGGTTTTCATGTTGTCTTTTATAACAAAAGTTCATATGAACATCAATCTCTTGATTTATCATAGATGCATAGTTTTCTTTTCCTTGAAATTTTTATACTGTAAATAAATGCCATGGTTTTAATTTGTTTCTCTTCTAAAGGTTGCTTTTATTTTGCTGCCCGTATTTCAACATATTTTGAAATGTAAATAAAGCTCTGTTCCATTTTTAATGGCTTAATATATATTTTGTTCTAAATTATGTGCATACAGTTTTAATTAAATGAAACAATCATTTCAAAACTTAAACAACAAAATGTTTCAGGTGTGATGTCATTAAATGGAATGGATGGGGTTATAATGATTCTAAATTCGTAGTGGATAATGGCGTTATTATATTTACAGGCAAAAGGTACCTTTTTCCTTAAATTTTATTTTAATAAATTTCAGTGTGGAGTATTTAAGTTATTTTTCTTTTCAAGATACCCTATTGGTGAGGTAGAACTGCCTTATTTTACAGAATGGGTTCAAAAAGTATTTGACATTGATCTTAACCAAAGAAACATACCAGCTTCAATTCCTCCACCAGAAGCGTACCCTGATTCAAAAATCCCAGATGGTATTAAAATATCCTAACATTTTTATATTATTATTTATTTATTTTATTTTTTACAGAATTCACAAATCTGTTGGGCTCAAAGGGAATATCTTGGTCAAAAGATGGTTTCGATAGATTGGTTAGGTGTCATGGCCAAACATTACATGATATTTACAGTCTTCGTCAAGGCCTTAAGGAAGGGATCATTCCTAAAATCCCAGATGTTGTAGTTTGGCCAGGTATATATATATTTTTATATTTTATTTTATATATATATATTTTTTTTTTCACATTGTGATCTGGAGTATTTAATAAACTGAACCGTATCTTTGTTAGAACTAGCTTATATTAATCTTTATTGGGTACATAAAAATTCCTTACTTCTACTAATGTTACTACTACATATATATTTATTTTCATGTTCATTACAATTGAAAATCATTAGGTTTTACAAAAAAATGAGATATTCTAAAAATGTTAATTTTTGTTTCATAATACATAGCATTTTGTTAAACTATGTTCCCATTTTAGAGACACATGAAGATGTTATTGAAATTGTAAATTTGGCTGAAAAGTTTGGTGTTGTTATAATCCCTTATGGTGGTGGTACTAGTGTGTCTGGTGCTTCTACATGTCCAGAATTTGAAGACAGATCTATATGTGCTCTAGATACATTGCTCATGGTAATGCCAATAGAATAATTTTAATCTAAAACCTGTAATAACATGTAAAATTATATTCAAATTTTATGAATTAATGCTAATGATTTTTTTACTGTTACATATAACACTGTAGTATGTAACAACAATTTATACTTTATTTGTTTTAGAATGGTATAAAATGGTTAGATCCACAAAACCTTCTAATCTGCTGTCAATCCGGTATAATGGGACAAGATTTAGAATCTTATCTGAAGACCCGAGGATACACAACAGGACATGAACCTGATTCATATGAATTTTCCACGTAAGAAGAAAAATATCATTTTAATTGGTATTTAACAGGTTGAACATAAATGTATTTCTTTAGTATAGGAGGATGGGTTGCGACTAGAGCATCTGGTATGAAAAAAAACATCTATGGAAATATAGAAGATATTGTTGTAAGCGTTAAAATGGTCACTCCAAGAGGAGTCCTTCAAAGGGTCGGGATAAATCCCAGACAGTCTACAGGCCCTGACTTCAATCATATTATTTTAGGATCTGAAGGTGAATAATCTTACAAATATATTTTTAAAAATACAATATCAACTTTTATAATTTGCTGAAGTAATGAGGAGCGGTCTAATAATGAGGTAGTTTAGAAAAACACATTTTTCATTTTTTTTTGCCAATGTTTCATCCTTTATTCGGGTCATCAGCAAAAAATGAAAAAGGTGTTTTTCTAAATCCCCTCATTCTTGACAGCTCCTCACGACTTCAACAAATTATGAAACAACAGGTCACTAAGAAACACACATTAACATTTATAAAAACCCTATGTTTGTTTATACTGTATTATTGTTATCCTGTCTAAAGTTTTGTTGTGAAAACACAGATATTTATTTATTTACAAATCGAACTAATTAACCTTAATTTTTCAAGCACATTAAAAATAATAATAATTTTATAATCCACTAAAAATTCTAGGCACTCTTGGGGTGATCACTGATGTGGTTTTAAAAATAAGGCCTCTTGCAAAATATAAGAAGTATGGATCCGTTGTTTTTCCACATTTTGAAGCTGGGGTTGCTTGCATGAGGGAAGTCGCCAGACAGGTTTGTACGTCCAGATTAGAAAAACATCTTGCCATACAAATTTATTAATAGTGCTTCCACTTTGTAGAAATGTCAACCGGCATCGATCCGCTTAATGGACAATGAACAATTCCAGTTCGGACAAGCACTGAGACCGCGGACGTCTGGTCTCATGTCCTATTTTAGTGAATCTGTTAAAAAAGCCTATTTGACAAAAATCAAAGGTTTTGAACTAAATCAAATATGTGTGACTACTCTTCTTTTTGAAGGTAAAGTAATATCAATAATCAGGAATTAATCACCACTCTAATCAATAATTTTGTTGTACAGGTGACAAGAAAAATGTTGAACTGCAGGAAGCGAAAATTTACGAGATTGCAAAAGAATGTGGCGGCATTCCTGCTGGCGAAAAAAATGGAGAAAGAGGTTACACTCTCACATTTGTGATTGCGTACATTAGAGTAAGTTTTCTTACTTTTTTGGAAATCAATTTAAATGAGTTATTTTTTTAAAACATTTATGTATGTACTTCATTACTCATGTAATATTTTTTAATAACAGGACTTAGCTCTTGAATATTACATAGTAGCTGAATCTTTTGAAACTTCAGTGCCTTGGGATCAGACTATAAATCTATGTAAAAATGTAAAATATGTTGTTGACCAAAAATGCCAAGGTATATCATTTTATTGAATCAAATCTTGATTGAAAAATAGTATCAAATAAAAACAACCGTTTTGTTTGTTAATTACAGAATTTGGAATTAAAAACTTTTTAATTTCTCACCGTGTCACACAAACTTATGATTGTGGATGCTGTGTATATTTTTATTTTGGCTTTAACTGGAGAGGAATGAGCGAACCAGTGACAGTTTATGAACAAATAGAAGAAGCAGCAAGGGATGAAATACTAGCTTGTGGGGGATCATTGTCCCACCATCATGGAGTCGGAAAATTGAGATCTAGGTATGTATCTATACCTCCATCTCTGGCATTACAGTTACTATATAAATATTATAACCTACTGGTGAATTGCAGGTGGTACAAGGGTCAAGTGTCAGATGTTGGAGAAATGATGTACAAACAAGCTAAACTATGTCTGGATCCGAACAATACCTTTGCGACTGGAAACCTATTGGTGAATGCAAAATTGTAGCCTCATCTTCATTTGTGGAAAACATTCCAGAAGTGCTCAAAATGTTTATTTACAAATGATTTATGATCATTTTAATGTGGCAATAGAAAAAAAAACTTTACCAATGCGTTTGCAGTTATTTATAATATAATATGCTAGTCATTTGTACTTGTTTATTTAATTGTATTTAATGTGTGTTCCCTTAATTTACAGTTATTTTGAATAAACTTGTAAATTATTCAGTTGTTTGTTAACATTTAGTTTTAGTTATAACTTTTTGAGTGTATTTATTTGATTTTAATTTGTGTATGTCAAAGTTTGTGTAGTTAAGTTTGAAGGATTTACAGTCACAGAAAGATATTTCATTTGAATATGTTGAATATTTTACAGTTTTTATTTACAAAACAGATTTGAAAAATAAACCTCAAGGTTCAAAGTACATTATGTATATCATTCTAGTATGTCTTAAATCCCTTCTCTTAAATTTGCTAATCTATACCAGCAATGCTTCTTTAGGATATGTCAGTTAATTCTTCTCTTGAGTTGGTTAAGCTTTTCACTGGCTGAGTTGTAATTTCAAAATTGTCTGTTTTGCATTTTATTGCCATTCTAAAAATGACAAGTCAGAAAAATTGTCCAATCATTTATGACACGAGGTCAGAAAAAACATTTACACTTAAACCAAAGGTTAGTAATTTAATTATATTTTACTGAGTGGGGGTTTTATTTGAAGCTTCAAGTTTTTTTTCCTTTTACATGCATTTCATTATAATGAAAGAAATAGAGAAAATAATGATGATTACTACTCAGGTGTGAATCTTACGTAGACTACAATACTCAAAAGGTTTTTTTAAAGTACTGAGGAGGAGCCATAGTGTGGCTCAAAATCCATTTACAATAAAAGACTGTTTTTTAGAGATTTAAATAGCCAAATTAATATGCAAAAGAATTTTTTATTTCTTCTGTTTTCTTTCCATTTTATTTTGGAGAGAAGTTGAGGTCGGTAATGAATAAATAAAAGAAAAAAATCCTTTTGATGTTAATTTTGCTAATGTTGCTAGAATCCAAAGAATTCAAATAAAATAATTAAATAAGAAACAAAAAAAACTTAATTACTCCAGATCAACCCCACATAATTATTAAAGGCAGCCAACCAGCACTACTACACTACCAAAATTAATTATACACTAAAAAAGAAGAAAAACAGACACCAGATGTATTTTGTTGTTTCTTTAAAAAAATGTATTTTTACAGTAATATTAAGTACTACAGTTATTTTAATATAAACGAATTAACCAAGATCAACAATTCATGATTTTTAATGAAAAAAATTAATTAAGATTCTTTGAAAGAAAGTTCACACCATTTCATGATAGATTGAAATTTAAATAATAATTTTATTCACTAGTTTTGCTCTTAATATTTTTTAAGATAATTATTAAGACTTTTTTAAAATATTAATTAATGTTTTTCGAAGACAGTTCTTTTTAGTAGAATTTTATATAATTTTTATTTAACTGGTTTTAAAAAATCTTGTTTCAGTTTGTAATAGGAAAATGTCTTGATTCAGATCTCTACATACAATGCCAATACATTTCCAAGAAACAGTGCATTTTTGAAAAATCATCTAACGAATGGACAATCACAGATTTAGTATTTTTTTATTTTATTTTAAACACTATCCAGTGCTTCTTAATTTAATTTTGTTTGTTTGACAGAGTGTATTGATTACAACCATGGTAAATGATAAAATAATATATGAACCAACTATATTAAAAAATGGCGACATTATATCATTCACTTGTTATGATGAGAGTGAATATTATTTTTTTAATAGTCTACATGACTATCTTATTTTTGGAAAATTGATAACACCAAGCAAAATGTAAGATAATCTAGTTTATACACTCAATCTAAATGGTATATCTACTGCAATAAAACTAGTATGTTTATTATTTTATTATTTAGTTTTAATCTACAAATTTTGCTATTTCATATTTTTAGAGTTAATCCTCGCTTGCAAAGTTACAGCCAGCAGTTTGACAGGCTTAAACAAGCCCATCAGGAGATAATGCATGAACTGTGAGTAAATTATTCTATTTTTTAAATTAAATTATGTACATATATATAGAGAGAAATAGATTTAAAAAATTCATGTTGCAGGGATAGGTTAGACTCGATGATAGATATTGGAAAAATAAGTAAAGGACAATAAATTGTAACAATAGTTCATAATTTTCTCATGTTGCAAATATTAAATTCTTCCATTGAAAAAAAAAATTGGAATCTGTAGCTTTCCCTTTTTTATAATGATATTAACTCAAAAAAAAGTTTAAACATTTTCAACACAAAGCTTGTAATTTTAACATCATACTGGTTTAACAATACTTTTATGTTTTATTCTGTGTTGTACAATCAAAACTTACCAGACAATAATTTTAAACTCATATTTATTTTTGCTATGTTGTATTTTAATTGTTAATTAATAAAGTTGCATCATATATTATGTTATCACTTTTGTTCAAATTATTTTTTAATGAACAAATTTATATGTACATTTATCTTCAGTATAATTCTCTTTCTGATAATATTATTCTTACATCTTTTTCTGATAATTTTTGGCATTTGGTGTGTAGATTTGTTAATCTGTTGCATTTATTTCATTAATGTGCAACAAAATGTTTTATGAGTGATTTTTTATATTTTAACAAATTTCTAATGAATTTGTGTATAGTTGTTACACTATTTCCATATATCCCTAAATAACAATGCTACTGTACTGTTGTATTGTATTAAGCATTATTTGTGAATGCTTTGTAGACTCAAACTTTTTAATAATTCATTACAATAGCTCAACATAATTTTAATTCTGCATCTCAGGGCAAAACTGGATATGCCCAAAAATTAATTAATTCCAATGACATACAGAATATCTTTTGTGAATGTTAGCCCGTTTACGGTACAGCCTCTTTGGCAGGACATTTCTCATAACAAAGGAGATTATGAAGGGGCACCAAAGAAAGTGGTCAGGAAGGAATTATAAGGAATAGAGCTCTTACAAGGTATGGCTAGGAGTCATAGGGGTTTCACAACAGACCTGTTTAGGTCGAAATGGAGGAAAGAAGTGTCTTCTGCATCAACCCCCAAACTGGTAAAGCATACGTGGCAATCCAACCATCAGTAGTTGCCAAGCCCTGGTTTTTGACTCTTAATGTACTAAAAAGGCTACTAAAAACAAAAATCAGACTAATTGTGTAATATTAAATGACCATTAAGTAATGATTATTTAGAGATCATGAGATGAGGTCTGGTGTGATGTAGATTTATAAAAACATTTTCTTTATTGTGCCAATGTTTCGATCTTTATTTAGATCATCTTCAAGGCCTGGGATTTACAAACATTGTTTACATTATACAAATAAATGTAAGATGTGAAAATGAATTTATACAATGATGACACAAAGTAAAATTTTAGGTTTATTCAAAGTATTTGTACTAAATCACAGTGTGTGTTTTCTGTGTAGATGTCATTATTGTGTGTTGTGTTGGGAGTGTTAGTGAGATATAAGTGTTGTTTTTTATATATGTTTGATTTTGAAGGAGTGGGGAAGGAAGTACCTTCTGATAACTTTAAAATAGCCTTCAAAAACTATAAAACTATTCACTTTCTTTTTTCAAAAATTGAAGATCCCACACCTGCAGCAAATAAGTCTGATGTAATTTACAAAATCAATTGTATAAATTGTCCAGCAACTTATATCGGAATTACATCACAGTTTTACCCTCTTGTCCAGATATTGGGATGTAATTCCAATTTATAATGGACAATTTATAAAATTGATTTTTTTACTAAATACTGGACTAAATTTTAAATAATTTGTCTTGTAATCAGGTTTTGAAAATAATATTTTGTGTCTGGTGTTCTCTGTAGAACACGTAAATTTAGCAAATTGATTAATTGTGGACAGTCAATCTATTATTTAAGAGTTTGTAAGAAAATATCAGGTCTTCATTTTGTCATCTTATGTTTAGTGGTTGCAGTTCTGCAGATTCCGTAATAAGTTGGTACAGTGTATCCAAGTATGTTCTAGTACTTTACTTTTAAACCAGAGAGTGTGAATAAATTGTCACTGTATTCAGTCAGAAAATGTCACATTTTCTATTAAATTGTTTGATATTTCTTTATATTTGATTGAATCTAAAAATTTTTAGCATTGTATAAATTCATCTTTTTTTAATCTAAAACTTTCTAGCATTGTATAAATTCATTTTTTTCTCACATCGTACATCTATTTGTAAAATTTAAACAATGTTTATAAATCCCGAGCCCTGAAGATGATCTCAATAAAGATAGAAACGTTGGCAAGATAAAGAAAATGTTTTTGTAAAACCTACGTCACACCAGACCGCATCTCATGATCTCCGAATAATCATTGACTAACGGTCGCTAAACACCACACATTTCTTTATATTATTTAACATTAAAGAACTGAACAGTATTCTAAAATGAGATGGATCATAGCCTTAAACAGTATAATCACTGTTTCTACATCCTTAAAACTTTTTGTAGTTCTATATAACAAACCGAAAATTTGATTTGCTTTATTAATTATTGAGATGCAATGCAAGTTAAATGTCAGGTTGTAAGAGTAGGTGATTCCAAGGTGTTTAATGGTAATCTGCCTATCTAATTGAATGACTTGAATGGAATAGTTATAAAAGACAACACTACATCCAAGACTATAACTAACAACCTTACACTTTTTTTTACATTTAGTTCCATGCCATAGCATGAACACCATTCAACAAGATTATTTACAGATTTTTGCAGAAGCTCAGCATCATGAATTTAAGTTATAGTGGTATAGACCTTCAGATCATCAGCAAAGAGGGAGAAATTGACTGAGTAAAAACAATCAGAAATATCGTTAATAAATGCGTTGGAAAGGAATGGACCGAGTATCGACCCCTGAGGTACACCATATGAGACTACCATTTTCTTGGAAGCTACTAATTAAGTTTCACAAATTGATTTCTTTCTTGCAAATAGGAACTAAACCATTTAAGAAGAGAACCATGTATTCCAAGGATGATGAGTTTTGGATAAGGAGACAAGGAGCTTTTATATTGTTATATTTTATGTATCGTATATTTCTATAGTTAAACATTTTTGTAAATTGTATTAGTAAAGAAATAAAAATATATTATTAATATTGTTTGGCTTTTGGCGAAAAAGACGATTTCAGCGCCCTCATTGAGTAAAACGAATCCATGCTCTGACGGTAAACCTGCTAAGGCGAAAACTGCAAAGTGCAAAGGCAAACTGCAGAGTGCACTGTGCAGAGTAACAACTAACAAGTAACAACTCAACAGTAGTCAGTGTCAGTCGACTAACCTCTAGTCAGTCGTGTTTGTTTATTTAACACAGAACAGAGTTTAAGGTGAAGTGTATCGTGAAACCTGTAGCTCGTTATTATTTATTCAGTTCATACTTCCCTCAATTTATTAATTCCAGTTGAATTCATTTGGGGCTCGAGATCCCAGTGTTGACATCGAGCTAAACGTATGTGAAACGTTTCTTATGCATCGAGATGTTTTCCAAGCTATAACTGGGTGGTTTTGTTTTGCAGAAGGTTGTGAGCGGAAAAATAATGGGAAGATCAATAACACCGCCGAGGAGAAGAAGAAGCAAATCCAGGGAAAGGGACCGCGACAGGGATAGGAGGAGGAGAAGATCCAGATCCAGGGATAGGGACAGGAGAGACGATAGAAGGGACCGGAGGTAATTTTTCCCCTTTTCCAAATAACTTTTTTTTGTTGTGATTCTTGATTTTGAATTACGAAAATCACTCGCCAGGCGTACTTTTTTATTTTTAGTTACATGCCTAACTATTGATAAATATTAAAAATGCTTATTTATTACAAAAGTTGAATAATGTATTGCATGGTGATGAGGATACTAGGAAGTGTGCTCCCCAGGCACTTCAGCTTTTCGGCTTATTGTACCTTCTTAGTTACCTAGTTCAGTGCAGTCGACTCAATCCTTCTTCTCAGAAGTATTTGGTGTTGTGCTATAATTTCATTCCATAGGTTTTTCTCCATTGAGCCGTTACTTCCACTGATGATATGGGTGGTTGTTTCCTCCTCATTGCATAATCTGCATATGGGATCGTCTTTATATATGCCCATGTTGTGTAGATTTTGTCAGATTGGCTTGGCAGTGACCAATTAACAGTCCTGTCACTCCGCTAAGTCTAGCCCACTCCAACTGCAGCAGTGAGTTTGCCAGTCTTGGTGAGGGTTGTTTTAACATAAGTCTGCTTTGTCTAACGATACTAGAGTTTATTCACTTCTCATTTTGTTTTGTTTGGATACATTCTTCAATGGAAGATTCTGTATTTGTTTTTATTATCCCAAGTGTAGGTTTGGAGCCAATGTATGGTCTTACAAATCCTCCTCTGGCCTCCCTGGTCAGTATGTCTGCTTTTTTGTTACCCAAAATTTCTCCATTCTCTGGCACCCAAGATATCATCAGGTTGTTGTGTTCCCCAGGTTTTTCCCAGGAGATTTTGGATGCACACACTAATTTTGATGTGATTCTTTTACATGCTAATGCTTTAATGGCTGCTTGGCTATCGGATCTTTTTTTGCTAGTGTAATCTCTTTTAAGATTTTCTAGGGCACAAGCATTGATGGCATTTTCTGTTTGAATGCCCGAAGTGTACTTCCCTAATGAGTTTGATTGTTCATATCTTGGGCTAGTACAAAAAAACACCCTTTCCGGATTCTTCGTTGGTTTTGGAGCCACCTGTATACCATATCATTGAATCTAATTCTTTCCTGAGTTCTTTCTCTCCTATATAGTCTGTTGAAACTTTGTAGGATTGTGTGGTATTTAGTGACCATTAATTAATGATTATTTGGAGATCGTGAGATGTGGTCTGGTGTGACGTAAAGAAAATCATTTTCTTTATCATGTCAACTTTTCGAACTTTATTGTGATCATCTTGGGGCCTGGGATTTATAAACATTGTTTAAATTTTTCAAATACATGTAGGATGCCGAAAAAAAGAATTTATAAAATGCTAGAAATTTTAAATTCAATCAATGTATTTGTACTCACTCAGTGTTTGTTTTCTGTGTAGATGTGTCATTTTTGTGTGTCGGGTTGAGAGTGCTAGTGAGATATTGATGTTTTATGTTTATATACATTGGACTTTAAAATGTTCGCATGATAAAGAAAATGTTTTTCTAAAACCTACATCACACCAGACCGCATCTCATGAGCTCCAAATAACTTTATAGGATGTTGTAAAGAATGTTTCCGAGATCATATAATCAGTCCCCATTCCTAAGAGTGAGTGTCTGATTTTATTAGTGGTTGAGTGCCTGAATTGTTTAGTTCCTATCCAATTGGATTGTTTTTGAAGCTTTAATGAGCTTTTTATTGCCTCTCCTTGTTTCCAATGGGGATAGGTTTAGCAGTTTCTAGTGCACTTGTAGGGGTTGTTCTCATTACTTCTGTGGTACATAGGTTTGCTAATCTTTGTATGCTGCAATGTATTGCATAGATTTAAGTGTTCAATATTGCCTATTTCCAGAACAATAATTTAATGTAAAATATGGAATATAAATCTAGAAAAGTTATTTATCTCAGAAACACTTTCACTCAATTCATTTTATCTCATTACATTGCAACTGGCCTTAGGCATGGGCATTGATTTGATTGGGTTTTCCAGAAAAAAAATGCAGGTTTTCCTTCAATTACCCCTCTATATAATAAATTGTTTACATTTCATAGATTATTCTTTTGAATGAATGTCAACAATTTTTAATCCTCATAGAAATGGTGAATGATGGAGTGAGTGCGGTGTTCAATCCTTTTTAAAAAAAGATAGTTCCTAGGAACTATCTTTAAAAAAAAAATTTAATCCTCTTCCAAACAAACATGTTGTTTACTTCAGTAGCATTTCATTTCTTGGGAATAATTCAGTCTTTACTAAGATGTCAACACGTGATTTTTGCATAATTTCGTTTTACAAGTTTAAACTCAGTCGGAACAGTGCCAGAAACGTTAATGAAGTCTGGGGCGATGGCAGTGTGAATTAGAACACAGTTTAGAGATGGTTAAAAAATACTTGGGAGAGGGATATTTTAGCTTAGTGAAGGATTTTCCCCCTAGATGATGATGTTCTTTGAGGTTTGGTCGAAGATAATCCCAGAACATTGTTCGAAAACTTGCTGGGAAATTTTAATTAAGCAAATTGACTGTTGCTGACCACCTTAAGGCAATGGGAAAGGTGAAAAGCTTGAAAATTGGGTTTCTCGAGCATTAAACAACATTAAAAAAAAATTATCGTTATAAATTTGTGCAACCGAAGACATAAAACATAAAATCACTGTAACACTCAAACGTCTTAATTTGCACCGGAAAGATATGAGAAAGAAAATAAATAAAGACAGTTCTTATATGCAGAGTACTACTGCAGCTGTTTGTCACTCCAAAACAAACAAAAATCTGTACTATTATTAAAGCCAAATACATAATCAATCATTCTTCAAATCATAATAGTCTTGAAATTTATGGCATACAGTGGGGCAACGGTGGAAAAATTTTGACTTTCTGAAAGTGCTGATTTCGAAAATCTGATTCTCACAGTATATTAATTTGGTCCACCAAGGATTTGGGCTGAAACCCAACTAAAAACCCCTAAATAGTAGTCCATAATCAAGAGATTGGTAATTGTGAATGAACTTGAGTTAACTTGTGAGGAATGTTATGTCCACGCGAGGTGAGAAAAAAAATTTTTTTTTTTTGCTTCTCTAGTATCTCCAGAAATGCAATACAGCAATCATGTAAATGTTTTTTATTTTTGGTTTTGGACAGTTTGCTGTAGTCTAATCGATTGGAAAATGATTTCATTGAATTCAACACGCTAAAAAATATAAACACACAAAATTTGGTGAACCTAACTTATATAGCATGGGTGTTACTGAATTTTTTCCGCTTTTTGGCGTTTTCACCCCACTGTGCGGTGTCGGTCCTTCCTTGCCAGTTAGACTTGGGTGTTGAGGGTTTAGCATCACCGCTAATGGGTCAATGTAGAAATTTTGCATTTTCCTCTATTTTCGAGGTCACCGTTATATTTAATTTCTTTCAAATAACATTGACGATATTTGAAGACTTTTTACATATCGGTTTTACGGCGATCGCTAAGTTTCCTAAAGAGTTTGTAGTGGTTCAGGTTATTATTGTACATTCCTACTTGTATGGAAAAAAAAAACAAAAAAACAGCCAAATATTTTAATTTGTACATATATACAAAATATTCTTTTGTACGAATGTCAACACTTTTTAATCTTATAGCAGTACCACATTTTCCAAAGCCCCCAACTTATCAATAAAAGGTGATGGTGATTCATTGGTAGGCTTCATCTTCACTGATTTACTACAGCTTCTTAAATTTTGGCGAAACAATCAATGCCGAAATGTATTACTCTCAAATTGAAACATTGTACCAGAAATTGGCATTATTGAAGCCATGTTTTGTCAATCGGAAAAGGTTGATAATGTTAATTGACAACTCTCGACCCCCATGTCTCACATATGACAACACAAAAAATTAGGATCTTGGTTATTAGGTTCTGCCTCACCTTACCTTTTCTCCAGACCTCTCACCTACCAACTACCATTTTTGACAATTGGACCCTTGGACAATGTTTTACAGCATAAAAAAATATTAATCAAAAGTCGTTAGAAAATGCGTTAATAATAAAGAAATTCTCAAAATTCTAGTCTAAAAGAGAATGTTGCTATCATGTTAGGAGAAGTGTATTGAGAGTGATGGAGGATGATTAATAAAAACATGTTTAAAATCATGTATTTATTTTTATTTTATAACCGTAAACCTGAATTATTTACTGGCCAACACAATATTTTTTGTTTAAATTGGACAATATCTTCAACAAAAATCTACTTCGTTGGCTTTACTCTACACGCTAAGAAGTATCTATTCTATTTTTAATAACGTAGGACGCTATTTCATCAGATTAAATAAATCTGCGCATGCTCACTTCAATCAATTTAGCGTTACCGTTCACGCTAGAGTTATGAAAAATCTTCCTAATGATGATAGTTTTCTTTAAGTGCCAGTAATTTTATTGAAGTGCGCTCTTTGAGGTAAAACGAATTTAAAGAAGAATGATGGAGTAATGCAATAACATTGTTTAGATAATTAGTCATATCGTACATAAAAATGGATTGAGAATACGGCATTCAATTGCTTGGCATCTCTTCAACCATAACTAATTTTTATTCCTGCCTGTTTTGATTTAAATTGAAAAGAGACATAGTAAAAAGCTATCCTTTTTCATATTATATATCGATATTTATATAAGCAAAGTTTTTTTACTGTATGTAGATATCGTGGCGGGCATACACCCATAATTAGCAAAATCAGATACCCATTCTTAGAAATGGGGACTGACTATATGATCCTGGAAATATTCTTTACAGCATCCTACAAAGTCTCGACGGACTATAAAGGAGGTGAAGAACACAGGATGGCGTCAAATACAATGATACGGTATATAGATGGGTCCAAAACAAACGAAGGAACCGGGTCGGGCATTTTTTGCACAAGCCCAAACATGAGCAGTCAAACTCATTAGGGAAGTACACTTATATATGACAAACGACAACTGTTGGATCTTGGTTATGAGGTCTGCCTCACCTTACCTACTCTACACACCTCTGACCTACAGACTACATCAGATACTGGACAACATTTTACAACATGAAAAATTTATTGATCAAAAGTCGTTTTCTGCATTTACAGAACAACTTCTCTACACATCTGATTACAATTTTGAGTCTTTGTTAATAATAAAAGAAGTTGTTGACATCACGTTGGGAGAATTGTATTGAGAGTATGGAGGGTGTTTTAATGAATAAAAAATGTTTAAAATCATTTAATTATTTTTATTTCATAACCATAAACCTGCATTATTTTCAGGTCAACCCAAAAAAACACAACGTTTTAATTGTAGTTGGACAATATTTTCAAATTGTCCAGCCATTTTATATCTTAAATAATGTCTTAAAATTTTCAGCCTTATTAAGCATGTTGTTGATCTTGAAAACTGCTGTTTGGATATTTCAGAATGCTGTTGTTCAGTCTCTTTCTCAATTGGATTGATTTTTGTTAAATTTAACTGTTCTGTCTTGTCTGTAGTGCTGACAGTTCTTTTCAAGCATGCACAGTCCAATATTTACATTTCTAACCTGTTGTAGTTATTGTTTTGCCTTGTCCGCTTTGTAGTGACAATTGGTTAGTGGTTCATAAAACAATCATCTCACAGTGTTACACCATCCATACCCATACCCAGCCTTATTGAGTATCTTCATTGATTGCATAATGATAAAAAAATAATTAGCTCAAATGATGATCATCCTTGCCATGTATGCTTAACTTGTCCCATCATTCAAGAATTTATTTTATTTTCTTAATAAAACATCCTCACTTGCAAGTAGAGACTGTTTCAACAGTCATGTTACGTTATTTACATCTAGGAAACCTGGTGCTATGGTCAAAGCTTGTTTTGTCAATATATGAAGGATTTTAAATGACTCACTCATTCTTGATAGTCAGCAGATGAATTCGGATAGTTTTTGGTACAACTGGAGAACATACATTTTGTTCCGGGCAAATATATGTAACTGAAAAAAATAATCTGCATTGCAATACAAGGCCCCACTTTTTGTGAGATTATAATCTAAAAATTTATGATGTTTTACCATCACAATCCTGCCCTGCTAAGAAGAAATGTTGTATCTCCAAATTGCTACTACTACAAAACTTAAAAGCTGATGTAAATCGATCCAGAAGTATTAAAAGTATCAGTTTAAAATATTTACTTATTGTACATAGCTTAAAAACCAAAAATTTAAAAAAATATGGCAACTCAACTGAAGCCATTCAGCATGAAAAACTATTCTCAAAACTATCATAACAGTAAGTATGACACATCTTCTTAGCAGGGCAGAATTTCATATTTGTTGGATTACTCAGCTTACCATTTTAAGCAGTAGAAGCTGCTCAGGATAAATTGTTGATTCAGTTAGGTTGCAGTGTACTTTAAATATTGAAATTGAAAATATTTTTTCATGCTCTTTTTGGAGAGTTCTTGTTTTATTTTAAATAGAATGCCACTGATATGCTAAAATGACCAATCTTAATATGTAAATAATCTCATTCTTCTAAAATGATAAAATTTTATTAATTATTATTTATTTTCTAGAGACCGCCATGGACATAAAAGGTCATGGTCCAGATCTAAATCTCCCGAACGATTCCGGGAAACAACAGCCCCTCCTCAAAAGCAAATAACTGGTAATTATCCCTGTATGATTGTATAGAAATTATAATTGTAATTAACTGTGATAATATGTTTGATTTTTCTATAGAGGCTGAACTTGAAGGCAAAACGCCTGAAGAACAAGAAATGATGAAGTTGATGGGATTTTGTGGGTTTGACACGACCAAAGGGAGAAAAGTTGACAACAATGAGGTTGGCTCTGTCCATGTTATACTTAAAAGAAAATATCGACAATACATGAACCGGAAAGGAGGGTTTAACCGGCCACTGGATTTTGTAGCTTGATGTGAGATTTTACTGAATTTTTTTTTCTCCCCGCGTGTTGTTATACTTACTATTGTCAAATTAAATTTTAATAATAAACTACATTATGGCAACTTTTCGATTTATTTTAACAACCTTACACTGTAACCAGTGATATTTTTCTAAGGTTATTCTGATACTGATTCCAATTTATATAAGTTCAATTCTGCACACGGATGTACATACATACACACGAATATGGAGCTGAAACTATCAATTCTCGCAGACCACCAGAAATTCCAGCTTTTGTAATTTACAATAAATTACCAGCAGACCTTGAGAATCACTCACCTTGGGTGTTGGCAGTCTATTGTCTGTCAAAGAGCCAAGGTTGGGCTTCAGGTGTTATCAACATCTCGGTCATTTCATCCCTAACGCTATCAGTCATCAGATCCAAACTCCCTCCACTCTTATTCTCTTTTAAATGCAATCTTTCCTTTTGTCTAATGTTAATAATAATAAAAATTGTTTATATCACGTAATAAAGCTTCTATCAGAATATTGAATCGCTAGTTCAGGGGATATTTTCTTAGTATATGTTGTTCTAAAATCTTGCAGTAAAATTTACTTCATTGCCTAAGTTAGTCACCCATATATTAAATGAAATTATCCCACATTATTGCAAGTCTGCATTTATGCCATGTACTATGGACCTCAATTACTGGTAAATAATCTCTAGGCTCCAGTTCCCAGTTAATAAACCACAAAAATGACTAGGGGTATTTGTAAAATATTATTATTCTATTAATTTTAATTAAATTAACCGTTATATTCGTGTTAGTTGGATAAAAGAAAATAGAAAATACAAACCTAAAACAAACGTTAATCCTCATTTTTAATAACAGATTTACTTAAGAATAGTAAATATGAAGATTACTATGTTTCCAATTAATTATTTTTTTATCTAAGGTTTTTGGTTGAGATGAAAAATTAGGGTCACAAGTGGGATTTGAACCCACAACCTTCGGCTCTAACTACAACACAGCTGCTCTAACCACTTGAGCTATGGTGGCTTTGATCCACTAGGGTACCAACTTATCATCTCAACCTATAGCCGTTCAAATTTTCCCTCCTTTCTGCCATTTTCAAATGTCATGTAATCAGGGTTTGATTCTCAGCAATTTTTGAAGTGGCCACGGGATGGTGTTAATTAAGTAATTCATTTTTCATCTCAACCAAAAACCTTGGATAAATAATTAATTGGAATAATTAATATGGCCAGTTATGACCACTAAGCAAATATAGATTAATTTAATAATTAATAGAAGTAATTACTTCACTAATAGCTCCCCATAGCCACTTCAAAAGTCACTGAGAATCGAATCCTGATTTCACGACTTTTGAAATTTTATTTAAAAACTTTCCATTAATTAAGGTTTTTAGTTAAGATAAAAAAGTCAGTGTCACGAGCGGGATTTGAACCCACGACCTTCGGCTAGGTACGCCGCTACTCTACCACCTGAGCTATTGTGACCTCGATCCACTCGGACATCAACTCCCCATCTCAACCCCACCTTATGAGTTTTCCCTTCTTTCGCCATTTTTCAAATGTCGTGTAATCGGTTTGGATTACATCCAAATAATCCAAACCGATTACACGACATTTGAAAAATGGCAAAAGAAGGGAAAACTCATAAGGTGGGGTTGAGATGGGGAGTTGATGTCCGAGTGGATCGAGGTCACGATAGCTCAGGTGGTAGAGCAGCGGCGTATCAAGCCGAAGGTCGTGGGTTCGAATCCCTCTCATGCCATTACCTTTTTTTCATCTCAACTAAAAACCTTAATTAATTAACTGAAGTACACTTCACTAAAGCTCTCCGTCGCCATTTCAATTGTCGTCGAGAATCCAAACCGATTACACGACATTTGAAAAATGGCGAAAGGAGGGAAAACTCATAAGGTGGGGTTGAGATGGGGAGTTGATGTCCGAGTGGATCGAGGTCACGATAGCTCAGGTGGTAGAGCAGCGGCGTATCAAGTCGAAGGTCGTGGGTTCGAATCCCTTTCGTGCCATTAGCTTTTTTTCATCTCAACTAAAAACCTTAATTAATTGTAATAATATTTTAAGTTATAGCAATTTAAACTTGTTTCCCCCCCAAATAATATAGCATTCTGTGTTTATTATGGTTTATTTAATATTTTAAAATTGCTTGTTGATCTCCATGAAGAATTTAATGAGCATGAAGACAAATAAAACACTACTACTAATTCTCAACATCATGTGCCATATTGCAGGAAACTTATTTCCATGTTGAATCAGTTGTCTCAATTAGGCAACTGTTGTGAGGGTCGAATGCCGAGTTGTGTCTTTTGAGTTGAGCTGTTTGTCAGTCCACAAATAAACAAAAATATCTACTATTATTAAAACCAAAACACATTATCAATCATTCCTCAAATCGTCTTGAAATTTACGGCGACAGTCCTTCCTTGCCGGTTTGACTTGGGTGTGTTGAGGGTTTAGCATCACCCAAATGGGCAATGTAGAGATTTTGCATAACGGCCCGCTAGTTCAAGTTCACCGTTATATTTAACGTCTTTCAAATAACGTTGACGATATTTGAAGACTTTTTACATAACTAATCACTAAGTTTCCAAAAGAGTTTGTAGTTCATGTTATTGTGTCACATTCTTACGACTCGTACGAATTTTAAAATGTTAATTATAACATAAACAATTGGTTATATTTTTACATATATAATATTGGGATTTACGGAAAATAAAGCAGGTTTTATTTCAATTATCCCTGTATATAATAAACTTTTTACGATTGATGGCTTATTCTTTTGTTCGAGTGTCAACACTTTAATCATCTTCTAAACCAAAATGTTTGCTTACCTCAGTTCCATTTCGTTACTTGGGAATGAACAGTGATATTGAAGATGTTTTGTACTGTGATAAGAAGGATGAATGCTCAAAGTCTGATAAAGATGGTAAGATGATAGAAAGTTTGAATTAAGGAAGGACGAGGAAACAGTCTGGACTGATAAGCCTTTACACTCAATATATACATAAACGTCTTCTTCAAACTTGATTACTCACCTGTCTGAACCTAATGAGAATGCCCGGGGGGGGGGTAACAGATGCAAAAACATTATTTTCACTTTTTGTGACTAATGAAATGAAAGGAAAAATCATTTATCATACTAATTAGAAAACTCGATGCTCAAGTACAGTGAACCTCTCTATTCATTACCTATGTTGTTGGCAGCCCTAGATGGAACTGTAAAGTTCGTCTACCATGACAACAAAACGTTTTATAAAAAGAATAAAAAGGTTTTATTCATGTATAATATTATCATTAAATATTATTTTACAATAAAAATAATTATTGTGAACTTATGTCTACCATATACCTCATCAAAAAGAGGTAGGGTCGTCCAACCCGACTGTGCCGTGTATTTCATCTTAAAACACTGTATGTTTTGAGGGTTAAACATACTTAAAGGTGTAGAGATTAGTGACCGTTAATCGATAGTTATTCAGATATCGTGAGATGCGGTCGGGAGTGATGTAGAACCCCCCTCAAAACCAAACATATATAAACATGAAACAGCAAAATCTCACTGGCACTCTCAACACGACACACAAGGATGGCACAATTACACAGAAGACAAACACTTTGAGTGAGTAGAAATACTTTGTTTGAATATAAAATATATTTTGCATTGTATAAATTCACTTTTCCACATCCTAAATGTATTTGTTAAATGTAAACATTGTTTGTAAATCCCAGGCCTGAAGATGATCTCAATAAAAGATCGAAACGTTGGCACGATAAAGAAAATGTTTTTCTGAAACCTACATCACTCCCGACCGCATCTCACGATATCTGAATAACTATACTTAAAGGATATATCGACAATACACAAACTGGAAAGGAGGATTTAACTGACCGCTAGATTTTGTAGCTTAATGTGGGATTTATTGTGTAATTTATTCCCATGTGTTGTTATATTTATAAATAAAATTTTAATAATAAACTATATAACTAACATTTTAATTAATTTCAACTTTCCATAATTGAAATTAAAAAGCTACCTCCAAAGAACAACTGTGACGTGACATTTGCCTGAGTCTTCTTCTAACTTTACTAAAATTGCAAGGAGAAAAAGTTTTTGCAAGAAGGAACATTCATTCTTAAAAATAAATATTTATTTTTTAACTAACTTTTCTTTTATTATATGTACCACTGTGAGTAGTAAACCATGCCTACGATTACTACTTGATAAAATAATTTTAAAAAAAGTTTTTTTTTATTATAACAAGCTTCATACAATGATTGTTTAATCAATTCTTGTAGATGAAATTCCATTTTGAACATAGCATACCACAGTACTCAAAACATGACATTTAGTTAATATCGTTTTTATTTTTTATTTGAATCAATTTCTTTCATCATGCATAAACTTTTAACAAAAATACCTGACCTATTGTACAGAATATCTGCACAAACTCCACAAATTGGCGTTATGCCTCATATTTTGCATTAAATACACAATTGTACGTTAAATGCTAAGATATAATATATACCTTTAGTAATGTGTTAACAAGTGTAACAGATTCTAACTTTTGTAATGATCATTCATCACAACAATTGTTTATTAACAAAACATACTAAAAAAGTTTTTTTTACACCAATTTTGACTCAAAACTTTTTTCGTATTTTGTATCCTCTCTTAATTTGTAAACAATTCAGCTATATTCTACTTAGCAAACAAAATATATTTATATTTATACATTTTACATTTTCACCAATTTGCAATATTGTCACTTTCTATTTTTACACTACTCTTTTGTTTTACGATTGGGCTTCCTGAAATTAATAAATTGTTTAATATAGCAATAAACACAGTCAACGTGAACTACATCTGTGAAATGTTACTACATAATTAATTTAGAGATCGAAATCTTAACTTTGTATATCTGATTGTGCTAACATATGTTGGTAAATCTGATTGTGTTAAAACTAACTGGTTTATCACTTAAACATATATTATTTATACTAATAATATCTTAATAGTGAGCCCTTTTGCTATAAATAAAGTCCATGTCTATAATATCAATACAGTATATTTTTCACATTGTATTCAATTGTAAATATGGCCTAATAAATAATGACTGTGTATATTTAGAAAAATATACAATCGAACATTACAAATTTACAAATAGTGTTTATTTAAAAAATAAAATGTTTAAATTTTAACAGAACAATTTTTTTTACACAAATATCACAATACACTAATCAATCTATTTATTTCAGGCATAGCCCTTACATTCATAATACAAATATCTTTATACGCATATCAAATAGTGCCTAGAAACAAGTTAACAACATATTTAAGGTTTTTATGTTTATTTGCTTAATACAAAGAAAAGTATAAATTACAATAGAGGGTTTATTTTTCATGAATCTGTAACTGCCTAAATAAACTTATATATTACTAAATGTTAAATCAACTTATTACGTCATTTTTTATTAGTCAATTTGCCTTGTGAACTTTAACAATTATTTAATGTTTAATTTACAAGGAGGGAAAGGGAACCGTTGTAACAACTTGGACTTTGCCTGAACTTTCTTTCTCCTTTCCAGTTAGCTGCTCCTTAGCTAAATATTATAGTTTTGGCGATTGTTAACTGTTCTTTGCATTTAGTATGTTGGTGCTGGATACTCACCTCCTCCTTCTGAAAATTCACATCAGGGTGGAATTACTTTAAGCCAATTTTGATTTTAAGAGATTAATTAATTTGAGATACAGTTTGTTTAATTATAAAATTAACAGAAGAGCCGAGTGGTTAGGGTGTTCGGCGTTATTTGATAAAAGTATTTTCTTAAGTAGTTTGACCCCTTGTCTGTGCTGCCCAATGGGTAGTCAGACGTTATGCCCTTCTGCTTCATGGAATTACTTTACTTTCATTTATAAGAATAATACTGTGTCGAAATCTAATTAGCACTTAAATGCATTTAAACAAAATGTGGTGATTCTGTGAATGAAAAATTGACTAATTGGCTTAAAACACTCAACTTTAATTTTGGCTGTAATTTAATTTGATCAATGAGCAATATTTAATTGTATTAATATGATAAATTTGAACTTACCATCTTGATTCGAGAAAGGTGGATCTTGGTAAGGTTGGTCATCTTGTGAGTATGAAGAATATGCTGCTGCTCCTCCCATCTGTCCTTCTTCAAAGTTTGAAGCAAACATTGCATTGTTCCCTTGAAGATATCGTTGATATGCAAACCATGTCGATCCAGCCTTTAAATGGGATTTTTATTACAATTTAATATATATTTTTCCATTTGGTATCATTAAAATCCTCACCCAAGAAAATACAGAGAAAAATGAGAACACAATGGCTGCAGAGACTTGTGATGTACTAGCATTATTGTCCATCTCCTCATCAAGTTCCATGTTACTCCATTGGTTTGCCAAGTAGCAAAAACCAACAAAAAACATAAAGGCCCAGAAAGCTAAAAACAATGTTTGTTATGAGACAATCTTGTTAAGAAAATGTTCAACTAATTAAACCTTTGAACATACCTGACAACCCAAGATCTAACAATACATAGTGCTTCCTTGTCTTCACAGAAGAAAATTGTCCAAAAAGATATTCACCAACAAGGAAACCAATAGCAGAGAAGGTCGCTAGAAGGGCGATCGATTCTCCATAATGACAAGGTGAGGCTTTTTTGTTGTATAAACAAATTTCTTTTTTATCGACGTTTGAATAGTACCAACCACCAGATGAGATGCATCCAAAAACAATTATTCCAAAGAGCTGTAAATTGCATTAAAGACAGAAAATTAAAAGTAGCAACTTCTTCTAAGATAAGTAAGAGCATAAGAAATTAGGTTGTGTATTACTTTCAATCTTACACACAACTTTTCCGTTAGAATGAAAATTAATTTGATAATCAAATTTTTATTTTTCTGAATACTGATTTTATTGATGACAAAATCTAGTCTACTTAGTTTAAACGTTGGTGGCAATGCAACTTTCGTTAATTATTTATATTATTTATTTTCTTAGGCTGAGCATGGTTCTTTAATACATATTTGATTTTGATGCTATATTTTAGCAGTTTTTTGTTTGTAATTTTGTTTTTATTAATATGAATACGTTCTACACATGTATTTACCTTTTGGTGTGATATTATAGTCTAATTGAATAAAAGTAGTTGTTTACACTGTTTGTGTTTTATAATCGTGCATAAGATAATTTTATTGCGGGAAAACGAGTAGTATTTTGTACTAATCCGTATTTTTTTGTTGTTTTTTTCCCATAGCCCCTAAGATTATAATTGAACGCTTCCAGGTTCCAGGTATTTCTCAATTGAATCAAACAACTTCGTCCTTTTGCGATATTTTGAACAAGTCATAAATATATGTTCGCACGATTCTGTCACTAAGCAAACATCGCACCTATCCAAACTAAGTTTACCCTTTGAACCAGCAGACCCCGAATTTTGAGTAATACGTAGTTAAACCGCGTAAAATGGATCGTTCTAATTTTAACAGGGCAAAAGGACAATTTTTATGAAATATTGTTAACTAAAAAAGGGGAAGAAATTACGATATTGGTCGCAAAATGAGACCTTGACCCGTTGGAACGTCGACCCGAATTTTATGGAGGACAGAGGCAATGAATGTCCGACCATTTACAATGCCAAATCATAGTTAAATCGTAAGACTATTTTGATGTTTATTTTAACGGTTATGATACGATTTTTTTAAAACATTTTTGACAGGCAAGTTTGGCCGACGATTTACGGCGGGACCGGCCAAAAACTTCAGTAATTGAAAATTGAGCATTACTTGAGTAATACCGTGTGTTTAATTTTTCTAGTGCATCAGGGATTTCATCTTTTGAAATTTCAACCAATACGTGAATGTTTTTTCTATAAAATCGAGTAATCGTTGTATGGAATTCAAGTCAAACTTAATTAAGGTCTTATCCAAATAAATTATCATTAATGGCTTGTTGGAGCTATAGCCTCTTTCCATAGTCAGAATCATGAAAAGATACGATTTATGAACGTGACACACAAGTGAATAGCAAGCAAACTTTAACATAGTCATTCACGACCGTCTAGTTTTCTCATGCAGTTATGGGTTTTTCGGAGTCCCATTTTGGCTCAACAAAGGGATAAATCGTGGGAACAACATGGGATCACAATGAAGGCTTAAAACAGAAATTAACTTTGAACTGTTTTGACAATAGTGCACAATGAATGATGTGTTGTGGCAAAGAAAAGAAAAGACCCTGGCGGTTCTCCTTCTGAGAAATGGAAAACTCCAGCTATTTCTTCTCCTGTAGGTTTGTTAAATCTAAGTACAACTATTGGTACACTATCAACAAAACGCTAAATTATGTTAAAACTTTTGTCCTGTACGCTTCAGCATAAGGGTTTTTAGTCAAAATGCCACAAAGAGCTGTCAAAATTGGGCGGCTTAGTTTTTTGTTATTTTCTGGGCATCCAAAACGCACATCCACAGCTTTGGAGGGGTCTATAAGATATAATTGACCGTATGACGGACCCTCCCGTGGCAACAAATCCGATATGAATCGGTGAATCTGCCCTCAAAGTGTTTAACATTGCAGTGCACACATCTAAAATCCATTGAACCTAAGCTGTACTTAGGTCCTCCATCAGTCATAGTTTAATCACTTATTTACCGTTCTCACGTTTATAATTTATACTTTTTACTATTTTCGGAATAAATTTATGTTCAGGGTCTTTGTTTAAACAATTAAGAATGAAAATCCGTAGAGAGGTTCGGCAGTAATTTTGAACGGGCGTTCACAATTATGTATAAAGATATTAATTTAATAAATAATAAATATATTTTCTGTTTATCTTTCAGTTAATTTGGCCGGATGTCTAGGCATAAAACAATAGAAATTGATAGAATAAAGAAGCTATACACCAATATATCTGACTTCCTGTCTTTTCTATTCTTTACGTTGGCTAATTTAATCAGTATAATTGATTGTCTTAATATTCTATTTTTAAATAATACCCATTATTGTCAAACTTTACTCCATAAATGTAAACTATATTTAAAAAAGAATTAACAAGGTTTTGGCTGAGTTAGCTTGAATTTTCCTTTTGTACAAATCCAGGTGTAGAAAAGATACTTACTTATTCATTTGATTAAAGTTATAGTTTGTTTTTGTGTTGTTTTTTTTCGAAAATAAAGGTTTTCCATGATGGTTTTCCTTAGAAAGCGACAGGTAGTAAACCACGCCCACTATTATTTGTCCTTACTTCTTAAGCATTTTCTCTAGGTGATTTATCGTTTTTAATTGTGGGCCGATGGCTTGCAGCCGGTTAATCAATAATTACACAAAAAAGATCGATTTTACCATCAAGCAATATTTTTCATGTAATTTTCGTAATTATGCCAAATAACGTTGAGGTGGAAATTTCAATTATATTAGCATACATTAAATGTTACAAAATTATTGATTTAATTGACAATTTGTGACGTTTTTTGTATAACCAATCGTGTTTGTATAAAATTCACATTAAAAATAATTACAGAGAGTAAAGACAAAATCGTCGTGTATTTACTTTTTTATAGATAGAAATTACCATTATACTGTGCTAATTTTGTTAGGGCGCGAATAGTTTCGAAATGAAATACTTCTTGTTCTTGTCAATGTTATTCGATCGTCATTTAAAAGATCATTAAAATAAGTCAAATAGAAGAAAATGCATGTATTCCTTTTATCCTTGAAGGACTTTTTCTTGGTTCTTCTTCTTCGTGTAATTTTAAAGTGGTTTAGATATTTCTCTGGTTTAAAATTCAAAACCTACGTACTAAACATTTTAGTTCTGCTTTTTTAGATGTTAAAGTTTGTTAGTACCTTAGATTTTTGAGATACTAAGGAAGAGTACATGCAAGTGAAAATCAATATGAGAGCCGAGAGTAGGTCGTTACATCGAGACTTGGAACATAAAAATCATGTTGAAATGGTGGAACTTACGAGGCAGACAGCTTTAACAATAACTTGGTGCCTCTTAGCGAACAGGATCGGGTCGAAGGGGGCGCCAGCCTTTCCAGCCCCGTACGCTCCTCCGGTCACGTCCATCTTTACCACAATTAAATCCCACTGTACATAAACTTGGTGAAGACCCCGTGGCCCGAGGGGGCGGTGGTGTACGGAAAATGGTGGGGCGAGAAGAGTGGCGCGCGCGCTCCTCCCGACCCACTCGATTCAATACTTCACCATTTTCCACCCTTCTCCGCCCCATTCATAAAATTACGCCCCCTCCGCAAATCGAGACACTTCAGAGAAACGGCGAAGAAACCCGCTCAGTTCAATTTGGGCTTACCTTCGTCATACATAAACGATCTGAAAAAAGCCTATGTATGTCGTATGTTAGTTTAATTTCTGAGATAAAATCGGCCGCACCATATGGTAAGGAGAAAGTGAAATAATAACCCGAGCTTGATTCGAAAGAAATTGCTCTAAGCAGAAATGTTTTTAGTATGATATCTACGTGGTATGGTATGATAATAAAAATACTAGGAAGCGGGGTTTGTGCTCCCCAGGCTCTTCAGCCTTTGTCTTATTGTACCTTCCCAGTTCCCTAGTTCAGTGCAATCGACTATTCCTTATTCTCAGAAGTGTTAGATCATTTACTGTTGCTGCAACAATTTCATTCCCTAGGGTTTTCTGTATGTTATGTTAAATCTCCATTGAGCCACGCATTTGAAGATGATACGGGTGGCTGTGTCCTCCTCCTCATTACATAATCTGCAGATGGGATCATCGTTGTATATGCCCATGTTGTGTAGTTGTTTTCTCAGATGCCAGTGACCGGTTAGTAGTCCTACCCGTCCTCTGAGTTTAGCCCTCTCCAACTGCAGAGTGAGTTTACCAGTCTTGGTGAGGGTTGTTTTAACATAAGTTTACTGTGTCTAGTGATGCTAGAGTTCATCCACTTCTCCTTTTGTTTTGTATGAGATGGAGGATTCTGAATTTGTTTTTATTATCCCAAGTGTAGGGTCGGGGCTAATGTATGGTCTACTACTCTACTAATCCTCCTCTGGTCAGTATGTGCTTTTTCGTTACTCAGAATTTCTCCATTCTGTGGCACCCAAGATATCATCAGGTTCATTTTCCCCTGTCTTGGAGATTTTGGATGCATTAACTGTCTAATTTTGATGTGGTTTTTTTACATGCTAATGCTTTAATAGCTGCTTGGCAGTGTAACCTCTTCTAAGATTTTCCAGGGCACAAGCGTTGATGGCATGTATTTCTGCTTGAATGACCGAAGTGGCAGTCAATGAGTTTGACTGCTCATGCTTTGGGCTTGTGCAAAAAATGCCCGACCCGGTTACTTCGTTTGTTTGGACCCATCTATATACCGTATCATTGTATATGACGCCCTCCTGTGTTCTTCACCTCCTTTATAGTCCGTCGAGACTTTATAGGATGCTGTAAAGAATGTTTCCGGGATCATAGTCAGTCCCCATTTCTAAGAATGGGTATCTGATTTTGTTAATTATGGATGTATGCCCGCCACGATATCTACATACAGTAAAACTTTGCTTATCGATACGATACATTATATAAATATCGATATATAATATGAAAAAAGGATAGCTTTTCACTATGTCTCTTTTCAATCTAAATCAAAACAGGCAGGAATCAAAATTAGTTATGGTTGAAGAGATGCCAAGCAATTGAATGCCGTATTCTCAATCCATTTTTATGTACGATATGACTAATTATCTAAACAATGTTATTGCATTACTCCATCATTCTTCTTTAAATTCGTTTTACCTCAAAGAGCGCACTTCAATAAAATTACTGGCACTTAAAGAAAACTATCGTCATTAGGAAGATTTTCATAACTCTAGCGTGAACGGTAACGCTAAATTGATTGAAGTGAGCATGCGCAGATTTATTTAATCTGATGAAATAGCGTCCTACGTTATTTGTCTTAGAATAGATACTTCTTAGCGTGTAGAGTAAAGCCAACGAAGTAGATTTTTGTTGAAGATATTGTCCAATTTAAACAAAAAATATTGTGTTGGCCAGAAAATAATTCAGGTTTACGGTTATAAAATAAAAACAAATACATGATTTTAAACATGTTTTTATTAATCATCCTCCATCACTCTCAATACACTTCTCCTAACATGATAGCAACATTCTCTACACCCTCTGAATAGAATTTTGAGAATTTCTTTATTATTAACGCATTTTCTAACGACTTTTGATTAATATTTTTTTATGCTGTAAAACATTGTCTAAGTGTCCAATTGTCAAAAATGGTAGTTGGTAGGTGAGAGGTCTGGAGAAAAGGTAAGGTGAGGCAGAACGTAATAACCAAGATCCTAATTTTTTGTGTTGTCATATGTGAGGCATGGGGCCAAGAGTTGTCAATTAACAGAATCGACCTTTCCCGATTCACCAAAGATGGCTTCAATAATGCTCATTTCTGGTACATTGCTTCAATTAAAGAGTAATACATTTCGGAATCGATTGTTTCGCCAAAATTCAAGAAGCTGTAGTAAATCAGCTCAAATGAAATCTACCAAAGAGCCACCATCACCTTTTTTTGATGAGTTGCGGGCTTTTTATTTCTCCTTTATCAAGCCACTGTCCAAAATGTCTGTTATAGAGAATCCACATTTCATCACAAGTAAGAATTCAATGCAGAAAAAGGTTCGTTTCGGCAAAAAAGTGTTGCGCAGCGGAAACGTTATGCAAAATCTCTATTGATCAATTTCGTTGATGCTAAACCCTCAACACACCCAAGTCAAACTGGCAAGGAAGGACCGACGCCGTAAATATTAGCTCTGTTTAGTTAGCAAATGCCAATTCAAAAACCATTATGATTCGAGGAATTATTGATTTTTTGGATTTAATAATAGTAGGGATATTTGTTTATTTATAGCCTGGTAATAAATAAAAAGTAGCTGCAGTTAGTATTCTGTACATAAAAATTGTCTTTACTTATTTTCTTTCTCATATCTTTTCACTGCAACTTACGTCATTTGAGTGTTACAGTGATTTTGTTTTAGTTTCATCTCAAGTCTATTATGATTTTAGGGATTATTGATTACTTTGGTTTTAATAATATTAAAGATTTTTGTTTACTTGTGGGCTGACAAACAGCAGTAGTACTCTGCATACAGGAATTGTCTTTTATTTCTTAACTTAAGACATTTGAGTATTACACTGATTTTATGTTTTATGTTTTTGGTTGCACAAACTTAATAAGGATGATTTTTGGCGGTTATTTAATGCATGAGGAACCAAACTTTCGAGCTTTTTCACCTTTCCAATTGTCTTTAAGTGGTTGGCAACTGTCAATTGCTTACTGAAAGTCTTTCTGCAAGTTTTCGAACATTGTTCTGGGATTATCTTCGACCATTGTTCTGGGATTATCTTCGACCAAAGCTCACAGAACCACACCATCTAAGGAAAAAATCCTTCCTTCCAAGGCTAAAATATCCCTCTCCCACATATTTTTTAACCATCTCTGAACTGTTCTAATTCACACTGCCATCGCCCTAGGGTTCATTAACGTTTCTGGCACCGTTCCGACCGAGTTTAAACTCGTAAAACCAAATTACGCAAAAATCACGCGTTGACATCTTAGTAAAGACTGAATTATTCCCAAGTAACGAAATGGAACTGAGGTAAACAAACATTTTTGTTTAGAAGATGATTAAAGTGTTGACACTCGTACAAAAGAATAAGCCATCAATCGTAAAAAGTTTATTATATACAGGGATAATTGAAATAAAACCTGCTTTATTTTCCGTAAATCCCAATATTATATATGTAAAAATATAACCAATTGTTTATGTTATAATTAACATTTTAAAATTCGTACGAGTCGTAAGAATGTGACACAATAACATGAACTACAAACTCTTTTGGAAACTTAGTGATTAGTTATGTAAAAAGTCTTCAAATATCGTCAACGTTATTTGAAAGACGTTAAATATAACGGTGAACTTGAACTAGCGGGCCGTTATGCAAAATCTCTACATTGCCCATTTGGGTGATGCTAAACCCTCAACACACCCAAGTCAAACCGGCAAGGAAGGACTGTCGCCGTAAATTTCAAGACGATTTGAGGAATGATTGATAATGTGTTTTGGTTTTAATAATAGTAGATATTTTTGTTTATTTGTGGACTGACAAACAGCTCAACTCAAAAGACACAACTCGGCATTCGACCCTCACAACAGTTGCCTAATTGAGACAACTGATTCAACATGGAAATAAGTTTCCTGCAATATGACACATGATGTTGAGAATTAGTAGTAGTGTTTTATTTGTCTTCATGCTCATTAAATTCTTCATGGAGATCAACAAGCAATTTTAAAATATTAAATAAACCATAATAAACACAGAATGCTATATTATTTGGGGGGAAACAAGTTTAAATTGCTATAACTTAAAATATTATTACAATTAATATATTATTACAATTAATTAAGGTTTTTAGTTGAGATGAAAAAAAGCTAATGGCACGAAAGGGATTCGAACCCACGACCTTCGACTTGATACGCCGCTGCTCTACCACCTGAGCTATCGTGACCTCGATCCACTCGGACATCAACTTCCCATCTCAACCCCACCTTATGAGTTTTCCCTCCTTTTGCCATTTTTCAAATGTCGTGTAATCGGTTTGGATTCTCGACGACAATTGAAATGGCGACGGAGAGCTTTAGTGAAGTGTACTTCATTTTAATTCATTAAATTCACTAATTTCGTGGTCCGCTTGACCAATTAATACATTACAATTAATTAAGGTTTTTAGTTGAGATGAAAAAAAGTTAATGGCACGAGAGGGATTCGAACCCACGACCTTCGGCTTGATACGCCGCTGCTCTACCACCTGAGCTATCGTGACCTCGATCCACTCGGACATCAACTCCCCATCTCAACCCCACCTTATGAGTTTTCCCTTCTTTTGCCATTTTTCAAATGTCGTGTAATCGGTTTGGATTATTTGGATGTAATCCAAACCGATTACACGACATTTGAAAAATGGCGAAAGAAGGGAAAACTCATAAGGTGGGGTTGAGAAGGGGAGTTGATGTCCGAGTGGATCGAGGTCACGATAGCTCAGGTGGTAGAACAGCGGCGTATCAAGCCGAAGGTCGTGGGTTCGAATCCCTCTCGTGCCATTATCTTTTTTTCATCTCAACTAAAAACCTTAATTAATTGTAATGTTTAATTGGTCAAGCGGACCACAAAATTAGGGAATTAAAATATTATGTTTGAGAAAAAGAACCTAGCATGTATAAACAATATAATATTTGTTTATGTGTGGTGTTTAGTGATTATTTTAATATTTATAGATAATAAAGGCAAGATGGGAACAAATTGACAATAATAGGTAAAACATTTAATCAGCATAATTATTCATAAATTTAAGTTTAGTTAATGTTATATTTAATGGATATTATTGAAATACAGAAAATTATTATTCAGTTAGTATTATTTATTTTCTGAACAATTTTTATTTGTCTATTAAAAATGACCTTATTTTTAGACAGTTAATAAATTCAAAGACAAGTTTTTAATATTTTGCATATTGTCCTTAGTAATAAATGGTTTACTGTTGTCAATCAAAGACAGATAGATAGTTCATATATGACATAAACTATAATAACAATAAAGTATAGATTTTCTAACAATTTAATATAGTGCTGATTTGTTTTGGCTTTATTATGTATTCATTAGATTTCATGGTCCGATTGACCAAATAACATCTTTCAATTAATTAAAATTGGCAAAAAGGAGGGAAAATTCAAAAGGTTGGGTTGAGATGGTAGTTGGTGTCTGATCGGATCGAAGTCACAATAGCTCAAGTGGTAGAGCAGCGGCGTATTTAGCCAAAGGTCATGGGTTCAAATCCCGCTAGTGACACTGACTTTTTATCTCAACCAATACTTTACATAAAAATTGATTAATTGAAAGGTTTATTATGTATATTATATTTTTATAGCTAATTTTAATTTGATATTTACTCTTAATTGGGAAATATTTTTATTTTAATTTCATTATATTATTTAAGCTAAATAGTTTTTTTTAAAAGGTTAAATAGGTTTTTTCAATATTATTTACATAATTATTTGGAGGTCGTGAGATGCGATCTGGTGTAACGTAGGTTTTAGAAAAACCTTTTATTTATCGTGCCAACATGTTGATCTTTATTGAGATCATCTTCAAGGCTCAAAATATTTGTTTTACATGTAGATGTGTCATTCTTGTCTGTCATGTTGAGAGTGCCCAATTATTTAAATAACAGAATCCCCAGATTTCAGTGTAGTAAAAAAATCTGTTCATAGTAAAATATGTATCAAAAGATTCTGACACCCTCCCTGCTCCAGACTGGTGCTCATGTATTAGCATATAAATTTCTTATTTTATGTACAAGTTTTACTTGATTCCGTACTTAGATTGGACTAACACATTGGACCACTTGACATTGGAATAACATAATTTGACATCTTGGAATTGAGTTAAACGTAACCATAAAAATCTATGAAAAATGATAAGATGTATTTCTTTTATTGTTTTCATTTTAGCTGCACCAAATTTTCTAAACTAAAAATATAGTATAAGGTAGAGCTATTGTTGAAATTCTATTCAGAATTCTGTAATTACATTGTATTTCTCTAACCGTTTAATTACTTTAACTTTTGAAATCACTAACTATACCATATAAATTTGTTTAAAAGTGACCTGGTAAACAAGCTAACCAGCCTTCAAAGCACTAAGCTCAAACATCATTCCAGTTCCAAGATGGTGTTGAACTGCAAAACCAAACTAAATATGTTAGGTATGCAGAACAAAGTCGCCTCTGCTAGGCCCCAGGACATGTGGGAGTAGAAGGCAACAAGAAAGTGGACACCCTTGCAAGAAATGGGGCTGCTATACAGTTGATAGGACCCGAACCCTTCTGTGGCATAGGAAGGCACCCTATCAATGAGTACCTCAAACAGAAGGATAAAAAGAAAATGAGGGAAAACTGGAACTCGTTGGACACAAACACTCCAAGAACCTCCTAACAAATTTTGGAGGGAAAGAAGTAATAGAATGTATCAATGGAAGCAGGAAAAAAACTGTGAATTCTAACAGGACACTGCAAACCAAACAGACATTTAAAGAAGATGGCAAAACCCAACACGGCACGTGCGGATTCTGCAAAGTAGCAGAGGAGATACCAACACACCTATTAACTAACTGCGGTGCTACATTTACCCACAGGAGGATGTGCTTTGGGACGTACAATGTAACTGTGGAAGAAATTCAACCACTGAAACCAAGCCTACTAATCAAATTCCTTGATGAATTAGGACAATAATTGATAATTATAATTATATAATTATGTTTAAACACGTTTACTTCAGTGACGTAATGGATTATTTTTTAAGGGAGGGGCCTCAAGGAGGTTACTTGTATTCTTGTACTTGCGCTGATTGTTTACAAATACTTTCTTTTTTTCTTCGGCGTATTGTACAAATTAACTTTTACCCATGCAATATTCATTTAGGAGAATTTTAGAAAATAAGTTCTAGTTTGTTTCTGAAAGCATTTTTGTCCGCGGGTTATTTTATTAAAGGTATTTGTGTAGAAAGACATCATAATGGATGTGAGTATGAACACGGCACGCTTATTAATTACTTAATAAATGCAGTTGACACATTAAAATCACATTTAAAAAAACTTAGGAATTGAACGGCCCCAGATTTGTAAATTCTATGTGTTTTTGAAGATTTATTTATAAAAAAAGTCCATCTCCCAATTGTTCATTTTTAAACTCTTAAAGCTTTCACTAGATCGACTTGAAAGGCTGAGCCACGTGTGGGATGTTTTTGTTTAACAATTGTTCTTAATCACAAGTTTGTACTATGCCACAAAAAGCTTTATGGAAATACGTCTCAATGCGTTTGCAGTAACTTAAGTAAAAGAAGTTACTAATTTTCAGTGGATGAAACTTTTTATCAATTTCAACTTCGTGTTAATCTATCTCTGTTCTTCTTTTAACAACTGAACGACCCGTTTTAAGTCAAGTAGGCCTTGTTAGCACATAATTTCTGTGTGACATTCCTGAAAATGAAAATGACATCGAGGTATGAAACTTCGATAATAGTGCCACATTAAAGGAAAATTTGGTCTTCAGTACACTCAATGTGTAAGTTGTTTGGACATTTGTAGTTTGAAAAAAATTGCAAGTGTCATTAAATTGTAATACGACTACTGGTTAGGGGTCATCCCTCTGTAATACACTAATTTACTAAAACATAAATAAATCTATGCAATCGAGTTGCTGTACTGCACCAATCCTTTAGTCTCAATCTTGCTCTTTTAAACTACCATGTCTTCCGAGTAATAATGGGAAAAACTGCAAGACTTAAAAATAGATTTTTCCAATCAAAACTTAAGTTGTATTGCTACGGAATTAATTTCTCCTCTGTATGGCTCTTAAGTATCAAATGTTGTGGCCTGTATTCTCATGATCACAAATAATTGGTTGAAAATAAAAAAATTAATTTTTTATTGCTTCATTTATGGCTCTTTTATTATAACTAGTTTTAACAAGGAAAAAACCTACAATCTACAGATTATCTATCTATACCTAGGGGTAAAAGAGGTGTCTATAAGGCCTTCTACACCTAGACCTAAGTAAATCTGTAGTGCTCTCTTATTAGGCCTAATTAAATCATATATTGGAAACATTATAACAATAGTGTAACTATATCCCTTTTTTTAATATTATTATTGCAATATTTTTCATTTAAAATGTTTTATGCTACTTATATTAAGTTGAATGTCCGATTGTTTTAGCCGGGGCTTCAAGAGATGACTGATTTCAGAGTATTCAGGACGGTGTTTTACTACTGCATTGTCATTATTACGTTGCCGGTGGTAACGTTCTTCGGTTCGAAAGTATTCATATTTGAAGGTATTGATGAATATCTTAGGTTATTTTTATATTATCGCTTAAAATTTGTATTTCTTACAGCAGTGATGGGTCTTTCAAATGTGCCAAGCAATGTATATTCAGCGATTAGTGCAATTGCAGTGCTTCATGTGGCGTTGGGGATGTACATCTATAGAGCGATAGCCGAAGGGAAACCTAGCAAACAGGATTAAATGTTTTCCCCTGCTTGATTTATTTTATATAGTTCCAACTTTCATTTCAAATATATTTTGTTGAATTCTTTCTCTGTGCAAATTCCTATAGGTAATAAAGTATATATAAAAACAAAAAATGTTATTAATTTATGCTAATCAAATGACTGGTTAGTTAAAAAAATACATTGTAAATATATGTATATGACATCTTAAATAAATTATTTTATTCTTCATATTGTTTTTAATTTAAACCAGATTTATGAATAAGTAAGACTGGTGATGAAATGATAGTCAAAAGATATCATTTTTATTACCAAGCTTTTAGCAATTACATCAAGTATATACACTCAGATTCATAAATTTGAACATAAAAACTAGCCTGAACACCAGGAAAACGTTAGAAAGATCAGTAATTTGTAAGTTTGTATAGTAAATCCTTCACACAGGTTTCATTATTATTCTCCATACAATAATTATATTATCTACTAATACATATTACAGGGACTGTCAAGTAGTTAAATAGATCCCGTAGTCATGGGTTCAATTCCCACCGTCACATCTAGACTTTTTTTCTGATTTTTAATTCACCAGTTGATGGCCACAATGAAAAGTGACACGACGAAAAAGAACATATCTGAAACAAAAATGCATTTACAAGCATACATTTTTTTTAATGTAATAGTACTTCATTTCATATATAATGCATATGCAACACATATTTAAATTATTAATACCTAATTACATAAAAAACAATTTGTGTGAGTACAAATACTTTTATTAAACCTAAAATTTCCATATTGTGTACATCATTGTATAAATTCATTTTCACATCTTACATGTATTTTATAATTTAAATATTGTGTACAAATTCCAGGCCCTGAAGATGATCTCAATAAAGATCAAAACATGGGTACAATTAACAAAATGTTTTTGTAAACTCACGTCACACCAGACCGCATCTCACGATCTCTAAATAATCATTAATGGTCACTAAACACCACACATTATTAATACTACTGAGTTTCCATTTCCTTTGTTCAATAAACACAAATTGATATTTTTTTTTGCAGGAAACAAGTTTTCGTGGTGTAAAATAACATAAATCGCACATGGGTTAATTTTGTCTTGTAATACAAGCACTTTTTATTAAGATATGGTAAAATTTCAGAAATATGGTTTTTTTACTAGTATTTTCTCCAAAACATTTTAAACTGCATACAATACATCAATATTTTAAATTGGTATTAATATGTACGGACCGATTTACATTGATTTTATCATGTTAAATAAGGGGACTTGATATAATTATTCACACGATTATACACGAAGATAAGGTCAAGATAAATTCTTCTCTTTTCCAAAGTTAAGATATCAAAGGAATCCAAAATATTAAAGTAGTCATGTATAGCCCAGGGAATTTTAAGTAACTTAGAAATGTATTCTGAAGCCTTTCTATTTGTTGGATTTGTGAATCATAATTTAGGGTACAAATTACACATGAATAATTGAGATTCATTCTAACAAAGGATCTGTAAATAATTTTTAAGATTGTCGAGTCAGTGAATTCACTGGTTAGCCTGATGATGTCCCTGCGAGCTCATTAGGATGTATTTGTGATAAGGGTGATGTGAAAATTGAAATTCAGTTTACTATTGAAAATAACACTGAGATCTTTCAGTTCGTAATCTATAGTGTAATCGTAATTGATAGGATAGGTTTTACAAGTATATGTGGCAACATTGCATTTCTTAATATTCAGCACCATTGAATTCCATTGACACCATTCATGAGTAGAGTTCAGGTCAGACTGGATATCAAGACTACGTTGAAAGGTTCTGATGGTTTTATAAAGCTTCAAATCATCGGCATAAAGAAGGAAATTACTATTCTTAATATAACATTTTAAGTCATTAATATTTTTTAAATAAGTTTATTTTTCATTTATTTATTTTATTTTTATTTATTTATTTATTTTAAGGTGAAAAACTGCTCAGTTTTCATCATCTAATGAACTTTTTTGGTTTCTCTGAGGCGAAGTATTCCCCATTGCCAGAGCAGGAAGGAACAAGTTCCCACATCCAGCCCCTTATGGCTTTCATTTACACACACCTAATTTAGCCAGCAATGGTGCAGAATATTTAAATATTTTTGGAAAATTCTGAGCCTTCTCAAGGATTTTACTTTGATCTGACCTAACGTTTCAATCAAGGAACAGGGAATGGTAGGTTTGGGGACATAAATACATTGATTTGGAGGACATAAAAGTGGGCTCCATTCAAAATATCCACACATTGGGAGAGAGGTTTTTGTCATGAGTCAGTCTGGTGTGTCCTAAGTATAATCTGCAAATGACACTTCATCCCATTTATTGGCTTGGGAAGAGATTGACCATGGTTTGGAGTCATTCTTGACCATTCTAAGTTTATTACCTGTTTTTCTCTTCCACGCAGAATCTCATTCTTAAAGTCCTTCCTTTTTAAAGCAGCACTTAAATCCTTTGTTTCCTGCATGTTTAATGCCACCTTCGCAGCCAATAACTGCCAATTCATTATCCTTAATCCCTATGTGACCTGGAATCCAAAGAACGAAACAGAATTCCTTTTCACATAGAGATTGTACATGATCTCCCAGATATCTTGTATGGGAATGGAGGAGGAATTGTCCCAATTATCACAAAATCTTATATAAGTTTTTTGGTACAATTCAATTTAATGCTTGTGCAGTAGCCATTAATTCTACGTTGAAAATGCTAAAAAGTGATAGTAGTCTAAAGTTATTAGTACATAGATTAAATAGTATGAGTGAAAGATGTCCGCCTTGTGGACATGTAGCGTTGAAAAAAAGTCGTTTATTTTCATGTTTATTTTGTTTATTTTCAGAAAGATAAAATTTAAACCACTTTAGTGACAGAGTAGTAAAGCATATGGAGTCCAATTTTTTATCTATAAGTAGATGATTGAACATTGATGTACATATATGATTTTGAATTTTTTCATTATTAATCAGAATCTATTGGCATTTAATGAGAAATACCCATTAATGAACTGTAGAAATTAGTTTGTAAGATTTGTTTAACATTCGCCCCTACAGGAGTTATATCAATTCTGATAGTACTGGCAATAGTCACTCGGTACGCCAAGAACAAGTATTCCAGTAGTAATTTACTTAAAATAGCAAAATGGGATTGTTTTTATTTTAATATCACATATACGCAGCTAATAGTTCAAATTAAAATTAGGATTCAAATAATAAATTGTGTAGATCACAAAGGTAAGAAAGATAACTAGATTTAGTCGTTTATCGCTTTGTTCACCAGGTTTTCTCACATTACAGCTGACTTGTGTTCTTAGTTCTACTCTTTTCGAGTTCTCCTACCGTCGAGAATATACGTCTTTTTAAAAGTAAGATTCATTTTTTTTCTTAAAATGCGGTAGCTATAAAGTTTTGAAAACTTTCACATATTAATATTCATTTAATTTCTTATTAATGAAAACAATTTTGTTCCCTAAAAGATCCGTTCGATATAGCATCTATTTCATAACTTTTTGGGCCTATCTGTGCTGAGGAAAGTCAAGGCGTTTAGTACGAATTAGTTATATATTCACAAATATTATAGTAGCTGCCAAATTGTTCAACATTAACATTTTAATTGATTTGTTACTTTTTTGCAAAGTATGGTTGAGTTGAAAAATTAATATATTAATTTATATAGGTTTAGTGGTCATAATTGATCATATCAATTATTTCTATTAAATATTCTTTTTATCTAAGGTCTCGGCTGAAATGAAAAAGTAAGTGTCACAAGTGGGATTCAAACCCATGACCGATGGCTTTTTCGTCTCAACCAAGACCTTAGGTAAAAAGAATAATTAATTGAAAAATTAATGTCATTAGTGAAATCTTGTAAGTTCAAACAGCAGCATCGAGATTAGTACCACCGCACTCTACTACTTCAACTATCATGACTATTCTCCTCAAGACACCAACTAATCATCTCAACCTTCAACTTTTACATTTCCTTCTTTTCCACCAATAATAAAATATTGAGTAATCATATAATTTTCAGTGATATACAAATCAGCCATAAAGAGTTGTTTATAATTATATTAATAAAATTTGGTGCAATTAACCAAAGTAATTATTTTAATGGCCAAGTATGGTTGAATTTCCAAACTTAGTGTCACAAGCAGAACTCGAACCCATAGACAATTGGGGTCAGTACCCATCTTGTTTCTAAAGATAACTCTCAAATTCATCAATTTGTCAATCACTTAATAATGTGCAAAGCTTTATAACAAATCTAACAACTTTCTGAGAACAACTCAGTTCTTTGAAAAAATATTAACACATAATAAAACAGTTAAAAGTTGAATATAAAATTTAAATATGTTTACTAAAGTTTGTAAGTTTGTTAGAAAGTTAATGCTTGTTTATAACAATTTCAGGTAAAACATATTCAAGATGAGTGACTCAGCTGCAAAAGGACGTCCCATGAGATTTCCTTATACAATGACAGCCAGAATTGCTCAATTTCCATACAAATTTTACTGGAATAAAAATTGGCTCTTCAAATATTACATCTTAGGCTTTCTTGTTTCAATACCAATTTTCAACAAAATTGGAAATGCCAGTAAGTGGTATGTAAATTGTTGTATGGCATATGAATGATTTTTTTGTCGATTGTTTTCAGGTTATAGTCCTGAGAATGTGAAGATGTGGGAGGAAATTCGAAGGAAGCGTTTTTCAGGAGAACATCATTAATATTTACATATATATGTAATTCATTAGTAGTAGTTTGGATGCTGAACTTGAAGAAAACAAAAATACAACCCAAGAAATCAGTTTAAATTGTATGAATGATTAAAGTAAATAAATTTCTGTAAGACAGTTATATTTGTGCATTTATTTTTATTTTATTTTTTACAGCATTCACCAAACATATGATTAAAATAACAAGAAAAAAAATCAAATTCAAATTAACGACAGTAGTACAGAGCACACATTACATTAACTTTATTTTGCACGAGTGAACATGTTTCAAAATATTGAACTTGATTCAGTTAGAATGCAAGATCTGGATGCACTTCCCCTCCTTGCGTATCCTAATGAGTCACATATCGCACAACAGAAACTATTAACTTCTATCCGGCAGATGTTTCGTTTTTTTCGTGTATCTGATTATCCACTGTGTGCATATATTATTCCAAATCAAAACGAACACATGACTGAATATCTCGCAGAATGCGATAAGCGGTTGGAATATATAAGTGGTTTTTCTGGCAACGTGGGAACCGGTGTTATAACTAAAATGGAAGCTCTTCTATGGACTGATCTCAGGTACTTTTATCAAGCTAAAGTAGAGCTTTTTAGAGGGTGGAAACTCATGAAATCAGGCTACCCTGATGTGCCTAACGAAGTCGAATGGCTTGGACAAAATCTCTCACCTGGTGCTATAGTAGGCTGCAATCCAAAATTAATGCCATATCCCCTTTGGAACTCTTTACAAGATGGATTAGCAAAATACAAGATAAAACTTGTAGCTATAAGTACTAATTTTGTTGACAATGTATGGATAGACCATCCTGAACCACCGTGCAATTTATTAAAAACAGTACCCGAACAAATGTCTGGAATGACTTCTATTGACAAAGTCTTGGATGTTCACCTGAAGATGCGAGAAAATGAAGCTGATATGTTGATTATCACTGCATTGGATGACATCGCATGGTTATTAAATTTACGTGGAAGTGATATTCCTTACAATCCTGTTTTCTTTGCTTTTGTCGCCATTACTTTCAACAACACTTACTTATTTTTTGATAAGAAAAAGTCCCATCTCAAAATAATGAATCACATAAGGAAGGAAGGTCTCGTCAATTTGCACCCCTACAATAAGTTTTACACTTTTGTAAAGAAAATACTCGAATCAGACAAAGCTGGTATTAAAAAAGTTTGGATCCCCAATTCGACCAATTACTATCTGTACAACTTAATTCCAAGTGAAAAAAGAATCTGTGCCTGTAGTCCGATCCAGATATTAAAAGCTGTGAAAAATGAAGTCGAATCACAGGGGATGTTAAGAGCTAGCATACGAGATGGAATAGCATTATGTCAATTTTTCCAATGGTTGGAAGATGAACTAAAACATGGGGCAGTGTCAGAAATTGATGCAGAAGAAAAATTGGAAAAATTCAGGAAGCTGGAAGAGTTTTATGTCGGACCCAGTTTTCCAACTTCATCTTCTTCAGGTCCACACACAGCTATGCCACACTATGTCGCAAACAAAAATAGTAATCGCATGTTGGCAGCTGATGAAATGTACATGTGTGACACCGGTGCTCACTATGCGGATGGGACTACCGATGTTACTAGAACATTTCATTATGGCGAGCCAACTCCATTTCAGAAAGAATGCTACACCCGCGTGTTCAAAGGGTTGGTGCAATTGACAACTTGTACTTTTCCACAGAAGATCAAAGGAAACGTTTTGGACTGTCTTGCTAGAAAATTTCTTTGGGATATCGGCCTTGATTACGGACATGGGACAGGTCATGGCATCGGGTGTTTTCTCAATGCGCACGAAGGCCCGATGGGAATCTCTTGGAGGCCATATCCTGACGATCCTGGCCTAGACGAAAACATGTTCCTGTCCACCGAGCCCGCTTATTACTGTGAAGGAGAGTTTGGCATGCGAATTGAAAACACCGTTCAAATTGTAGCGGCGACAACTCCTTATAACTACCAAGATAAAACATTCTTAACATTCCAAGCCGTAACATTATGTCCAATTCAGACAAAAATGCTAATTGAAGAATTGCTGACTGTTGACGAGTTGCTATTTCTAAATGCTTATCACAGGGATGTGCACGATAAACTAGCTCCAATTTTGAAAAAGCGAGGACTTCTTCATGTCTATGAATGGCTTGTAAGAGAAACAGCTCCATTCGGAACATTGCCACCAATGGATGAAACATAGAGGCAAAATAAATCATTTTCAAAACAAAAAATACATTTGTGGTTAAACATAAAATTTTGAGTATTATTAATTTATTTAAATTTAATCAGATGTAATGTTTTAGTAGTGATTTAGTTTTAAACTATTGTTTTACTAAATATGATACAAAAGTTTAGGAAACTAATATAAATTTATTTTATGTATGCAAGAGGCAGCAAACAGAGATACACTGTTAAAACGTTAAATTAAGTTGAAGAGGATCAGAAGGAGGTCAACTGGTAACAATGTTCCTTCTGATCCTCTCCATCTAAATTATTAATTGTAGGTTGATCTAAACTTAATTAAAAATTCATTAGATTTTGTGGTCCGATTGACCAAGTGACATCTTTCAATTAATTAATCCTTCTGTAAGGTATTGGTTGAGATAAAAAGTCAGTGTCACGAGCGGGACTCGAACCTACAACCTTCGGCTAAATACGCCGTTGCTCTAATTAACTAAAATGTTGAAATATATATGACAAAGACAGCAAAAATAGACGGACCAAAATGTTAATGTTAATCCACACAACACAATTGGATAATACCAACTAATTACCCTGTAGTAATAGTTTTAGCCAATGAAAAGATAATTAAAATAGAATAATTGGAATATTATATTTTATACGCTAATATCTTAAAGCCATTGGCTTAAGATAAGCATGATTCTGAATTGGAAATCTTGAAATCCCAGTTTTTTGATGTTGGAAATGCTCTATTAAAAGTCATTAATGTCAGTTCTGGAGTGCCACAAGGACACCATTTATCCCGTTACTTTTTAAAATTCTTTTAAATGACATTTCAAAGTGCCCTACCTCATACCAATAATTTCAAGCCCTATAACCTAAAAATATAAGGTTTTAAAATCATTACCTGACTATGATATTGTTCAAACAGAATTAGGAAATTTAGTCAAAAGGTGTGGTACAAATAGTTAATAAATACAGAAAAATGTAATATTGTTAGTTTCCGTAGGAAGCTAAACCCTATTAATTATAATGAATAATGAACTTAACTGAAAAATTTAGCCAAGTATAAGACATAACTCACTTATATAGAAAACAAAAAGCATTAAGTTAAAAATTAAATTCATGAACTAATTCATATCTGTAATTCCAGGCGTGACGGGCATATTGGATAAGTTCTTTTGGGTATTTTGAACGATACAAGAAATAATCAAATTTTATATAAACAGAAACATCATAAATGGAGTCGACAGATTTCACCCAGGATTGAACACTTAGCTAGAAAAGTAGTAATTTTGATCACACCCAAGAGAAAATTGTGACAATAGTAAATATTTACTTTAAAAACACAAAAAAAAAACAAGAGTGCCCACTTTCGTGACTCTCAGTGTAAAAAGGGCACCCTGTATAAAATTAAATTATTCCCTACCTCATACCAATAATGAAAATCCTGTTAAAATAAGGAAAAAAAATTAGATAACCCAATACCAAAAACCAACATAGAAAACAAACCAAATTGGTGTCTCAAAATAAAAATTATACTGATTGCAAGTATTTACTAAAAACACAAGAGTGCCCAAAAATTAAATTATTTCTTTACCCCATATCAGTAATAAAATTCCTGTTAAAATAAGAAAATAAATTACATAATCCAATATAATAAACCAACACAGAATCAAGCAAACCAAATTGGTGTCTCAAAATAAAAATTATAACAATTGCAAGTATTTATTACAAAAACAAGAGTGCCCAATTTTTTTGCCTCAGAGTAAAAAGGGCACCCTATATAAAATTAAATTATTCCTTTACTTCATATCAATAATGAAATTCCTGTTAAAGCAAAAAAATAATTCAGATAAGTCAATATCGAAAACCAACATAGAATCAAACAAACCAAATTGATGTCCAAAATAAAAATAATAACAACGGCAAGTATGTATTTATAAAAAAAGAGGGTGGCCACCTTTTTGCTTCACCGTGTATAGTGTTTAGTTTGTTCGTTTGACCATCTTTTCTTTGGGATTGTTTACCTCTAGTGACGTTCAGGAGATGTTTTTGTTCTTCTTTCAACTGGTGCAGACCCCGTGTACCAATTGTCTCCAGAAAGGTAGCCTTGCGCCACTGTTAACTTGTGCAAGTACAGTTCAATTCCGTTTTTGACTTTTTGTCCTCACTGTTTTCGACAGGACCTGTGTTGTTGGCTCGTGATAAACAATACAAAATTCCTGAATCGAAATATTTTATCTTCTCTTAACGCCGATACCGATTAGTCCGTTATATGAAAAAGAAAGGCATGGTAGTATCGTCTTGTATGTTTATATTATGTACGTAGCCCAGCCATGAAAATCCCTGTGTTACATTTTGGATAACATAACTAATACATGAATTTTGGCCCAGGAAAAATGTCCGGCAGCAGGAACACTGGGACTGTGCCCAAAACGAAGCACACCACACGAGCTAGGCGAGAAAATTCTGTCAACCACATACCAAACAATCTAGTAAGGGTTCGACTATTTAAACTTTAAAAAAATCTCTTTAATATCTATTTACTTGTATTCTAGTAAAGATATTATATCTAAGTTACAGTGAAGAAAGTATAATTAAAACCAACCAAATCTTACAAATTTAATCATTTCAAAACGTGCTGTCCTTCCAATGTTTTTGTTTACTTTATTTAAAATCAGTGATCAATAATTGTACAAATATTAGGTAATAAATAATTTTTGCTGTTGTAAGGTCCAGTTGTATTTAAGTAAATCACCCATTAGTTATTCTGGGTTTAAATTTTGGTCTTTTCCATTGTTTATTTGAATATTCTTACCAGACCGCATCTCACAATCTTCAAATAATAACGGTCACTAAACACTACACTTACCTATTTGTCTTTAAGAGAATCGATAGAAGCCCTTTTATATTAGCCAATGTCTCGGAAACACCTGAGACATTGCTCCTCGCGTGTAAACCGCCCAATATGCATCGATCCCAGGGATGAAGGCAGGGTTCCAAAATACAATAAACCAGAGACAGATATTTTGCACATCTCGTTTACTGGTGTGCATAAAACCAGCAAATACTGTATTTAACCAAGGGTTGTAAATAATTTTAATTTACTATTGAGTTCAGTATAATAGAGTGTAAAAACAGAACTATTACCCTATAAAACAGCCTTTTTTAGCAATCGATCCGCTTTTTCATTGTTTGTTAAACCTACATGAACCCTAACCCAAGCTATTACAAATTCCTTATCCATCTGTTTAAGGCATTTATTTTCTTCAAAATTTATTTTCATCGAGATGTATATAATGAGATGCTTACACCTCATGGTATATTTAAATTAATATCTTGTGTATAAACAGCAAATGAAATTGGGCTTAATATGACACCTTAGAGAAATCCTACTTAAGCTGCATAGACCTTCCACAGAATCCCTAATTTTTAAAAATATTTTTTTAATAGATATTAAATTAATGATATTGTGGACAGTTTTTATGGGGAGGTCAATTTCTCTCAGTTTATGAGCTAAAGTGGAAAGTTTAACTTTGTCATATGTTCCTATGAGGTCTAGGAAGACTGGTATAATTGTCTCGTTTGTGGTAAAAACCTGCCCAAAACTAGTTTGGTTAACTTTGCATTTGTTTGTTTGTTATATAGCAGTTTAGTTGTTTCCAATCATTTTGATCTGCCTATCCTTGTTATTGTGTTATTTACCTTAAGTTGATTTTAATTTTTGTGTAGAAATATTGTATGTAAAAATATAAAAAAGTATTGTATAATGTTGCACCAACATTGCACCAACAATATTTCTTACACATACAAATATCTTTCTACATGAATAATTGTAAATGTTACAATTATTAATTAAATATGATTTTTATTTAATTTTTTTTTTGTAATTTATTTAAGGAGTGGCACCAAGAGGACAGACAAAGGCGAGTCAGGAAAGAGAGTAATAATTACGTTTTCCACCTTCCAGACACTGGTACACAATAAAAATAGTATACTTTAATAGAAGTAATTAATTAATTTTTGAATTTTTTCAGTAGATGAGTTTTCATATGATTCAAGCTGGAGTTCCAGTTGGGGTCCTTCAAATAGAACTGACGATGATGAAGTATTTAAACAATTTTTTTTTCTTTTCTTTCATTGTGGTTAATTTCATTTTTGTTGTTTTCTTTCTTCAAGTTGAGGTGGTCAAGTGTAAAAAGCAGCAACATTACTCCAGAGCGAGGAGGCATGGAACAACACCAAACAAGAAAACAGCGCCAAGAAAATCACGTAAGTGTATTTCTTAACAAATTGTGAAAATTAAATGTTAACTTTTTTTTTTATTTCCAGGTTGTTGATGAAAGGATTGTTCCAGAAAACATTAAGTCTCAGATGGCAAGAGGAAGGCTAAAGATGAAAATAGACCAGTCAGAAAAAAAAGTAGAAAAAAAAACTTTTCTCACACTTACACTTGAACAGTAAGTAAGTATGATTAATTTGTCGATTTTTTATAGATAGAAGAACTTCAACATCAGCAAGCGGCATTAATGACACTTCGCCATAAGGCCATTCAACAGGTGAAACCGGTTCAGGTGTGCTTTGTTTTAATTAAAGTATGCTTAACAATAACTAATTAAACTTAAAAAATATTACAGTTAATTAAGGTTTTTAGTTGAGATAAAACAGTCAATGAAAAGAGCGGGATTCGAACTCACGATCTTCAGCTTGATACGCCGCTGCTCTACCACTTGAGCAGTCGTGACCTCGATCCACTCGGACACAAACTTCCCATCTCAACCTCACCTTTTGAATTTTCCCTCCTTTTTTTATCTCAACTAAAAACCTTAATTAATTGTAATATATTAATTGGTCACGCGGACCACGAAATTAGTGAATTTAAAAAATATTGTTTATAGTACTTTTTGCTTTTGGATATTTTAATTTAATCTAAAGTCTTCCTTAATCCATTCTTGGTTCTATAGTCTTTATAATCATTAATTATTACATTAAATATTTTTGTAATCTTTGTAACTATTATTACTAATATAATAATAATTTTTAAATTTTGTGTTAAGATGGAAGAAATTCATCAGTCGCCCATAGCTTTAAGGAGTAAGGCAATTCAACAGGTCAAACCTGTTCAAGTATGTTAATTTTTCCTTTGAAATAAATATATAAATGCTAGAAAGTATTACACACACAAAATTTTCTTACTTAGATGGAATCCGAAAAAATTGCAAAATTGAATGAAAGAATGGATGACCATGTGAGTGCTTCAGCAGTTTTAAGAAGGAGTCAGTCATAAAAAAGTCTTTCTTCTCTGTAATGTAATTGATGTAATTTTAGATGATCCAGCTTCTAAAAGCGATGGAGAATGGAATCGAACCACCAACAGATCAGCAAGTAAAAAAGAAGCTTAATGAATTACTCGCCAAGAAAGCCCAATGTGATAAGATCCTTTGTTGTCTTGAGTCTGATGTTGTACAAGGTGAATATTTATTATAATTTAATATATAATAAAATATATAAAATTAAATTTATTTTGAGAAACTCTAGATGGCCCGGCTAGTCCTAGTAGTGAAGAATGTGAAAATGGAAGAAATGATTATCATGTATGTTCATTATTATTACCTGTGGTATCTTTCTCCATCAGAATTGTATTTACAGAAAATTGTTAAATTAAGCGACAACTTCATGTTTTGTAGGAAAATGATGTTTCCCTTGGTGCTGTGGGAGGTGAAGTTGAAGATCATCACCAGAATATTGAGTCAGGACTTCAGTGGGATGGAAGTGTTGGAACTTCGAGGAGAGAAGCAGAGAAACAAGATAACAGGGAGATTGACAATATGGCTGCTATCTCTGCTTTTATTGAAAATAAAGAAATGTAACAAACTTTTTATTTTAAAAAATAATTCTTAAGCTTGGAATCAAATAATTTTTTTGTTAAGGAAACTGGATGAAGTCATGACAAAATTTGAACAACTTCAGACCTTGATGGGACACATGGAAAAATTAAGAGATCTTAAATTAAATCAGAGAAGGTATTTAAAACTATCTTAATATACATTTATTTTTTTTATTCACATAAATTATTAATAGTTTGCATAGTGAGGGTCTTGCTGATACTCAACCAGCAGAACAATTACAAGTTCAGCAGGTACAGAGCAAAAACTGTTCTCAATACAGTGCAGTTGTAAGTATATACTATTTTTACTTATTTAATAATGACAATAACTGAACTGAACTTGAATACATAGGAGAAACTTCATTCAAAGAAAGTAGATGTGGGTCTGGAGACACGGCAAATGAACTCTTATCCTCCAAGCACTCAATGTGAGTACATTTTTAATTTAATTTAATTTATTTTTTATTTAAACTTATAACAAATACATTGCTAATCTTGTGTTATACGTATATCAGTACTCACATGGTACAGGAAGCTGGTACTGACATGTGAAGTAAGGTTGCTACTCAGCGACAAAAAATAAATAGCGAAATATTTTACATAAATAACAAGAGCATGTAACATAATTTTAATTAACAGTAGTTATTCAAATATCGTGAGATGCGGTTGGGTGTGATGTAGGTTTCTGAAAAACATTTTCTTTATCGTGCCAACGTTTCGATCTTTTATTGAGATCATCTTCAGGGCTCAAAGTGTTTGTCTTCTATGTAATTGTGCCATCCTTGCGTGTCGTGTTGAGACTGGCATTCTCAACACGACACGCAAGGATGGCACAATTACACAGAAGACAAACACTTTGAGCCCTGAAGATGATCTCAATAAAAGATCGAAACGTTGGCACGATAAAGAAAATGTTTTTCTGAAACCTACATCACACCCGACCGTATCTCACGATATCTGAATAACTATCGATTAACGGTCACTAATCTCTACACACAGTAAATAATAGATTTGTTCCATCATGCGTCTGAACCATCAGCAAACTGGTGGGCACATGCACAGTTTAGTGGAGCTTCCAACACAAATTCAAACCGTTCCAACAAGGCTTCAGGCCAAGTTTAAGACTGGTATTGACATCTAAACAGTTCAAGGATTTTAATATGGACTGGCAGTCAAAGAAATGCACAGATTTTCACCACCTCAAATCAGAAGGTTCTTACAACTAGAGCCTGGATTTTACAACAAAAATCCTCAAACATGCCATATATTGTATATGCACTAGAAAACTCTAAAATATGCATTGAATTTGTTCTAAAGATATGGAAAAAGGAGGATGAATGTCTGAGACATCACCCGACTCATAATTGAATAATTTATTTTTTATTGATATTTTTCAATCTTGTACATATTATCATATTATTCATTTAGAAAAGAAATAGAACAGAAAAAATTCAGTCACACAAAAAATAAGTTAATAAATTATAATAATTAGAAAGAGGACTGACACTATTTTTTTTCCACAACCTGTCTACTTCAGGAAAATTAGGTGCTCTCAAATAAGACGCCGATTATTTCAAAAGAATTTTTTTGTGTCAGTTTGTTTACATTGATAAAATAATATAATAAAGTAAAATAATTGAAAAATTTTCTTTTATTTTTTAGGCCATATTGTTGAAGGTTTATTTATTGCTTAAGATTATTTAAATTTTTCATTAAAAACTACTTTCTACAACACAAACTAAAAAATAAAAGGGAATTTTTAAAATATAAAATGAAAAAGAGGAACAACAACAACAAAGAGAATAAAATAATAATAAAAATTTCAAATTTGGAATATTCTTCAAATATCCAAAAATATGAAGAATAAAATTTGAACCATTGTACCACAGAGGGAGGTATGATTCAGATAAATATGTGATCACCATGGTCGTCGTAAGTGTGATAGACCATTTGACTGTAGGAGTCTGAAGTAGGAAAAAAGCATTCCCCCACAGTTAAGAATCCAAAATCAATCAATGTTCAGACATGGGTAGTCAACAAATAAGAATAGTTTGTGATTGTGTTGGAACAAACCTAATATGTAACTTAAAGATAATGCCATTTAAATTTTATTTTTTATTAAAACAACTGTTAGATCTGAACTTTCCCAATGTTCTGAAGATTGCAAGTGTTAAAGATAAATTTTATAATATGCATAATTTATGCTAAGAAGCGATTCCATACTGGAAAAAATTGCAACTCTGATGATTCCAGTAACAAAATAGAAAAAGTCAAGTTGATATTTACATATATATTTACCTTTAGAGAATTTGTGAGATCATACAGACACTGATACATAAGATCATTTGAATCCTTTGTAAATAAATTGGTTGCTATATTTTATTATACCCAAGTATAGGTTGGTGTAGTTTTGTACTCATCATAGCTTTTATAATCACAATGAGATGTTCAAGCTGGAGGTTCATGACCTCAAAGCAATATTTAATTTTATATTATTGTTGGGTATTTTAGCTACTGATGCTCCTGTCGGCTATCATAATATGTTCGATCCAGCATTAGACAGTTGGCCCGCTCCCTCTTGGAACAGACCAGGACCGACTGGTAATTCTGTAGAGTCTTCCAGGTATATTTGAATTTATTCCTTGCATTGAACTCAGTAATGTCTTGAAATTTTTTAGTGATGATGGAGAAGTAGAATATGATGAGAGTCCAGTTAAACTGTGTTCGAGCACTCTTCGCCAGCCTTCGAACTTTCGCAAATTTAGGTCCTTATTTTCCAGGCGAACTACTCAGCCGAATGCTCCTAACAGCCTCCCACCTTCTTTTAAGCCTGCACCAAGTAAAACACTTGTATTTGTTCAGCAGTAACAATTTCATTAATATTTCCCCATTGCAATGTAGGCCCTGAACATAGTCAACATCAAAATGTTTCTGAGTCGAGGGTTCAGCAGAGAATACAACAACCAGATGAAAATCATTCCTGCCCGAACAATTCATCACTAGCCTATCAAGTGAATCAAGTGAGTTGAAAGAAAATTACAATTATTTTCACTCACTTATCTTTGGGGAAATGCAAAATAAATGCAATATAAATTCAACGTACCTACTAAAAGTTGTCTAACATTTTTTGATTATCATTAATTTATTTTCTTTTTTTAAATTGTAGTTACAAGTGCAGATGGAGCAAATATTTTCTCTGTGCCAAGCTATGATGGAAAAACAAGCCCCATGCTTTAATGGGGGAGGCCAACAGTGGATTCCACCTCCACAAGTTCCGCATCCAGGATATTTACACTATTTGAATAGCCCTGCTGCATCTCAGTGGCAGCAACACCAAATCTTGGTGAACTCTTTGAATCAATGTTGCCAATTGATTTGCCATCAACAGAAAGAGCTCTCTGCATTGAGGCAAGCGTTAGCAATGGTGGGCACATAATTAAACTCTGACTTTTGTATTATGTCTGTTTAGGTAAAAAATCTTTATTTGCAATTTTAATTTCAGCTCCAAGATGAGAGTAATATGTACAAATGTGGTGGGTATGGTAACAATTTGAATTTTGAATCTGGGTTGTTTTGGCCTCAGTCAACACCACAGACACTTAACAATCAAGTACCTCCAGGGAACAGAGCTAACAATTACTGGGACAATTTTAGAAGGTATTTAATAATAAATCTACCAGTGACAATTATTATGATTATTATTATTATTTTTAGTTATTCAAGGCAAAACCTTTTGTCTGGAAGAAACAAAAGCAACGAAGGTAGTATTGCTGATTCAAGCACATTGTTAGCACCAACTGGTCTCCCTTTGCCCGTTCAACCTTCCACAACACAAGCTGAAAGTACATCTAGTAATTTGTATGTACTTTTAATTATTAACAACACAGTACATTGACTTAGAATTATATTTGTTTTTATTACAGACAAACAAATAGAAAGGATAATTGTGTTTCTGATAATTCAAGTCATGACAATTGCAGCCAGAGACAACCTCAGCAAGGTAACTAGAATGAAGTAATGGATTGTTTAATGTTAATTCAAACAATAAATAATACTGTTTAGAAGTTCCAAGTCCTGTTAACAACTGGAATTTCTCTAGAAGAGCTCAAAGAAGTGGCCATAATGCAGATTCTTCGTAAGTGTTCAAACAATTTATTCCAAAGCGACCGTAACTACATGATTTAGTTTTTTAAGATCCGTCTTTTCACTTGAACAATCAATTTATAATGAACTGGAGATAGTGATGGCTGAAAGGAACCGTCCTGCTCTCTTACAACTTCTATCCCATTTAAAAATACTTCGATCATCAAAAGCTGTAAGAAATGTGAATGGGGACTGTTAATTGTTTTGTTAACTAGTTTGATAAAATATTTCAGCACCCATTAGAAGGAGCACAAACCCAGAGGCACAACAGTTGTGATTTGGACCAAAATTTGCCAAATTTTGTTGACAGTTCACAGCATAGTCAGATAACAGATTCTCAGCCTCAACCTCAACCTCAGCCACAACCTCAACCTCAACATCAACAACAACCACAACCATCATTGGCTCAGGTATGATTCAACATCCCAAGTAGAGAAGATATAGCAAGTAAGTTATGTTTATTTGCTATTGAAACAACTGTACCACAATATAATCATTGTATCAATAATATAATCATGCGGCTGGCGGAATGAAATAATCCAAGCTGTAAATTTGTTTTCTTTATTTTCTCCAATTTGTAGATCCTAGCTGGAGCATCCAAGATTATTGACAGAAACAAACAAAATGACATTTGCACATCTGAACTTTTGCAAGATCTTGTTATTTATCTTTCTGAAAGGCTTAATCCTCAAGTTGTCCAGAAGCTTCAAGCTTCTTTATCGAAGTTTCACGGAACAAGGTAAATCAGAATAATTTACGATACATTCATTTGTTATTATTTTTTTCTCTTTCAGTTTAAATGAGGTCGAACATGTTCTACTGTATGATATTTCATCAATTATATTGTCACACGAAGAAGATGTAAATAAAGTTTTATTGTTAATGAAATATAAAATGTGTATATTTTAAATTTATTTAAAAAATATTTTTAGATTAATATGCAATTCGAACATCCTGAACAAGAAGTCGAAGAAGGTGCTGTCGGTGGTATACCACTTCCTCCTCCTCCTCAGCATCAACAAAGCCCTCAAGACAATGTATGTTCACTTATGGAATATTATAAAATTAATGATTTCTAAAACACTTCTTGTGTAAATTACAGGTTGATACAGAGCTTGCTGAAGCTGATCAACCACAGCATAATTCTTCTAGCAATGCCGAGGTAGATTTAAAATAATTAAAGGAGTAGTAGTAGTAAATTATTTATTTCTATTGTTTATACATTATTACTTGTTATGTTATTAATTTAACATGAACTGTTTTGCTTTAATTATAGTACAGCCATTACCTCCAAATGAGCTAATTAGGTTATTTTTTTTCATTTATTTATTGTTGAATAGAATGGTACCAAAAGGGTTATATGTTTTAATTGCTAAGGTAAATATTATAATCATTATCCAAAAATTGTGTAGGCAAAATGATAATTTATAACACTCCTTAATATTATTTAAAGAGTTTAATTATTACAGGCTTTTTGGGGAAAGGATGAATCTGACTTGCCTACAGTAGAAATGGACAATCAAGAACTTCCTCCAGTAAGCTTTGCAATCAGCATTAAAAATCTTATCAATTTAACCTATTTTTCTATCATTTTTAGAGAGAAGACAACGAATCATTACAAAATTCTTGGTCTGCTGAACAGGGTCTCTAAGTACATTTCATCGATTTGAATACCAGTTATTTCTTTTTTAAAGCATATAAAAAAGTCTTATTGTTATATATATATGTGGTATTTCTTCTATTATAAATTTTCTTTTTGTAGTATATACTTTTCAAATCTAATATAATGTATATTATAAATTATATTATTTACATAAATTATTACTTTTTATTTATTTAATCCATAATTAAAACTTCTCAAATACATTCAAGTTTAGAGAAACGTACTCCATTCTTTTTTATTTCTTGTCTTTCTGTTTACAGTAAATTTGCATGAACATTGTCATTCAAATTGTTTTTGCTGAAAACAGCTGTAGTAAACCAAATCGAACATAGTCTTCAATCGTAATATGAAATTCTGATTTTCTGACGCAATCGTTATTGTTTCCAACAGGAAAAAATTCCATTATTTACATAATTATAATAGTGACAAAGGAAGTTTGGTTAAATTATCAACATTTGTAAAATAGTGATCGCATAAAAACTGACAAATATTTTTGAAAAGATAATTCAAAACATGAGGTGTTGCAATTGATAATAACTTTTATAGGTAAATAAAACAAATGCTATTAAAGATGATAAACTACTACCATTGAACAATTATTAATTAATAACAAATTAACATTAATAAACTTTTAAGTTTTTCTCTCCCTATTGTTAAGTGACAGTTTGACATTATTGTAAGTCGTAAGTTCAAAACTTACTGACCAGAGAGTACTTACAAATGGGTCTTTTTTTATCCTTTTACTTTGGGATACATTAAACACTATGCTGTACATAAACTGAATTTGAAGCATTTATTTCTTTGTTATAAAAGATCGTTTTAGTGACTGAACTGGAGTTGAACGGAAGTCAGTAGACTCAGTTCTTGTAAAGCTGGAAGTAATTAACTTTTACTGATTATAAAATTATTGATAATTGCCAGCCTAATTCATTACGAAATTATTCTTTCTTATTTGTAAAATTAGATTAAATGTTTGCAGTTGCTGGTCTTAGTTTTTCTTTTGTATTCTTTTTTTTTAATCAATCAGATGGTATTGCAGAAAATTTTCTTGTTTTGATACCCCAAAATTATGTTATTTTTTATTTTGTAAATAACTATTAAATTAATGATTTAGTTAAAAGTTTGTTTTTGAGAAATGGATTATTACAGACAAAGGTATGTTTTTATTCATGAAGGTGAAATCTTGTCGTTTCATGAAATGTTTTAGTGTTAATAATGTTTTAAACATGTTGTTTATTTATTGGATGTTAATATCATACAGTATTTTTTCTAATTGCAAGACTGAATATTTTGTTTTTCTGATCAGTAAAAATCGGCTATCCCAAGATGAAATTCAGATACTAATAAATAAAGATCCAGATGGTGATTTTGATAAAAGAATACCAGATTCTGAGAGAGCTATCATTCAAAGGGTAAGATATTTAAATGCTTACAATTTAGGATGGATAATTGATATAAAAATGTGAAAAAGTTAATAACTTTCTACAATCAATCTTAATTTAAAGTTTAATGTGTCAGTTGCACATGCAGAACAGGAAAAATTCTGATTGAAATTTGTTAGATTAACAAACATTTTATAACACATGAAAATGTAATTAAATAAAAACCTTGTACTAAAAAGATATTACGCTTTGACCATGAAATGGAACGAAAAAAGGGGGTTAAAAAGTTGCTAATGGAAGAATTGCAGAAAAAAGGATTGCTACAAGGACCAGATGAATTTAAAGAGAATGAATGGCTCACATTTGGTAATGTTAGATTTGCTTATGTATTATGCCAATACATTATGACAAAATGTTTTAGGTGATGTAAATAACACAGTTCAAACTCATGAAACAGAAGAAGATAAATCAGAAAAATCTGTTGAGCCGTTCACATGGAATAACACTGTACATGAAGTAAAAAGTGATCACTCGTTTGACTCTAGGCAGAACACAATCACAAATTATCTAAACTGCTTAGACCAACAACCACAAGACAACAGTTTTATTGATCCAAAGGAGGAGGATTATTTTGCAAAAGGTGGTTTCAAGATTTTTATTCTTAAAAAAAATAATAATTTTATTTTTAATCTATTTTAGCGATTAATGTTGGAGTTTATGCTTCTAGAACCCCCCTCAGTTTTCCAACACCACCTGAAAGATTAGAAAAAAAAGAAATTATTGATCCTCAGGATGAGATAAATATGAATACTGATGTCCGTGCAATTGACTATGGGTAAAGCTACACTAAAAATTAAAAACTATAAATATAATTGAAAATAGAATATAATAACAAAGAAATATTTCGATATTTACTACAGTCTCAATATTATTAGAACACAAATTTTTTCAATATTTGCTTTATTAATAATATGTGGAAAGAAATTTTTCTATAGAGAATAATTACTGTCTATTATTTTTGTTTTATGTGATAGAGATTAGGGATATGGTCTTATCATATTATTATCATATAATGACTCTCTCTCCATTAAAGTAATTGGTGATGGCCAGTCTTATGAACTCATATTATTTTTAGTAACTGATAAAAAACTCTCTTGAGCAACTGTACACAAATGGCTTCCAAACTGAGTTCAACTCTAATCTAGTGTTGAGCAGTATGGGATATTTGTTTAAACTGATGCATCTGTAATTTGTCTAGTTCTGCTAGGTCAGACATCTCACGCCCTCTACCCTCCTTGCATCCTATGCAGACAATACAGCTGTGCTTTCCTCTGATTCCAGCAATCGTGTAGGAGGAGCTTCAGGCACATGACCAATGAATAGTCAAATGGAGCAAACTTGAGAGGATAAAAATCAATGAAAACAAATGCATCCATGTTATATTTACCCTCAGAACCCCTCACACAATATTCCTATCCCTAAAACCGACTGTGTACACTATCTTGAGTTTTATCTTGACATACGCTTAACCTGAAACTGACACATACAAATAAAAAAACAGGAACTGAACAGATATGTTGGACAAAAAACAAACTGACACTACAAAACATTACTGAAACTGATTTGTACATATGGACTAGAACTGTGGGGCACCGCTAAACCTACCAATATCCAATGAATTCAATCCTTCCAATCCAAAGTCCTCAGAATAATAGTAATTCCCTACTACATCTCCAATACCACCCTCCACAACAACCTCACAATATCCTTTATAAATAAATTAGTCCTCACCACATTTTTCACTTTCCATGATAAATTAGCCTCACATCCCAAAACATTAGCTCATAAATAACTATTCAAAAAGCTAGAAGGGCAACAATGGTTGTATGCAGAATATAATTGAGATATTAAAAAACACTAAATACTTTATTTTAAGCTCCTATTGAATTTGACTATTAATATATTAAAATATTTTCGCCTTACCAAGAGTTTTAATCTATTTGTTAAAAGAATTAGTAACTGCCAAGTTTAATTTTTATAGTATTATATTTAGTATCACCACACATATTTAGTATATATGACCTCTAGTATACAGCACAATACTTTGCTAGGATATCAAGAGTTTGCTGAGCTTTTTTTACCAAAGTGGAAAAGATTACTAGGTTGTCTGCATATTTTTCTCAAAGCCAATACCACCAATGGCATGGTCTTTAAAATATTGTACTAAATCTTCCTTAAACTATGAGTATAATTGATTCCCCTAGATGAGATATTTGCCCACTAATTGCCCAATAATTTATGATTTTTAGTTTTAGCTTAATATTAAGTAATTAATAATAATAAATAGCTGAAATTAGAAAGTGATTTATTGAAATCTAATAAACTGAATTATTAAAACTTGAATATTTCATTGTTGTCAAGAAATAAGCATTATTTAAAAAACTTATTAAAAAAAATGACAAAAAATTATGAAAAAAAAATTGTTCACAAATTTAAATTTGTGAATAGAGCCATCTTTTATATACAAAAAAGCACTTCTTCCTTATGAAAAAATCCAAAAAAAGGGAATTTGTGCACAATGCTTCAAAAAAATAAATAAATAAATAAATAAAAACCTTATTTCTGTTTAGTTTAATTATGTGTTATTGCAGAGAAAAGCCACTATTCAGCCATCCCTATCATCCGCCAACCAAAGATCTTAGAAAAACCGTCAAAGAGAAAGCACAAACTGAACTTAAAAAGTGTGAGTTTATTATATAATTTATTATTGGTATATTATTTGATTAATTATAGCAAACTGAACTGCTACTAAAAATAATATACCTTATTTCAGTATTTGATACTTTTCCAATGTCTTTATCATTCGAGCACAGATTAGAACAGTCAAGAATGTTAATGGCGAAACGATGCATCAGTGATCTTCTTAAGCCATAATACTTGTTAACCATTTAATTTCATTATATAAAATTAATAAAGCAATCATTTTTAACATATGTATATTTATAATAATCTGTTCTTTTTAATTTGATGATACCTTTACAGACTTACTCTCTCCCTCCTCTTCACACATACTCTCTGGTTTTTCACGTAAGTTTAAAATTGTTTTTAGAATGAGATATTGTCTAAACAATGAGACAGATTGTCCACTATAAAAAGTTAATATCGAAACAGAGTTATTGTCAACTTGAAAATATAATTACAATAATAATAATGTTTATTGGACATTACATTTAATTCATTATGTTTTAGTGGTCTAATTGACCAAATTACTTCTTTCAATTAATTTTTTTTTAATGTAAGATCTCTGTAGAGACGAAAAAGCTACTGTCACAAGTGGGATTCGAACCCACGACCTTCGGCTTACATTTATTTATTACATTAAATTACATTACATTTAACGATAATAATTTAAAGAAATAAATAAAATTCCGTCTTTCAGAAGGTGGCCTCAGAAAATGCATTGCTGAATACATAATACCTATAGCATTACATGTACATACATATAGACATAATAAATGATAGAACAAAAAATATCAACAGAAAAATCTCATAAAACAAATAAATGAAGTGGCGATACAATATATATATTTTTTAATTTCATAAAATTAACACCCTTAAAGTTTGTACAGTTGGTGTGCAGCTGTCCTATTGTGAGTTGACAATAGTCTGTTTACTTGAATAGAAGGCCAAGTGTATTTGCATAACAAAAGTCAAAGCACATAAAAAATGTTTATATAATTTTCTGTCTTTTCTTAGAACATGAAAGTTGATTAAAAATGAAAACATTTTCCATTTTTTATGTAAGGTAAAAATTATTTGATAATTCTTCAATCTCTTGTAAATATTATTACATCCTTGGCATCAACAACAACGGTTAGTGCATTGCCACAGCGACCGATCACAGTCAAGGTCCTGGGACTGTTGTATACCTCCTTTGATCTGGGACCTGCACTAACCAAAATCTTCCAGTTCACTTTTCTCAGGAAATGTAGTTGAGAATAATCTTAATTGTAATAGGAAAGGTACTCTCAGCAAATAAATTTGTACATTATATNTTTTTTTTTCTAATAAGTTGATTGAAGCCACATATTTAACTTTCATACAACCTTGCACGAAAAATCAATCTTAGACAAACTGACAAATGTGATCTCAAAAACAAATAATAATATTAATGTTAATCCTCTTTAACGTTAACAGAAAATAATAGCACACTAAGGAAAGAAAAAATACTGAATAAATTTTCAATACATAAATATTATCCCCATAGCCACAAAATAAGATAAGAAATCTAATGGCCTATTTGTGTGCATTTACACCAAAAGTAAGTAGTAAATATTGGCAACTCATTCTCCGAATACAAAGTGGAGAAAAACCAGAAAACCTTTCATAAAGAGTGAGAGATTTTTGCTAATACAGGCTAATACTAGGACCCATAGAGCCCATATTGTGGATGACCACCAATTATGGTTTTGCGTGTATTAAATTAGTTTTTAAAAAGAATACTATTTATTACACAGCAAGGAAATACAAAACTGGAAAAACCACTTCCAATTAGGGAATCTTCGGTCTATATGCGATGAAAGCCCGAGACGGATTGAATAAAAAATATTAATATTAGCAAAGGCTTGGGGATGTAATGAAGGAGGAGTTTCTTGGAAGTGAACACGTGCAGGTGTGATAAGGGAGGAATGTGAAGGGTTGCAACAGATAAGGGTCAAGCGAGTAACACCTCCCCTTTTAAAAAAATAAACTTCCTCCTGGATTCCCTATTACAATATTACCATACACTATATCACTAAGCTAACATATTACCTTCATTACATACATTCCATGATTCAAGTCATATTCATAATACAATATAATTCAATAATATATGATTATAAAACAGTCTATTTAATTTTATTTAATACATGATTATAAAACGTTAATTTGATTTAATTCGATTTCTTCCATATTCGAATCTGTTTTAACCTCTTTTGAATTCATGCTATTTATTTTATTTCGACAAATTTCAAACTTAAGCATACAATATATAATTATAAAAATAATAATTAATACAATGATTATCATCATACAATACAATATAAAATTGAACCTGTATTTTCTTCATTAATATTCTTATGGATTTACAGGAATTAAAGGATTCAAGGGTATATCTTGTGGAGATTTTGTTACTGACGGAATATTGCGCGATTAATTGGTTTTGGATATTTAGTTGATTTTCCTATATGTGACTTAAAACTGTGTTGAAATGTTTGCCGTCATCATAGTCTGTTACCCGTTATTTATAATAGTGCCGAGTCCATTAATTAATCCTCGTCTTGTTCTATTATTCGAATGGATTTTTATATTGTTAGTTTTTCTTTCTACGGTAATTTTTGTAAAATTCAGAAGGTTAATTGGGGTCTCTAAGTCTTGTAGTATAGTTCGATTTGTTTTAATTGCTGCAAGAATTTTGTTGTATTGTGTGGCCAGCTCAAAGTCCGGATTTGAAAACAATCGAACACATTTGGAACCAACTTAAACGACGAGTATGACTGTAAAACCCAGGCCCTAGCACCCTAGAAAAGTTGGAAACAGCTGTTCTTGATGAATGGGGAAGAATTCCTCAGGGTTTTACAGAAAGAAATCTTTTTCAAGGAATGCAAAGGCGTTTAACGGACGTTATTCGTGCCAGAGGTGGAAACACTCAGATTTAAAAGACACAAATTGTTTTTTAATTTAATTTATTTATTTATCTTTTCATTTATTTATTTTTGTTCTTACTTAATAATTTGTTGAAGTCGTGAGGAGCGGTCAAGAATGAGGTAGTATAGAAAAACACATTTTTTATTTTTTTGCCGACGTTTCGACCTTTATTCGGTGATCTTCAGGGCCTGGGTTAATTACAAAACATATGTTGATTGGAAATAATTGTTTTTTACCAGGCCCCGAAGATGACCCGAATAAAGGTCGAAACGTTGGGAAAAAATGAAAAGGTGTTTTTCTAAACTATCTCATTCTTGACCGCTCCTCATGACTTCAACAAATTATGAAACAACAGGTCACTAAGAAACACACAATTACTTAATTTTTTTCTAAATATCTCATTTTTACAACCAATCTTATTTTTGGTATGTATGAAAATATGAATAATACATTAAAATTTAATGGTGGTGCATTTAGTTTGCCCATCAGTGTATTTTTCCTAGTAATAATTTATTACTCCTTTTGATTTTGTGCAAGAAAACGTTATGCAACTATCTGACCTAAAAATGTTTCTCGCATTCTGACGGCCGGCCATAAGGACGTGAGCAACTTTCCAGATAATTTGCATGCAAAAACTCTTAAAAGGGCGATTATCAAATTCCGTTTCAACGGAGGATTATTATTTTGAATGAATATTGCAATGAGATTTAAGCCAAGACGGAAGCGCAAGGGTTGTAGGAGGCATGCTGATTAGGCCCGATGTGCTGTCAGCATTTTAAATTTATCAGACGATAAAATAATCTTTTAAATATTCAGATGGGACAATTTAATAAATTAGCAAAAGGTCGCAGATTAAAAATTATCATTATTGTTATTAAATTTTTAAATAGGAATATTGAAGATAATCTATGCTATTACAACTTATCAGTCCATCACGAGCGATGGTCGAATAGATCACAATTTCTTTCCTGTTAAAGTTACCAATTTCGGCATTTTTATAGGTTTACTAGGTTGAAAGAGGATTGACCGATTATTTCATTCGTTTCAAACAGCTCCTATTTCCAGAATTTTTTAGGAAAGGCAAAAACCTGCACCCAAAAGTTTTGGAAATGGGGACCACAAATGAGATGCCGATCATTTCAAGAGAATTCTATTGTGTCGGTTTGTTTAAGTTTTATTTTTAGATAGTTAATGGAAATCCGAATCAAATTTTAGGCTCTTGCCTTTTTCCTGACATGTTTTCAGTTGCCTTCAGTTTATTTTTGTAAGTAATGAAAAATATTTCAAATTTGCGTACTCTTCAAATATGTCGAATAAAATTTGAACCATTGTACCACATAGGTATGATTCGGATAAATATCTGATCACCATGGTTGTGTGTTAACACTGGATATGGTCGAATATACAGGGGCAAATTTATAGAAAAAAGATGGAATAAAATAAAAATATGTGGGATCTGGAGTCCACATAGACTCTCCATTAAACGTCCTAAGTTATGAAAACTAATAAGAAAAATTGCATACAAATCCGGGCATACATTACTCCCTATGTAACTAATAAGTGATATTTTTCTGGCAATAATTATTGAGTTAAATCCGAATTATATACGTAATATAATTCATATGTTTTTAACAAATATGATCATTCTAAATAATTAAAACATATTAACAACAAAATCCTGCTTGAAAGACATTTTTATTTTGACATTCTGTTCTTTCGGGCCGAACAATCTGTAAAAACATTTTTATTTTTAATTCCGCCTTTTGAACATAAAATGACCAAATCATGAGACGAAACGTGAGGGAACAATCTCGTTCGTAAGCGTATCATTTCAATGTTGAAATTTACATCCGCAATTCTTCGTTTGTGAGATGTCTTCCCTGCAGGATTGTTTGATAGTTACCTATCGTTCTGGTCAGCAAGAGTAGGCGGACCACAATGATAGATATCTGTCAAACAATGCATTCTTCATTCGTCTGTGCTTCCTTCAGAACCTTTCATACACGACCTAATTATTTTCCCTGTTAAAGGATTTCGCGGATACACCGGAATTTCTTAACAATTTACCTTGAACTAAATCCGATGAAGGCAATTAGAACGGTGCCCTTCGATTTTAAATAGATCAGTCAAACCTGGTAACAACTTCGTTGAAAATGGAAAATGAATTTCGCAAAATCAGATTTTGTTATCTTAAAAGATGACATTTTATTTGGGAAATTTCTTTTGAAGGCTGTTTTTCTCGAAAAGACCAACTATTTTGAAAGCCAAATTTCTCAACGTAAGACAATTTTTAAGTCGATTTAAATGAAATTAATGAGAATTTTTAGAAATTTAATCAAATTAAATCAAAATGAATATAAAGAGTTGCAGTTAATTATGATTGATTAACTATGATAGTTTTGACTTTCAACACGACTGTCACATTTTAATGCAGATATTAAGACTTGCAAAATGCTTTTTTTTGTACCTAAAAGGCAGATTTGATTCAAATAACATTCTTTTTAAAAGTAAGAATTAATGGGAGCGAACTGACATCACGTGAACTAGCAGCAGAGTGACTTGCAAATTGTCCATGGGCCTGACATCCTTTTTAGCCGTACTCATTCAATTTTAATGAACGAATTCATAAAAAATTAATGTGGCCGAGTTTGCAATTCTATGTGGAATGTAACGTATTTTTATTTTTTCGTACGTAATATTTCTTACAAATGCACAATAGGCGTTGCTTGATTGTTAAATTAAACGTTATAAATTTTGTGACAAGTTTCAATCTCCGTGGAGTACAGTATATGTGTAAATTTATAGGGAATAGTACCACAGCACTCTCTCTCTCTCTCTTTTGCTTCTATATTTCTAGAATTTGAAAAATTTCCAGTATTCATAAAAAAATGTACGAAAGCATTTATAATATGCGTTTTAAACATTCTATAATAAAAGGATTCAATTTCTACATAGATTCAATGAACAATAAAATACAATAAAAAATAAAAATGGAACTGTCGGGAAAGGCATCTATATCGAGACCAAAGCGCAACTGGAATGCCCGTCTCTTTATTTACAGTGAAAAAACTTCTTAAAAAATACAAAATTTAAATAAAAGTTAAAACATAAAAGTTAAGAATAGAGAAGATTGACCGGGAAGAATGTACTTCGGTTCAAGGTTTATATGACAAGATCGAAAGAATAATAAAAAATTCTTTACGCGGCGTCAAAAAGGTCAAAAAAATCAAGTCCGCTGTACCAAAATACTCTATGGAACTGATAAGAAAAAAAGCCTGATGAGAGTTAGAATAAGACCAACTAAGATTTAAAAAAAAAGAGTTAAATGCCCTACGCAAGTTAGTAAGGCACATCAAGAAGGATAAAGAGTACTACAACAACAAATTAGTACCACTGGCAATAGAAAACTCTAACTCTACTAGAAAACATATAAAAAAAATGGGCGGAAAAGAGAATGAACGAGAGAAATTCTCTAACGTCATATTATAGAGATTTTTATGCCAGCCAAGAAAAAAAGTAACAGTTAAAAGATACAAATAAATATTCAAAGCACTCCGGAATTTACAACAGCAGATGACATAGTCATAAAATCGTTAAGACCCTGGGTAATGACGCTAATACGAACGAAATTATTAAAATTACGTGGGAGCCAATGAAGAAAATCTGAGCAAAGCTTTTCAACCAAGGTTTAGAAAATTAAGAAATGCTTAAGTCATGGAACATATCTCATTGTCTTAATGCACAAAAAGAGAAATTTGAACGAAGTAAAAAAACTTTAGACCCAAAAATCTTAATTAGTTTGAGCTTTCACCATTAGTAGGGCATTCTTCAAGTTAATTCTAAACCGCATAAGGATCATCTTACTCCCCGAAAAAGCACGTTTCCGGAAAGGTTTTTGTATAATTGATCATATTCACGTGATTAATCAACTAATAGAAAAATCGTCAGAATTTGATTTCTCGATCTACATGGCTTTTATAGATTTTGAGAAAAAAAGCATTTCCTCTGTGAAACACGCACCTCATGAATCACCACTTCTATACGCAGCACTTGAAAAACAACGTACAACTTAACGTCATAAAGGCTATTACAAAAATGCAAAAGATAGAATTAAAATAGACAAAATCGGGGAAACTTGTTTATACAAATAGGAGTGAAACAAAGAAACCCATTACCCCCAACACTTTTTAATGTCATTCTGAAGAAAATATTTATAAGTCTTAATTGAAACGAAAATATAAGAATAAGAATTTTTATGCCAGGAAAAAGACTATCACACTTGTGTTTTGCGGACAGTCCTCTTTGGTGAGGAGGTGTACCAAAAGGTATGATGCACAGCCTCTGCAAAGCCAGCAACTCAGCAGGTTTAAAAAATACGACATCAAGACTAAACGGTAATATCCCATCACCAAGATCTTAAATGTCAGAAAAAATTGCAATTGCTTACAAATGCAATTAATGCTCTCCTGATAGCAGCCTAGCTTTTGGACCAAGTTACAAGAATTTTGAAAGAATGAAGACATTTTACTGTTACTGATTTGCCAATTTGTATTAAACAATAAATCAAATCATTGTTTAATTATAACATATATCTCATAAATAGTGATTTACCATGAAAAGATAAGTGATGAAATTACTTCCTTCTGTTAAACCAAATTTTTCATCTTCAGTTTTTACTTATTATTATAAAATTTCTCGATTATTGTATACTTTAAAAAAAAGTTTTATTTTTTATTGCTAACATCAATCATTTATTAAATAACCATTTTAATTAATTATTTCAATATTAATCAATTTTATTAACATTAATAATAATAAGATAAGAGATCTCAGTACTGTTGGGCTTATTTCCAAGGTGTACTATTTGGGTTTTCTATGAGGTCACAAAAATACAAATGTATTTTTAAGAGCTTTTTGATTGATTGCACCTGGATCCTCAGTTTTTCAAATATTCCAATTGTTCCAGATTGATTTTGCAATCCAAACAAAAAAGAAATTAACACAACTATTGATTCATGGAAAAGGCAATTACACAATGAATATTACATACATTGTTGGGTAATGTTATTTTATTATACGTTAACTTTTCTTAAAGCAACTACAACAATAACAACAATAATAATAAAATATATCCATATGAATTCAACAATATATTTAATGGCCATCACCGTAATACTAATGCACCACAACCATCAAACAATAATGGTAACTAAATAAGTACCAACAGTTTCTTGGAGGAAACATTTTGGCATATATTAACAACATTGTGGAACAGAAAGGCAGTGAGTTTAAGGCTTGAACATAACTAACAGCCAGAAGAAACACCCATTATTCTTCATATTGTATCAAAATCATACAATATATTTACTTTAAATATGTTAAAGTAAATACGTTTAAATATTTTCTTAGTGAGTTCATATATATAAAAATATATGTAATAATAATGTAATAAATATTTTTTTGGCCTCACAAATACAGAACAAATATCTCAAAACTCAAAATTTATACATTTCATCAAATTGTTAAGCATTTATTAATTAATGATTTGGAATACGTTAAATTATCAATAGTGATTTTTTTTAACCATATTACACAAATATACAGTACCAAAGGATTTGCAATATTCAACTCATCTCATTTATGAACTTTTTATGGAAATGGCTGGTCACATTTTAAAATTACTTGAACATAAATGTAAATAATTTGTGTATCAAGTAAGTACAAATCAATCAATATTATATTAATTATTATAAATTGAACTGCTTGTGCTAAAATTCAAAATGACTGGATAAAATTAAGAACTCTGAACATAATAATTATATTAATTACTGATAATGTAGTAAGTAGTAAATGGAAAACATTTAAGAGGCTATTATGTTGCATTTTTGGATATAACTTAATAGGGCTATACATTTTATTTATATATCTGCAGATATATTGCCCTATTAAGTTATGATATCCAGGAAATCAAACATACAAACAATTATTTTATAATTATTGTTTAACAAGGTTAAGTTCAAACCTTTAGATAGGATATAATGATCAGCAAATCAAAATAAAACTAAATTACTAGTACAAGGTAACAATTGATGTAATCACATTATACAATATTTTGGAGGAAAAAACAGTAGTCGTCAGGTATTACAATTAATACTATAATATTATATATATTAATTATTTTGTACCTTATGTAAATTTACTGAACAAATAATGTCTGAGGGCAGTCTGGAAGAGTACACACTTCTTCTCTACAAGACCGCCTCAGGCTCCTATTGCAATGATCGCATGACACATGAAACAGCCCGAGCTGGTGCCATATTTCAGCTAGATCTTTGACAAAATTGTCTATCATGTTTTGGGAATGGAACGGTGTTGGAGCGAGCCTGAGTTTCTCTTCGCCTTTCGGCACGGTGGGATAATTTATCGCTTGGACATAGTGACCTTTCTGTCTGAGCAAAGTGTCAGAGAGCTTTGAGCAGATGTATGGGTCTCCGATGTGGATCGGGATAATATGAGAGCTTGTCATTTCAACTGGAAAGCCCTGCTCCACCAGCCTATTTCTCAGGTAGTCAACATTTTCCTTGTGCTTCGCTCTCAGCTGCCTTCCTTCATCTGAAGACAAAATTGAAATCGAGGCTATTGCCCCTGCCAAAACTGTAGGAGGTAAAGAAGTAGTAAAGATAAATCCAGCGGCATAGCTTCTAATCATGTCTATTAGTTTTTCCGAAGAGGCAACATAGCCTCCAATATTTCCAAACGCTTTTCCAAGAGTGCCAGAAATAATATCCATTTCATCAAGGAGATTGTCCCTTTCTCCTATACCAGCCCCGTTCTCTCCATACAAGCCAACTGCATGAACTTCATCGATAAAAGTCAAACCACCATGATCGTGAGTGATATTGCATAATTCTTTCAAAGGGCAGATCGCACCAGTCATGGAATGAACTGTCTCAAACGCAACGATTTTGGGCACGGATTTATCTACTTTCTGCAGTTGTTCGTTCAAATGAGATGAATCGTTGTGGCGGAATATGAATTTAGGAGACCTGCTGTTTCTTATGCCTTGAATCATAGATGCATGATTGCCTTCGTCGGAAAAGAAATGCAGATTTGGGATAGTTTTCCCTAATGTGAATAATGTGGAATCATTCGCGACAAAACAAGAAGTGAAAAGAAGAGCTCGTTCCTTTTTATGAAGAACGGCAAGATTATTCTCCAAGGTCTCATGTAGGACAGAATTGCCAGAGATGTTCCTCGTCCCACCAGCACCCGCACCAAATGTATCGACCGCATTGCGAACAGCCTCTTTCACCCTCGGATGACAAGACATGCCCAAGTAATCATTAGCACACCATACAGTGATCAGCCTCTCGCCCCAAGTGGACTCCGTAGCCTTGGGGAAACAGGTGGCGTTTCTATTGATCTTTTTGAACACCCTGTAAGAATGGTCCTTCTTCTTCTTCATGATCTGATCGTGGAAAAAATTCTGGTACGGGAACGGCTCGGCGGGCTCCGTTTTTTTATCATCCTTGGCCAAATTTATCACGTCCTCTTGCATGGCGGGGTTCGCCTCTTTGACCAAGGACTCCTGGCTCTTCGCCAGAAACGGACACTTGGCTACATCTCCCGAGTAGGTGACACTCGATCTGTGAGAAAAGACCGGACAATTCTGGCCGTACATTTTCATCAAGTGGAACCAATAAGTTTTTATGTAATTTGCAGAAAACTTACTCAAAAACGGGCAAGACATTGTTATTCGTTATGTAGAGCTAGTTCGTTTTTTTTTCCAACAATATTTTCTAGATGTCAAGACGACCCGACTCTTTCGAACTCTCAACTTTCACTGAGAGCTTTCGCCTTTCTCACTCAACAGGAGCAATAAACCTAGAGGAGTACTTTCCCATTTTTTCAAAGTGGGGATAGCCTTGACGGAGGGAAAAATATCGATTCTAATACTTTGAACACGTATGCACGTCGATTTCTTTCAAAAATCTCTTCAAAAAATGTCCATACAACAATAGCTTTAATCTAACAATGAAAAATAAACTTTTTAAAAACAGAAATGTTTAAAATATATAAACACGTATAAATCATTCTATATCCATGCATATAATTACAACAGTCTATCTTAAATAGACAAGTTAGAAAAAATTAGTTAACTACATCAACTAAATAATAAAACAATCTACATCCAAAATTATTTTTAAAAAATTCTAAATGGTGAGTTTCAAATTATCGATTGGCATTTGTGTTATTAATCGATCATAGTCCTCAATCGAAGAACGGCTGAAATAGAATCGTAATCGTATATCGCTCTCCTGTTCTCTAATCTGTTCGTCGACTCTCTGACTGTACTTCGGTTTAGGCCATCCGTTTTCGGACGCAATGGTAAGTCAATATCTTTCTTCATCTATGTTTATAGCGTTTATTTTCATTTTATTGTTTACTTTTAAATTTTGCATTTAGTTAATACAGTAGGAAAAACTATTTAACCGTCTTTAATTAAATTAATTCAAGTACAGTTAGAACATAACCTACAACGCCACGTTGTTCATTCTCTCTCTAGTCTCATGCAGTTTTATTCAAATTCAATTTGAATTGCATAAGTCTTTGCTGTGTGTGTATAATATACCCTGATGGGCAAAATAAACCCACCACGCTTAAGTTTTAATGAATTTAGGTTCATTCATATTTTGCATACCAAAAATAAGTTTGTTGGTAAAAATGAGACGCTTAAACAGAAAATGTTAATTACCTAATTCAAAAAAAAAAACAAAAAAAAAACGAATAAAGCACAAAAAACAAAAATAAAGAAAAAGTTTTTGTTCTCTTTAATAATGAGGTGTATCCACCTCTGACACGTATCACGTCTGTTAAACGCCTTTGCATTTCTTGGAAAAAGATTTCTTTCTGTAAAATCCTGAGGTATTCTTTCCCATTCATCAAGAACAGCCTTTTCCAACTTCCAGGGTGTTAGAACCGGTGTTTCTCCGTCGTACTCGTCGCATAAGTATATGGGTTCGATTGAGTTGAAATATGGACTTCGAGCTGGCCACATCAAGCACTCAATACCAACCTCATTCAGGCAATCATCCAGAATATGTGCTCTATGGGGCGTGAAATTATAATGCTTTAGTAAACATCTCACAGATATGAGAGGCCAATGGCTCCATATGTTTTTTTATGGTTTTGCAAATACTTCTGTGATGTTCGAGATCTTCCTCATACAACCAGTTTGGTATAGGCATCCATGGAAACGTCACCCCAGAACATCAATCACCCACCATGGAATGCTACCAAAGTAACTAACCATACAGATGGGGCTTAACTTTCTCCTGAGCATCTCCGTATGAAATTTTGCCCATCTGAAGATTTGTGGCCAACTCTTTGCTCATCTATAAAGAGAATCATCCTCAATCTCTTCCAATATCCAATTGGCATGCTATGTACGAATCGAAGCCTGGTCATTTTCTGAGCTGTGGTAAGAAGAGTCCCTGAGCCTTCGGGCCTTGAGATTATTTTCATTTAGCCCTCTTACAGTCCTGGAAGAAATTGAAACATTATTGTTTTGACTACAATAGGTCATAATTAAGGTTAAGTAATTAAGTTAAATTAATTGAGTAGGCATTAAATTTGTCCATCAGTGGAAAATTATTATAGATGGAATTTTTAACTGCACATTCTTATTAGAACACTACAACAGATAGAATAAAATCACATTGCTGATGTTAGTTAACATATTTTCCATTTTGAGTTCATTGGGGGGGAACCATTTCAAATGGCATAGGTGGGTTAATAACAATGTGCTAAGGGTTATAGAAGACTGCATTTTAATGGTTACCATAACATGCTGGAAATAGCCCCCTACATGCTTTAGCATTTCATTTTATGTTTTAGTCTCATCGTAAATTTAGTGCACCTCGTCATGGGTCGATGGGATTCTACCCAAAGAAGAGGTCTTCTCGACATAGAGGAAAGGTTAAGGCTTTCCCTAAGGATGACCCTTCTAAGCCGGTTCACTTAACCGCTTTCATCGGTTACAAAGCCGGTATGACTCACGTTGTGAGGGAAGCTGATCGGCCTGGTTCAAGTAAGTGTAACTTTCAAGTTTTTTGTAATTTACAATTTGCCTTATTCTTATTTCGTTTGTTCTAAAATTACGTTTAACATTTGTAGAGATAAATAAAAAGGAAATTGTGGAGGGTGTAACGATCCTTGAGACTCCACCGATGATGGTCGTTGGAGCAGTTGGCTATATCGAAACTCCCAACGGTCTCAGAGGCCTTGTCACTGTCTGGGCTGAACACATTGGTGAAGAATGCAAAAGGAGATTTTACAAGAACTGGTAAGCATTTTCTTGTACAGTATGTAATAGGCTTATCTGAAATTCTCGTTTCGGTTAAATATTTGTTGTTAATTTATGCGTACAGTCCTCCTCTGAATAAATCACGAGGGCTTGGCTAGTCTTACTGGTAGCGCTTTAAAGGGTTCGTCAAACTCTTAATTGCTGTTTAATACTCGACTGTTTTGACTTTCATATGAAACTCTATATAAACTTCAATAGTCTGTAGAGTATTGAAACCAAAGTTAGGCAAAAACAGTATTGTGGTTGCCAGTAAATAGGGTTACATATTGAATTTCAATACTTTCCTGTATTGTGATCTTGCATTGCTAGCTACCAGAACAAGTACTGGTGGGAGAGGACCGTATTTACCTGTACTTGGGACTTAAATGCCAATTTTTGTTCACTGTTTGATCTAATAGGTACAAATCCAAGAAAGCCGCTTTTACCAAAGCTAGCAAGAAATGGTCTGATCCTCTAGGAAAGAAGCAGATTGAAAAGGACTTTGCAAAAATGGTCAAGTACTGCAAAGTAATAAGAGTCATTGCACATACTCAGGTGAGTCTTGTCTTGTCATTAAGTTAAATTTATTTATCAGTCTTAATTTTAACCAACATTTTTTTGAATAGATGAAACTGATGAAACAGCGACAAAAGAAAGCTCACATCATGGAAATCCAATTGAATGGAGGAACAGTTACAGACAAAGTCCAGTGGGTGAAAGACCATTTGGAAAAGCCAGTCCGGGTTTCTAATGTGTTCGCCTCTGATGAAATGATCGACTGCATTGGAGTCACCAAAGGAAAAGGATTTAAAGGTAAACAGTTTATATCGTTTGTTTTTGGTGAATTAGTCTATTGAAATATTAATGTTAAGTTAAAATTTAAAGGTGTTACATCTCGTTGGCACACAAAGAAACTGCCTAGGAAAACACACAAAGGTCTTAGGAAGGTAGCTTGTATCGGAGCATGGCATCCCAGTAGAGTGCAGTTCACCGTCGCCAGAGCTGGTCAGAAAGGTTATCACCACAGAACTGAAATTAACAAGAAGATCTATAGGATCGGTGAAGGATTTCACACAAAAGATGGAAAAGTAAGTTGTTGTATTTGAGTGGTCAATTAAAGTTTTATGCAGTTCTTATTTTTTATTTTATTACATTTTCTCTCTGCTTTTTATTGATATTTTGTTTTATTTACAACTTTATTTATTGACTACAATTAATTAAGGTTTTTAGTTGAGATGAAAAAAAGTTAATGGCACGAGCATGATTCGAAGTATTAATTGGTCAAGCGGACCATGAAATTAGTGAATATAATGATTAAAATGAAGTACACTTCACTAAAGCTCTCCGTGGCCATTTCATTTGTCGTCGAGAATCCAATCCGATTACATGACATTTGAAAAATGGCAAAAAGGAGGGAAAACTCATAAGGTGGGGTTGAGATGGGAAGTTGATGTCCGAGTGGATCGAGGTCACGATAGCTCAAGCGGTAGAGCAGTGGCGTATCTAGCCGAAGATTGTGGGTTTGAATCCCGCTCGTGCTATTAACTTTTTTTTCATCTCAACTAAAAACCTTAATTAATTGTAATGTATTAATTGGTCAAGCGGACCACGAAATTAATGAATAGAATGAATTTATTTATTGAACTTCATGTTGCCACATTTTACACGTTAAAGTTGCCCGGGGACGACACTCCTTCACATCAAAATGGTTATTAATGAAATTATTTTCAACAGGTCATTAAGAATAATGCTTCAACTGAGTATGATCTTTCCGATAAATCGATCACACCAATGGGAGGCTTCCCTCACTATGGTGAGGTGAACAACGATTTTGTTATGATCAAGGGATGCTGTATGGGTCCAAAGAAAAGGGTCATTACTCTAAGAAAGGTATTGAGATCTTGCATATTATCTGTGCAATTTTTATTAAAAATAGATTTTTAATAAATAATTTGATTATTTTAGTCTCTACTTGTCCACACCAAGAGGGTCGCCTTGGAGAAGATCAACCTGAAATTTATTGATACGTCGTCCAAGTTCGGTCATGGAAGGTTCCAAACTCCGGCCGACAAGACTGCTTTCATGGGAACACTCAAGAAAGATCGTATCAAAGAAGAGGCTGCTACAGCATAACTGTAGTAATAGGATTATAATTTTTTATTACTGTTGTATGCATCAGCTTTTAATAAACTGACTTGTAACAGAATTTTTTTCTTTGTTATTTATTTATCCAGTCAATAATCATGATTACAAGAGGTTTCAAAATGTTGATATACTGTATGTCTATTGATAGATAAATTTTATTATTGCTTGTTATACAGCTATATTTTATTTTTTACAACTGACTGGTGACTTGTGATATGAGCACAACTTGTTAACAATGATTTATAAATTTGGTAGCGAAATTTTGTTTTTAAAACATTTTATTAGTATGGCAGTTGTATCCTTAGTTATTGATAATACTAATTTATCAATGAAGAATTTTCCATTTAAAGCACAGAAGGCCAGTGATGATAAAATTATCTGATAACAAATAGCATTGCTTTTAAGTACTGTCTTCGGAACTGTATTCCTGAGTGAGTATCTTTGACAACAAAACGGATTTGCATAAAAAAATTATTAAGATAAAAAGGTTGAAGTCACAGTGGATGCTTATTGTCAGGACATGGTTCCGAAGACTGGATTCAAATCCTATCTGTGATATTGATGGTTTTTATCTCAAATGTTTTTGAAATTAATATATATCAGAATGGTATTGAAACAGAAAATAAGCGTTAATTAATAGTTCTTTTGTTAGAAGTAGAGACTGGATTTTTGCCTAATTGCACGTTTACACATTTTAAGCTTAATTGCATGAACTTTTTTTAATGCACAATTGAACCAATTTCTTCTCATAGTTAAAAACAAAATAAAATTTCTTAGTTAAATTACTTTGTTTAGATTAAATAGGTGGGTACAAAGGGCCAAGGGGGTCAGTTCTTGCTGAGATTCACTCGATCAAGTAAAATGCCAAAAACAAGCAAATGTTTTTTCACTAAATTGAAACTAGATTTACGATTATCCAGAACTAAAAATTGATGGGAAGGCAGTATTGTTATGGCCACAAGAGAAAATATCGACTAGACACACTGCAGACCGGGTAAGTTTTTTATTTGCTAAATGATTAAAGGAAGGAATGAACAATGTTAGTTTACTCAGATTATGTTTAGTACAAAATAAAAGGCTTCTATTGTTCATATATTTTGTGTGGATGAATTTTATTTCCTTAATTGTATACAGAGTCCCTCTCCCCCAAGCTAGTAAGTGGATAAACGCAATTATCACTGTAACTCATTATCCGTTGTTTGCCAATTAAAAGTTTTTAAAAAATTTCAAAATTTAAAATCTTGACCATTTTTAATTGAAACTGATTAACTAAGTTAAGAGTTAAGTTGTTAAGATAATTATAAAGCAAACTTTTTTTCTTTTGATATTAGAAAAGAAAGTTTATATTCATAGACTAACAAAGACTAAATAATAATATATATTTTACAGAATGAATCCATTTTACAAAAATGTTTAAATATAGAAATGTGCAATATATAAAATATAACAATGTAAAAGCAAAACTAATAAAACAAAAGAAACATTTCTTAATTAAACAATAATAATATGCTAAGTAAGAAAATGGCTTAAAAGAATATCTAATTTAAATATACCCAAAAGAGATCACTTTTTATCATTATTATTGAAAAATTTTAAATTGTCATTGTAAATTAATATATTACAAAAAAAAAGGCATAAAAATATGTTAAGCAAGTAAAAGTAAGAATATATTATGCATACTTAGTTGAATTATGTTTTTTAAAAATATTTTTAATTATAATTAATATAAAGTTAAGTATGGAAATGTATACATGTACATACACATATAGAAGTGCAAGTTAAATAATTTATATGAAAACATTTTATTGTTATGAAAGATAATGTAATTTAAAATACATAATAATTCAAGGTTTAACATGTATGTACATTTGTCTGTAGAATGAAGAAAAAGAAGAATTAAAAATAGTAACATATGGAAAGTTATTGGCTGAAAGCATCATTCTTTCATTAGGAGGATTTTTACATTGAAAAAATAAAAATTATTTAGAAGAATGTTAGGAAATATGAAAAATTCTATTAAGAGTTCATATAACATCATAGTCGAAATACCCTCATAAAAAGAAAAAATAAAATAAAAAAACTAATACAGTACAAATACAGATTATATAAAATAAAATCAAACAAAATAATATTGATTACTGTAACAGAAGTAGGTAATTAATAGAGTGAATTTATTTAACAAATTATTAAATGATAAGAAATTAAAAAAAAGTTTATGTAATTTATTGACCATGTTCATTATTGCATCAAAAAGAATATTTTTCCACTCTTAGTTGAATGGTAATCAATTAAAATTAAAATTGAAACAATACAAAACTGAAATATGCAAATAATACATAAATATACACTCGCATGTGTACAAAAAATGCAAGTTAAATAATGTATCTGAAAAACATTTTTATTCTTATAAAATTATGAAAGATAATTTAATTTAAAATGTACTTAAGTGAGTATTTAACTTGTCTGCAAATTTGATTGTTGGACTAAAAGAAAGAATAATTAAAAATGGGAAGATGAGGAAAGTTTTTGGCAGAACGCATAATTCTGTCTTAGTAGTTTTTTTTTTATTGTAGTTAGTAGAAAGGTAAGATATATTATTATGGCTGATCAAGTAACTCAGTACAGAAAAGTTGAATTAAGTAAAAAAGGACTGTCAATATAGAAGTTAGTTATTTTCTACGTTTCTCTAGGGGAAATAAATTAAAGTATTGTTCAAATAGTTTATAATCAGTAATAGTTACTGCTATTTTATAGGCAAGAATTCCGATAAATTTAAATTTCACAGATTGAAATTTATGAATAGATTTTGCAGTAGATAGATACCAAACAAGAAGACAGTATTCAAGAAATGGTCATACTAGCAATATGTAAAGAATGGTCAGTGCATAAGGATCAAAAGAGATAAAAAAACCCAGCATTTTTAAGCTGGAGGATTTAATATAAGTAATGTGAGCAATAAAATTTAATTTGAAGCCAAAAATAACACCAAGGTCTTTATAAGTAATTTTAAAAGGAAGAGCAATATTATGAACAAAGTAAGTGAATACATAATTGGTTTTAGTCCAGTAAAAACTCATAGGTATTTATCAATTTTATGAAACAGGTGACTCTTTAAAGACCAGTGATAAAGTATGGTAAAATTGTTAGAAATCCAATTATTTTAATTTATCCAAGAATTTAGGTATTTATTTAAAAGAATAAATTATTGTTGTTTTAGTTGATCATTTTAATTAGGTCGTGGAAGATTGGGCACGTATTTTACGGTAATGAAAGTAGATTTTTACACAGAAAGTCGGTCAGAAATGTGAAAATTGCTCACACCTGACCCAATTTTAATTTCGGTTCTAAACGATGGTGTAAACTATCGGGGTAGTGGAAGCAGATGGTCCTTTGCATACGACTAGGAAGTGATGAGTTCATAACACTGGTTTAGCCTTGAGTGTGACAGGGCAACGGCAAACCGTTTTATCTTTCATTCCAGTTGATTCATCCCATAAAACGAAGCGGATGTTGTTTTTCTATTACCTCTGTATCGACTTAAAACGTGAGGTATCGATCGAAACAGGACAGCTATATCGAAAAATCCAGTTTGAAAAAAAAGGTATATGGCTGCAAAAACAGAACAAGACTTTGCGGACCTTGGTGCTGACTAGCATCTGATTGCTCTTTTTATCAAAATTTAGTTTTCGAAATATATTTGTTTTTATCAATTAAATTAAACAGATAACTTAGTTCAAAACAACAATCAAAGCCACTTTTTCTCTGTATATTTCTACTTTATTTACACACATTGCAATATAATTTTTTACTACAAATTTAACAAAAAATTTATTACTTTTACGTTTTTCTTGCAGGTTGTAAACTTCACAGAAGTACTTAGAAGACATAATCAAAGAACAAGTAGGGCCATTTGCCTCCCACATTGGTGATTCTTGCTAATGCAGGATAACGCCAGGCCACATAGGGCATGTATTGCGGATGACACAATAATGATGGGATTGAGTGCTTGGTGTGCCCAGCTCCAAGTTCAGATTTGAACCCAATTAAAACATTGGGGACCAACTTAAGCGATGAGTATGACAGGAATCCCAGGTCCTAAAACCCTCTTAGAGTTGGAAACGGTTGTTTTTGAACTGGAAAAAATTCTTCAGGATTTTATCAGAAATATTTTCTGAGGAATGCAACTGATGCATTTAACGGATGTGATTTGTGCCAGAGATGGAAATACTCTGTATTAAAGGGGCCAAAAAATGTTTTTACCTATTTTTACTTGTTTTTTCCTTTACTCAATATTTTTTTAAAATTTTAGAATTAGGTAATAAACATTTTTTTAAATGTATTATTTTTTCAATCAAACCTATTTTAGGTATGCAAAATATGAGTAAACCTAAATATTAAAATTTATGGGTGGTGAGTTCATTTTGTCCATCAGTGTATATGTACACGTATATAACATGCACAGATGTATGTACAAGCAAGTGTACAAGAACATGATACTTCTTTAACCATAATATGCTGTATTTGGTCGAATTTATTTATGTTTTAGATTATTTTTTAAGGGTCAAAAATCCATTAAAAAAAAGTAAGGAGAAAAAAATGTACAATACAATACTTATAACTAACTCAACATTAATAAAAAAAAATAAAACACTATACTATACATGAATGAAAAATAAAATAAAATCCTTATAAATAAAACAAGATTTAATTAAACACCCTATCTTATGCTTTAAGTAACTGACGTTTTAATGAGGAAACAGAATTATTAAATAATCAACAGTATTGCATATGTTGTTACATTCTATCATCATGCGATGCATCAGTGCAGTGTAGTGAAAAATGTGTTCCTTTGTATTCAATAAAAAATACTTTCTGATTTCTTATGTAGCTGCTCTAACCACTTGAACTATTATGACTTCGATCCACTCAGACACCAACTTCCCATCTCAACCTACAACCTTTCACATTTTACCTCTTTTTGCCATTTTGGAGTTGGCATCCGAGTGGATCGAAGTCACGATAGCTTATGTGGTTCGAATCCTGCTAATAACTTTTTCATGTCAACACAGACCTTACATGAAAAGAATAATTAATTTAAATAATTAATATGTTCAATTGGACCACTAAACGTAAATGGACTTTTGTTTTTATTTTATTACCTTTTATGTCTAGGCATGATAGAAAAAATAGGAATATGTAAGTAATAATGTAACTTAAAGAACTTCATGAATTAGATATTAATTACATAAGTACAAGTAGATAAGGAATAGTAGTAATTGTTGGTATGTACGATGACACCCATATGGCGGTACGGCGGGAAGCGGTTATCAAGGGATCGATAATTTCAGATAGACGATAGTATCGAGACGGCCTTCTGGCCTCCGTCCGACCCCCCTCAAAGTCCCGTTCTCGATCTGGTACTGCCGTCTGCCGTACTGGTACTGAGAGTGAGAGCTGGCCGTTTCGTGATTCGTCTCAGTTTGATTCCAGCCTTGATATTGTCCGTACGACGATGAGGGGCTGTCGCGTCGGATGCGTCGTCCGTCGTCCTTAGGTCTCCTCCCAGTCAAACTACCGACTTCCCTTTAATGTAGACGACAATATCCCGTTTTTATCCGTTTGACGCTGGACGACAGCCATGGGCCGATACCTCTCACTTTTCGTCGTTTGCCTCGTCCTCGGCGAGAGGTCCGTCTCTTCCGAGTCTTACGGCGGAGACACGCTCGTCCTCCCGAGCCCGGAGCAGAATGTCATGCCGTTCGACCCTGTCCACTACAGCCCGGCCAACATCTCAAATAATTACAAGAGCTCGATGAAAATCAACTCCCGAGGGATGGGCCACCTGTATTTCATAACGAAAAAGTTCATGGACTTCATCCTGGAAGGGGAGGCTTTTCCACCTGGTAAGATCGTTTTTCACACGATCGTGCATGAAAATTCTCGCGTCATCCGACCCTTCGTTCATCTTTGACCGTGGCGAAAGTCAAAACAACACACTTTTATTTTAAGACAGTTATGTTTAACAACACCTTCTTATATCCTGTTTAGTGGAATAATTTCAACCGTCATTTATCTTCATTATACAAACTTTATCTCATTCGACAAGTAAGTAATAAATACAAGCCAATTCGACGAAAACTTGAGAGTAATTCGCTAATGGACTACAATTATGATGTAATATTCAGTTGTTTAATAATAACCTGTTGATAAGAAGTAATAAATACTTATTGTTATTGTACTAATTTCGTAAAAGAGAACTAAATTGCATGAAACGACTGTTTTTCAAGTAAAACAGTTTAGAACACTATTTAAAAAACATTGTTCTACTCACAGAAATTGTAAACAGCTACCTGGATTTCGAGTATTGAATACTCATGAAAACAGGTATATGAACATCAAAACTCTAATACAGGGTGTCCCATAGAGGAGTGAATTTTTTTTTTGGGGTGATAGTACACCCTATTTGCAACAACTTCCAATCTATAGTCCCTATACCTATCTTGGGACCCTGATGATTTACGATTTTTTTTGTTAGTTTTGCTTTACTACCTATTAGTACCTTACTTAAGAAAAAACAAATTCTATTATCATGGCTACCACATTTTGGATTCAGCATTCAATTTCCTTTATACTATTTTCGTCAGAAATAATTATTAATTAAGAACCGTAATAAATGCTCAAATTCGAAAATGACCACAGATTTTGACTCACTCAACACGACAAACAAGAATGCCACATCTACACAGAATACAAAAATTGACATTATTACTCTTTGCTTATACTGGAATGAAACTTTAATTGTCTCAGCAGAAAAATTCACCACAATAATTGTTAATTACCAAAATGAAACGTGACTTTTAATTAAAAATAAACAGTCAAATCCTTATCACAATATTTTATAAAAATATCTGCAATTTATTACCTTTTGTTAGTTGAGTGTTTTTATTGATGATGTATTTATTGAAATTAATTCTTTGTTGTATAGACTATTATTTTCTATGTGATACCTTTGCATGTAACTGTTTGTTTTAAACTAAAAATGTGTGATGATGATGGATACTAGTAATTGAGGTGTTTCCCCAAGCACTGTAGCTTATTGTACTTGCCTAGTTCCTTAGTTCAGTGCAGTTGACTCGATCCTTCTCATAAGAAGTACTAGGTCATGGCTTCAGTTCCTTTCCTGAGTTTTCTTTGTTTTCCATGTTATATCTCCATTGAGTGGTTGGTTCACATTCAAAGATGATATGGGTCCCTGTTTCTTCCTAATTACGTAATCTACAAATAGGGTCATTGAATATGCCTTTTTCTGTTTAGTTTTTTCAGATTCCAGTGAATGGTATATTATCACTCTTCTGAGTTTAGCCCTCCTTAACTGTAGCAGTGAGTTTGCAGGGTTGTTCAGCATAAGTTTACTGTGTCTGACAGCTCTAAAGTTTATCCACTTCTCCCTTTTGCCTTTTTTGAATCTATTCTGTGATGAAGGATTGTGTTTTTGTTATCCCAAGAATAGGTTCAGGCTCGTGCAGATTCTCCTCTGACCAGTGTGTGCTTTTTCGATGCCCAAATTTCCCTTGTGTCCTGGTATCCAAGGTATCATCAGGCTGTTGTGTTTCCCCCAGTTTGGGAGATTTTGGATGCATTCACTTACTAAATTTGCATCTTGATTATCTGATATTATGAGGATTTGTTTTGCCAGTGTACCTCCGTTAAGATTTTCTAAGGTGCAAGGGTTGATGACATGTACTTCCACGTGAAAGATAGAGGTGTACTTCTCTGATGAGTTTGTTTGCTCATGTTTTTGGGCTTGTACAAAAACCTCCTGATCTGGTTCCTTCATTTGTATTGCGTTGTAATTGCTTCTTCAGTTTTATTTTTGTAGTAATTTAATCTGGCATTTCATTATAAAAATTACTTTTATGATGAATTTTATGTTTGAGCTAATTTTTAGCAACTTAAGAAAACAAGAATAAAGTTGCAGAATTTTCTATTTTATGCGGAGAGGGCTGATGACCACTAAAAATAATAGAATATACACTACTGACTACTACTACTACTTGCTACTACTACTACATGAAACAAAGTGTTGTACAGTTTCATTAAATGTGTTATCTTCATTGTTTAGATGTTTTATACATTGACAGATAAAACAAGCTACCTTTTAATTAAACTTCAGGGTGGTGGATAATTACAAAATAATTCGCATTATGGAAATCATTGAAATATGAATGTAAATCTGAGATCATTAATGTAATATGATTTGTAATAACCCTTAATAATACACCAAGAATTCAGATATAAACAATCAAGTACCGATAAGGAAATCACATGACTAAATATAGACATAGAGTTCATTTACCTTGCATTGGTCAGTATTTTTATTGTTGATATAGACATTCTGTTGACATTTAAGTATGTTATATAATCGTCTAAACACCATATATATTATTATTGTTTGTACGTTATTATATATTGTTATTGCAATAATAATGTTGCAAAACAATTCGAATGTAACTGTAATGTTTGTTGAAACAGTAATGAAATATTGTTTCTGAATGAAAGTTTTCCATTGCTTCTGTTATACGAATGATTTATGAAGCATGATTAACATGTTGATTGCTTGTTCATCTAACAAGGTAGCAGCAAAACTTTTTCCCTGAACATTGTGATAACGCAGCTGAAGAAATGGCAAAGATTGCTTGTGAAGGTCACAATACTGGAACCAATTGTTTGCACAATACATATCTTTAAATGGCCCTTTAAAATGAAATAGTTGTTAACTTTTGAAAGATTATCAGGAATGGGGTATGTTAAAAAAGTAGTTATGTTGTGAGATTTCCAGTGTCTGAGGGGTATGAACCTGTAACTTGGTTGTTACCAGTCATTTTTTGTATTATTATTATTATTATTAATTTTTAAGAGTGTTTTAACGGCTAAGGTCATTTCCGCCCTAACATCCAAACCTTCTATCTTAGGTGAGCTATATCCCTTGAGTGCTATAAAGCTCTGACTCCAAACATTCACTTGTAAACTAATTTATCCTATTGCCATCCAAGGTTTAATTTATCTTTTTAAAATTCTTAATATGAAAGGCCAAATGTATGCAAAAATCCCATTTTAAATTAAGTATAAAATTTATTTTTTATATAAAATTTATGTTTTTAATTAGAATTCTGAATTTTTGTTCCATAATTTAAACATTTCCCATAGGCTTGTATGGCTAATAATAATAATGGAGTCAGACTAGCAACAATCTCGGCATGAGTATAGGCTCATCCTTATTCTTTTATTCTTCCATTCAAATATGATACATAAACTAATTCTACATAACAATAATAAGAAACAAAACACAATAACACTTTTTTTTTCTTTTCAGGGAGCTATCTTTCTTATTTAAATTGCGATTTTGGGCATTTATTACCCTGCAATTTGTATTTTCTTCCATTTCATTTTTCCGCTCCAGCAGCCTCAAAAACTTCTGAAAAAAAAAATCTTGCACGCACAACTCTCATTCAGACATTAGCAGGCAAACATTCAATGGTATAACAATTTGGGAAAAGGCCTAAATCTCATTATAAATTCCAATAAATTTGAGAAAGCTGAAAAGTGCTCTTCGAAAGAAACACTGGGGACCCAGTAACTCCTGTAAATCACTCGAAAGGTTGAGCCTTTGCCTAAAGGGTTGTAAAGTGGGACAGTCGACCAAATATTATTATTATTACTATTATTATTATTATTATTTTAGTGTTAGTTATTAATCAAGGTGTTTATTGTTTTATTTCCAGGTTTTATTACACTTGAACAAAATAAACTCCATATTTCTAGAGATTACTATTCGTTGGTTGTACATTACTGTTGGCTGCTCCTCGTTTGTTTAGCGGCTGGTTGCTTAGCAGTTGTAGTTCCTGTAATCGGACTGCTGTTCTGTTGTTGCAGGTGTGTAGCTAAAGTTCAAGAACTTGTTGTAAATAATTTAGCAAATTTTTTTTAACAGATTGGCAGGACGTTGCGGAGCAAGGACAAAACCTTTTGACAAAAAATATGATACATGTCGAAGACATTTTTATGCATTTTTGCTGTCTTCTGTTACTGTTCTTATAATGTGAGTATAAAACAATTAAGTTTTATTGTTTTGTTTTAAATCTATTGCTACTTCTTGGCAGGTTTGGGGTTGTTTGTGCAGTCGTTACTAATGAGTATATGGAAGAAGGAGCCCAGAATTTACCCAAAACTGTACGTGTATCCATCATGGATACAAAATTATATTTAAATAATACAAGGCGGGTATGTAATTGTAAAGTTACATTTCCTGGGTGGAAAAATTCAAGCATATTTATTTGCTTTTTCAGGAAGTAAACACACTTTTGGTTACAAATTTTGGAGAACTTGATGTTGTACTGAACAAACTTTTAAGAAGTGAGTATTGTGCAATTATATAGTTCAAAGATTGGAAGAGGATGCACACCTATAGGGAGGGGGAGATTTAATCAATTAGTGATGCATGGTCACATGATTGATGTTTCACAAATACACATTATTCTATGCTTCATAAAACATTATGCAAATTCACTTATTTATTTTCATTCAGTATATTTTTAAAAATCAATACATTTAAAAAAATATACAGTTGATCTTTTAGTTAAATATGGTTGAAAGAAAACATAAAAATATGATTTTTTAGTTTTATTTTCTCAAGATGTTGTTTTTTCAAGATAGTTTTGTTTGATAATATAATTTCTGTATAACCTTTTGTCCTCATATTTTGTAGAAAGTGGAGAAATTGTTAAGAACAAACTTGGTGAAATCTCCAAAGCTGCTGTCCTTACCAATTTGACGACCATTGTCCAAGGGCTCAAGAATATCCGAATTGATCTAGATAATATGGATTACCTTACCAAATCCCTTAAAGCAAAAGCAACCGAGCTAGAAATCGGTAAAAGCAATTTATTATTTATTGTATTTTTCCTCTTTATAAAATCTTACAGAAATTTGCAGAAAAAAATAAATATTAATATAAATAACAATATTTCAGTCTTGAGAAATGTAAGATCCAACCTTCTCTCCAGATTGAGAATGTGCAGAAGTGAAAGGGCATGCATTGACTTTCTCAACAAGTATAATTTAACCGCACTTACCCTTGAGGCCAATTTCACCCAGGTAATTAGATAATTTTAATACAATTTGCAAATGCATTTGCTCTAAGATAGAAAGAAAGAGAGTATGGGGGGAATGGGGAGAAAGAACATTTCAAAATTTAAAAATAATAATAGAAATTGAAGTCATCTATGATGACTTGGAATTGGCAGATTCTTTTACACGATAACTCTCGGGCCCATGTCTCACCCTTCCTATTCTCCAGAACTACCGTCTACCAACTACCCTTTTTTTTTCAAATTCTTGGATGTTTTACAACATAACATTTATTGATCAAAAGTCGTTAAAAATGCGTTTAGAGAAATTGTTTATTAAAATCCCAAAGTTCTATTTAGAGGGTGTAAAGAACTGTTGGGAGAACTGTATTGAGAGTGATGGAGGGTATTTTAATGAATAAAAATGTTTAAAATTATTTTTTTAATTGTTTTTATTTTATAACCATAAACCTGCATTACTTTCCACACAACCCAATATTTCTCACACTAGCAATTTTGGATTAAATTCTGTCACTGCCTTTGAAATTTTCTATGACAATTGTTGTAAAGTATTGTAAAGTGATCTGATTCCTCGATCATATCACAAAACCCTCTTGTTTGGCTTACTATTACAAGATGCTTTAATGTTTTGATGATTTTTAAATGATTCAATATTCTAAAGGAAAATATTATTACAATAACTTCACTAGTTTTTGTGGTCCGCTTGACTAATTAATATCTTTCAATTAATTAAGGTTTTTAGTTGAGATAAAAAAGTTAGTGTCACGAGCGGGATTGAAGTCACAATAGGTCAAGTGGTAGAGCAGAGGCGTATATAGCCGAAGATCGTGGGTTCGAATCCTGCTCGTGACACTAACTTTTTTATCTCAACTAAAAACCTTAATTAATTGAAAGATATTACAATAACTTTGTAAGTCGAGAATAAATTCGATGAAAATATTGAAATTTTTAAAAATTATTTTTTACCATCAACTAACGCTTGTATATAAAGTATTTTATAAAATACTTTATTTACTTTAAATTTTTTCTGTAATCAAATTAACATAATTAACAGCTTAATTTTTGTGTTCAACATTATTAGCATTCTGTTTGTTTAATTTTAACATAATTCTGTTTCATGCCTAGCTTCTTGATAAGTATTTACCCCAGGTAATTTTTTTATATTTCTTTACAATTAGTCTAAAATTGATTGTCTTTTTTTCCAAAATTTTTTCAAAGACAATTTTCCTGTGAAATACAAAGTGGAATTTCTTTACAGCTACCGAATGTGACCCTGAGCCTGGTCAACGTGTCAAATATTCTTGCAACTGACATTGAAGATGAAGTGATTAAAGGAAGAGACGAATTTGACAGGATAAAAGTCAGCATTCAGAAATCTGTTGATCGTACTATACCTGACATATCAAAAGAAATTACTAAAGCCGGTACGTCACTCTTATTCTTGTGTTCAGTGAAGATAATCAGTATAAATTGATGATATATTTTAGGGGAAATTCTTAAAAGGAATGCTGATAAAGTGATTAGTGTACTTGACAAACTTGAAGCGAACTTCGGCAACATCAATTATAGGGCAATCGATGAAGGAGAGAAAGTCGTAATGCAGTATGCAGAGTACAGGTACTACTCAGGGTTAGGAGTGAGTTCAGTTTTGGTTGCTATACTTTTCTTCCTTGGAATCGGACTTCTATGCGGTTATTGCGGCCACCGTCCTGATGCATCTTACAGTGATGATTCATGTGATAAAGGAACGGCTTCTTCTTGTTTAATGATGTATGTTTTTTAGATGTAAGTTTAGGACTGTCACTGACTTTTTTTTGTCCTACAGTGCTGTCTGGATTATGTTCCTTTCATTCACTGCTTTCGTAGCTGTTACACTTGTTTACATGATTACGGGCTCAATCTTAGACAGGGCAGTTTGCAGAGCATTACACAATCCGAGCAATGACTCCACATTTAACATTTTAGACCAAGCTGTAGATTTCAGTTCAATATATGAATCGACTCATGGAAGAAGAGTTTTAAATATTAGCACTGTTATCAGGTAATTTTTTTATATTTTATATTCACATTTATAGGTAATAGTTTTTTTAATGTAGAAATTATATGGAAGTTATGCAGAAAACTTTATTTTATTTTATTTTTCCCCATAGAGAATGCCATAAAAATTCTTCAATATACAAAGTGTTAGATTTGGATTCAGGCTCCATGTTGCAATACACTCAGCAGTTTAATCTCCCAGAGAAAGTTCGGCAGCTTTCAGATTCAATTGTCCTCGGATCTGATATTGTCATTATCACTCCAACAGCTGAGAAACAGTTACGAGCTTTGGCAGCTTCACCTCTTACAACAATAGACCTTACAGTTTATACTGCTGTGGTAAATATAATGAAAATTATAAAAACTTGAATTTAGAATTAATTAGTAGTTAGATAATTAGAGTAATTTAGAAAGTTTTACTTTTTTTATTTATTTTTTATTTTAGTTGAATGACAAGATTACTTCAATAGACCTAATGCAGTTGGCTACTGCTTTGAACCACACAGCCATGAAGCTTCCCCCTCAACAAGCTGAAGTATGTGTATTAACTAACTTTCAGTCTGTTTCTTAATTTTAATCATTGATAATATTTGCATCATTTAATTAATGTTCCAGGTTAAAACGATGATTCAAACAGAAGCTTTGTATCTTGAAGTACATCAAGAAAGACAGGTCGACCTAATGGTTAAGTTGAGCAAACAACTTCATGGCAATGCAACTCTGTTAGCTAGTCACCTCAGGTTAAATTTAGCTTGTTACATTAGTCTAGAAAATTTATATTTTTATTATTTTGAAAATAATACATGTAATACTAAATCATAGGTTTAACCATTCATCTCTTAAACATGCAGTTGATGCATTGCTCAATGATTTAAGACAAGCACAGAAAACATTGAATTCACAAGGTCCTGCCATAGTCCGAAAGGTATTGAATGTTTCAATCTTATTAGCGATTTTAAAAATTAATTAATGATTTCCATCCAGCTAGCTGATGAGTTTGGACGAGAATTCGGTGTCCATATAGATAGCTATCTTTCTCGTGTGGATAATGAAGCTAAACAAAATGTGGGACGTTGTTGGCCAATTTCTTTAGTTTACAACGCTACTGTTATCTCAGTCTGCAACAACATCCTTGATCCTCTTGTGCGTATAATTTTAATAAAAAGAAAACAAATATATAATGCTTATTTATTAAAATTGTTATTAAATGCTCCTTGTAGAATGGGTTCTGGCTGAGTGTCGGCTGTGTAGTACTTTTGTTTGTCCCTGCTATTATTTTATCAGTGAAACTGTCCACTCTCTATCAAAAATCTGAGCCATATCCTGGTGAATTGGTTGAAGCGTATGTGTTTTATATTATGGTATAATTTTAATTATGATGATTTTATTCTTAACTTTTATTTTATAGAGAGTACCTCTATGATGCATATGCTGAAAGGGATAATATACCATTACAAAAGTAAGTACAACCATTTTAATGTTGCAATACAAAAATGTATAGAATTAATAATTAAATAAAATGTTTAAATTCACAATCTCAAACAATCACTTTTTACTCACCTTAGTAATAAAATAATTTTACAGTATTAATGGAGGTGGTGTTGGGGGAGTTAAAAAGAAGAGAAGGCCGAAAAAGAAGTCTGGTGGTAATGCAGGAAATCGTAATTCCAGTGCAGCTTATAGTGCAAATCTATCAGGGCGAAGTGGAGCTGAAAGGCATTGCCCTCAAGCACCGCCTGATGAGAGGTTGTATTTTCACTAATACACTTTAAATTTGAATGCATATTTATATGTTTTTTGTTTGTCTTAAATTTTAGAGGTAATCAGTGGGAGCAATATAATGCGAGTGCGCCTCCAAGATATCCAGCAATCTCATCGGAATACGAAAGGCCTCCTCCGTATTACTTTCCAGGGCCTGGGCAACAGTAAGGCTTCATCTTTCAATTATTCTTAAGTTGGCTTTTTAATATTTTGTTTAATTTTCAGAGTGCCACCTAATCCATAAATGGCTACCACCAAGTGAATATATTTTCAACTTCACTAAAAGATTGATTAATTTTATGACATAATGACACAAATAAATGTGTGTTGTAAAAACATAATGACTAGGGTTATTTTGTAGCCCATTATTATTATTATTATTTTATTTTTTTGCACAGGTTTCTGTTAATTAAAAATATAATTATTTTAAAAAATATTCAGACATAATGTATATATAATTTTTTCTCATTACTTTATAATTTTTTTTTTATTATATAACAGTTTTATATACAAGATATCTGTTAGCAAGAATCTAAGTAGAATCATTTTTGTGTAATTTTAATATTAAAATAACATATGTTTTGTAACTTTCTATGTTGATACCTTAAAAGTGTTGTAATTTATTTTATTGCCTATTTGTTGTTAGTATAGTATTAGTTAATCTTCAAGTTTCAAGATTGTATGAATATCATTGTACTTTAGCTTAACCATAGTCTATTTTTAGTTCATAACTTCATGCAAATTGCCATTTGAGGCAGTTATTTTACAATTTTTTTAAACTGTTTAATATTAAGCATGTGTAATGATATTTCTTCCTACGTCTCTTCCTTGTATTTTGTTACATAAACATGGTAACAAAGGAGGATGTAATACGAATAAAATGTGATTGTTGACTATGTGCCACAAGGAACATTTCCCTTTAAAATACAAAGATGAATGAACCAACATCACAAATTTTTATCTGCATGTTTTCAGGTGTGGTAGTTTTCAATTTGATTGTCCAACTTAGAAAATATTTTTCTCTATTGATTCTGTGTTGCAAGATTCACTAGTAAAATACAATCACTTTTCTATACAAAATAAATGTTATTTTCCTATTAAATGTATTTGTCGTTTTTTTCTTTATTTTGTTTTAAATAGATATGACCAAGTATTCATTTAGTGTCACCTTGAATGACGGAGGCGTTAAAAGCCAAAGAAAAAAAAAACTACTGTATCAGAAGAAATTGATGTGTAGTTGTTTAAAAAATGTGCAATAGTCAAATAATTTGAAACAAAGGAGGATGACAATGTTAAATTCAGCTATGTGTGATCGAATAAAATATTGGTTGATAGTGTAGAAATAAGAGAAGAGTATAATGAAAGATATCCTATTTTTTCTTTGTATAGGAAAAATATATTTTATTAAAAATATTCATAATATTGATGTCTAGATTATGTACAAATGACTCAATCAAATTCCTTTATAAATCTTTCATTTATTGTATTCATTTTTTTCTCCTTTAAAAAAACAAATATAAGATATTTTTCTTCAGTGTGTAATAGAATTAAATAATCATTTATTAAAATAAAATTGTTATATTTTGTACTGTAAAGATATATTATTCTTTCAATAGCTGTTGATGCTCAAAAATAATTTTCCATATGTTATTATTAAATGATAAGTATTATAACATTAAGCTTGTTGCCTTGATAGCCAAGATATTTTTTTAAATTATGCATTTGCTAATGATTTATTTTATTTATTGTTTCTATGTTATTAATTTCCCTGAATTCATATTTGTGAAATAAATAATTTCTGGAATTTTAAACTTTATTTAACCTACTCAACAGTACAAAAAAGATACAAAATCATAAAACATTGATTGCTTAAAGTTGGTTAATATTTGCATTCAAACAATATATTACAAAATCATAAAACATTGTGGTGAGATAAGCTGATATAAATAAACCTATAGCTTGATCTATTTTCATTGATTTTACCTTGGCGTGATTCATCAACTAGAACTTTAGTAATAAACAACCTTCTTCAGTATGTTATTTTGTTCTAGAGACATAACTGACAAAATAACAGACCAAGACTGAATGCTAAAATGTCTGGCAGACAATAATCCTAGACTAGTCAGACTAAGACGACCGCAGATGACAGGTCGTAAGTTACAAATAAAATACATATCCCTGTCTTAAAGGAGTGCTTAACGGCCCATTTTGGGTATTGTGAACAGGGGTCAGACTGTAATAATGGTTTTCTCAAACAAATTATTCTCAAATAAAATCCCAAAGGTTATGTTGGGATTCAAAGCTTGGAAAATGTAGGAGTTAGATGCCCTAACGTATTTGCCATTATGGACCCTAAGTGTATTATATATTGATAGTGATGTCCCAAGGTGTATAGGTGGAAAAAACGGGTTAATGTGATTAGAAATGGTAGAAAAAAGTATAAATTCATACTGTATGAATTTACACTTCATACCAAGAAGTTCATGAGGCTTACATACATTGCAAACAGGGTTCAATAAGTTTGTAACAAAAAATGAACAATCAGTGCCTCAGATGCAAAACATTAGTATCATCAACAAATTGAAGAATTTAGTCAAAATGGTTTGAGAGAAGTATCTTTAAACCAAAGAGGATGCTGTGCTGTAAGGAGGCCTCATTACAGCCTTACAGTAGCTACCAATATTGGCTTATTTTATATAACAAGAAGGACTAAACTGCTTTTAAAAAAAAGAGGATTGGTTAGAATGGTAATTGATGTTATTAATTGAATAAAATTACTATTATGGAACTATTAGAAAAAAATATTACTATAATTATTAAATTAAAAATAATTAACTATTGATCTAATTGAGTTTAGTCTTTGGAAAGAAGATATAATTTCTTAAATGTGTATAGTTAATAGTGAGTTGAAAAGATGGTAATCACTGTTATTGGTATAAGTCTAAATATTTTAATGTAAAAAAAGAAAGAAAAGAATTCCCTTGTTTTATTCTTTCAGACTACAAATTAATAAATACATTTGCTACAGAAGCTAACAAAAAATTGTTGATGTTCAACAATTAATATTACTATTAAAAATGTCAAAAATTATTGTATTTGTAAAAAATTAGTTAAATATATACAAATTTGATATCAAAAATGACTTACACAAACATGTATTTAGCAGTCATAATTGACCATATCAATTTTTTGAATCAATTAAACTTTTAATGCATAGTCTTGGTTGAGATGAAAAAAAAAGTGTCACAAGTGAGATTCGAACAAACCCCCCTCAATTTATTATTGAAAATATGGCGAAAAGGGAAAAATTCGAAAGGTTGTAGGCTGAGATGAGTTGGTGTGCGGGTGGCTCGAAATCATGGTCTGCTCAAGTGTATAGAGCAGCAGCGAATTGAGCCGACGGTCGTAGGTTCGAATCCCACTCCACTTGCTTTTTTCATCTCAACCACGATCTTATATTAAAGATTTACATTGCAACTTACTTAAGATTTATAAATAAAGACACATTTATAGAACAAATGTAATATTTTAATTAGATGTTATTGATTTACAATCTTCATTGATTTTAAACATGAGATCACAGCGAAATTCATGACTTGAGTATTTACACTATGCACATAAATATAACATTGTTTATTTCACCAGTTCAACATAAAACAGTATTTTGTTTTTAATGTGTAAATAAATGTAGCTTTTTAGAGGATAATATATTATAGACAATAAAAATTCAGATGACATTATGAATTAATTTTTATAATTATACATAAATTAACACAAGAATTATAAATATTTGAAGATTATAAATATAAAAATATTATTTGGAATATTTTAATTGTCATATATTTACAAAAGCATATAAACATTAATAATTGATTATTCAAATATAACTGGAAATAAAATCAGTCTTTAAAAAATGTAGTGCCAAATAAATGTTAATACCTTACATAAAGTTAATATTATTACTGATATATTAAGAAATGATGTGGTACACGAGTTTAAAAACAGACATTAACAATTTGTCGGGTACCTTGGAAAAAAAAGATTATCAGCTTTTTGTTTAACAAAAAACACTGCGACATAAGTTGTTAAAAAAGTAAACACGCCTGTTGTAAAAATTATGATCTCATCTCTCCTGGACGGTTTCATAAACATGCTCAGGCTGTTTTCATCCCAAACAGATTCCGTCCAGGTTGGATATCTCCCTGATGTCCAATCATAATCATTAATCAGAAAAGCAGGGCTGATCGCTGGGGTGAATTTTAATGTGGTATTTAAGCAAACTCCATCACCATTTTTTCCGCTCAACCAAAGGAGTGTATAAAGATTATTCGAGTCATATGATGTACAGTCACTTTTTGAAAGATTTACTTGGGGTGAAGTGAAATAAGACAGAAGCAGTCCAGTCGCTTTGGTCATGTGGTTTGTCGCATGAGGTACTCCAACATAAAGTGGTAAAACTTGAGGGAGTTTTGGATCTGAGGCCAAGGCGGGGTAAACAGCTTCCATCAGTGGACACGTCCGGGTGACAAGATAACACAGTAACACTTGGTCGATCCTCTTCATCAAATCTTCCAGATCGTAAATATTCTTTGGAATGTTGTTATCAGTTATGATGGGGAGGAGTGTTTTGACAAGACTAGCCGCCACACTCGCAATATGGTACTGTATGCTGCTGTCGTCTGGAACCGAACCATTCATGAAAGTGTAATCCAGTGTTTCATAGGTATCGTAGTAACCTGAATAAAATTTAGTTTTAAACGCTTTGTCATAATTCGTAATGACAACACCGTTCATTTTTGGGTTGGCTTTGTTGAACGTGGTGTACGATGTAGGTGGCAATTCTTTAATCGATGAAGGTACAAATGAAGCGTTGAACAAAACACCATTATCGATCAGTTCTTTTGAAAAATGTTTTGCTTCAGGTCCTGTGGCATGTATGAAAATTTCATTGCCAGTTTCATTTTTCGGCCTGCCAATTTGAGATATGTCAATAAACAGTTCAATATCCTCCAGGTTCAACCGGAAAGAGTTAGTTAAAAAACCTTTGTTTTCTATATCGTACAAAACCCTGGATGAACCTATATAATCAAAAGTTTCTCCGTTGAACATCACAAAGAGTACATTCTTTGACAATTTTTTGCTTTGCACGGCATTGTATATGGCACTCGCTGTAGCAAGGGTGGTCACGAGGCCGGTGACAGCAGACATCGCACCAGGTGCGACTCCATCAAAAAGAGAAGCTGAATCGATCCGAGAAGCAATGACTATCGTCTTGTTATTTTTGGCTATGTCGGCTTTTATGGGAAGAGCGACATTTTCACTTCCGACTGGATCACAGTATTTGACAGGAGTCACAAAGTGATTGTTAACACGCCTCATGCACACGTCCGAGCTCACAGCAGCGAACATATGTGATTTCATATGCAAAGAGCAAAGCGGTTTCGACAATTGTGAGTCGTCGAGAGGCAAATTGAATCTTTTGTAACAATCAACAATGGTATCGTAGTCGGACTTCTCTGTGATCAAAAAGAAAGGTACGTTCCAATCAGTGAAAATATAACTGTTCCCGTAAGGATTCCAAGGGTTTTCCTTGTTGCAGGAACTTTCGGCAGAGTTAGGACACGTGTCCTCAGGAGAGTAGGTCGATGGGAATTCCCTTTTACCGTTATGCCTGTCTGTAAACACTATGCCGGAAACCCGTTCGGGCACGGACTTGAGCTTCTTCAAAACTTCGAGGCCGATCATCTTAGGGCTGAGGACCAACATGTAAGGACCGGCCGCGGCCGACTCGAGGACGAAGTCCACTTCCCGATCCGTTTCCACAAGTTGGACCACGCCGAAACTGCCCTTTCTCGGCGAAGAGCAGCCGAATTGGTGGGTTCCGTTCATTCTCCTGAAACAGCCAGCGGCGCCGGACAAAGTCTGATACATCATCTCGTGTACACCCTGTCTCTCGCTCGTCGACACGGACACGTACAAGAATAAAGTGAGAAAAACCTTCAACGCCTCCGAGTGTGCCATTGCTCTACAAAGAGAAAACTCACCCGAGGAAAATAAACTCAGAAAAGAATGACAACCAAGAATAAACAAGAATCCACAGACTCGAGACCAAGGTTATAATCACCCGACTTTCGATAGTCAACTTATCGATACGTCGTGAACGGCAGAAACACCATACACCAAATACAATTCTTAAATGAGAACAATTTTCATTATAAAAAAAATCCAAAATATAAGAATAGTTTAAAGTTTAATTTGTAAGGAAAGTTATAGTCGAGATTTGTCCAGATTTTGTTCGAACAGTGTAGCGTCTTCTCAGGGCCTTGGGCGCCTCGATCGGCCGTCCCACTCATGAAAACCGATCCAGAAAGGAAGTGCATGTTTAAGAAACCTTAGTCTCGTCTGTGGGCTGTTTTGTTTGTGATTTTAACTTTTTTTTTTTATTTGTCAATCTGTTAGACGCGAGCGGCCGTCTTGACAGTTTTCCGCCGCCTGCCCTATTCCAGGATTTTTCTACCGACCATGCTCACCTTCAGCAGTTGTGCGTCTATTTGAGTAGCCATGGCCTCTTCTCTCTTCTTCCTCGTTTGTTTACAAGTTTTAATTATAAATACTGGTGAGTTGAATAACGACATTATTTTAGCAAAGGCTTTCACGGTTAGTTATGAACCTTAAATAATAGTATTTTATGTTTTTTGTTTTGACTGAGACAACTTCATTTTAGTTATTCATAATTAATTCGCCGCTTTTTACACTGCCAAAGTTGTATGAACTTCCATGATTGCTGCTTTAATTTCAGCTCTTGTTTTTTCCAACAAACTTAAAAGTACCATTGTAATTTTAAAAAATTAATCTCTCTGTTTACCTTTATAAAGCACTGTGTCGTGTTACTGACAAACCAAACAAAATTAAGACTTAATTCTTGTGGATCTTTCCCCGTACGAAGAATAGTGGCAAAGGAATTAAAAATACTTTGATTACTAATATAAAAAAAAGGACTTCAATTAAAATAAAAAATAAATAAAAAAAGAACAACAATAAAAGGAATGGCGGTTGTGCCGTGCTCCAGCACATTCTTTTTAAGACAATAAATAAATAACAACACATTTATTAATAAAATCAACAAAAAGGCGCACTGGCATTGAAAAAAAAGTGTGATGCAATAAAAAGTGGAAATTAAGCGAAGAAAGCGATGAATCCATGTTGATGGCTCAAGTCTGCAAATTTCTTTTGATCAAAAAACAACTTCCAACCTCAGGAAAAATATAAGAGAGACTGCCTGTGTTCTCTGTTCTATCAATCCCCGACGCGTTCGGCACTTCAACCAATCAGCGAAATATATTTATTGTTGTTGGTCTGGCATTACACATTGCAACAATTAAATTGAAATACTTCATGTTTTAGTCGGTTCAATTAACCAAAATAATAAACATAATTATTATGCAAAACATGGTTGAATTGAAAAGTTAGTGTGATGAGTTGAATCCACATAATTAGGATCAGTACACCGGCACTTCTACCACTTGAGGTATCGTCACTTTTGTATTCACCAACTAATCACCTCAACCTACAACATTTTGTATTTGACTCTTTTTTGCTAGTATTCAAATGTCATGTAATCATATACAGGGTGAATTGCTACTCGTGCTACAAACTTCTCCAGTAGATTCTTCACCCTAAAATGAACAAAAAAGTTCATATTGTCCATGGTCCGATTCTCAACCATTTCAGAGTAATTTCGCTTTTTATCGATTTTGAAAGATATCACGTCCTGGCGTCGGAAAATCGTGATATCTTTTAATCTAAACATTTCTCTGAAAATCTAATAGCACCGTTGAAATTCCCGTTAATTTTTCAATAAGAAGATGACGGTGGCAAAATGTTTGGGCTAATTTTTTGTGTTTTATTTCAGCCAGAACTACAAAAAGAGTGGAAAATTGTGTAAATCGGAAAGTGTATAAAGTAATCCAGAGTTTCTAATTTTAGTCTCAGAAGGCAGCAAATTTGAGGAAAACTACCTGATTTAATAACGCTTCCAACGCACTCGTCATTTTCTTATTTAGTGGTTGTGAGACCAAGATGTTGATGACAAAAAGAGAAAAAATGGTGGTTCAAGGATTGCTAATGTTTGAGAGTGACTTGCTACTCGTGCTACAAACTTCACCAGTAGATTCTTGACCCTAAAATGAACAAAAAAGTTCATATTGACCATGGTCCGATTCTCAACCATTTCAGAGTAATTTCGCTTTTTATCGATTTTGAAAGATATCACGTCCTGGCGTCGGAAAATCGTGATATCTTTTAATCTAAACATTTCTCTTAAAATCTATAAGCACCGTTGAAATCCCCGTTAATTTTTCAATAAGAAGATGAAGGTGGCAAAACGTTTGGGTCTTTCTTCCTTGACCTTCTAGCTGTTTGTAAACTTCTTAAGCATTACATACTAAATGGGCATTAAATTAAATTAAAAAATTTCAATGGAATTATGATTTTGATTCTCTCTAAAAATTAACGGGGATTTCAACGGTGCTTATAGATTTTAAGAGAAATGTTTAGATTAAAAGATATCACGATTTTCCGACGCCAGGACGTGATATCTTTCAAAATCGATAAAAAGCGAAATTACTCTGAAATGGTTGAGAATCGGACCATGGACAATATGAACTTTTTTGTTCATTTTAGGGTGAAGAATCTACTGGAGAAGTTTGTAGCACGAGTAGCAATTCACCCTGTATACACTGATGGACAAATTTAACGCACTACTCAATTTATTTAGTTTAAAATTAAAAATTAAATTAAATCCATTATCTTTCTACATTAGTTAAAGGTAATTAGGAGCTATCATAGTCAAAATGGACTGTAAGTAATGCCTTGTTTACTTACTTTATTTACTTTTGTTCTGATTAATCCCACCTGCAAAAAAAAGTAGCATTATGCCCTTCCATTCACTTATTCTATTTCCTTCGTTAATTTCATTTGATATTATTCTTATTCATGAACTTTTTTCAATTGGGGATGAGTTCTCTTTACAGATGAAGTGAGAGTTGCCCTAAATCTTTAGATGGGTGTAATTTCATATGGAGATGCTGAGGAAAAAGGTATGCCTCATGCTGTAAGGTTCTTCAGGTGGCATTCTATTGGGTTGTCCGGAAAATAATGCAGGATTTTGGTATTAAACAAAAAAAAAGAAACTAGTTACTTTAAAGCAATGTTCTTTAATCAAAATAATTTCNTACAAATGAGTAATCCTGTAAACGTAAACAGAATATTTTATATAGATTTTTTTTAATGAAAACTTAAAATCCTGCATTATTTTCCGGACAACCCAATATTATGGGTCATTGGTGTTCTGGGGTGGCATTTCCTTGGTCACCTGTACTGAATTGGCTGTTGTATGAAGAAGATCTCTAACTTTACAGACGTACTTACAAGACATAATCAAAGAACATATAATGCCATTTGCCCCCCCCCCCATCGGTGAGCGATTCTTGCTAATGCCAAGAATACCCAGGCCCCATAAAGCATTTATTGTGTATGACTCTGAATGAGGTTGGAATTGAGTGTTTGGTGTGGCCAGCTCGAAGTCCAGATTTAAACCAAACCCAGGTCCTCATACCCTGTTCAAATAGTGAAGTGATGCCTAAACGGCTGCTCTTGATGAATGGGAAAGAATTCCTCAAGATTTTACCGGAAATCATTTCCGAGGAATGCAAAGGTGTTTAACGGGCATGATTTGTGCCAGAGGTGGAAATACTTAGTATTAAAAGGGACAAAAAAGTCTGTACCCATTTTTTTTTTTTTTTTTAGTTTATTTATTTTTGTTCTTTACTCAATAATTTTTTTTATGACATTTTTACAACCAAATCTATTTTTGATATGCAAAATATAAATAAAACTAAATAAATTAAAATTTAAGATTATTCAGAGATCGTGAGATGTGGTCTGGTGTGACGTAGGTTTTAGAAAAACATTTTCTTTATCGTGCCAATGTTTCGATTTTTATTAAGATCATCTTTAGGACTCAAAGTGTTTGTTTTCCATGTAGATGTGTCATTCTTGACTGTTGTGTTGAGAGAGTTAAAATTTAAGGATGGTGCGTTAATTTTTATAGTGAAGTACGGGATTGTGTGACATTTGAATATGGATTTGTGACAAATAAATCTAACTAACCAAAGTATCATAGTTTTATTGAGTCCATTCTTTTCTTATATTGCCTGGGATTTCAAGAAAATGCTAAGTGGCCTCTACAGCACAACAGTTTAGTTGGTATTGAGCAGTGGCCTAAATGTATGAATGTAATTGAGATTGAAGTACTTCATATTTGGTCATCTGGATCTTGTTTTACTTTATTTTCTCATAATTTGTACTTGTTTGATCTTTACCTTAAAAATTTTCCCTTTTTATTGAAATTTATAAATATGACTTATTTTCTAGAGAAACTTTGTAGTAAAATGTAATAAACAATGTAAGCTTATTAATTTAATTATTTAAAAAATTACTATTTTTTAATTAATGATAACTAAAAAAATATATCTCAAATTTAAAACAACTTAATAAATTGTTTGATTTTTTATTTCAGGATTATGCTCTATTGGAGGATTGTCGGAAGACGAAGAGTCACTCGATAAAGACCCAGAGCCAAGTGAATCAAACCAAAAACTCCTGCACCACCATCAGAGAGTGGTTGCAAAAAAGAAATTCAAATGTCTTTCTTGTGAACCACCAGATTGTTCCGATAATCTCACGTGCACTGATGCTGTTCAGGTAAGAGAAACAAACTAATTTATGTGCATAGTTCGGTTACATCAATTGTATTGTTGCAGTGTTATAAATACTCATGGCAAAAGCCTGATGGCACCATGGAAATAGCTCGTGGTTGTTCAAAGGATGCGGATAAAGCTCGTCTCATATGTACTGCAAATCCACTCCCTGAAAAAGAAAAATATTCAATAAAATGTTGTGAAGGAGATTTATGCAACAACGGCTCTTTTCCAGCTCTCGATTTTAGTGAGTAAAATTAAACAAATATTGATTATAAAATGGTTTTAGCTGTAAATTAAAACATAAATTTGACAATTAAAAATAGCTTCAGTAAATTTTTTGTAGTAGAATATTTGTGAGCATTGATTTAGTTTATATACTGTATAGTTATTTAGTTATGTAAAGTGATGCTAATGAAAATTAAGATTGCTCCTTGAAATTTTTAATGTAATGAACATATTTATATACAAATGAGCCCTATTTAAATAGGTTGGTAATTGTCTACATTTAATAACAATTATTGCAGGTTTATATGCAGCAAATGATAAAATTCATGATGACACTTATGTTTGGAAATTGGTATTTGCTATTGTTGGACCTGTTATAGTACTTTTTATCATTGGGACATTAGTTTTATTCTTTCTAAAGAGGAACCATACAAAAAGAACGGATATGTCACCACCTGGGGCACGTACTACTTATTCAGCGCTTTCCGATGAATTGATGGTAGTAGATACAGCTTTGAAGGTAAATATATTTTTCTAAAAATTATACACCATTGCTAGTAAAACTAAAAAAAAAAAAAAATAGGATGGTTTTTATGACTTGACATCTGGATCTGGCAGTGGGTTACCACTGCTGATCCAACGGACGCTGGCAAAACAAATCTCTTTGGCTGAATGTATTGGAAAGGGAAGATACGGAGAAGTTTGGAGAGGGATCTGGCATGGAGAAAATGTTGCTGTTAAAATTTTCTTCTCAAGAGACGAAGCATCTTGGACAAGAGAAACAGAGATTTACAGCACGGTTTTATTACGTCACGAAAACATTTTAGGTTATATTGGCTCTGATATGACTTCCCACAATTCATGCACTCAACTGTGGCTCGTGACCCACTATCACGCTAATGGAAGTCTTTATGATCACCTTGGGAGGACAAGCCTGTCGCATAAACAGGCATTGGCACTTGCCATATCGCTCATGGCTGGCCTGGCACACTTACACACAGAGATTTTGGGAACACAGGTAATATTACAAATCAGTTCTCCTAGTCATATGTAATAAAAAAAAATATAATTATTGTCTTAGGGCAAACCTGCAATAGCACATCGTGACATCAAAAGCAAAAATATCTTAGTGAAAGGTAATGGTGTTTGTGCTATTGCTGATTTTGGACTGGCAGTGACCCATACACAATCCACTGGGCAAACTGAAATTGCACCGAATACAAGAGTTGGAACAAAACGATATATGGCACCAGAGGTTCTTGATGAAACGTAAGTTGCCTACTAAATTATTATGTAGTTCTCTTGTTTTAGTTTATTAGTTTATAATAGATTTTTGTTTAACCCAATGAGAAGGTACAGATTTTTATTTTCTTTGTGCCATAGTTATTTATTTGTATTTCAAAAATATCTTATTTTAAATAACAACGGTATTCCTAGATATGAAACAAGCCTGCGATTAAGTATGGCTCTTGGGACTCTTCTGGAATCTTAAGGCGTGTTCCCTTTTTTCTACTACCTGATACTAGTAAACAGATACTTAAAGTCTTTAGCGGCCACTCTATTAGCCGAGTATCAGGTGCAGGAGTACCACATGGAAGTATCTTAGGACCATCTTCCACATGCTATTTTGAGACCCATTTGTAAATACTGCATCAAGATTGGTTCTGAGATTGGTTCAACAAAACCAATCTCCAATGTATAGAATCCTTCGAATCCAAAAATCTTTCGAACCATTGTCAATGCTCCTTTCTACCTAATCTTACCATTCACAATGTCCTTAATATCCAATATGTTTTTGAAGTAGTGAAAACCCGTTACAAGAAGTTCCCAAACAATTGTCCAGTCACACAAACCCTTATTTGGACACATTATTTGGAAACATTTCATACCGCACCCTTCCAAGTAATCCCCCCCTGAATGCTATAGTGTAAAGGGCTTTGCAACCTCCTAAGTGAGTACTGAGTAGTGACTGAATAATGCTAATATATAAGAGTGGCTACTAATGAGTAGTTCCTCCTTTTTCTGTTTTATATATACCATTTTGTTTTGTTGTATGATAGAATGATCTGAAATTTACTTAAGTGCAACAGTTGGTGCATTTGTAAATAGATAAAGAAGAAAAAAAATTAACATTGAATAAAAATAAAAATACAAAAAATATGAAAGACATGGTTTCTGATGCACGCAGTTGACCACTGGGTGGGCATCACAGAAGCAGTTAAACCATGGCATGTTGTCAGTTCACTCATATTTTTTAATAGTTATTCAGATATCGTGAGATGCGGTCGGGTGTGATGTAGGTTTCAGAAAACATTTTCTTTATCGTGTCAACGTTTCGATCTTTTATTGAGATCATCTTCAGGGTCTGGGATTTACAAACAATGTTTACATTTAACAAATACATTTAGGATGTGGAAAAGTGAATTTATACAAGCAAAATATATTTTTTATATATTCAATCAAAGTCTTTCTACTCACTCAAAGTGTTTGTCTTCTGTGTAATTGTGCCATTCTTGCATGTCGTGTCGAGACTCGAGAGTGCCAGTGAGATTTTGCTATTTTGTGTTTATATACGTTGGATTTTGAAGGAGTGGGGAAGGATGTCGGTATAGAAAGGAAATTTTTGTATAAGGCGTCGGCTTCTTTGAGGTGAAAAGAGCCGACGAAGGGAAAAAACGTTGGTAATGGTTCGGCACGATTATCCTTTCAGGATTTTTAGAAAAGGATAAATAGGAAAAGGAAAGTATACTTAAAAATTGAGAAAAAAAAAGGTAACAAGTTTTTTAATGTCCATCCAAAATGTAATTGTTATATGTAAACAATGTTTGTAAATCCCAAGCCCTGAAGATGATCTCAATAAAGATCGAAACGTTGGCACGATAAAGAAAATGGTTTTCTGAAACCTACATCACACCCGACCGCATCTCACGATATCTGAATAACTATCGATTAACGGTCACTAATCTCTACATATTTTTTAATGTAATTTTCATTATTTTATTGTGATTCATTTTTGCTATTTATTTATTATTAACGGCCTTTTGAACTTTGCATATTAGTCAAGGAACATGATATCCTATATGATATTTTGTGGAGAAGGGTTGCGTGAAAAGAAGGGCCAGGGGAGACAGTGGGAATCAAACCTGCGACTACAGGGTCCAGAGCCAAGAGTCTTATCACGCTGCCACTTGATTACCGCAGTCCTCTTTATTTGTAATTCTTAGAAGAGTACAAATCATGTTCAAACTTGGTAGTTTTGTCGTCTGATCATTTTCTTTGCCTAGGCTTGCTGTTTTGCTCTCTTAGACATATTAAAGCCAACACGTGTCTGACTGACCATTTTGGCAGATCTAAATTATAAGAAAAACTGAACTAAGGTTCTTAACTGACAAGAATAAATCTCGCAAAATAATTGCTTAATTCTAGTTTTTTTTAACCTAGTTTTTGAAATAACTTTATTATTAAATATTAGTCATATTAGGTCCAAATATTTAAAAATGTTGGTTCATGAATGTTTTATTATTAATCTAGTTTTTTTAACCTGGTTTTTGAAATATAACTTTATTATTAAATATTATTCATAGTAGGTCCAAATATTTAAAAAAGTTAGTTCATGAATGTTTTATTAATTTGATAAAAATTAATTTTGTTTTGAATGTATTTCAGGTTAGATATTAATTGCTTTGAAGGATTAAAGAGAGTCGACATGTATGCTGTGGGGCTGGTTTTGTGGGAACTAGGTCGGCGAATAATTAGCAATGGTAATAAAATAATTTTATTTAATACATCATATTTTTAAACGTCTTGAATTAACGATGGGCGAGTCAACCTATTTTACCCTTGAGTAATAACTTTTTATCATGTAATCATGATCCATTTTGTTATAGAATTTGTGTAAGAAAAAATAACCTATGTTAACAAATTTCTTATGACAGGTTTGTAACAATTGTTCCTTCTTGTAACAATTTAAAAAAAAATCTATATATGAAAATTAAACAATAAACCCACAACTATCTTAAAATTGTTTCTTGTCATCAGAAAGCAAAAATTGTATAACTTCAAAACCTAAGATAAAAACACCACACTTTCAACACTAAAACACACACATTATTCATTCCATTCAAAACATTATGCGACCCAATAAGAAAACAAATAACGATTGTACTAACTGACCAGAACCTAACAGCAAATACCAGTCTAAAGTACATATAAAATATGTAATAGATCCATTCATAGCAATATGGAGTTTATCTGATTCCTTGAAAGTGTTTGCTTTTTGTTGTCATGTCTATATTAAGAATATATTGTGCAGGTATTGTGGAAGATTATCAGCCTCCCTTTTATGATCGTGTTGGCTCAGATCCTAGTTTTGAAGAAATGAAAAAAATTGTTAGCATAGACCAACAGAGACCTGTACTTCCTAATCGATGGGCCTCAGATCCTGTAAGTATCCGGCTAAATTTATTGTCTGAAAGGGAGAACATTAATTGCATATTGAATTTGATCCAGGTACTCTCCGGCCTTAGCAAATTGATGAGAGAGTGTTGGCATCACAATCCTAATGCAAGACTGCCAGCATTAAGAGTGAAAAAGACTCTTCTTAAACTGTATTCTACTATTGAAAATTCTAACCACAATCCTCCTAAATTGTACTGACAGGATGGAAAGAAAACCCCTGATCAATTATAAATAAACAAAACAACATATCTTCAAATAATTTAAATCCGTTTATCTGAAAAGTAGATAAATGTTTTATTTGAATTTTTCCTATGATTTTGTACATATTTTACATTTGGTATAGACAATACCATGTATAATTAAATACAATTGAAACTTAATTTCGATATTCCTTAAATCTTCTATCATATCATTTTTGAAGTGCTATTTATTTATTGTTTAAGTTTATATTTAAGCTGCCATATTAGTTAAGCCCAGTCACCTTGTTATAGCATATTTTTTCTATATTTTTAATTTTTGTGAAGTCAGTTTTAATTTTAATTAGTTATTGACCTTTATCTCACTCGCTTCAAATTATTTTACACATTTTTAGTTTCAAAAAGATGCTTTCAAGACTAGAAATAAAAGTGAAGCTTTACTTCTTTTTAAAAAGTTTTCTAAAATGAAAATTAATAACTGTAATCAGAGTAAGTACAAATAATTTTTTAGAGTAGGAAAAGATGTGTATATTTTATAGTTGATATTTTATTTTCTTGCCAGCCTTCAAACTGTAAAAATGTATTCTGTCTAAAATATATTTTACTTCTGTTGTATATAAGTAATAACAAATTATTTTTTAGATGAAAACTAAAAGGTTATACTTACCTTTTTAAACATGTTGACCTAATAATGATAATAATAAACATTAAATAAAAGTTTCTACAATTTTTATAATATTGTCTTAATTATCCCAACTAGTAAAAAAAAGTTTCAGTTAATTAATTTACTAATAAAAAACAAATCGCTAATGAATTCACGTTTTTAAAAAATCAATTATTGGCATATTTTAACACTATGACCGTAGTAGCCGAGTGGTTAGTGTGATAGACTCTTGGCTCGTTAGACCCTGCAGTCGTGGGTTTGATAGCCACTTCCATGCCTGGCTCTTTATTTCATGATATCCTTCCTCCAATAACATTGAAACAATCATCTATGTAATCCAGCCATTAAAAAACAAACCCCTTTACTGTATTCAAACATTTTGAAAAAAAAAAAAAAATACTGCCCACGTAGTATGCTCAAAATTGTTTAACATTTTTTAATGATAATGAGGTACATATGAAATTTCAGTGATAATACCAAATTGTTGGAAATATAATTTAATAGCCCTCCGACACTGATGAGTGTGTTTAATTTATTAAGCTTGATTGTTCTAGTTGGGCTTCGTTCTTTTTAATTTTTGAAATGTTTTTTTGGGTGTAAATGATGCACTTATGAGTTTTTTTAGCATTGAATGTTGGGGGGGGGGTGTATGTATTAATATTGTTTGTAGACAAGCTTGGTGGTTTAAGTCAGTTTTTTTTTTTAATGCACTGAGTTTTTTTAGCATTGAATGTTTGGGGGATTAAGTGGGGTGGTTAAGTCAGTTTTTTAAAATTGTTCTAGTTGATCTTCGTTTATTTATTTATTTTTTTAATTTTTGAAATGTTTTTAATGGTGTCAATGATGTTTGTGAGTTATTGCTAATTTATGTAAGTTATATATAAGCATGTTTGGAGGGTTATATATATATTAATAATGTTTGTAGATGTGTTTGGTGGTTTAATTCAGTTTTTTTTTAAATTGTTCTAGTTTGTCTTTATGGTTTTCAGTCCTTACCCTTTTTAATTTGTGTAATGTTTTAAATGGTGGGAATGGTGTTAGTGAGTTACAGTTAATTTGTGTATTTATGCATTTTTTAGTATTGAATGTATTATATTTATATATTTCTAAGTTTTCAAGTATGGTAATTTTCTGTCATTTTTGGATGTTGTGTAATAGTTTCATACTTGTTTGTATTGTTGATGGTTCGTGGTTATTTTCTATCAGGTAAGCTGCATAATTTGATTTTTTGTCGTTGTCCCTAAAGATTTTATATGTTCTTTGTATCAGTCTTTTAATTTTCGTCCAGTCTGTCCAATGTATTTGTTTCCGCATTCACATGTTAGTGCTTAAATTGTGTTATGTTCTAGTTGGTCTTGTCAATGTTTTGTCTTAGCAATTTTCCTATTGTTAGTTAACTAACTTATTCAACAAATTATGCATAAAAACCACAATCACAATAGGAAAATTACTACACCATAGGAAGAAATCTGTTTATTTTTTGCTATTAATTAAAAACAAAAGAAACATTGTAAAACATGGTGTAAACATTTGATTGTTGCAAAGAAATAGGAACTCATCTACTTATTGAGCCTCCCCCACCCACACACACTCCGAAGTAGACAAGTGTGCATGTAGAAAGAATCAAATTTCAATCCAATCTAGGTTACCTGTGCAGTTTCACTGGAAGTAGTTGGCACTCAAGTTCCAGTTTATCTCTCTACAGGTAAACCTCTCTCAAATGCCAGCCCTACATGAACTGCAATTGACTACTAAAACAAAATATAATTCTATCAATTCTTAATTTGAAACAATAACAACAAATGCAGAACCTTTGAAGAGGCAGTCCTTTACATTGGCAAATAGGAAGATCATGTTATTATTTGAATATTTCTTTACATTCAGAAGCAAAAGCTTTTTATAATGGAAGAAATAAAATTCCTGAGCATCCAAACAATACTCTTGAGCTTGCTCTTTCAGACTACCACCTGTAATCATAAAAATGCCTAGATGACCATTTAAGGAGTCATTTGGCCTCTATAATCATTTAAACACAATTGCCACGCTTTAAATTCCAAAATTTTTTTCATATAGATTAATTGAAATACAAATTTACATATCTTTTAAAATAATAATAATTACATTTTTTTTGCTGTTTATATTATGATTTTTTCATTTGTGTTGTAGGTTGAACAATATATATGTAATAAAGAGCATTAATAAAGAAAATTCCGTGCTGCAGTATATTGTTCAATAACCTACAATATAAATAAGAATAAGTAAATATTTTTATTTATATTGTATTTAAACCAGACCGCATCTCACGATTTCTGAATAATTAATAAATAAGAAAAATGAATTAATTGATCTGAAATTATAGCCTGCCAAGTAATATTAAACATAAAAAAATTTAGTCATCCATTTTCTAGTACAGATTAGATACATTCTTGGCAAATATGAGATAATTAGGAGCAAACTGGTACAACTGTAGTAAACATCATAAATTAATTATTTTTTAAAGTTATTCAGATATCGTGAGATGCGGTCGGATGTGATGTAGGTTTCAGAAAAACATTTTCTTTATCATGCCAACGTTTCGATCTTTTATTTAGATCATCTTCAGGGCTTTGTCTTCTGTGTAATTGTGCCATCCTTGCGTGTCGTGTTGAGAGTGCCCTACATCACATCCGACCGCATCTCACGATATCTGAATAACTATCGATTAACGGTCACTAATCTCTACACATTTAATTTTTAAATTTGAATTTCAACTATCATCTTTTGAAGGACTGTTTTAATTGGATTAAACAATATAGTTTTTGAAACAGTAACTTGGAACATACTTGAAATAATTGCCTAAATAATATACAAAAATATTAGTATTGGCTACTAACTGCTATTGTTGACAGTAGTAGGACTGCAATGGAGAGGTTAAGTGCAAATAATTTGTTAATTTATAACAATTTTAAATAAAAATTTAATGTGTTTTTCTTTTAAAACAACAAATTAAAACAATGTGATTGTATTTTGATTTTAAAAATAACAGAATTTGGTTAAAAAATATAAAAACACTGCATAGAAGTAATGGTTGTATGACTATTTTTATAAATGTATAAAATTACATCAAATGGTGACAAAAAATGTATACTTTCTGATGTTGTAAAAACTAGAAATATAAAATAATGGTAGAAGAAAAAAAAGAAAAAATCAGTCTTTCCCATGAGTTTATAAAATCTCTTAAGGCACATGTCAATATAATGGCAAGTAATATTTCGATTTTCAAATGACTAGTATTGTTCCTTAACCAGCAAAGGCATTTGAAGCTTGTTTATATTTTGCAAAGCATTCACAACTCTAAAGATAGATGGTAGAAGTTTGTGCGGTACATTTTTAGGTATATCTGCCAATATTGCGCAGTTTATTCTCTGCTGGATATCCTCACATCTCTTGTTGAAGGCAGATTTAAGTCTTTTTGGGTCACAAATGTCTTTTTGTGGCCTCTCTGGTAGTACAGGAACTGAAGTCTTTTTTGCTGAATAATGCTCGATATTCTTCAAGATATCAGTTTTCTCTTCATTGGAAAAAAAATTCTTCATATCTTGCTGAAACTGTAATAAAAAAATTGTTAGTTCAATCAAGAAAGAAATCTATCAATTGAATAGAAAACATTATGATAGAAAATTATCATTTCTAACAATTTGGAAGAGAAGACGATTCTAGGCATTCTGAACTTTAATAACTTTAAACTGAAATTTAACTTTAAAATGAAGTTGTACTAACACGAGCTAAAATATTTAAATTTGTAAATATTATAATTTGTTCAACAAGGTTATGAACCTGCTGCTATTATTGATCACCCAGTGAATATGGTGAAACGACAAATTCCTTTTGTCAGTCAAAACCCCCATTGGCAATAAGCAAACCAGGATTTGAATCTTGAATTTACATTTTGAATCAAATGTTTTCCTAATGAAATAGAAAACTTTATATTCTTCCATCAACTGAAATAATTTGGTGCAAGTACATCAATACACTACTTAACACATTTCTGCTCACAAACTGTACAGTTTTTAAAAAGTATGTTGGGTTTGAATTCAGGGCCATTGAGATTTGAACACGAAACCTTTTCAGCGTTGAGTCCTGTGACAGCACCTTAATCATTGCAGCTGCTACCAACATCATACATCTATGATTTGTAATCATTATTTCTATAAACATTTAAATTTAAATAAATTAATAAATAAATTTAATTAAAAAATTTAAATAAACTCAGATTGGCCACACTAGTATTTCAGGGTTCAAATCCTGGCAAAGCCCATATACTTTTAATTAATTACAGTGTGTGTAAATGTACTATAAAGTGGCTTGATCACTCATCATTGTCACCCAATAGGTCGACATCAAACCCTCCTTATTACTTTATACAAATTTTTAGTTTTGGGTGTATTCTCCTCACATGTCTATCTATCTATCTATCTATACATACATACACACATACATCACACACACACACGCACACACGCACGCACGCACGCACGCACGCACGCACGCACGCACGCACGCACGCACGCACACACACACACACACACACACACATTTTAATTTTTTTTGTAGTAATTTATTTACAGACTTATAAAATTAACTTTTAAAGTCAGATTAACTTTATATATTAATTAGCTTTTTTAATCTTTTAACACTTTCGAATTGGGTGTTTCCCTGGCATACATGCATTTTCTAATTAATAAGAAACTAAATTAAATGTGTTCATTGTTCCTACGAACTTCTAAGCAAAACATATAGTATATAATTGTCCATATTTTGTATATCTTTTACTGTATCTGTGGGTCCTCAGAAATCTTCAGATAATATGTAGCGGTCTATTTCAGTACACATTTATTAATATCTATACAATTTTTTGTTAAATAATTAATCGATAAGAGATTTGAACTGGAGAAGTCCTCAAGGTGGGTTAACCACCAGGAAAATATAACGTAAATTAAAATCTTTTCTAATTCTGTATTAATGTTCACTGTGGCATATTCCATAAAAGAAAAATGCACTTTTTAAAATTTATTTTCCAATGGTGGTCCATTTTTTGGGTAAGACCTCACACACACAAAGGACATGTTTTCTACAAATAGGCAACTAGATATTGATCTGGCTCGTACAAGTCAGGACATTTCACCAACAGTCAACAAAACTTGAACTTGATTCTTAATACTCCAGTTTCAAATTGTTTTATTTAGTTAGTTATCTGTTTATTATTATTTCCAATTGTTATGCTAAGACGGTTGAGAAGAAAAATTAGTGTCACGAGTGGGACTTATACCCACTACCTTCCGCTCACAATAGGGCAATGATCTCTCGTGACCTCGATCCCCCGAGACGCAACATCTCCTCTCATCCGGCTATTATTTATATTTTCCCTTTACCGCCAATATTCAATCCTCATAGCATAATTGGTTGCATTATGATGTGTGATTAGCAATGGGGAATTTTGATATTTAATTAGTTACCTGTTTTATTATTCCAATTGTCATGCAATGTCTCGGGGGATCGAGATCACCGATTCTCCTAAAATGGCAAAAAGAGGTAAAATGCAAAAGGTTGTAGGTTGAGATGGGGAGTTGGTGTCCGAGTGGATCAAAGTCACGATAGCTCAAGTGGTTTGAGCAGCGGCGTATTGAACCAAAGGTTGTGGGTTCGAATCCCGCTCATGTCACTAACTTTTTCATCATAACACAGACCTTACATAAAAAGAAAATTAATTGAAATAATTAATACGGTCAATTGGACCAATAAACATAAATGGATTAATATAAAAAGTAAAGAAGTAATCACTTCACTAACAGCTTGCTATGGTCATTTTCATAAGACACTTAGAATTGAATCCGGATTACACGATGTTTGAAAAATGGCAAAACAGAGTAAAATGCGAAAGGTTGTAGGTTGTCTGTTGAGATGGGGAGTTGGCGTCTGAATGGATCAGTCACGATAGCTCAATTGGTTAGAGCAGCGGCGTATTGAGCCGAAGGTTGTGGGTCCCATTTGTGACCCTAATTTTTCTTCTCAACCTTCTTTGCATAAAAATTGGAAATTATGTTTTGTTTTATAGTGTCAGATTTTATTTTAAAATTTGTATCAATGCTAAAAATGATTGGTGACTTACAAGATCTTCATATTTTTGAGACATAATTCTGGTCAAGTTGTCCTCTTTTTTGATTTGCGTTTTCCTCGTCTGTATATAATTGTTGACCAGGCAAATGCCGTTCATCATTTCCTCAGTGGCTCCTTCTCGTTTGACCTGCTGTAGCTTCGTCGTTTCCTCGTCGTCTTCTTGGCCTTCCTCCAGCGTGACGACCCTGTCTAAAAGCTCGTCGATGCCTTTGTACTCGATTTGTTTATTTTTAACGGAGAGTTTGAGCTTTTTAGGCTCGTAGCCGGCCTTAAGCACGTGTTGACCCTTGGGTTTCAGCGTTTTCTTGTTGACCCTTTGAGCAGGCTCGTCGAAACTTCCCAACACGTCGCAATGTCCCTCGAGAAACGTTTTCTCTTTTGACAATTCCAAGTCAATTTCATATAAAACATCGCCCACCGTCGGTAAAATGTCCATCTTCCAAGACTGCCGATACGCCTAACCGCTAAATTAGACACTACACTTCCGCATTATCCAGGATGGCATACCTTTTCCTTAAAATCATATCTATTTTTTAAACATTAAAAATATTACATAACTAGCACATTGACTCATTTAAAAAAGTAAAGTTTTTAGATTAAACCGAGAACTGCTGTTTCTGGGTTAACTTGAAATCTTGAATAGTTAATCGACACTATCATCAACTTATCAATAAAAATGATAAAAAAAACTTCCATGTCAGTGAAAGTGTCAATACGTTTGTAGTTTGTACTACAGTATAAACATAAACAAGATGCAGAAGAAAGGACAAAACAAAGGCTTTTTGTTTCTTGATTCTTTATTATCCGAGGTTTATCGATACTCAAAAAATAACTTAACTCAGTAAAATACTGAGTTTTGCCAAAAATATAATAGTGTCTTCTGAAAATTCTCGTTAAGCCAAAATCAACATGATAACGGCAATATAAAATAATTAACTTTTTATTTTTCTATTTACAAATATATTACATATATTTTTTATTGATGTTTATAAAAATTCTGGAATTCTATATCAACTATATTAACAATGTTATTGGTAACATCTACATTTCCAGAAAACGTGATCTCATAGACATTCGTAGCCATTTCCCATGCAACATGGGTTTAGTTGACAATAATCAAAACTTACCATAAACATTATATTTTATTCAGTTATTAGTTTGTACAGGTGGCATGAAGGCCTTCTGTGCAAACTAAAGCGCATCCTACAAAAAACACTACCTAATCCTTCGTTCCTACCTAACCAATGATTCTTCTGAGCCCGCCAAGAAACATCCTTTTAGTGACTGGGAGTTGTGGTGGCTCTGACAAGGGCCAGTGTTGTGAAGTGTAGTCGATGGAGGAGGCCGGGACCATGTGTGCCGCTGGCTGTGGTCAGACATTGTGAGTCGTTACACCCAGCAGCAGAATAAGGGACTCGGGTAGCAGGTGGCCGGTAGCCAAGTCGGCTGATGCTTTGAGTGCCCTTGCTGTTGAGCTGATGTAGTTGACTTGTCCAGGTAGATACTAGATAGTAAAAGCGAGTACAGGAGTCTTCCTTGCTGTATTAGTGAATGAGAGACCTCGTCGTGTTGACGAATCTAACATCAGCAGGGCATCCCCCTGATTATGTGTGGAATTACTCCACTCTGATTGGCTGAAGAGTAGAGAGTGAGGCCATTCCTGAAATGGTGGTGACACCTTGTGGGTAGTAACTGCAGGTGATCACTACAAGCCTACTCTGACTATTGTCCTCTGGGGATGGGAGTACCTCAAGGCAGTGTTCTTGGACTAATCCTTTGCCAGACTGCAAATATCCCAACTTCACCCTCCACCATCCTTTGCCGATGACACAGCTGTGCTATCCTCTCATCCCCAACCAATAACTGCTTTTGTAAAGGCACATGATCTTAAAATAACCAAATGGAGCAGCTGGTGGCTTATGAGCTTAATGAAAGCAAACATGTATCATTCTCCCTTCGAAGGACTCCATAATATTGCTCAATAATAGTCCCATAATAATGAATATACAATAATACTATCACAATTCCATATGTGGTGCATTTTCAATACTTTTGTACATAAGTTTGAAGGCAAATTAAAAATAATTAAAATATGTACAAAATTTAAACTAGTCAACTACATTAATAATGTTATAGGTAACATCTCTGCAATTCCAGAAAACAGAATGTGATCTCATAGACATTCGTAGCCATTTTCCTTGCAACATGGGTGTTTAGTTGACAATAATCAAAAACTTATCATAAACTATCATGTCAATGTCTTTCCCATTCAATTTGGACTGCTTAAACTTGCTGGTTAGGTCTGTCAGATGTTTCAGCTTTTTGTAATGTTCAGTATGGAGTCAGATGGAAAAAATGCCAAAATGCATCTGACAAGTCAAACTACAAGGATATGCAGACCAAAATGCTTGGTAATGACCAAATTACAGGTTCATCACCCCTCACAACATATGAAAAAAGTCACAATTCATCATAAACTATTATATAAAATAAAATGATTTTATTATGTTATAAAAAAACAGGCACTTATTTTGTTGTTTATTTCAACTTTTAAGCACGTACTTTTAACGTTACATTAATTAACATACTTTAATCCAAATAAATCTAAATCAAATTAAATGAGATCAGAAATTAATGAGTTTTTTTAATATGATGGTTAGCAAGAAAATTCATCAAAACACTGGAAAATTATCTATTAATAGATTCAAATTTAACTAACAATTTATTCTAGGACTAAATGATTTTCCAGTGTTTTGATGAATTTTCTTGCTAACCATCATAATTAAATAATGTTTATTGAAATTCATTAATTTCTGATCTCGTTTAATATGATTTACATTAAAATAAATAGGTTGTAATTGATATAATGATAAAAAAATAGGTATAGTTTGAAATAAATAACAAAATACAAGTGTTTGGTTTTATCTTTGATTATATCAGAAAATTATGTCCAGGGTTTGAAAAGACTAAGCATTATGAAACAAAAATTATATTTTTGAGAGAAAAAAATATACCAACATCATTTCTAATGTTACTCAAATGTGCCTTACAGAAATAATGCTCATTATTCAAGTATAAGCCATGATGTATAAAACAATGCCATATAAAAAAGTATGTACAAATAATTAAAATGAGGACTGGCTAAGTCGCATTATAATAAAGTGTCGTAACATTATTAGCCAAGACTTTCAATTATACATAGTATACAATAATAAAACAGGAAAAAAGTGAAAAAGAAAAAAGTGAAAAAATAATTTACATTTCAAGATGAGTCAGAATCGGTTTCAATACTGGCCTCCAAATTTTTCGTCTTTAAAATTGAAAATCTACTCTTCTCCAGGGTTTTGATTTGTTCTTCAAGAAGTGCATTTTGTCTCTTCAAATCTTCAACATCTTGATTGTGCAGAGAGTTCTTTTTCTTCATGTACTGAATGTAGTCTGCGGCTTTTTTAAGAATTTGTGCTCTGCTTGCCATCTTCTCACCTTGGAGGGCCGGTACCGATTCCTTAAGACTAATGAAACTATCTTTGATATGATCCCTTCGTTTTCGCTCCAGGGCGTTGTGGTGTGCCCTCTTATCAACATCATCATCACTCATACTTGTTTTTTTAATTGAGATGTAAGAGATTCGAGGGCGTTGGTGTAGGGAATGCCCCAATATTCAAACCTTAAAAAACAAAAAATCCAATTAAAACACAAAAATTATATGTATGTACTATTATAATAATGCATCTTAAATATCTAATTCTTATCAACACACAAAAATTAAACTAAATATTAACAGTATTAACCGTTTAATTAAAATGAACATGTAGAATACATAACAAATATGAATATGCACTTTTTCTTAAATTTCTTAATTTCATTTTACTTTATTACTGATTTTCTCAATAATAAAATCAGTAAGATCAGTCTTCATACAAAAATCAAACATTGGAGATTAAGAAAAATAAATAAAACTTTTGTAGTATTGCACTTTTTTGTCACTTAACAAATAAATTGTACTCCACAGAAAAATAATTACCAAAGAACTTTCAATTTTTTTAACACTGGACTAATAAAATTGAGCTTTAAACACAATTAGGTTAGCTGTATGTGTAAAGCGTGATGGAGGATTATCGAGTACTCCATTACCCTAATTGAATGAATGGTTAAATAGGAGTGAATATATCTAAAGGTGGCTCCAGGTAAGCTGTATTCGTCAAATCGTAATTGCTGCCGAACATTAGCAAAGTCTCTAAATACTTGTCTTGGCATTCTTATGTATACACATATGTGAGGTTCATATAACTAGCCAGTTTGTGCGGAAACAGCGAATACGTATTTGCCAAGTGCCATGCGAGTCCTCAACTTACTAGCAATCGTGATGGACAACAATGAAAGTTGGGGTTACTGGTTTGTGTAGTGGCAACAAACTCAGGAACACCTGCCCCGTCTTACTTTTTAAAAGCGTTTCCATGCACCAAAATTCTAGTTCTGATTTGTGTGTTCAGAAGCATTCCAAATTGTTGGTTCAGCTTGGTACAGATTGAGGAGCTCCAAGACTGTTATGTTGGGTCAATCAATTCCTAACTAACAGAAACAACCTATGGTGCTTTTTCATTACCTCTATATAGTTAGGAATTGTTTATTATTGAAAAATAAAAAGAAGTGCTGATTAGTGATTACAGTTGATATCCGTACAGTTGAAGAAAGTACTGAGTTCAGCTATTTCACGAATATTTGAGTACTTTGAAGCGCATAAGGAAACCGACAATTTGGCAAGCATCAAATAGAGCACCACTAGTCAGGATTTGGCGAGCTTTTGCTCGACATTCGGAAAATCCCACATGTTTAGAACCACCTTAAGAACGAACATGAGCTATGAGTACGACCTAGCTGTTGACAGCATCCCCCCTTGAAACCGTCCTCGGTGGCTGGTTGGATAAGAGACTGAGGTCTGCCCCTTCTAAAACCTTCTATACGAAACATGCAAATATGGGATCATTGTAAGCCTGAACGACAGGCAAGGTTATCTTTTATTAGAGCTCAACCCACCAAATGATTATTTTATAAATGTATTAACAAATTCCACGTTAAATGATTTAAAAGGAAATGAAAGTCATTAAAGTAAAACTTAATATGATAGGTTTATTTGGGAGTAAAAATTTAACCAGTTTTTATAAATTCAATAATTGAAAAAGGATCAATCAAACTCACTCGATCATAACAATTTTTTAATTATTTTTTTACATCGTATTCGTAATGTTAAATTATTATTAAACTGATATAAGATAATTTTGAACTGTTAACTTTACTTTTATTGAATTATATTGCAAAAATATAATACAGGGCGAAAAAAATTTTTCTTCGTTCAATCCATATTATTTCAGGGGTAAATTTAGGTCATCTACAATTTAACTCTAAAATTTTACAAGGCAAAATTTAATGACGATAATTTTTGACGTTTATTCTTCTATGTTGATATCCAATATTCGGATTTGTCATGGCTTGAATTACATTGAATAAACTAAATTAGAATTGTCAGAGGGGATTCACACAGGTTAATTCTTTTTTGAATTATTATGTACTTTGACTTTGGGAAGGCGAAGAAAAAGATCAGAAATATTTCAAAAAGAGTTGCAAAACAAAGTATTTTCACACTTTCTCTCGCTTATTCCACCCTAAATTATATAGTTTTTATTGGTCGACTTTTTAATTTAATTCAACCTCCCGAGTTCCGAGTGAAAAACACTTAAAAAGAGTTGTAATAAAGATCGTCCAGTATTGAACAGAAAGGTATTTTAACAACATTTACACCACTTACCGGAATGTAACACCTTCTGATTCACTGTAAATTCACAGTTAAAAAAGGGCAAATTTTATTTTTAGGCTCTCAACCTATTCCAGAATGTTTATAATCGCCAGACCTGGAAACCAGCTAAAATGACTGACCTGCTAAGTTCCTTTAATCGATACTGGTACGTCCGATAGTACTAAGTCTAGTCGATTTGTTTCTTACCATATCTTACAATTTTGAAATCGATACGTATGGCTGGCTAATAGATATCGACAGAAAGCCGAGGGTATCAATTAGGTCATGTATATTGACAATTTCTATATTTTTTAAAATGTTCCTATTGAAATTGGTACGGTGATTCTCTTTATGATTTATTCTTAAAATGATCACGAATGAACCATGTTCACTTAATACTTCTTTTGAATTTATTAATGACTTATATGGTTTTCATGGGTTATTATTTAATTTGTTTAGAAGCTACCAATATGTAAAAATTTGAGATATAGAGTCTCTAATCCGCACTAATTGTTGTAGGAGAGTATTCGGATTACTAAAAAATGAGGTTGTTAAAAATTTCATTAAAAAAATTCATACATTGCCAATTTTTCTTTAAAAAATCAGTTTAAAAAATTATTTTATTTCTTTATTGTTTATTTCTTTTTTTAACTCATTTTTATTTTTTAAGCAGTAGGTGTATTATACATAGCACAAGAAAAATGTAGAATGATCTAACATTTCATTTGAGGGATAGTTAGGGATGGTTAAAAAAAAACGATGGAATGCAGAAAACCCCTAAAAATTCGAAAAAAAATTTATTGTCTTTTTCGATGTAAAAGGCTCGTAGGCACGTTTTTTTACGTATTTTTCAAGAAAAACGCAAAAAAAACCCAAAAAATATCAGTTTTTTCATTACCAGATGTTACCAGAATTCTTTTTCTAAATCCTTTACTGTCAGCTTGAAACAAGAAGAAAACATACTGTCAAAATTATTTCTTGTTAACTTTTTTGACTCTTCACACCTCATCCTTCTACATTTTCGAGTCCCTATACTCACACTAGTTTATCTAATATCTCTGACATTCCTTACTCTAAAACAACATACTTATCTCCAAAATCAACCACTACATAAGATCATGAAACTAGTCATTCTCTTGCTTCCTGACAATTGTTTATTCTGTATCAATTTTGCAGGATTCTTTCAAGATTTAACTACTCCTCCTGTACACAATTCCTTATCTCTCTACTTTCCCTAATTCCAATCAATTATTGTCTAAATTATTCAATTGTTTTATTTTTTAATCAATAGTACTTTTCTTATGTCCTGTAATTTTTGACTATCTCTTTTTATTTGTAGTATCTTAACTATGATATTTTTCGTGTTTTTATTTTATTGTAATGTAAATATTATAATTTTATGTAATATACTAGATGAATGTGTACTTAAATATATATCTTCATTTTGTAAAGAGTCTCTTGTCCACAAAGCAAGTAAATAGTTTATGGTTTCTTAGGGTCTGTACTATGATTTAATTGACTTTGTTAAAATAAGTAGTATACTATAGAAAAAACTTATGTAAAAAGCATTTGCATATAAATATAATTGTAATTGTGTAATTATAAATTAATGAACTCCTTTATTTAAGCTTTGTTTAACTTTGGAATTTGAATCGTGCTCAGAGAATTACTGTTAATAAATTTAATGTTACAAATGGTTACACTACCAATGAACTTGCGAGATCAATATTGTATTTTTATGCATACATTGATTCCGATAAGAACAAAAACAATTACAATATAAAAAACAAACAAATAAAACAACACATTTAAAGTACATTTACATTTGAGAACGAAAAACAGACAATCCAACAAAAAAAAGTTCTCAAAAAAAGATAAATAAATATGTACATGTCAAAATACCATAATTAAATGTTGAGGACAATATACAATTTTTAAGATTGCTTTATTATTATAAATTAGTTTGTGTGAATTTAGTTTGTTATTTATTTATTTATGTATTTTGTTTCAATAAAGTCTAGTTTTAATTTTAGGAAAAACAGTGGGTTGAGCAAAAGAAATTTCTTAGTTTTTTTTAATGTATCATTTCCTAATTGTTAAAATAACATTTCAAATTTAATTTTATTTTACAATTTTTGCATCATAATTCTACAAAAGTAACAAATGTTTATAGCAGATTAATAATAAAGCTAAAAATAAATGTTAGCAAATTTTAAAATGAAAATAATTTCTTACACATGTTTTGGAATTCTTTTTTTTAATTATAAATCTCATGTGACATAAATAACCAGACACATTAGTTAATTGAATGACACTACTCAAAATTTTTGTTTCTGGCACACACTAAAATTTAAGTTACACATTTTTTTCAAGAGCCCTGGGCAAAATTTCAAGTAATGATGTCCAAAATGGGCCTAAAATTCCTAAGGTTCAAGCCCATGACCGCCATTCGCCGTTGGCAAAATACAGATGCGTACTGCGGTGAGGGTAATACAAAGGTAATTTCAGTTATACTAGATTCATCTAGCTTTTAATGTCTTAAAAAATAAAAAAATAATTATGGCATCTATCTTTTAAAAAATTGTGACAAAATTGTCAGTATTTGGTTAAAAATTAAATGAATTTTGCTTTATAAGTCTTTTCCAACTTATAAGCAAATTAAAACAATGAACCCTTTCTTTGTTTTTCATTTTTTTCCAATGAAGGTCTCTTCTAACTTTCTTTACACAATCTAATGTTAAAAAAATGTTTTAAAAAGTTTAATGAAAATAATTTAAATGATTTAATTTTTTTGTCTATTATTACAAACCACCTCTTTTCAATTTTTCTCTTTACAAATTTTTAACCTTAAATTTAAAAAAAACTTTGTATACAAGTTTCTTGTAATTACAGAAAGGTCTTGTCCTTGGTGTATATGAAGGATGCAAAGCCGGAGAATACAAATTCACACCAACAGGATCAAAATTTGATGAGGAAGTGGGTGGAAAGGTTTCTGAACTTGTGAAAGGGTAATTGTTACATTTAGTACAATCCATTATATTTAGAGGTCATAATTGACCATATTAATTACTTCAATTAATTATTCTTTTTATCTAAGGTCTTGGTTGAGATGAAAAGAATAATTAATTGATATAGTACAATTATGAAATAATCTGCCAGTTAGTAAGAATCTATTCTTAATGATGCAGGGAACATTTAGAAATTTTTTTATCAAATAGACTATTTTAAGTAAATCTTGTCTTATCTAAAATTGTATCTAGGACTGACATGTCCGTTGGGAAGACCAGAGTGTTCCACAATCTTGGTAGTGAATTCTATGCTGTAGCTTTGGCTGGATTGGGGCAAGAGGGCCTCTCTTATAATGAAAATGAAACATTGGATGAATGCAAAGAAAACATCCGTATTGCAGCAGGTCTTGGCTCGATGGCCCTTAATAAAAATGTAAAACTGAAATAGCTCTAATATATGTCAATAGATTAAGTTTTGAGTAATGATTTATTTCTGTAGGGAGTGGCTAAAATATTTGTAGAAGGATTCACAAATACCGAGGCCGCTGCTGAGGGTTCAACATTAGCAGTCTGGAAATATCAGGAGTTAAAACATTCTGAAAATCGATCACAGGAATCAACTGTCGATCTTTATGATGATCCTGATGTGTAATAATACAATTTTTTCTTAAAAACATTATTATTTTACTGAAGATGTTTCATATTTGTTTTAGGGAAAGCTGGGCAAGAGGTAAAATAAAATCAGAATCACAGAATATAGCGCGTAAGCTTGAGGAGACACCTGCAAATATAATGACACCAATGAAATTTGCGCAGGTAAAATTAAGTACTATATTATTGTATTACATGAATCTGACATATTGCACTATTTAGTCTGCTATTGAAATTTTATGCCCCTGTGGAGTTCAAGTTGATATCAGAGATAGAGATTGGATCATGGAAAAAGGAATGACTGCTTTCCTTGCAATGGCTAGAAGTTCTTGCGATCCGCCTTTATTTCTTGAAATATCTTACTGTGGAGGTAGTGAAGAGGATAAACCAGTAGTACTTGTTGGTAAGTGATTTTCTCTGAGCGAGTACATAAAAGCAGAGAATGCTTTTACAAATGTAATTTCTTAGGCAAGGGAGTCACCTTCGACAGTGGCGGTTTGTGCCTTCACCCATGCAGACTTATGAATGAATACAAAGCTGACATGGCAGGAGCTGCAGTCATCGTCGGTACGATGAAAGCTCTCGCACTTCTTGGCCTCCCGATTAACGTCACAGGTCTTTCAAAAGAATTTAATTTGCCATCGATACATTTCATATTACAAATGGATAATTACAGGTTTAATACCGTTAATGGAAAATATGCCTGGTGGCATGGCCATGAAGCCAGGAGATGTCGTTGCCGGCTTGGGCAAAAAGACAATGAGAATCGAAAACCCCTCACACGATGGCAGAATCATTTTAAGCGATGCTCTTGCCTTCTCAACAATTTATAAGCCTTGCCTCGTCATCAGCATTGCCACCTCTACCCGTAAATTTCATGACATAAACATTTTGCTACACAATTCTGTTTAACATATTTATTTTAAACATTACAGAAGGGATAAGGGAGGCATTAGGATCTTCAGCGAGTGGCTCCTTTACCACATCAGAAGTAGTATGGAAAGAAATGAGAAAAGCTGGAGCTGTTACTGGTGACAGAGTTTGGAGAATGCCGGCATGGAAAGTTTTCACTGACAAAGTCACAAGTAATGTTTTTATATTTTGCAAAAAAATAATAAATTAAAATAAGTATTAGGAGAGGTGAACCCGTAGAATAATACTGTTAATTTAGTTTAATTTCTACCTAAAAATCAATATTTAATTTGAGAATGATTTATTTTATGAACAATAATCAAACTGCACTTTACATTAATTACAATTAGTGTTATATTTCAGATCATCAATTAAAGGAAATTAATTTAATATTTATCTTCCAGATTTTGAATCTGTCGATGTAGATAATGTTGGTAAATTTTATGGAAGTCCAAGTAAAAATGCTGCTTTCCTTTTGGTACGAATGAAATATTTATATGTTATTGTATAAGATGAATAATTATTTGCAATCTGCAGGAATTTGCACCACCTGTTGATTACATGCACATGGACATCTTTGGAACTGGGATGAGAAGTTATGGAATACCAGCTTACTTGAAAGAGGGACACATGACTGGCAGGCCGACAAGGACAGTAGTGCAGTTCCTGAACCAAATGGCATGTCCTATGGACAAGGTTACTGAATGTTAAGACTAACACGAAGACATTGTTTCATATTTGTATTAATGAGTCACAAAAATTTAAATAAATAATGTTGTTAAAACCAGCTTAAATTTGACTTATATATTTCAAGTAAACAATTGGAAATGGACGTTTCTTCTAGGAGTTATTTATTTTTAAATCAATTGACTGTCTTCAGTTTTGCTTTTGAACAATCGTAATACAAATGGAAAACTGGTTTAAAACAAAGCAATGTTTCTATAGCAGTTTAATCAGAGCTGAAACAAGTTTTGAAAATTAGTTAGAGGGCATTTAAAAAATAAATTAGATCTTATGCTGTCCAATTTAACAAGTATATTTTTATATTTTAACAGATTTAGATTAATAAAAAAAATGTGATAAAATTTAAAATAATTCCATCCAAATTCAAAAAAGCTGCACAAATAACCAGTTTTTATATGTGTATGGGCAGATTATCTAAAAAGAAAACTAAAAAGAAGAAAAAAGATTAAAATATGCTAAAAATTATGTACTTCAAAAGTTAATTAATGGAAAGGGTACTATTTTAATTACCTATAAGGATAGCCATGGGCCTTAGATCTAAAGACAGATAATATAATGCTAAAAAAAACAGTTGTTATAACAAGCCCAACTACAGTGAGAATCTGCCGGAGCCGTACGTCACCGTCTTTTCTTGCTCCAGCATCAGTCATCATTATCATGCCGATTACAATAGCAGCATCTAAACATAATTAAGGAAACTATTTGGTGTGCATGAAATAGTTGTAATTTTTGTTAGATGCATATAATTCTGCACAAAAATATAATTGTGAGTATAAAATTTTTGAATTAATCATCATTGTAAAGGATTGCAAATTATTTTAAATAATTTATAATCATTATCTCAATGATTTGCCACTGCTTTATTCCTCGGTAGTGCAAAAATACCTGTTATCTACACTGTGCGTTTGTGAGGATGTTCTATAAAGGACGAGCAATTGCTCAGAAGTTTTGGTGGGATGACGTCAAAATTATGCAGTAGAAACTCAGTTAAGTCCATTTCAGATAGTTTTTCATTGTATGCAGGGCATTGTTGATACAAAGTTTAATTTTAATTAATTAGCCGGGTATTGCTATTACAAAACATATGTTGCAGTTGTTCAGTAAAGCCCAGAATTGACAGAATTCCTTTCTGGAAACAGTGGTAAACAAATTCAATGAACGTTAAAAAAAAACTGAAAACTATTTCCCCCCACCCCTAGATAAAAAATATGTTGATCAAAACATAGTATGTGACAAAGGATACTCAGAATGATAATAATGTAAGATTCAAGGACAAACTGTCCCTGAGAGGATCCGTGTATATATGCCACCCCTCCATTGTGTGTGTGGTGAACAAAAGGTGGTCCACGTATATGGTTCCACATTTGACCAGAAACCATCGCAAAACAAAAAAACTAAAAAATAAATAAATGCATATTAAACATTAAATATGTATATTTTTAACATTTATATCAACATGCATATACTCACTAGGGCACAAATACCCCATAGGTTTTTGTTGTAAAGAAATTCTAAATTATTTCTTCTCATATACAAAAACCCAGCAACGAGGACTGCAAGCATAACAAGTGCTAAAGTGCCTGAATAGTTGGGAGGCCTGAATACACGAATCTGTAACAAATTCATGTTAACATCTTGCATTTACATCAGTGAATAAATTACGAACAAACCTGAATGTCAGTTCTTTCGGCAATCCACTTGACCAAAGACTCAGCAGCAAAGCCGATCCTTTGGATATCAAATGTGTCAGGCCCTTTCGGCTTGCCTTTTGGAGGGAAATGCATGAAAACTGGTGCAGCATTCAACCTCAACTGGTTTAAAACATTTTAAATGTAGAAGTGAAAATTTTTATACAGTATATATAAAGTTTACCATTTGGAAAACCTCTGATCCTTCATCAAAATCAACCATTGCAAAGAATAGTTTGTTTGAAAATATTTGTGAATAACGGAATGAATTGGCGACTATCTGAAATTCTTCATTTGCATGTCTGGAAAAAAGAGTGTTGCAAGAAACAAAAAATATATAAATATCTGAGATGAAATACCTGCAAATTGAGCACTGCCTAGCTGGAGCCATTGCAGTGAACATAACTATAACGGAATAGTTTCTAGGTGTAGCTTTCACATAATCTTTAAATTTAGCAACATTGAATTTTAAGACTGAGCGCTTCATATTCATCTCTGTGAGCTGTTGAACTCTTTCTGCTAGTGTATTTACCTATAAAATCAAATCGTCTATGAATAAAAATGTCCATTTTATAATATGAATTCAATTTCTGCTCAGTTGTATATCCATCCTGTATTTCTTACTCCACAACAGATCTCTGCTATAATAGCTATAATTTTTACTTATGTCAACCTTCATAAATTAAATATAGGGGTTCACAGATATAATCATAAACTGAGTTCATAATCTCAACTCAATTCAATCTATGCTATTTTTTAAATATGTATTAAAAAGTTTATAACAATGGAATGTTTCATGATATTTATTTTAATTTGTTAATAGCAAACTAATTTTAAATGTTTTCTTTATTTGCTTAAAATTATAATTTTACAGTAGCAGCACTAGTTATAAAGGAGGGAAATTTCACAAATTTATTGAAATTTTTGTTGGCTTTTTTTAAACTGTTTTAGCTGGTTTTTATATAAACATATGTTACCCAAAATAGTAAAAACAAAATAAACACTTTCACATTTCATTGGATGATTTCAAATCATATCCTTCATTATTGGTAAATTTTTTTACAAACTATTCAAAACAAATCCAATATTGTTAAATGAGACCAATTCTTTGAGTCATCATTGTAATGATTCATGCACTTTTTCATGATGAAATCATTTGTTAACTTTTATCCAACTGCCACTGTAAACAATTATTTAAAAATAATTTTCCGGGCTGGAAGTTTTAATTTGTATAATGATGTCACAAATTTTCATTGCTAAGACGATAAGGGCTCATCGTGTCGCTACTGTCATCCTCATGAACACCTATTCTATTTTCTCTTTAGTGATATTTAACAAGCACAGACTGTGTGAATCAAAATTGTTGCAGTCTTAAATAACATACAAAAATAAGGTTTTCTATTACAAAGACCAAATTGTCGAATGGATTACAAGTGACAATCTTAAATTTTGAAACAATGACATATTGGCAGTTGTCAAATGGACCACGTAGGAACAAACCAAATTTGTTTATTTAATAGAAGGGTTGGTTGAAAGTCTAGAGACAGCAGCCATATAAAGATTCTGCTCATTTAGGTTTCTTGTGTATAGAGAACTCTTCCTAAATACCTTTGGCAATGTTTAGAATAGGCATCCCAAACTTATTAGCTAACAGACCTCAGAACAACCTCCAGAACTCCTCACATTCATGTATTTAAAATTAGATACTTATAAACTGCACAAAAATGAATAGGTATATTTGTAATTAATTCTTATTCTATTAATTTGAATCAAATTAACCGATATATTCTTGTTAGTTGGATAAAACAAAATAGAAAATATAAACCAAAAACAAATGCTATTATGTTTACTGATGAGTCACATTTCAGTCTGTGAGTTCCAGGTTTTTCTGCTATCACTATACAGACAGAAACACGACTCATCAGTAAACATGATTCCAATTGTTGTTCTCTTATAGGCATTGCTGCACCATTCTCTTGAGTTGCTGGTGGCGGGCTGTTGCTGCAGGTTGTCTCAAGGGGGCATACGATGTGAGGCCAACTTCCCACAAATGATTACAAATTGTTTGTGTTGATAAAGGTCTTGCCAAAACATCTTGTACTTTATTTAGGATCCGGCAGGCACTATGGAATGGATTCAATGGATTCCATCTTGCGGCAATGACCATATTTCTGTTCTCCCTTAGTGTCGTAATGCACTGAGATCTACAACTTGGCCTCCTATTAGCACTAGGAGTCTCTCGGAATTGGGCTGAAGCCTAGGAGACTACGCCAACTGCTTCTGCGATATCCACTTCCCGGTGACCTCAATAACTCATTCTCACAATAATATTGCAAACTTCAGATTCAAGATGATGTCTTTCCTTGGTTAAAGAGAATATAACTGGAGAAAAGACAAAAAAAGGTGTTTCTTTACAAAATGAGTATCCTCATGTTTACTATTTTTAAGTATTAAAAATGAGGATTAACAAATTTTTTGTTTGTGGTTTGTATTTTTGATTTTGCTTTATCCAACTAACAAGAATATATCAGTTAATTTAATTAAAATTAATAGAATAAGAATTAATTACAATTATCCCTATTCATTTTTGTACAGTTTAGTTTGTAGGAAATGAAAGTTTTTGAATTAGCCAATCCATTCCTACAATAAATAGGAGTTGGAGGGGATATCATGACATGTTAAGAACCTGTTTTGCTTTTTCAAGCAGTGGTTGAAATTTTTTGTTTTCTAGACAGAGTCAAAATACTGCTTCTTGGTTTCTACAAAATTTATTCTTATTCTAAGAGAGTGTCGTTTTTGTAGTGATTCTCTTTTTTAGATTGATTTCTTAAAATTACATATTTTCTACTAAATAAATCAACCTGAATAAAGATAAATATACATCCCAGACCTGGTGACTGTGGGGAGAAAAACCAACCAGTGCTCTTTTATTAATTGGATAGGTTAAGTAGAAGGTAGATTGTTATGGAGAATTGTAAGGGTGAAGGAATGAGATAGGTCTAGTTAGTAAGGGTGGAAGGATAGTTTAGAGTGTAAATTGAGGAAGTGTGTTCGAATAAGATCTTTCACGAAAGGGATTTTAAGATCTTTTAAGATCTATGGTGGTGAACTTTACATTGAAAGGATTGAATTCATTGAATGTTGGATGATTTGGACGAGCCTCACAGTTTGACTTCTTAAGTCCAAATCGGTCTGATGAGTGACACTAATTATGATGAGTTTGTAAGTGGTTAGTTTGTTACGTATGCTTAGTATTGATTTTGATCCCAGTAAGTGTCTGAGTAATCCATATCTTTTGTTATATTCTTGTCGTTTTAATCTTGTATGTGGGCTCCATTAAAGTTAGTTATTTAAGTACAGCTCAAGGTAGTGGACTTGGTTCTATGGTGGTATTATCTTGTTGTTAATGTGCACTGGTAGGCAGGTTTATGCGTAAACATAACATGTTAACTTTTTTGTGCATTCACCATCAAGTGGGCTAGCGGGTAATGAGGTTCAGACGTTGTTGGATTGCTTCTGTGACTAGGATTGGATTGGAGGGTGTAGATAAGATTGTGGTGTCGTCCATGTAGCTTTTTGTGAGTTTGAATATGTGGGTATGTCATCATCCTTAACCATCCCAAAGCAAATAAATAATGACACTATTTATTCGTTAAAAAAAATCAATGTGGCCTCTTTGTTTTTGTTTTTTTGATGGCTCCCAAACTGACACAGGCAAAGGGGCTGAAGTCTTCGGGATGAATCCAAAGACTGAACTGAGTTAAACCTAGGAAAATATACCACAGTCTTCTAGCCTGAAATCATAGCGATTGAACACTGCTAGGGAAATAAAAAGGCTAGAAATACATTCCCGGAAGATAGCCATCTTCTCTGACAGTCAGGCAACACTGCCTGGCCCTAGCCCCATGAAGGCAAAGAGTGTTTGGAACTGCATGGAGGCCCTGGCAGAAGTCAGCAACACCCCTGACCCTGGCATGGGTCCCTGGGCATTTGGGGCTTAGAGGCAACGAAAAAGTTGACATGATGGACAAAAATGGAGCCAACATGGACTCTCTAGGTCCTAAACCCTACTATGGCTTAGCATCTTGCCACAAAAGAGGATACATCTTAAAATGGATCCTTAATGAGTCCAAAACCTGGTGGAACAATACCACAGGCATGAGGCATGTGAAGAGATTAATAGAAGGGCCATCCGCAAAACTTAGGCCTAGTACGCACGGGGATTCTTTGAGTCGACTCTTTGAATCTATCGTCTAGCCCCGACTCATTGTTGCAATGAATCTGGTGTGTAGCAGGCTTGCATTTTCGGACTCTTTTGAATCCCATCCGATGTGGGATTCTTTGACTCAATGTTGCGCAACATTTGTCAGTGTGGACACGAATCGGAACAAGTGCTCTTGCTTCATTTGTTTAGTTGACGTTCTAGTGATTGTTTTCTTGAAGATTTTGGTACTGTCTTGTATAAAGGTAAGTTGTGGAGTACCGAGTTGACGTTAGAGTTTATCGAAGACATACATTCCCATCGGTGTTTGTGGGATGTATCATTCATGGAATACAGAAATCGGGAATTGAAAAGCCAAACATTGAACGGTTTAACCCAAAAATTCAGTGTTTCCATCGTCAAAATTGAAAAAATGCACACTTTAAAATGACAGTTTTTTAATGCACTTCCGATTGGATGCACTACGTACAATGCAAAAAAGAGCAAGGGAAATTCCTGCCATTTTCGCAGGCACTGATAAATGTCAACTGAATCTTGGTCTGGACACGGTTCTTTGTCATGGAGCAGAGTCGGGGCTGCATCGCAACAATGAATTTACGCAGCCCCTGAAATGAATCAAACATGAATCGATTCAAACAATCTCAGTGTGTATTAGGCTTTACAAAGGAATTATTGGAAGGCAACTGCAACTTGAATCAAGATTCTGGCTTGACAGGGCACTGCCATTTAAGAAAGCACATGCACCGGTTACTAATAAGAGGAAGATACCGCAGAACACATTTTGTTTTTGTGAAGGTGCAAATTCTTGCAACTAGGACAAGAAAAACCACAAGCAAGATCCTACACTAAGAAGCCGCTGGCAAAGCTGTGGAGGCTGATTAATAACCTGAAACTGGCCAGTGAGTTATAAAAAACAGAGGTGCACAATAGATCTACTTAGGTCGAGGTGCAAAAGGCCTTGTAGCCACCTATTTTATCCCAATCCCTTTGTGTTTTGGGTATAATAATTACCAAAAATTCTTTCCACAGTATGCCGAAAGAGATAGAAAGAGTGATTTTAAAACCAAAATCTAATATTACACTTTTCAGTTTTTATGCTTTTTAGGTTTATTGTAAATTTGTTTAATGTGTGTAAAACTGCAGAGACGTTCAATATACCTATTGTGCAATGAAGTGATCCAGTTTTTGAGCTACAATCGCTTATTGTCAGTCTCTATCTATAATCTGGGCAGAATACGAACTTCTATTTAATGATATTTGTTGATTGTGAGAGGTGGTCTGGTATGATGTAGGTTTAGAAAAACATTTTCTTTATTGTGCCAACGTTTCGATCTTTATTTAGATCACTTCAGGGCCAGGGATTTACAAACATTGTTTGGATTATACAAAACTCCTTCAAAATCAAATGTATATAAGCAAAAAAGCAGTTTATCTTACTAACACTTGTAACACGACACACAACTGTGATACATCTACACAGAAAACACGCTTTTAGTGAGTATAAATACTTTGAATAAACCTAAAATTTTTATATTGTGTACATCATTGAATAAATTCATTTTTACATCTTAAATGTATTTGTATAATTCAAACAATGTAAATCCTAGGCCCTGAGGATGAGCTAAATAAAGGCAAAACGTTGGCACAATAAAGAAAATGTTCATCCCACAATCAGCGTCTCACCAACTCCAAATAATTATTAATTAACGGTCACCAAATACTACTGCTTTCTCTGATGATGAGCGATTAGAGCTTAAAATACGGATTACTGCAAAACCTGATTTTGAGTAGAATTTGGGAACTATTGAGTTAAAATTTGGGATTATAAGTACTAAATATTTCCATGAATTATTTTTCACGTATTAATTATACATGTAATTAATTAAACTAAGCTATATGATCTAATTAATTTATCTAAAAGAACTCAGCGTAAATTCTAAGTTTAAAGATGCGAGTAACTTTTTTTTCTGCAACTCAGAACTAGTACAAACCCACCTTGCTCTTCACTTGCGCATTTGTCTTTATAAGAAGAATACATCCTAACAAGAGCAGCATGCACAGCTTCATATTTATGAAAGACAACCAATTAACTACTTCGTGAAAATAAACTTGTGTATCGTAATCACATTGACGTGTCGGTCAGTTTAGATTCCGGCGAGGAGGTTTCCGGCTCCGACATGGGGTTATGCTCGGTTATCAACAAAACAGAAAAAAAATTAATGTTATTATTTAAAAAAAATTTGGATTCCAGTATTTTATAAATTATATTTCATCAGAAACGTGTTTCTCTAGTTCAAGACGTTGAGTAAACTCCGCAGTTCGTGATAATTTCCGAGATAATTAAATCGATTAGATTTGAAAGGGCGCCCAATTTTCCTAATTTTATACCAGATCTCAAAAACTGTCTCACTTCTCACCAGTTCATTTTTTCTTGTGTTCAATTAAATTAATAATAATAATACAAAGTGGTAACATGCAAGGGTGCTGAATTTTTAGATTTTTTAAGAATTTACAACAAACTTGCAGCAACTTTGGAGGCCGTGACCCCTTTCGTCGTTAAACTCAAGGATTTTGAAAAAGATTCGACTAAAAGTGATCTAAAATGTTGTATTTTATCATGAAAATTGCCAGTAAAAGGCAGGATAGTAAAATAACGTAAACACTAAATTTTTAAAGCAGAGTACATTAAAACATGATTTTTCTCAAGTCTCTTCTTCATCAGGATCTGCTCTTCCACATGTTGGCCATGTTATCAAGAGGATGTAAACACATTTTTCTTCTTCAGAATGTATTGAAGAACTTTCTTAATGTCTTCTATTTTTAAGCATTAATGGCATTCATTCTCGCAAAAGCTTTTTTTGTTGGAAGATATATCTAATGTTCTGTTTCATGAATTTGAAGTTCTCATCACCAGCCCTCTTGTTGTAGTGTATGCCTTCAACACACCTTCATCTAAAAGTAATAATCCGACATTTTGAAACTTATTTTTTCAATATTATTTCTTTGCAATGCCATTTCCTCAACAGGGACAGTTTATTTTTTGTAAAGCTTTGGCCACCACCATTGAAGTCTAATATGATGCCATTATCCTCCAGTAGAATTCAATGCAGTCAGAAGAAGAAATCTGTACACTGCTTCGGTGTGTAGACACGATCGACTTTTCACATTTTCCTTTTAATCATACCAAACGCCATATCACAAAGAAGGAAACTGTGACCCCCCCCCCCATCAGAGGGAAATACTGCTTTATTTCCACATTACTCGATTCAGAAAGCGTAAGTAAAAATCGCAATACTGTGCGATTGCTTGTCCAGTACAGCCATCAGTATTTCTTTAGTTGTTTATATACTTTTAAATATAATCATTGAGAAGCGATCTTACTTCGTTTCCATTCTTTTTGTCTATCCCCTTGTGATATTTTTATGTTTTTAATTTCCGTGACGTAAGAGATTTATGCTTTCGAGAAGGTTTTAATGGTGGGATAATGCGCGGGTAAATGGAAAAAGTTCGCCAAACCCCTGTACATTGTTGAGTCTGAACAGGTCGAAAATGGGAAGGCAGACGGAAAAAAGCAAATTGAAACAGGCGAAAATAAAGGAGGAAAGGAAAAAATTAAATCTAGCTTCTGCACTGGTAAGAAAGGCCAACGAGATCATCGACCCGCTGGAAGACTTTCCGTCGTTCATATCCTTCAAGAACGAAGACGTCGACGTCGTTTTGGACTGCAGACGAGTGAAAGACCTCACGGAAGACGAGTTCGAGAAGGTGGTTGACTTGATGAGACTCAACATGAAAGACTACTACGAGAAATGCGACTGGGGCTGGGACGAAGAGAAGAAGAGAGAAGAGATGTTGGAGAGTCCTGCGAGGTACCTTCTGGCAAGGGATAGGTTCGACACCACTCGCATACTCGCCTTCTCACATTTCAGGTTCGACTTAGATTACAAGCAGAGCGTACTGTACCTATACGAGCTCCAGCTGGATCCTGCGGTGCACAGGAAAAAGCTCGGACAGTTCATGCTCAAGGCGCTTGAATTGATGGCTTTTAAAAACTCCATGCAGAAGGTCATCTTGACGGTCCTCAAACACAACCACACCGCATTGGCATTCTTCTCTAAACACGGATACACTTTGGACGAAACCAACCCGGTGGACAATTATGAAGAACAGTTTTGTTATTATATTTTTAGTAAAAGTAAAAGCTTTAAAGAAAACGTGGTATTACAGTAATGTAGTCATTTTATAATATGTACAAACACAAACTATTTTTATACATTTTTTTTTCTAGGAAGATGATCTGTGATGATTATTGTCGCTCACCAGTGTGAACGTAATATGATTAAAAAAATGTTAACAATTTTGTAATTGTATTTTTTTTCACCTCATAAAGTTGGGTAGAATAAACAGGCTAGGAACACATTCCAGGAAGATAGCCAGTTTTTACAACTGTCAGGTGGCGCTTAGGCCCTAGCCTCATGCAAGGTAGAAAAAAATATATGGAATTCCTGGTAGAAGTGACACAAATTAACTGGCCCTGGCACATATCCTTGCCTACTGGGTATTTGGGACATAGAGGCAATGTGATGGCAGATGTTGGCCAAATGAGGAGCCAATATAAATTTTCTAGGCCCTGAACCCCTACTGTGGCCAGAAAAGTAGTATCCAAAAAAGGGTACTTAATGAGTTCAAAACCTGTTGGAATAATACTCCAGGCATGAGGCAGAAAGATTCATAGAAGGGTCGTCCGCAAGACACAAAAAATTACTGGAGGAAGGTAAGGAAAAGAAATGCTGCAAGTTCCTACACTAAGGAGCCACTGACATGAAGTTTGATGAGTAACCTGAAGCTAACCAATGATTTATAAAATTAAGATCTACTCAGGTTGAAGTGCAGGCCTCGTAGCCACCTCTTATATCCCTAGCCTTATCCCTGTTGGGTAGAAAGTTTTTCATCTTAATCAGCACTTTGCCTTTTTTCTCTACATATGTTACAATGTATTTAAGTGTTAAGAGCAGGTAGACCAGATTGTTCAAGGATCACCAAATTTCTGAGAAGTATACCATATTTGACTGTTTTTATTGACATTTATTTATTGTTTAAAGAAGAATGTTTATTTTGAGATGATTGAAACCCATAGAATAACAGTTATTTAACATTTATATACTTACTATTAATTAAATTAATTTATTATTATTAATTTTATTTTGTTGTATTATTGTTGATTATATTAAACGTTATTTTATTCTATATATGTTTCAATATTTTTTACGCATGTGAGCCGATTGTTACTTTTCTGATTGTAATTCTTTGTTGTATATACTGGGTTGTCACTATCTTTACGTTATTTTTCTTCTATATCATTTTTATTATTATTATAGCAAAACTATGTATCACTGTCTGGTTGACGGATATCAAAGATTTTGTATAGCTTCTTTATACTATGTAAATTTGTAAATATTGTTAAATAAAGTATCCTATTATTATTATTAACTATGGCAGAGGTACTTTTAGATCTCTTCAGGGCTACTAATTGTTTCATTTTATTAGAATCTTTTAGATACTCTTTATTTTGTCATACTAATTTGTACTAGTAAAATTTTGAGTTTAGGTGAATTGAAAATTACAAGCATTTTGTGTCCTTTTTCTCAACTACCATCTGTAGGTTCCAGTCCATAATAACTATGAGATTTTTCAAAAATTGCATTGTCCATGTATATATACATATATTAATTTTATTTTTAACGAGCACTAGTTTACTTATGGTTCAATTTTATATAATTCGCTCCCAGGCTACTTTGTTTAGTAAGTTCATTTTTTCCAATGAATTTTTTCAGCCTTGGTAAAAGAAATATTCTGTTATTTTTGGACAAGAGATTTATGTTTGTATTTAATATTGTTTTCTATTCAAAGTTTAGAGACTGTTTTATTTACTTTCTTTTTTCAATTAATTATTCCAGTATTGCTTGTCAATAATTCTGATGGAAAGACTATTGCATGTGCAATATATACCAGAGCCTGTTCTTTTTTTGTAATAGATATGTCAATACACCAAGTACTCTAGTTTAGTGTGATTCAGCGTCCTATTTTAACTTGGTCCTCTGGTATTTAATTATTAATGTGAACCATATTATATTGACATTGATGTCTTTTGAGAGTGGTTCAAACTTTTTTTGTGGAGCACCATTGTATTGCACCGGTTATGCTAGGCATGACATGCTTGGCCGTCTCGGCTCCCTGAGAAATTCAATTCCTGCAGTCTGAATTTTTTGTAAGGCCACTTTATATACTTTTAAAAAGATGATCACCCTATGTTCTTATCTGTTGTTTCTATAGATGATCTCTTGACATTCTAGTATTTTATTTTTACCATATATCTTGTTATTTGTATGTTATTTATTTTAGCTTATACTTTTGATTATGTTTTTGTATGCTAAGTTTGTGACTTATAAATAAATATGTCAATAAATAAATATATTCAAATAAGTAGAAATTATTGATTTGATAATGACCATAAAATAACATAGGTCAAGTATTTTCTTGGTTTTTCAACTTTTACAATGCTTTGTTCAAGCTTGCCTTTGGATTGAATCTGGATTTATTTTGGTTTGTATGTGTTGTATCTTAGAACATAGACAATATGGAATATTGTCATTGATGAATGCCATCTTTTCATAATTCTATGATCAAAGTTTCATCATAAACAGTTGACCATTAGACTATTGTTAACATAGCTTTGGAAAAAAAACAAACAAAAAAAAACATTAAGTTGAAAATGTATATTGACAATATGTGCAGATTATGGTAGGCAAGATATACATAGCATTACAAAAATATACGAATATAATTTATTATTATTAAATCATTAAAAGCGATTATTTTCTCCAGTATTGAGCAAATTTGTGTAGTTGTTCTACAAGCGCTGGCATCACTGCTGATACAGATATTTCGAGTAAATTCTGTAAGTAGTGAACTGCTTCCTCATCCCCCAAGTCGAGTCTTAGCTTGTCTTGAACTTTCTTGACGGCTTTATCTGGCTCGAGAGCAATATCAGGAACGGACGCGTCAACCATCAAAGAGAAAAGGTTTAAAATCAGGTTTGCATGACGCCTCAAGTGTAAAAATGCTGTGTAACATTGTTTCTTGAATTCGTGAAAGTGCTCGGAGTTGATTCCGCCCATCGCTTCTACCATTTCTTTGCTAAGTTTCATAGGAGGTGGTAACGGCTTCGGATCTCTTCCCAGTATGTAGCCAAAATCAATATGGAAAAGTTTACCATTTGTAGTCAACATTAAGTTGTCTAAATGCCTGTCACCGACACCTAACAGGTATGTGATTACACAGTAGCCTGCACAACTTTTTACATATGTGTCCATTATGTCAGGCAAAATTCCATAAGGACTGGTCTCACAAGGGTGGTATTTTCTGAAAAAATTCTGTATTGTACCTTCTGTAGCTAAGACTTCAGCTACAGGTATTGAATCGATATATTGGACAAAGCCATGTTTTGTGCTAGTAGCGAGCACTCTGTAAGGGGTCAATTTGAGGTCAAGATTTTCACTTCTCAATAGCTTATCCATAAGAATGATAATCTGCAGTATTAATTGATCTTGTCTCAAGTCATCACCGTTCTTGAATATTGTAACGTATTCATGCCCGTCGGTAGTTAAAAATGTCAATCTTGCTGGCATTAAGGCGGATTTGAATAGGCTCGCTTTATCTGGTATGATGCCCTTAACTTGAACAGAAGGATCTAATGGTAATGGAAGAGGATCAAAACAAGCAAAATTAATTTTGAAAGCTTCTGGGTCTGCTAATAGGGCCTGAAGTCTTTCTGTTTTCTTTTTCCGGCTTCCAGATTCCTTTGCCACAGTTTTCATCAATTTAACGAGTTTTTCTATAAAATTCTCTTGCCTCTTTAAAAAGTAACTTCTGTTTTGCCACTCAGTGGGACCCGATTTCAAGGCTTGCAGGAACATCTTCATAACATAGAGATACATACTTCTTAATTTGTTGTCTTGTTTACCATGGCTGTGGTCTTCGCACTCGGTCAATAGATACCAGTAGAAATAATTGGCCAAGGTGCTGTTATTACAAGCTCGATGAATTAGAAATGAAGCCAAATCCATGTTTTTTGCAGGTTCGATTTCTTCTTCTGAACTCTCAGTTTTACGATCGGATGACGTCAGACTTTCATCGGTTATCTTAGTCATGGATCTTTTATAAGCTTCTGAAATTTCTTCAAAACTTTCATATTTAAGTGCTTGTACCAACTGAAGGAGGTAAAGCAGGAGATCTTCGTCTAAAGCTTGTTGCAGTCTGGTTACGGCGTATCTCCTGACTGAGGGATGAACGAATGCTGGACTCAGCAGTTGAAGAGCATCTTCTACTTCCATCGGCGACCAATTTCGCAGCATGTGAAGAGCCTGGCGCACCTCTCCGCTCAATGTCCATTTCACGCATTTTAAAAATTTTGTCAGGGCTTTTTTCTGGCTGCTCAGATAAAATCTAAATTTCCACACAAGATCCTGTTCTTCTGTCGTGAGCTGCTGTGTTGGCGGGTAAGCGACGATAGTGTTAAGCATGTCCCGCACAGCGGCGTTGGGCTTGATGTCTTTATTAGATAAACCGGAACGTAGGCTTCTCGCCAGTTTATGATGTTTGCTTTCAACCAGATTTTCCTGGAGTATCTCCGGATCAGGGACGGTCACCATATCGGCCTGAGATCGAAATTGGTAAACCTCGTCTCCATCCTGTTCGTACCACACTATGGAATGAGGGACGCCGTTCATAGTCACCTGAGGAAATTCCACCATGAGGTAGAGATAATCGGACGAACGTTTTTCGGCCTCGTTGATGAGCTCGATTTCACGGAATGTGAGTCTGTCGAGCCAGTCAATCTCCGGCATGTATCCGTTCCTGTGTTTTTTGGCCAATTTGGCCAGCTTCTGCATCCGCTCCTTGCCGGACCCTGGCGTCTTCCCCGGTGTGGAGTTCGCTTCAGACCCGTCCGCGACTTTGTGAGGCCAAACTTTGAGATCCAGCATCCCTTGACGGAAGACGCGGTGTTTCCCGAACAGGGAGAGCGTCGTCCCTCCAACGGGACGGACTTCCGAAGGCCCGACGCAGTCGTACACCGTCAGGCCGAGTTTGGCGTTGTGAGGCAAGTCGGAATACATGACCGGGAGGGTGATCCATTCGCTCCAATTCCATCGATTCGTAAAAGGCTTGTACGAAGTCCAAACGGGAAGCGAAAGCTCTCTCCCGTCTGCCATCACCTGGCAAACCACCATCAAGTCCGCACATTTGCTCTGGTACAGGCCGGAAAATTTGAGCATAGGCTCTTCGAGTATCTTGTCGTATTCCGGCTTCAACTTGAAGCCCTCCAACGTACCTATTTTGATTTGGACGTGTGTGGTTAAAGAAGAGCTGTACACGTAGTGGAAAGTGTCGTCCGCGTTGTCCATCCCTTTAAATTCGATATAACACTTGGAAAGAATGGAAAGTATAAAGAACTTTTTCCATTTTACTCGTTACATACTGATAAACCACATATCACAACAAATCGGAAGGTTCCTCCATCTGTTGTGACAGTGGCACCATTAGAGATAAGACTCCCAGTCACTTTCACTACATCGTCTCATCGTTGATAAACGTCACGCCTGAAGGACTAAAGCTTGATTTAACCATCTCACAAACTTGTCCATTAAGAGTCATATTTTAATCAAATAAAATAGCTTTACAAAAGTAATTTTTATTACAGCTTACACGCATTAATAGAAAGTACTAATTATGTATGACAATGTCCGTTTTTTAACAATAACAAAAAAAGATCGAAACGTTGGCACGATAAAGAAAATGTTGTATAGAAACCTACACCACACCAGACCGCATCTCACGATTTCTGAATAAATAACAAAAAAATTAATCTTTTGTTTCAAAACAAAAAAAAATCCATGTTTTTTTAAAGTAAATTATTTAAACATTTACACTGACTTTTTACGACATTTAAAATTGTTATTCAGTCTCATTTGAATTCTGGAGCTATAAACTGTTTAGTTTCCATCTCGTGAGGCACTTATTGATGATGGACGCAGGTATGCGGCTATTGCCAACGGAGTTTCCTATGCCCTACGGTAACAGAACCACAGGATGACCGTTTTTTGACTTTGAGAATTTTGCGAAACCTGCACCTTACTGTTGTTCAAGCGATTCATCAGCTCCAGGAAGTTCGAGGTGTCCAAATTTTTGAATGCACTGCTGGAAGAAAATTAACTCAGTATGAGGACCAGAATTGACTAGAACTCAGAGTTGCACGGCTCCCATTTGATCGAGTACACGGCCATTGGTCTTTGAACGATTGGTCTGCTGTACTTTTTACAGATGAGTGTAGATTTGCTCTATGATCTCCAGATGGGCGTGGAAGAGTGCGGAGAAGGCGAAATGAAAGGTACGAAGCCTGTAGTTTTTCCCAGAGCCAACCTTTTCAACGTAGCTCAGTGATGGTGTGGGCGGGAATTTCAATGGAGAGTCGCACAGAGTTGGTTGTTGTTCGTGGAGGGTCTTTGGCGGCCACTCGCTATGTGGATGAAATTTTGGAATTCTTATGCAATTCTTAGGGTCTTCAACAGCATAACATCAGGCCTGGCCAGCCCTTCTCCAGACTTGAACCCCATCGCACATTTTATGGGATAACCTCAAAAAACGAATAAAACACGTCCATCAGTTCCTGATACACTCCACGATCTTGAAAGGACTCATCGTGAAGAATGGGCTAACCTCCAGCAAAGAGACATTTTCAGACTGGTAGAAAGTATGCAGAACGTTATCGAGATGTAATTAAGGAAGGAGTAGGAAATATGCGATATAGAATAAAAAAACTAAAACAAACTTAAAACAAATTTTATCTGTCCGTCATTTTTATATTTTTATATTAGCAATTTAAATGTTTTTCAACTTTTTTAGACAAAAACTCAATTATTAAACGAAAAAAATTGTGAAACTTTGATTAATAAATAAAAATATATACAAATCAAGTTATATTACAAGTGGCTGGAATTTTTTGCCTGTCAGTGTACCAAATGTTAGTTTCGGGAAATTACACCCATAATCTACATACAAAAAAAAAAAACAAAAAAAAAAACAAAAAAAACAACATAAGTATAACAAACTATAATAGTATTTTACAATATTTTATTATAAGAAAAATTTTAAACAAATATATTCAATGTCAAAAACTTCTGATTTTTTTTGTGAAAAATTTAGTTTAAATATAGCTTTATATAGTAGGTTTAAACAATGTTAATATAAGAAAATGTTTCAACATTACACCAGCCATAAAAATAAAAGTCATCGGATTAGGATTATTGCAACTTATTCTTAATAAAGCCAAATAGAAAAATGATTTCTTTACTCTTTTTAAAAAGATAGTTCCTACTCACAGTTAGTTGTTTTTACGATCCAGAATTCTTAACAAAATGATAGTTTAAATTGATTTATAATTTTTAAGAGTCCCATTCGTCACAGGAATTTTTCATATCAACCACACATTACATACAAATTATAAATTAATTAAAATAAATGGTTATATTTTCTCTGCGAGGGAAACGTCCCAGTCAAAATCCATTTATTATTCATTCTTAACGTTTTAATATAAAACAATTAACTTCCACCATTCCAGAGATACTGGACATTTGCTCTATGATACTGAATGTCAAATTCGAAAGTCAAGAGATATGAATTTAAAAAGGCCGTGTTTCAGTGTGCGATTTGTCTACAATTAGTCAGTTTAACTATTTATAATTAAGCCTGAACTTTATCCGAATGTCTAATGGTAGTTCTGAAAAGATGGTGGACAATTAGTGCAAATTTATTATTTAAACAAAAACAGGTATAAATAAAATAAGGCGAAGGCGACGTTGTCAATAGAAACAGAGCAATGTATAATAAATGGCAATTAGGGGCCATATTTTCAAAACAATTGATGAACCAACGTTATGATAAAGCTTAAAATTTCATATATTAATAATATACATATAAATAAATGTAAATATTTTTCTCCTATGCCGATTACAAAAGATGATTATAATTTTTAATGTACGCTTAAATATAGCGTTTTAATTTGATTATTCATTGATTATTAAGTCGTACCATAATCATAAAATGGCCTACCATTTTATATTATTGTTTAGGTAAATTCAAAAAGCTTTTAGTTCCAGCAGATTTATTCATGGAAGACGCCTATCCTCACCTTAAGGGTATCATCAGCTCTCGTTAAAACAAAACAGAATAGAAAGAACACAAAAACTGTGTTTTTTCAAACTGTCAACGTTTTTGTCATTCAAAATGTCAACATTTAACGAAAGTGAAAGGCGTCTTCCATAAGTAAAGAAAATATGCTGGAAATAAAAGCTTTTTGCATTTACCTAAATAATAATATATAATGAGGTTTCATCGCAAAGAAGCGCAAACTTTAAAAGAAATATTGGCCCGGCATTTCCCATTTTTCATTCCAAATAGGTAAAAAACAAAATAACATTTTTTCGATAACAAAATTTTCGAATTAAGGTTCATATAAACTAGTTTCAAAATATTTGTCTTCTCTTTGGTTTTGTACTGCTTCTTTTGTAACGGTGTCGATGGTATTGCGTTTTTTTTTGTGGTTACATTACGATGGATCGGTAGAAGAGATTTTGACCCCGTTTTCCTTTTTTTTCTCTCTCTATTGTTCGGCAGAAGGTCTTCAAGGTGGATTCAGGGCCGGTGGACTTTTCGACGAAGTGGGAGAAGTCGATGGGAGAGGAGGACGGCCTAGTGACCTACTCCAGAATTCAGATGCAGATCCGCAGAAGGATTTGAAGGTAAAACGGCCTCTAATACACTCTCAACGACATCTTCAACAGCTGACGATCGCCCATTATGATGAAGACCGTTACAAGTGATTTCTGAATCGCCTTTCTCGCCAGTTGTGTGATCGTTTGGGCACTTTTCGATTTCGCAGTCCGTTTTGTAATTATGACTCGACGTTGTGAAGTTTTTCGACGCTCTTATACCCCTTTCGTCTAAGACAAAAGGATGCACACAATCCTTAGGAGTAAGCTGTGAAAAGTCCAAGTACAACCGTCCAAAGGATCGTAACAGATTTTTATCGTCAAAATGCCTCAGGGATGCACTTGTAACGAACTGTCCTCAAAACCACACCAACAGGGGCAGAGGAAGATCCATGTTACTGCCAAGGTTCTATTCGGCTCAGTCTCGGCAATAGCAAATATGAAAGAGACGGAAAAATTGCAGAACAAAAGGACCAAATAGAATAATGTAAGTGTTATCGGAGTCACCATTTCAAAAAAGTTTTTTCATTAGATACTTTTTTTCCAGGTTTCGGTTCAATGATCTCAGATTAACGTAACTGTGATAAGATAATAGTTCATTTATTCAACTCAGTTTATGTACGTTTTGACGTTACGTTCTCCCATGTACCACCATTCTATTTATATTATTAAATCACGTTCATTCAATTGAAGTTTGTGTTTTGTTTCAACCTTGAGATGCATGGACGTTTTTATTTATTCCTTACTTTTCATAATGGCTGGGGCGATGTTCGACGAAATTCGTCACATGAAAATAATTATAGATCACATGAAAAATGAAAAGTTAAATACTTCTTGAGCTTTATATTTATTGTAATCATGACACAGCTTTTAGTATTACTGTTAGTCGTATATTTTATTTCGTCGTGCTTAGGTGACATCGGGGAGTCGAACATAGCGATAATCTTCCGGACGTTCATAGAAGCTACCAACACTCACACCTTCGGACTTAGAATTTCTTACGGAAAGGTGCTTAGCGACTGTCACTCTTACGTCTACGTATCTTCGAAGATTGAACCGATCGAGCCGAATCTGTTCAAAGTCAGATTTCCAGACGGGTACGACAACTTTTACAACGTCATATCCATAGACCTGAACGAGAAATGCGAATTTTTCGAAGACGAAAATTCGACGGCTTTCATGCACGATTTCGCTTTGTTGTCGCTGGAAGACGGGCCGACCTTGTTGGACAACTACCACGAGTTGGGCTGGCCGTCTCAGTACGTCCATGCCGATCTGGAACAGGTCCTCGACGATTTGGAAAATACCAACACTAATGGGCTCACCTGGTTCGCGGAGGAAAAGGCTTCTGGTAACATCACCGTATTCAAGACCCCGATCACAGCTTACGACCGGGAAGGATGTCTTCGTTACATGTGCCACAACATGGTACGTTCTTACTGCTTCGCTTTGAGACTATGGCTAGAGAATCGCAATTACAACTATAGATGTGCAAAACTGGAAACGAGTTCGTGTGAAACGAAACAATTTGTACATGTCGTGATAGGAGATAGCATTTTCGGTCTGAGTGCAGGATGCTTAAACGACACTATTATTTATTACGCCATGGACTTGGATTATTCGTTTATTTTATCAAAAGCTGAATTCGATTATAGCAGAGTGGCACATGTGCAATCATACGTACCTATAATAATATTTCTTATGGTTCTAAATATTTTATTTTTATAAAATGCAGCTTTTGCGATCTATTTTTTTCAGTATAGTTGTTTAATACACATCTTAAGACCATCTTTAACATTTCTTTTCAATGGTGTTTATGGACATTATTATAAAACATTGTAGCATTTTCAGCTTATTTTTACTATTACCGTCGATGGGTAAAGTCTAGTAGTCAAGTAATTGGCCTATCTTTGACTAGGTCCTCAGAAATTTTATATCTACATTGCATGAAAAATTCATAAAATAATAGAAAATAAAAGGGAGAAAGATCGGGCCACGAGTAAAAACCGATGTAATACTAATAAAAGAATACTCATTTCACCATTTTGTGCAGAATTACGAATTTGTGTCGTTTGTTCCATTGCTGCCGAACTACAGACCAAAAGGGTTGTATGTATGTTCAACGCCATTTGTCTTGCATTATTTAACAATACAAACATAAGAATGACCAAAGTGTGTAAATACGACAAAACCAAACGAAAACCTTTAAAGCGTGTTTGATTCTTAAAATGAACGAATACAAATGATATAAAGACCAGACCCGTCACAATAATATTTATACCATTGTCTTGAAATAAATTATATGATTGAACGTTTATTGATCCTTCTATTTTTTTTGTATTGACTCAGCTATTATTAACGTGCGTGTATTTATGGACAGTAGATTGATGATAAATTATTTATTACTGTTTAGGTAAATTCAAAAGCTTTTAGTTCCAGAAGATTTTGTTTATTTATGGAAGACGCCTTTCACTCACCTTGTGAGCATCATCAGATTTCGTTATAGCAAAACAGAATAGAAATAACACAAAAACTGTTTTTTCAAACTGTCAACGTTTTTGTCATTCAAAATATCAACATTTACCGAATGCTGATGATGCACATAAGGTGAGTGAAAGGCGTCTCCATAAACAAAGAAAATCGGCTAGAACTAAAAGCTAAAAAAGAAGTGCAGCACAATTGTCTCAACAAGCCAAGAACAATTATATCAACAGCTATGACATATATAGTTACAATATCTGAATGATCGAGCTTCGTATCCTTAAGTCATAATAAAAAAGTCATAGTCATAGTAAGGCAACCTTTAGAGTTAAGTCACAATAAAAGTCTTAGTCATAGTACAGCAGACTTAAGCATAGTACCACATTCATTAATAATCTGTAATGACACGCCTTCATTTGAAAATAGGCTACCCTTCTCGATACACAAACACAGAACATCAAAAGTGATCAAACGTTTAAACAATAATGAACACGTTAGAGGCAGAACTTCTCAAGGTGAGCAGAAGAATTGGCAGATCAGTGGGAAGAAAGACTTGAAGTCTTCCGAGTTGAATTGAGAAGAAGAAGAGCAGCACCATCGTCTAAACGACAAGAACAGTTAGACCAGTTGCAATATCTGAATGATCGAGCTTTATTTCACTAACGACTTTTTCGTACAAACTAGATATTCAATACAGCACTTCATGTAAATTCGTTCAAATTGGACAAACGAACAAAGTTTGTTCACACTAATGTCACTAATTTCGTGGTCTGCTTGACCAATTAATACATTACATTTTTAGTTGAGATGAAAAAAAGTTAATGGCACGAGCGGGATTCGAACCCACGATCTTCGGCTAGATACGCCGCTGCTCTACCACCTGAGCTATCGTGACCTCGATCCGCTCGGACATCAACTCCCCATCTCAACCCCACCTTATGAGTTTTCCCTCCTTTTTGCCATTTTTCATTCACAAAAATTTGTTCACACTGCAAAGAAATGAAATGTAAAGGAGAAACCCCGGGAATGTGCTGTGCAAGCAGAAAAGTTAAACTACCTGAACTTGAATTCAAAACATTTTCTCAAAAACATCGGAAATTACAATTCCTGTATTCGGATTACTTCATTTGGTGCTAATGTTATAGCAGAGTATTTCGACATTTAAAATTCAGGGACATTACCACTGAGTTTTTTGCTTCCTTTTCCCAACAGTAAACATAAATTTCTCCAAATCTACTTCATCAGAGATGTAAATGACCAATTGATTGCCATATCTCTTCTGGAATCAAAGGCTTATAGTTGAGTCGTTGGAAAAAATGTTACACGACAACAATAATTTAATTCGGATGTCTAAAAATACGAATGATCTCATGCCATCAGACAAGAGTAGAATTGTTATTCGTCCTGATCGAACACCAGCCAGGGAGCATATCAGACGATATAACATGCCAACAATTGATGAGTTAGCGATTGTCATAGTTTGAGAAGAATTTCATTCTCACGATATCATTTCGCAGTGCAAAAATGAGCAACTACAAAGAATTGCTGACTCTCATGTATACTACGATCCATTGCAATTAAGTTTCCAGATAATCAAGATGTTATCAATTTTTATTAAAATATTTGATACATATAGTTGGTAATAAACAACAAAATACTGGTGTATGGTTTTTTGTTCTTGAGTGTATAATGTGAATAATTTATTGATTAGTGATAACTGATAATCTTTGCCCATTATTCTCTGTAGTTTATGTTTACAATATTTAAAAAATATCCAAATTTCTAAAATGTTATAAAATTTAATAAAATTGTAATTCTTATTAAGAACTTTTATAGTTTGTATTTACAATAATTAAAAAATACACAGATTTTCTAAAAGTGTTATAAAATTTAATACAATTCTAATCCTTATTAAGAACCTCAAAGTGCATGCACTGATATCTGGTTGAATCATAGTCTCTCTTTCTGGTGAAAATAAAAAGACCACGAAAAGTCCAACTGAATTATTTAAAAAGATTCGAATTTAAAACCCTGGGGGAGGAGTTGCTTCTTTCGTTATGCCAGCCCATTTGACTAAATAGCCCTCATCTTCTGTTTCAGTTTTTGGTTTGTTCGTTAGATCTAAATGGTATTGCAAAGAAGCATTTTTAGCTTTTTCATCTTGTAGCAATTTGAGAATTTCTTGTTTCTCTTGATTCTGTTGCCTCAGTTTGTCTTTCAGACCCTAAATCAAACAAATATTATTTTGTAAAAGTTCTTATTTTGTTAAACAATCCTTCAGGTAAACTTCTGTGTTTAAATGTCTATGTACAACCAATAGATAAATTACCTCAATTAATTGGTTTTGAAGGTCAATTTGCTTAGAAGGCTTGTCTGGAGCATCTGAAATGACTGCTTTCTGCATATTCTTTACACTTTCCATTGCTCTAGTTAAATTATTTTCTAATTCCAGTGATCGTTTCTTCTCTTTTTCAGCAAGACATCTAAAAAAGTAAAAGTACGTGTATACAGTTTATTCTATCATTGCTTAAATAGTAATTATCATAAATCATTGAATAAATATCAATATATAAAGTGTTGTATCTATTTACATGCAATGGCTTAATTGACTTTCTGTTATTTGGTATTGGATTTTCATCTTTTCTAAGTTTTGCACCTCACTGGGAGATGGGAAAGCCATTTGCATTTCTTGTTCTAAATTCCACATTCTAAGACTTGCCAATTCCCTTTGATACTGCTGAATGCTTGTTGTCAAAGCACATGCTAAAAAACATTTTTTTATTGATATTAATGTTTTAAAATATATGTTAATTATATGTAATTAATAGATTACTTCTCTTTTGGGCTTCTAGTTGACGCTTGGCAACTTCACTTTGAAGGGCACATGTTTTCTTTAAGATGGCTTTCTTTTCTTGTGAAATTAAATCAAGTGTTGGTTCAAGCTTGCATACAGGTGCTTTCTTTGGCAAGGTGGCTGCTCCAGATTCAATTAGTCTGTTTGTGGCTTTAGTGACAATATTGTGGAGCTCCGACAATTCTTCCATGGTGCAATTCTGTAAATAGAAGTAGTGAATTACTATTATTATAAACAAGAACTTTTTAAAACTGTATTTCACTTACATTTATTCCCTTTTCCATAATCTTTTGCAGAATCATATTTATTCCAGTGTCAGCATAATCTTTAGCTTCTAAAAAATTGAAATAAATTATTGCATTAATTATTAGTATCTTAAATCTGAAATAGAAAAAAGTTCTTTATCTTACCTTTCTGTGCAAGCTCTTCTTGCAAAGATGCATTTTCTTCTTTCAGCAAGTCTATTTGATCTTCGAGACTTTCAATCTTTTTCTGAAGCTTTTGAATCTGGGTTTTCATCAAATTTAGTTGCACTCTCAATGCACTTATTTCGTCAGTTTTTTGGGCACATATTTCTTGTTCCTGTTTGAGCCGATTTCTTAAATCTGAAATTACATTTTGTAGCTCTGCAATTTGATTCTGTAAGGCAGCAAGCTGTTGCTTTTTGACTTCGATTTCATTTAATTGGTTGTTAAGTTTTTTCTCCAATTCAGCCTTGCCATGTTGGCATTGCGTTAATAGTGCTTTGAATTTTTCTGTCATCACAGTTTGACTGTTTAGTTGTTGGGTTTTCATTTCTAATTCCTCGGACAATTTTTCTAAATTTTTTTTCATGTTTTCCAATTGTTCGACTAATTTATTGTTTTCTGCCTCTAGTTCTGATTTTGCTTTTTCTATTGTCTCCACTTTCAAAGTCAATCCATTTACCTCATCCTTTAGTTTTCTGATGATCGCTTGCAATTGTTTTTCCAAGATCTTCATATCCTTCAATTCATGTTTTAGTCGTACATTTTCTTGAAACATTGCCTCTTTGTCTTCTTCTGTTTTTTTCAGTTTCTTATTTAATTTAGATAATTCATCATTGAGTTTCATAATTGTACTATCTTTTTCCTCGATAAGATCCTTTAGACTGTCAATCGTCGCTTCTGCTTTCTCCAGAAGTAAATTTTTGTTTTCTAGTTCTTTAAGAAGTTCATTATTTTTCTCTTCCCATTCCTTGATTAAATTTTGTGCTTCTAACAGTAATCTATTTAAGTTAGCCACTTGAGCTTCCAACCTTGATTTTTCTACATCGACCGAACCTCCTTCTTTTAATAATTTTAATCTCAAATCTTGTAAAGCTGCCAATTTCTTTTCCAGCTGGGCATTCTCTGCCTGCAGTTTTGCTATTATATTGTCCTTTTTTTGTATTTCCTCTTTCAATTTTAACAGTTCCATGTTTGCAGCTTCATTTTCTACCATCAGATTTCCAATTATTTTTTTAAGTTTATCTTCTTCTTCTTTCATCTTGCTAAGTTCGTCTTTCATTTCAGCCAACTCTGCTTCAATGCCTTCATTTTCCTGCTTTAACTTATTTATTTGTTTATCCTTTTTGCCAAGTTCCAAAAGCAGTTTGGCATTCTCTTTTTCACACTGCTTTATTCCATTTTCTAACTGTTTACACTTTTCGGATAATTGGTCTCTTTCATTTTTAATACCATTAATAACAGCTTCCAGTTCTTTGTTTTTCATTTCTAGATTTCTGTTTAAATACTTTAAATTTCCCAATTCATCCATTAAATTTTTAACAACATTTTCATCTGTCACATTTGCTAAAGCAGCATCCAGTTGATCTTTAGCGTGTTCACTCTGTCTTTTTACATGTGAGAGTTCATCTTTCAGTTTTAAAATTTCGTTTTGTAAGAGGCTGTTTTTTTGGCGTTCTCTTTCTAACGCTTCTTTGAGGTCGTTATTATTTGTCAACAAGTCTTGAATTTGATTTTTCAGCTTAGATATTAAAATTTCATTTTCTTCACACAATGCGTTTTTTTTCTCTAATTGAGCTTTGATTTCATCCAATGAACTTAATAATATTTTCTGTTGTTCTACAAGGTTTCTCAAATCTTCAATGTCTCTATTTTGTGCTTGTAAAAGTTCTTCTAACATTTTATATCTTGCTTCAAGGACTGTATTGTTCTGAAGCAGTTGATTGTACGTTGAAATGTATTCATCCAACTCTTTCTGTAAATTGTCCACTAGCCTTCTCAAGCCCTCTATTTCATGTGCAGCTTTGTTGTTCTCTTGGATACACTTAGCTAATTGACTTTTTAGTTCGGCAATTTCTTTTTCATACTGTTCTTTTAATCTTGTTAATGATTGGATTTCTTCATCTGTCGTCCTTTTTAACTCGGTCAATGCATCGTTTAATTGTGCCACTTTCCTTTTCTCTTCGAACAACAACTTTTCTAGTTCTTGAATTTGATCATTTCCATGCTTTGCAGTGAGTTTTTCTTTGGACAATGCAGCTAGAGCATTCTTCAGTTCGTTACTCAAATGATTTCGTAAATTTCTCTCTTGTGTAAGTTCTGCACTTAATTTGTCCAACTCTGCTTTTAACGATGCATTTCTTTGTTCTAAGCCCTTTACCATATCTTGGCATTGGGCCAATTGATTTTCCAAATCATGAAGATGGGCATTTTTAGCTTTCTCTTTCTCCAATAAACCTGCTAGATCAGAAATTTCCTTTTCCAATTGTTTAACTTGATCCAATACCTTTTCTTCATTTTTGTTCAATAACATATTTTTCAATTGTTGTACAGCAAGTTCATCTTTAGCTGCATTAAGTTCTTCCATCAAATGATCATTTTGCTTTTTCAATTTTTCAATCTCACTCATGAGTTCTTTAATCCTATCATTCAATCGCCCTTCATGATTGGACAGTTTGCTTAAGGCACGTTTGTTATCAGTCACAATATCCTCAATTTTGTTTTGATTTTCTTTTAACTCCTTTTCTGCTTTAGCCAGTTGTTTTGTAAGTTCATTAACTGCATTTTTTGCATCTTTTAAATCCTCGACAGCTTTCCCATACTCATTCTTTAGATCTTCGTATGCTTTTTTTTTAAGTTCCAGTTCATTGACTAGTGCTTCAATACGTGATTTTAAACCTTCTAATTCTTGTTCACATTTTTTATTTGCTTCTTTGCATTGGTTCGCTTCTTCAATAGCTTTTGCCAGTTTATCTCTTAGTTCTTTGAGCTCATCTTCTTTCTGTTTCAACTCTTTGTTTGCATCTAGTAGTTTCTGCTCATTCTTTTTTGTATCTAACAATCCATCCGCCAGCTCATCCTCGAGTTTTTGTTTCTTCTCCAAAGTGTCAGCTAATTCTTTCTGACACTTTGACAGTTCTGCCTGAAGATTTGCTACAAGTTCCCGAAGTTGTGAAATCTCCTGTATTAAAGAATCCATTTGTTTTAGCTTTTCTAAAGCTTCATCCAGCTGCTCGCCTTTCATGTTTGCTAAATCCAACGCTTTTTTCAATGTAGCGTTTTCATTTTCCAAACTTTCTACTTTCATTTGTAGGGTTTTTAGTTCATTTTCTAGTTTTTCTATTTTCTCCTTTAATTCTTTCCTATCTAAAATAGCCTGATTTGCAATTTCTTGGCATTTTTCAAGATCGAGTTTTTGCTGTTCTATTTGTCCCTCCAATTGAGCTCTTATTTGATCGAATTCTTCTTTTGCTTTCTCGCATTCGGCTTTACTTTCGCTAGCCACATTTTTCGATTCTAATAGAGCCTCTTGCAATACTTTCAGGTCATTCCTTAAATCATTTATTATTTTTTCAAGTTTTTCCATTTCTTTGTTGGCAATGAATAATTTCTCTTTTTCATTATCTAGCTCTCTCTTTAATTGCTGTATTTGATCTTCATAGTCCTGGATCTTGTTGTACAATTCTTTGGCAGCCTCTTTCATACCTTCTAACTGTTTTGTCAAATCTGTATTCAGATATTCAAGATTTTTAATATTGTTTTTTAACATTTCATTTTCATTTTCGAGTGTGCTAATCATATTTTTGAGATTCTGAATTTCTTGTTGATTCTGAGCATCCCTCATTAAACTTTGCTTAATATTTTCTGTTAAATCTGCAATTTTTTGTTCTAATGATTTGATGCATTCTATGGCATTGTTCAATTTTTCATAAGCACAATCTAATTCAGCTTTAAGACTAGCATTTTCTGCTTCACACTTGTCATTTTTCTCCTTTAGCAACTGAGCATCTTTAGCGCACTCAAGGAGTTGATTTTTTAATTCTGATTCTCGTTTTTTGTAGAAGTTCAAATCGTTCTTCAAGTTAGTAATTTCTGTTAGAGATGATGATGTTTTATCTTCCAGATTATTAAGTGCTCTTTTTGCCAATGCTAACTCTTCTTGGATTGCTTTTAGTTGGTCTTCTAATGCATATTTTTCATTCCTCAAATTGGCAATTAACTCATCTTTTTCGCATAATTCTTTTTCCAGTTTATGCAGTTTATCTTGTAACTGAATAATTTTGTTCAGAAGTTCCTCTTCTCTTTTGTGTAACTCTTTTTTATCACGTTCTAGTGATTCGATGAGAAGATTTTTTTCATGTAATGCATCTTTGAGATCTTTAACTTCAGAAACTAGACCTTTCAGTTTAGAAAGTTCAACAATTTTTTCTTTTGCTTTTTCCAGTTCATCTTCAAGCTTTTGTATACTATTTTTTTGGTCATCGATGACTTTTTTGAGAGGATCAACATCGTCACTTCTTTTTCTCTCTTCAGATAATTCGCCAAGAAGCCTGAAATTCTCTTCTTTCAGTTCATCAATTTCTTTCTGTTTTGCTTCCAATTTATGTTTTAGTAATTCACAATTTTTTTTCAAATGCTCCATCTCGATTAATAGTCGGTTTTTACAATCCAATTCTTCCTTAAGGCGCTGATAATCACTCTTCAGTGCTTCAAATTCGCACAGTTCTTCATTTGCTTCTTCTAATGCTTTATGGCACTCTGATAGACGCTGTCCTTGTTCAGATAATTTTTTTTGTAAATCATCAATTACTGATTCTAAATATAAATTCTTTTCTTTTTCCGAATCTAACATCTCTGTCAAGTTTTCAATCAATAATTGTAAATTGTCTCTGTCTTTCACCAACTGTTCAACAGTTTTTTTCCCTTCTACTAGAAGATCACCAACATATGCACACTTTACTCTATCATCGTATGTCGATTCCAATTGCTAAAACATATAGCAATAAGAGCATTTAATCAAAATTTAATATGTGCAATAATATTATTATTACATGTTGGATGTAATAAAGAAACAAATAATTAATTGTGAATATATTACAATAATATTCTGGAATTTATTTAGAAATCATGAGATGCGGTCTGGTGTGATGTAGGTTTCAGAAAAACATTTTCTTTATCGTGCCAACGTTTTGATCTTTATTGAGATCATCTTCAGGGCAAAACGTTGGCACGATAAAGAAAATGTTTTTCTGAAACCTACATCACACTAGACAGCATCTCACGATTTCTAAATAAATATCGATTAACGGTCACTAATCACCACACAAATATTCTGGAAGTTAATTACCTCGTCACTATCTTCGCATTTCTGAAAAGAATAAAATGGATTTAATTAATCAACTATCAGCTATTAATTATTATAAAGATAAAAAATGTATTGCGACAATAACTGTGTACTATGGGAGTATTTACATCGTGAGTTAGATGATCAATTCGGTTGGTTAAATCTGCGATTTCACTTTCTTGATCGGCAAGTTGTGCCTTGAGTTCAGCATTTTCTTTTTCCATGTGTTGCAATTCTTCTTGATCTTTTTTGGCGTAATACAATTCCACTTTCATTTTTTTCATCTGCTCTTCCAATTTTGAAGCTTCTTGTGCTCTTAATTGGAGTCGTCTTATTTCTTCAGGCTTAAAAGCAAAATGTTCAATTAAGCATGTGGATAATGAATTATTTTATTCATGGAAAGATATGTTTTTAAACTCTCTTTTTATATAGATATACATATTTATATTTTTATATATGCCTTAAAATATGGAATTAAAAATTGAATGAGATTTCATTAAAATACTTACACTCTTAAATTCTTTAAATTTTTTCAATTCTTCTTGGGTCTCCTTAAATCTGTTCATCAATATTTTCAAAGCGTTTTCCATACCACTGAATTGATCAATTTGGGCCTAAAATCAATTTGATATATATTATTTTATTGTATAATGTGAACCAGTTGTCATATACTTGGAGACAGTTGTTCCGGTATTTCAGATTGCCGATTTCTTCCGACATTTCCATTGTTTTATCATTCATTTCTCTCTTTAGAACGACATTTTCTTCCCTCACTCCTGCAAAATAGCTGCATTGTTCCATTAAGTCCCTCACCATACAGCGTAGATTTTGAACAACAGTGTTGTCTATATTTCTCTAAAGTATAATTTGAATTAATTTCACAGCTTCGCAAGACTATTGATTATTACTTCTCCATCAGGGTCTAGCCTTTTTTTCAATTCTTCCTCTGATGGTGACAACGGTGGTTCTCTCCCATTATTAAGTATTCGATTCAATGCACTTAGCTTTTTAATCGTATCAGCCAGCATTTGCGCTTTGTCCTAGGGAGAAATTAAATAGCTTAAAATATAGTTGTTATACAGATCTACAATAAACAGATATATATGATTTGACTTACAGAAACGCCTAATATTTCAAGCAGTTCGTTTAGTGGGATGTAATTTCCTAAACCACCCGATTCCTAGAATTTGAAATATGTTTATTAATCATAAAAAATGTGGTTTTAAAAATAAAATTAAAATGCATCTCTTTGAGTTTTTAAACTCTAAAGTTGAAATAAATCGTAATATAGAATAAAATTGTTTTTATATGAAGTTGGACCATGTCCAAAAATAGTTCGTTAATTAACAGTACATTGTAATTGTAACATTATAATAGTATAATGCACGGCCGAATTATAATGTTGCATTGTAAATTATAATTATGAAATTGAGTTTTTTTTATAAATGTAAAATTTTTCTTTGATCACTATCAAAGTTTAGGAATTGTAATAAAAAAATCTTAAAGGACCATGGTTTTTATAGACACTTTGAATATGTAATTTTTTCATGAGGGTGAAATAAAAGTGTTCAAAATTTTAAAGAAAGCAAACGCTTTTGGTAGTGAAAGTGCTTATCATCAGCATGAGTCAACATGGTATGCATGTACCTACCTAAAAATCAGTAAAATGTGAACATAGGTGATGTGGGTTTTATTTAAGCACCAATATCCAAAATTTGTCTCCTATTTGATGTTTAGACTAATTATTGTAACTATATATCATCGTTAATATAACCAATTGGTTCCCCCTCCAATGACAAGGTTGTTTTCTGCATAAAAAAAATACGTGAAAAGTATAATGGCTTTTTAGCAGAATTGTTTTAGTTTTTGCTGACACTGTTGCTCAAGATAATTTTCTTCAGGTTTTTAACCTGCGGAAATATTTTACGATACACGTGACGACGACGACGGGGGTTTATGCAGACGACGGACTTACTTCTTCCATCAATTCCAGCATGTATTGCCTCTTTTGCTCTTTGTCTATAGTCCATGATCGGAGATCAATTGCCGAGGCGTAGGCTTTGAGGCGGCCGTTGCTCCTTCGCCTCTTCAGTTTTCTTCGGCGTGGAAGAAGGAAGTCGGGATTGCGCTTTCCCACGAACGTCGTCATTTAAATTTTTCTTCGGGTTTACACGACAAATTTTGAAATTTGGAGAAATGTCAACTAGAATTTTGGCGAAAAGAGCTCAACACAAAAATTATTTTTATATCACATGATTACGTTGTTTTATTTAAATTTGTTGTCGGAGCTCATTTCTGTCCTGCTGGAGTGGACAATAATGCCAACTTTTTAAAATTTATTTGAGGTTTCCTGTTATGTTCAAATTAAATTTCTTATCATTATTATTATGGGACACCATACCTTTAGGACGATCCGAGGACTTACCTGAAGAGATGGTGCATTTTTTAAGATTGAAGGGGAATCTAAGAAGAAGTGGCTCTTGGTAGAATATAGTTAAATGCTATTATAAAAAGAAGCGCCCTGAATAGATAATTTTTTATCAATTTATATTTATAAATAATATTTTCGGTGTTAAAATATAACAAAATTGCCTTCTTTAGAATATACAAGGTTCGTGAGTTAAAGAAGCAGTAGGTTTCTGTGTAGCCTACAATGCAATTTTAACTTTGGTGATACGGTGATCATGGATGTCATGAACAGAATGTTGGGATAATTCTGGTTTAAAAACTTTCCGTTGCGTGAAATTAAAATTTATCTGAAGGGAGGGTACAAGAATGACTATCAAACTGAATTAATTAGACAGCCGGTGTTATAGTAGTGTGCATTCTGCCTGCCTCTTACATCTGAGAGGATCTGTAGTGTTGAAAAAGTAGATAAACTGGCCAAATATTCAAAACCAAAAATAATCATGTAAACAACACGAAGAGGATTTGGCTTTTGAACAAAAAACCGGTAAACGTCATAGAAGATGATGTCATACATTACAAGATGATGTCATACATTTAATATTATTGAAATGGCTTAGGGATAATTTATATAATTGTATAATAAAAATCAGGGATAATACCAATTTGTATTTGTAGAAATCGGAAGTATGTGAACATAACCGACAAATTGGCATTATTTCTGACTTTTAACATACAATTATATTACTGAAGGCTGATTCAACTATATCGAGATAAATTTATATCCGTTGTACTCTTTCATAAGAAGAATATTTCCGTTCATAAATGAAAACGGTAAAAAAAAATTCATTGATACAATGATTATCAAAAAGTATACGGACTTGGTGTGAGCAATGCATTTCTGAATGATGAATTAGAAAGGAACAATATTTCTGATTTACACAACAGCTTTTGTGGGGGTAAAAACCCAGAAACTCGTATTTTGTTTTTATTTCAAACTACATATATGTATTTTTATCTTTATATTAATTACACATACTTATTTTACTGTAAAATAAATTAAACGAGATCAGAAATTCTTATAAAATATTTAATTATGATGGTTTAAGAGAAAATTCATTAAAACATCGGAAAATCATTAGTGATAGATTAAAATTTAACTATCAATTTATTATCTAGTTTTACTCTGCCCTGGTGGAGGGGCTTAAGTTTCCTAGGCATCGAGTAATTAAGGGATCGGATTTCGTTTTGTGAAACATAATCCTATTCTTCAACAAGAGTTGATGCTGTTCGTGCTTGTTGGTGGCAGCGAACTATGCCTAACCAGTCTCTTTATCATGCCATATAAGTGTTCCATAGAATTCATGTCAGGAAAACTTGCTGGCCAGTTCATATGGTATTTCCTAAATCCTCCAAGTAATGGGTGACAACTTCAGCTACAAGCGGTCTAAAATTATCGTGCATTAACATGAAGTAGTCTGTTTGTTGGGGTCACAGCTTCCAATACCTTATGTAATGCTTATTACATATTACAGTACCTTACTGCAGTCAACATCCGTTCTGTATGATAATTAGTTCAGACAGGCATGGACGTTGAGTCCACCCCATCCATAACTGACTATTGAAAAGGCTGTAGCTCACGCATGGCACATGAAGCAAAGCGTTTTCGACGTCTTCTCCACATAGGATCTTCTATTGTCACAAACCAAACCGGCACTCATGAATCTGTAAAGAACCCGCAGGATGCTGATTTGTGAATAGTCTTCTTTCTACTCCTTCAGCGTCGAGAACCTGATGCGGGATGTCTAGAGCGTATTCTCACGAAGCCTTCTGATGTCTGTTTTAGTGCTCATCCTTACATTACGGACCGTTGACCATCAATGAAGCCGTTAAATGATGGTTCCGTAGTGCGGTAAGAGCAATAAAAGGATCCTCTCAAGTCGTCTTCCACTATCTTTCCTTCGATCAAGACATCGGGAGGCCCTAATCCGCTGTAGAACATGTGGGAGGTAGTGCGCGGCACACTAAGGGACTTGGACTACATATCGGGTGCTATGTCCGTCGTTGGTCACAGCATCTGCCCAGGCTAGATCTTTGTGACTTGAAACGATGCTTTTAAGAAACAATAATTTTTCACTCAAATTTATTCAAAGAAAACCATTAAAAAACAATAAAAAAACCAATTTACCCGACAGTTGGCTCTGGAAAGAATAAAATGGAAATAATTTTCTTTATTTTTAAGCTAAAGAGTGTAAAAGGATTAGTAACAATATACAGGTAAGCAACAAGTTATTAATGCTGTGATTACGTTTCTAATTATTAAGGAAAATAAATAAATACAAGCGTCAGAATTTTGGTCTTTGATTAAATATGGATAACATTTTGGAACAAGTAGATAATTTCAGAAATCTTTCTAATCAAAAATTCAAACAGAGGTTTATAAAAAACAAAACGAAAAGGAAAACAACAAAAAACGAGCGGATATCTGAGAGATGTAGTGGAGGGAGGAAAAACCGACTAAACCGACAAGTGTAAGATAATCAGATGAACCCTAAAAGCCCCTTGGGAAAGTACAATGGTATGCCAGCAGGGAGAGAAACTGTTCATTCTGTTTACTGGAAAAGTTACTAAAAGCTTTTCTCGGTTTTCAACTCTCCGGTCCTTTTCCTTCTGTATAACGTATCTACAGGTATTTACGATTCATTTTATGGTAAAGCTTGCCGCTACTTCTGCATTAAAGCTGTTTACAAGGGTGAACAGTTTTTAGAAAGCACGGATGAGTTTTCTGAGTGTTCCAGTTTTTATTAGCAATCCGTATCGATTAAAGATGTATAATCGTGTTTTAATTAAATTGTGAATTGCAAAATGAAATAATTTAGTATTCTAAATTTATTGTAACAGTCTAATGTTAATGAAAGTATTATTATTATTTGAGAGAAATTTGAGCATTAAACCCTCTTGTATTAACGAAAACCATATCTCTTTATTTTTTAATATAACTATTAAGCATTATTTATACAATAACGATGATAAAAGCTCATATTTAACAGAAAAAAATTAAATTATTAAGCCAAGACTTAAACTGAATTAAAGAATTAATAGAAGAAGCCAATTACTTAGTTCATAACACTCGACATTAATCAACAAATAATTATTACGTTGCTTCAGCTTTAGCAAAAATACCTGCGGCAAATCTTTTATTGTCTTAATTAACTTCGTGCAGGTAAATGAATGAATAGTTTTATTGGCAAAATAAACATAGCAATAAAAACCGAGACACAGCACCTTTTATGTCCTCCTATTTAAGGACAAAATAAAACTCATTAAAAAAAATATATTTTTTGATCTAAGCTCATTTTGTGTGACGAAAGTTTTAACAAACACATTAAATTTTTCATATCTTGTCACAGCTTGACCATTTGTTTTGCTTTTCTTTTGTCCAATCGGTCATATGACAAACTTATGATCTTGTGGGTTCAGATAACGGCTACTTCATTTTGTAGTTCCTTATGAAAAGGAATGGATATTTAAATAATAAATGAGTGAAGTTGGCCGGATACTTTTGAATGAACCAACGGTTTTTATCTTTCTAAACCTCTAATCATGTTTTTCCCAGATTGAAAACAACTCTTTCGCATCCAAAAACAAGTCTAGTTGAAATGCAAACAAAAGCCAAGATTAAAGATTTTGTAGTATTATTGTAAGTTGCTTTTGTAAAGGAGAAAAAGAAACCTTAAGGATTTAAAAGATTCGGAAAATCGGTCAGGTTGTAACTAGTTATGTTGGTTTCGATGATAAGGAATGTCGATCGTCGTTTGGTATGAGGTCGGGCCGAGTCGAGGAGGGAAAATAAAATAGCGCTTAATCACAGCTTGTGGGGTAACATTCGTTGGCCATGACGGAAAAATCATAAATCGCGGTCGGGTCTAGTGGTCAGACCCAATCATGGAGTGGCTGCGGTTGACGCCCGCTGATATACAGCCTATCACATGCAAAACAACTGAGCCTCGCATGCTTCCTTTTTTCGTCGTCTTCTTTAAAACGCCTATTCGACGGTGAAAGGGGCCAAGTTGGGAGGAAGAAAATCAGAAGAAAATGAGGTAAACTGGTTCGAGCATTGGGATCCGTTTTCCTGTCCGAATAAAGCGAATGTATTGCCATTTGCAAATGTTCACAATAGGATTGGGAAATTTTAAATAATTATTGTTTAACTTTATAAGGTTTGATATGCTTAAGAAAGTTATAATTATGTTGATTGGATCCTTTAACGACAGGTTTTGGAGGACATAGATATACAACAATAGTACAATACAATCTAACTGTAAACTGTTTAATCGAACAGATACGGTGATGAAAGCAAGTTTTAAAAGAATAAAAACCTCATATCAAACGTCAAAATCCTATCATAAATGGTGCACTTTAACATGCAAATACTAAAAAAATTCAACAGATTTAAGAGACACGCTTAATTCGACAGATTAAGTTTTAATTATAATTACACGAGTTGTGCACAAATATGCAGTTCTGTTTCTACGATGTAGAGGTATGAATTTCCCTTCGACTCATAATGATGAAAAACTCATTGGGACATGTATTGCACAGGATGGTCTGTTGTGCTCGGCTGTTGTATATGCCCCTGACCATTGTCCACCAAGAATGCCAAGGCACGGACACCCTATTTGTCTTAGCATGACGGACCCCTCGCTGAAGCCCTGGAATTCCCTTTCCCCGCCCACCTTTTCTACTCACAAAACCACATTTTCACCTTCGCCCAATCAACAGCAAGAGGAAAATGTAATATAAAAGGCAAAAATATACATAACTTGTCAGTTTAGTTTACATTTCAAAGTCAAACATACATATGAAGAAT